CGGCGGAGGACCTCGCTACAGCAATTATGACAGAAGACATGGCAGACCAGCAATCTTCTATAGAATCTGCGCCTAGTCCTGCTGCCAACCTATCTCTACCGCCATTTCTAGCCTATTCACAGGCACAGTCGCAACTGCAGATTGGCACGCAGATTGGCACGCAGATTGGCACGCAGATAGGCCCTCAGATAGGGCCCTATTCTCAAGGCACACAGGCCTATTGGGCGTCAAATCAGGCAGGTTTTTATGCCTCCTGAAGGGTCAACCACGAACTAGTTTACTAGGAAAACGCTAATAAACTAGCTCCTTGGCTCCCAGGAACTTTGGAAAGATTACATCTATAATACTGAAATAAACAGGTCAGGAATGTGACGCTGTATTTATGAAATCTATTTTCACAACACTGTCCACAGCAGAACAGTCGGGGAACGTATCAAGGTCCAGATAGAAAGGACTGTCTGTCACCTGTCGAGCATCCTGTTTGGGATGACGGAGAAGCCCCAGGAACGGGACAAGCGAGCAGTTCTCCGTCCTCGGTATGTCCCTAGTTATCCAAGCTCGTCCACCTCAAGTGGGGTCTTTTGGTGTGCCTCGTGGAGATCGGCCAGGAACCATGGAAGCTTGCGGCGAATGACAGGAACTGATGTTCACTTCTTGCACGGATCAGCATTCATTCCAGCTGCAGGGTTTGCGTGACGGGCATGATCTCGGTGCGAGCTATAGTTAGGTTAGTCACCGTGAGAAAGTAACCGGACAGTGGCGGTGCGACAGTCCTTACAGTAGCTTGAGAGGATGATATTAGCCTGTTGGCAGATGGCTGCGGTGGTGGTGGTGGTGGTGGTAATGATGGGAAGCGGCAGGTCGCTGATTCGGCACTCTGTCCTCGGTGTACCAGCTCTCCAGAACAAAGAACATGAGTCGTCTGAGCTGTCCAGCTTGTCCCGTGTCGAGGATGCCGATGGATTGTTCCAAAGCAGCTTTATCTTTCGACGCTTTGATGCAATTCGATGACGTGAGCGGCGTGGACGAGGTGGCTTGGCCCCGCCGGGTTGCTCTAGTTACTCGGTGCAGGTTAGGCGGCGGGCAGCAGGCTGGTTAGTGGGAGCTTGCGCTCTCTCATCCCCCGGTTGCCACCTGGTATCACCTATCACCGTCTCGATACTAGCTACTGGTGCTACTGACCTAGCTGCTTAGCTAGCTGGCGGTCGCAAGCGGTTACTCGGCCCTTATTCATCCAGCTTCAAGTGCCTGAATGCCACCCGTTTCCCCAAAAGACCAGCTCCAGCTCAAAAACCTGCAGCTTCCCCAAGCTCAGAGCTTCGACCTGCTTTCAAAAAAGCTCGAATTCTCCTCCCGTCTGTACCTGCGTCGTCTGGATATTTCCTTCCCCTACCGACCGATCCCGAGTCCTCGTCCTCGTCCTCGTCCCGCCCTCCGTTTTGCAGAGCCCGCCTTCGGTGAGTCGATATTGTTTGATTTCCGTTTCGCTTGGGATTGATGTACGAGTTGCGGGAGGCCTTCAACGAGGTAACCAGGACACACACACCACTCGGCGGTGGAGCTGAAAAGGTGGACGCTGTGGCGGGCCCCGTCTCCATCGCCGTCACTGCGAGTGTCTCTCCCTGCCTCCCGAGGTCCTCTTCGTCACCACTCCAGAAATCTTAACGGAGGGCAATTCTGGGGGCTGGAACACCCAGGCACCCAAGCACCCAAGCAGTTGGGCGCCTCTGTTGCCCCCCCCCCCCTCCCCCCCCCGGGGGCTTGGTCGCCGTCACCACTCCATCCACGGCTCCCGCACCATTCCGAGACGTCATTAATGCCCTGACCCCCGAACTCACTGAGACCTCGTCACCCATGCCAACATCCAGCCGCTGGTGCCACTGACATCTTCGCTGACTTTCTTATCTTCTGCACGCCGTCCTCACGACAACCATCTACTCATATTAAGCTGCTGGCATTATTTCTTCTCACTTCATTTCAATCGTTGCTAACACACCGTCGCGCACAGAGAGCGCTTGGATTCCCCACGCCTACCTGCCTGCCTGCCTGCTGGGATCCAGCTGAGCACGACCGAGCGCCCCTCAGACCACCTCCCTTCACTCCTCACCATCATCAGCACCACCACCACCACCACCCGCCCTACTCCCATCTCTCAAGATGCATCGAACATACTCTATGCGCCAATCGCGCGCTCCTACAGCTTCTCAAATCGAGAACCCTCCTCCACCGCCATCTTCCACCAAAAGTGGGCGCCTGTTCGGGCGAGGCAACTTTGGTATTCAATGACCCTTGGGCTCCGTGGCCACACACATTGCAGCGACCGGCGCTGACACAAAGGAACAGGACATGCTTTCCGAAAGGGCACGGCGGGCGCGTTCGGGCCAGATCTAGCCAAGAAGCTTTCCCAGCTCGTCAAGATGGAGAAGAATGTCATGCGCAGCATGGAACTAGTGGGTCGAGAACGGATGGAGGTCGCTGTGAGTAGCTCGCCTGTGACTATTAGATGTCTGGTTGCCTGACCGAATGTCCAACAGCAACAACTCTCCCTCTGGGGCGAAGGCTGCGATGAGGACGTCAGTGATGTCACCGACAAGCTCGGTGTCTTGATCTATGAGATTGGCGAACTGGAAGACCAGTTCGTGGACCGCTACGATCAATACCGCGTCACCATCAAGTCGATCCGAAACATCGAAGCCTCGGTTCAGCCGTCGCGAGACCGCAAGCAGAAGATCACCGACCAGATTGCGCAACTCAAATACAAGGAACCCAACAGCCCTCGAATTGTCGTCCTCGAGCAGGAACTCGTCCGGGCCGAGGCCGAGTCGCTGGTCGCCGAAGCGCAGCTCTCCAACATTACCCGCGAGAAGCTCAAGGCTGCCTTCAACTACCAATTTGATGCGGTCCGCGAACATTGCGAAAAGGTGGCCATTATTGCTGGCTACGGAAAGCACCTGTTGACTCTCATCGACGACACTCCGGTCACTCCCGGCGAGACGCGCAACGCATATGACGGATACGAGGCTTCCAAGGCCATCATTCAGGACTGCGAGGATGCCTTGACCAACTGGGTCTCGTCCACGGCACAGGTCAGCGCGAAGCTTTCCACCCGGTCACGCACTCTGAGCCAGAGACGGAAGGCCAGCGCCCACAAGGGCGAGGGAGTTGATCTGGCCAGCCAAGACCCCCCGATGAAGAACGACCGCGATGGCTGGGTGCCCGCGGGCCAACACGGCGAGTATGAGCAAGAGGAAGAGGAGGAGGAGGAAGAGGAAGAAGAAGAGGAAAGACCGCAACAAACCAATGGTGAGTTTCTTGATGTTGGTGCTTGCATGCGCCGGCACAAACACACAATTGAGATCTAGGATCCAAGACGCGCTAACCTCGAATTCACCACAGGTCAACATGCCGTGGCTGCTTAGGCACCAATGACGATGGCAAGAACAACAAGCCAGATTGCGGACCAGAAGGGCATGACCAGGTTATCACGATGATGATGATGAAGATGATGAGGAACGTGGCTGAGAGACGCTGAGTGGACGACGAGAGTCCTTGTCCCGATGGAATGGACGAAATCACCCCGCGAGGGACCCATTGGATGGCGCAGCAGGAAACCCGGAGTTGATACACGGACGAGTGGACACAGCAGAGGATCTTGTCATCAGAGGAATTGCGCTCTTTTTGTCTCCAAGTTTTGAATGCGCGATAATACACCGTCGTCGTTGAGATCGTGTGGGGATGCAAAACACAAAGGAAAAGGGAGTCCATGCCATGTTGTTCCACAGCCGTAATAATAATGGAAGCAGAATCTGGCGTGGTTTTTTTTTTTTTGTCTTTTTTGAGGGGCAATGAAAATGGATGAATGTATTCGTCGTCATGACTACGTGGCTCGTACTGAGGCGATTCTGCAGCATACACGTACACCAGACGCGTTTTCTGTTTTCCTTACGACCTACGATATGTGGCTCGTGGACGCCGGACACAGCAGCATCACGTGGCGAGCAGCTGGAAGGTGATCGCGTGTGCAGCAAGAGACTCGTTGGCAACCAGCCAGTATTGGGCATCTCTGGGGGGGCGTCTATAAATAGACGGTCGCGTTGGGCTGAGGGGATCTGCTTATCCAAGCCCAAGACGCGGATTTGGCGTCGAGTACGGAGTATTCAGCACCACCAGCACCACTGCGACTACCGGGTACTGCAGTCCAGGCGCCTTTTCTGATCCTACCCGCCGAGAACGGCAGTAGGATGGATCAAAGGTTCGATCCTTGCCGCTAGGAGAAATTACTCGTGCGGGACGGGCAAGAGTCGCGCTGGAACTCGGGTTCATTATTCGTATGCGGGTGACAAGTGCCATGTTGGGTATGTTATACACGTGGACCTTGATTTTGAGGACCTGATGCTGGTCAAGGATGCGGGAATAGCATATGTATGTAGTGGGCAGTATGACTCGGAGGAATGCCATGAATTCAAGCTGGTAGAGAATGAGCTGAACTGGAAAAAGGACTCGTAGGTCGAGGTCGAGCATCACTTCTCCTATAGAACGGGTTCGATATGCTTGACTACTACTTGTAGAGATCATCGGCCAGCCCACCACCACCACCTCCCTCTGATAGAAAGACGAAAAGGGAAAACAGGAAAAGGGAGCAATACTCCTACGACTAACGGGCCCCAATCTGCGCCAGTCAGCACGACGACGATCCCTCCGCCCATGGGCAATTTCAGCCGCTTCAACTTGCATTGCCTGGTGCTGCCCCCCTGCGCCTGCGCCTCGTATTGAACGGCATCTCCCAAGACTCCAGCACCAAGTCCCAAGCAACAGCTGAGCCACCAACTCGTCCTCACCCACGGGCTGCTGTGCCACCTGAAGGGAAATAAGAAGGCTTGACATGAATTCTCTCCCAGAACCACTCCGTTCAGCTGCTCGACAAGCTCGTTTCTCCTGCTTACTACTGCTAGGTACTCTTCGCGTACCGCCATCTGGCATCTGCTATCATCCCTCGCCATCGCCATCCACTCTCATCCACCCCGTCAGGATTGGACTCTAGCACATTGTCCATCTCGGGCAATTCGCCTATCCTCGACTGCACGCTGCGGCTGCGGCTGCAACTCCACCTCCACCTCCACCCCTAGACCGAGTTTCGCTGCGACCTGTGACCGCTAGCTCTAGTGAGCCCTGCAGACTGCCACAGCTGCCACAGCTGCCATAGCCCAAAGTTCAAAAACTGCCCCCATAATCTTACGGCCCCCCGACCCAACGACCATCTGTCACATCTCACGCTGTTCGCCATTATCCTTCTCTTTTCCTTTTCTCTTCGGGCAAAACAAAAAAGTTGATCTTGTAACCATCTTCTTCTCATTCTGCATCTTCGACCACTTGTTTCTCACAGACGTCTCTCGTTTGCAATTGTACTGGCCCTGAAGAGCGAACAGGGTTCCGAACTTTGATCTCTTCCCCGCACCTGAAACCCGTTTCTCTCCAAAACGGCTCAGCTGAACTGAATCTACAAAAAAAGCGAACTCGTCTCACTTCTTCAGCACACATCCTCTCTCAACAGCCAGAGAACATCAGATCAGCATGGTCAATCCAGGCCGCGTTTGCTGCATAGCAGCGCCCTTTCTGCTCTCAATAGGCGTCCTAATATGTGTGGTACTGGTTTTCCTTGCCGGGACCTTCGACCGCAACAAGACGCTGGACGACCTATACTTTATAAAGGTGAGCAGCGTTATAAGTAACGGTCAAGAACAATCTGTCTAACACTGATGACGCCTCTAGATCGACATGACCAACCTCACATTAACCTCCTCCGCCAATCTACTCTCAGGAGATAACTCCAATACCACCCTACTAGGTGGCGCCCTCGAAGCGGCCAAGCAATCCCTAGGCATGAAAGATTTCTACACCGTCTACCTCCGCAGCTACTGCAGTTGGAATGGCAACGACACCTTCGCAAACTGCACCGATCCCAAATCCTACTTTTGGTTCAACCCGATCAAGATCTGGGGCTTGAACAGCACTGGTGTCCCCGTCGACGACTATCTGCCCAAGAGCTTTAGGGACGGAGTGGATGTGTATCACGACGCCTCCAAGGCCATCTTCTACTTGTACATTGGCGCACTGATTGCCTCGGCCATCACCATTCTGGTGGGTATCTCGGCCATATTCTCGAGATGGGGCTCCTTCTTCACCACCTTCTGCGCCTCCGCCATGGCTCTCCTTCTCGTGGCGGGATCCATCACCGCCACCGCCGTGTACATCGTCCTGAAAGCTGCCTTGAACAACACCTTGAAGAAAGAATACGGCATCAATACCACCTTGGGCGGGTCTGTGTTCTCGGTCACCTGGATCGGCAGTGCCTTTGCCGTCGGGGCGGCATTCTTCTGGTTGCTGAGTGTCTGCTGTTGCAGTGGAAGGAGTCCTTACAACCCAGGCAGCAAGGAGGCCAGACGCACAAGGGCTGAAAAGACACCGTATACCTATGAGAGGGTGGGCAGCCCGTATATGGGCCCGAGTGATCAGCAGAGCGTGCCATTGAACACCCTCGGCCCCCAGTCGTACGCGCCGCAGAGAGGCGCCGCCTACGAACCATTCAGGCCGCAGGGTGTTTGAACCAACGTTTTTCGACGAAACTTTTAATCGGGAGCCGGAGTCGGTGTATGGCTTAGGTTTACGTCGCCGCGATGCTGACAACTGCAGGGGTCAGGAAAAAGGGACAGGAAATGATCTGGAGTTGGAGTATATATAAACATAGGTGTGCTAGCTGTCGGCGCGGGACGATCTAGGCATGTAACGATGGGATCTCAGCGCGCTGGCTGGCTGGAAACAATACTACGGGGTTCCAATTGTTGATCTGTGCAATACAGCACTACAGGAGTTCGAACTGCTGATCTGTGGAATACAATGCGCCGTGATCTGGAAGGAGAGTAAACAGATAGCCTGCAGCTTGCAGTCCGCCATCCAAGAAGCTTCCGGACCACTATCTATCTGTACCAAGCTATATACCTAGCAACTAAGTAACTAGTAACTGGATGTGTCGGGCCACTGTTATCGGGTAGCTAGCTACTTGTTGAGAAGTTGACAGCCGGCGCGCGACTCTCCTTGTCCGAGCGACTACGAGATACCGATGTAGGTACATCCAGTGCCGAGTGAGTGGATGTCAGGGCCTGCTACAGTACCATATCGCACCGCACCGCAGTGATTCAGTGAAGGAGAGGTCGAGAACTGGAACCAACCGCCGACTAGAAAATCAAGGCTCTAGTTACCACCCGTGGATCTAGGTGTATATGTACTCGGGCGGTACTGTGTATGCTTCACTCGACGACACCCCTCCAGCCTCCGCGCGGCTTGTATCCCACGAGGCCCTCGTCGCGGGCGACATCCGCGGCGGTGCGGCCGGTGAGCACACTGACCTCGACGTCCCTGCCCAGGACGTGAAAGGCGGGGAAGCCGCCCAGGGTGTCTTCTCCGCCACCGCCACCGTCGTCGTCGTCGTCGTCGTCACATCCAGCCTTCGCCCCTGCTGCGGACGAGGACAAGGACAGGCGCAGGCGCGGACGCTCCCACACCTTGCGCCCAAAGGCGGACTGGGTCGTGGGGTGGAAGCCGCAGGCGGCGCGGTCGAGGGAGAGGAACCATCTGCGCTGGTGGATCGAGTTGATGCTGTTGGTCGCGCCCGGGTAGGCGTTGGTGCGGCGGATCGAGGCCTCGTCGTCGAGATTCCGCCCGGCGTCTGGTTTGGAGGCGTGGTGGTGTCGGAGTGTGGGAGGGGTGTCCTCCTTGTCGTCGTCGCCGTGGACGGAGTGGGGTGTCCGCGGTATTGGAGTTGGCTCGTGGTATGGGTCGAGGGTGGCCGAGTTCGACCGCCTCGGACGTGGGGGAGATGCTGTGCGCATCAGAGAGGAGACGCTGCGAGGGAGTTTCGGGGAGCGTCTGGCGCTACGGTGGTCGAGGTCGGAATCTGAAGACATCTCATCCCCTGGGGAGTTTGGCCTGTCTGAGTCGGTCGTGTCAGATCTTTCGGGTTGCCGTTTCGAGCGCGCTTGGCCGGTCGAGTTTTGGTTGTTCCTCTTTCGTCGCTTAAAGGCCGGCGCGTCGGGTTGCACGATCCGATTGTTGTCGTGCGTAAGTCTCAGGCTGAGCGTGTAGTTCCTCGGTAGCCGCGTACCGTGCAAACGGAGCTTGATCTTGCGATTCTGGAACGCACGGTGGAGCTTCAATGGCTCCGACTCTGCTTTTCCCTTGGACGGGAAGTCGCTGTCGCTGTCCCTGTCCAGGTCCGAACCCTCGGTGGCTGTAGCATCGTCGGTCGCGCTGGCTTTCCCGGAGGCGGAATTGTAGGGCAACACCTCGTATTCCCCAGTGTCCCAGAGTAACATCGTGCCGGTGTCGTGCGAGGCGGTCTCGATGAGATGATTCCACAGGTTATGCACTCGGGTCTCGGTGGCATTGCGGTTCAACCTCCTGCTGTTCGGGTCACCCGGAAGGCCGTACATGATGGCGAAGCTGATGGAACTCGTTGCGTTGCATTGCAATCGCAGATCATAGTGGGTGCCCGCGATCGGGTGGTCGTGCTGGTGAACAACGAAATGGTGTCCTCTGTCATTGAGATTTCGGTGGTACAGAGCTAGCCAGTCCGGATGGGAGAGGCGCGGTTGGTCTCCGACGGGCGGACGCGTCGCCGCGAGAAGTTTGGAGGAGAAGAAAGACACATGATCCCCGATCTCGACCTCGCCAGCCTCGACTGCTGCTGTGGTCGATTTGGTTGTCGGCCGTGTTGTGAGGTCCGGGGAAGTGTGGGACTTGCGGCTCAGACGCCGTCGATTGGCGAGCGGAGGAGAGATCGATCGTCTCAAGGAGGCTGGCAAAGCGAGATTCGACTCGGAAGGTTGTGTTTCTATGGGGGCAGTTGGACCCTCTATAGCTGCGTCAGGGTTGTGTCTCTTCATTAACACCAGCGGCGCAACACCTCACAGTCGAGTGACGAGCGAGATGGTTCGTTGAAGTCGGAGGAGTCCAAAAAGGGAAAGCCGCAGAGCGAACTCCATTCGGCGCATGATGTCATTGCCAAGCTGCAATTCCGCTGATGACAAAGAGCTGAAAGCCTGCAGCTGGTTGGTTCGCGGCGCCTTCGCTGCTATTTGCATTCTCGTCTCCCTCTCGCTTACCCAAGGATTGGATAACCAACTTCCACTCGCTTACCCCAAGCTGTTTACTCCTTCTTGCCTGACCATTGACTTACAAAGTCTACTATAATGCGCCCAGGAGGCTGTTCTCGAGGTGTCCACCATGCTCTATTCAACACGCAGGTCTAAGTATATAAGTTCCATTCCCACTCGATGTTCTCTCACTTGGCCCATCAAAAAACCAACATCTTCATAACAGCAACAGCTCTTCTCACAGCAATCGCAGCAATCTTGATGCTTAGCAGCAGCAATACCAACAACAACACTACTAAAACCACACAGGATTCCATGAGAGCAGCCACCGTCCTGAAGGCAGCCATGTCAAACCTATCCCACGCAAAGATCGTCCCCCGCCCCTCCAAGACCCGGGGCGCAGCCAACCATGGCTGGCTCGACACCAAACATACCTTCTCCTTTGCCGGGTGGTATGATCCCAGATACACGCAATTCGGGTCCCTGCGAGTCTTGAACGAAGATCGCGTCATGCCTGGCGAAGGGTTCCCGACACATTTCCACCAAAACGCCGAAATCTTCTCCTACGTCCTGTCGGGCGAACTGACCCATCGCGATTCCATGCAAAAGAAGGGCGCAGAATCCCAAGACAAGGACAAATTCTTCCGCCTGCACCGCGGCGATGTGCAGTTCACCACGGGCGGAAAGGGCATCTCTCACAGCGAATACAATGAGCACAACAAGGATTGGGTGCACTTCCTCCAGATCTGGGCGCTGCCGTGGAAGAGGAACTTGCCCCCCATCTACCACACCAGCACCTTCTCAGAAGAAGATAAGCGGAAAGATTTTGTCACAATCATCACTCCATTGAAGGCGGGTCCCAATGCGACACTGGAGGATGAGAAGGCAGCCATCCCTGCCAAGGAGGGCACCATCCCCATCCACGCCGACCTCGTGTTTAGTGCAGGCATCATCCCCACGAACAATACCTTCAATTACCGGGTTGGCGGCGGAGATCTTGTCACCTCCAAATCCGACCGAAAAGTGTACATCCACCTACCGGAAACGAAAGGTGGAAAGGCCAAGATCCGGCTGGACGGACGAGAGGACGCGATCCTCAAGGAAGGAGACGGCGCATATGTGAGTCATGTCAACGCGGGTGACATGCTCAAGGTTGAAAGCATTGGAGACGCAGAGGCCGAGGTTGTGGTTATTGATTCGGAGTAAAAAGGGCCAAAAGCGAATTGAATCATGGGAAATCTAGGAGTAGGGCTTGATTGGGCATCTATGTAGCACACCAGTTGTCAATGAATACTCTGTATATCTGCCTCTCATAGTGTGTGTTTTTTTTTCATCGTCAAATGCGTGATTCTTTGCTGCATCATGTCAAACTGCATATCTGAGTGAGTCATTGGGGACTCGGCAGGGTCACGGATCTGCGACTAGCGAGGCAGTAGCGGTAGACGGGAGGGATACATTGGAGTCTCTGCCAATGGTTATTGAGATAGATAGATAGTTGAACATGGCACTTGACGAGTAGCTCTCACTCGCTCGCTCACACTAACGAGCAAGCTATCGACCTGCCCAATCTTGTTGCACCTCCCGAATACGAGTCTCATTCTGTTTTTTCATCACTGCAATTCGGCTTGAACAGTTGACGACAGTCACAGCAAACGCTATTCTGGTGTCCATTACGCATCATCACCACTGCGACCAGGTGGAGTGGTTGGTGAAGTTGCATCCTTCCGGGTTCCGCGCTACACTACATCACAATATTGCACTGCCGCCGCCTCTGGCATCGATTTTTCCAGATTCTCTCTTCTCCAGGCGGGACACAAGGTCCTTTATACACCTCCATTCCATCCTCGTCGCTGCTTGTGTCAAGTGCCATGTCCCTCCAACACCCAGCTCTCTGATCGGACTGCATTGGCCCTGTCCATCATGACGGCATATCACACCTCAGCTTCGGTTGCCATCTCAATCGCAAGTCTCGCTATTGTATGCGCCCTTTCGGCCCCAGCACTTCGTCAGGTCCTCATTCGCATTCGGGCAAAGAAAGACCAATATCAAGAGCTCTCTCGACGTTATGAGGACAAAGATGGAAAAGCCACAGAGGAATCTCAACAAGCATATTCCGACTTCGTCGTTCGATTAATACTAATCATAATTTCCGCCATTGCTTTCCTTGATGCTTTGGCCACCGCAGTACTGACAACTACTCGTCCGCATCTATCTCTCACTCTGGAACAATGGCTCCAATTTGCAACCTGGGTAAGTCTGGCCGTCGATGCCGCGCGACTGAGAGCCGCAACGTCTGACATGCTTTAGTTGCTGGTTTTGTTTCAAGCGATCACCATCTACATTACGCCCTCCTCGAAGCAGCGCTATCGTCTTGGGATCTTTACAGCTTTCTCAAGCTTACTCACTGCCATCGCTGTAGCGGTGGAGAATGTATCCTTGTGGCAATCGAAAGTCACCCCGCTGCCGCGCAACGCCCATCTCACCCTATCCCTTGTGCAATTCATCTGCGGGATCATCCTTTCCTTTGCCGCACTGTCGATTCCTCGGCGGCCTGACGTTTATTGGAATGACAAACCGGTCGACCGACAAAACACCGTTTCTGCCCTATCCAAGCTCACCTTCTCCTGGGCCTCAGCGATCCTGTCTTTTGCGGCCAAGAACAAGGGCCTAGACTACGATGATCTCTACGAAATTGATCACGATACTCGTTCTCGGGAACTACGAGCCAAGTTTGAGGCCGTCGGCCGCAAAGACAAACTCTGGAAGACCCTCTTTTGGTCGCACAAGTGGGCCTTCATTCAGCAATGGGTGATGCAAGCAACGTGTTCAATCACGGATTTCCTGCCCCAAGTGGCCCTCTACTTCATTCTCAAAGCGCTGGAAGCGAGAGATGAAGGCGAGAATGTTGCGCTCACGTCATGGCTCTTGGCGATCGGCCTCGGTTTATCCATTACCTTTTCCTCCTGGCTCGAGGCTTGGATGTTCTTTGTCACGTTCATGAGGATCGGCGTCCCAATCTACGAACAGTTGTCTGCCGTCGTGTTTGGAAAAGCTATTCGACGAAAGGACGTGAAAGGCACAGGCAAGAAGCAGGAAGAGGAAGAGGAAGAGGCCAATGGCAATTTGAATGGCGAAGTCGTGGTCAACATTGACGCCGGCCACAAGGGAGAAGATCGAACTCCTGAAGAGGACGAAGATGGAGACTTTCAGAAGTCGAAGCAAAGCACCATTAACTTGGTCGGGGTCGACTCGAAACGGATCTCGGATTTTGCGACGTTCAACTACATCTTTCTCGGATCTGCCATCAAATTGATTTTTGCCATCGGCTTCTTGTCAAGGCTGATTGGGCCGATCCCGTTGCTTGCTGGACTGGCGGCTCCCGCGCTGATCACGCCCATCAACATCATAGCTGCCAAGCGATATGCCACTGCTCAAGACGACCTGATGAAATATCGTGACCAGAAGATGGCAGTAGTGACTGAAGCTCTGCAAGGCATCCGTCAAATCAAGTTCAGTGCCCTTGAGAGGGACTGGTACGAAAAGATCCTCGAAACCCGAAGGAGGGAGTTGAAGACGCAGTGGCAAGTGTTTGTCTATGACACCACACTGATCAGCATCTGGATTTTTGGGCCCGTCATGCTGGCGGCCGTTTCACTGACAACATATGTGTTGATCTACAAGCAATTGACTGCGTCGGTGGCTTTTACGACCATTTCCGTCTTCGAAGCCATTGAAATGACGTTGGCTGTCATTCCAGAAATGATAACAGACCTTCTCGATGCTATAGTGTCGGCAAATCGAGTTCAAGAATACCTTGACGCCCCTGAACGGATCGACAGCACCAAATCTGGCGATACCGTGGTATTCAAAGACGCCACAGTCTCCTGGCCGTCGGACAATCCAGAGAACGAAGAGAACCAATTTTCTTTGCGCAACTTGAACCTTGCCTTCCCCAAGAACGAGTTGAGCGTCATTTCGGGCCGTACAGGGTCTGGAAAGAGCTTGCTCCTTGCCTCCATCATCGGCGAGGCTGAAGTCCTTGGAGGCGAAGTTTTCGTCCCTAGAGCGCCGCCGGCCGCGCAACGATATGACTCGCGTGCAAACAGAAGTAACTGGGTGGTTGAGTCTTCTATTGCCTTTGTCGCTCAGATCCCCTGGATCGAGAACGCTACCATCAGAGACAACATCCTTTTTGGACTCCCTCTAGACAACGACCGTTACCAAAAGGTTCTACATGCATGTGCTTTGACAAAGGATCTAGAGATGTTGCCAGATGGGGAACTCACTGACATTGGCGCAAACGGGATCAATCTGAGTGGTGGACAGAAATGGCGAGTCTCATTTGCTCGTGCCTTGTACTCGAGGGCTGGTATCCTGGTGTTGGACGATATTTTCTCAGCCGTGGACGCCCACGTTGGACGCCATCTGTTCGAGCAAGCCCTTGCGGGAGAGCTTGGCCAAGACAGAACGAGGATTTTAGTGACGCATCATGTCGCCCTGTGCCTACCTAAAACAAACTACAGCGTCCTGCTATCCAACGGCACCATCGAACAAGCCGGTAAAACGGAGGAATTGCGGCGCAGCGGGAAATTAAAATCCATCCTTGCGGAAGAAGACGAAGAAGAGCAAAAGAGGGACGAGGAAGAGGAAGCTGTCGAAAACCTCACAGTCGACGACGGCGGTGGTCTCCAGAAACTTCTCACCAATCAGTCACGTCGTTCCAGGCGAAAATCTGCACTAAGTGATGTTGGCGACAATCTGATGCGGCGTCCGTCGCGTGCGAGCCTCAACGACGCGAAGCAGAGCCGCAACCAGCCAAAGAAATTTACGGAGGAAGAGAAGCGAGAGACCGGCGCAGTCAAGTACAAGATCTACACAGCCTACTTCAGGGCCTCCGGCGGGTTTGGCTACTGGTTCTTTATCTTGGCCGTCTTTGGTGTGTGGGTAGCCGTCTATCTGGGGAGGTCGTACTGGATCAGCGTGTGGACGAGATCATACCGCACGGAAACGGAGCATATTCTCCCCCAGAGGCTGATCTCGCAATCTCTAACCAGCGTCTATCACGACCTCCATTCCCGGTACTCTGCTGCGACTATCGATCCAAACCTTCGATACTACCTGGGTGTCTACCTTGGCATCTCTCTTGTCGCCTGGCTGATCGGGACAGTTCGATACCTCCTTGTCTTCATCGCCTCGATTCGCGCGTCCAAAGTATTATTTGAAGGGCTTGCCTTTGCTGTTCTACGTGCTCCTCTACGCTGGCTCGATACTGTGCCAGTCGGACGTATTCTCAACCGCTTCACGTCCGACTTCAACATGCTCGATTCGCGCATAGCGATGGACTTGGCCTTTATGCTCCACAACATGATGCACGTCCTGTCAGTCGTGATTGCTGGATTATTCGTGTCGCCATTCATGATCGTCTTTGCAGTCGGACTTCTCTCGATTTCCATGTATTACGCACTTCGCTATCTCGCTGGTGCCCGCGAGGTAAAGAGACTGGAAAGCAACGCTAAGTCTCCCGTCTTCGAGCAGTTCGGCTCGGTGCTCATGGGCATTGGGACAATCCGTGCGTTCGACAAGTCAGACGCATATCTCGACAAGATGTACGCCAAAATCGACCGACATTGTCGCGCATACTGGCATCTCTGGTTGTTCAACCGATGGATGGGATTGCGGCTGAATATGGTCGGTGCCGTCTTCGCCGCCATCACCGCGGCCCTGATTGTCTCCATCACGAGCATCGACTCGAGTCTCGCGGGATTTGCCTTGAGTTTCGCCCTTGGAATGAGCGAAGGCGTCATCTGGTTCCTACGACAGTACTCGAATGTAGAATTGGACATGAACGCCACGGAGAGAATCGTGGAATACAGTAACATCACGACGGAGAATCAAGGAGGCGTGGACGCACCGGCGGCGTGGCCCACTGAGGGAAATCTCGAGGTCAACGATCTGGTAGTTGGCTACGCCCCTGACCTTCCACCAGTGTTGAAGGGGTTGACGTTCAGCGTGACGAAGAATCAACGGATTGGCGTCGTTGGACGCACGGGCGCGGGAAAATCTTCACTTACGCTTGCATTGTTCCGATTTCTCGAGGCTCGCAGCGGGACTATCTACATTGACGGAGTGGACATTTCCAAGATTAAGCTGTATGACTTGCGTTCGAGGCTGGCGATCATTCCACAGGACCCCGTGCTCTTTTCGGGGACGGTTCGGAGCAACCTCGATCCGTTCGAGCAGCAAACGGACAAGGAACTGAAGGAGGCGCTGGCACGGGTGCATTTGATTCCATCGACCACGGCCTCCTCGTCAGCTGTGGCCAGCGGGAGTGCGACGCCCATACCAAATCAGCACGACGCCTCGGTGGCGGCGGCGAACATCAACATCTTCCGCAGCCTCTCCTCCAAGATCTCCGAAGGCGGCCTGAACCTCTCGCAGGGCCAGCGACAGCTCCTCTGCCTCGCGCGGGCGATCGTCTCCCGGCCCAAGATCATGGTCTTGGACGAGGCCACCTCGGCGGTGGACATGGAGACGGACGCCCTGATCCAGCGGAGCATCCGCGAGGAGTTCACGGACAGCACGCTGATCGTGATCGCGCACCGGCTGAGCACGATCGCGGACTTTGACAAGATCCTGGTCATGGGCGAGGGCAAGGTGCTCGAGTTTGACGGCCCGCGCGAGCTGATGGGGAAGAAAGGCGGCGTGTTTCGGGGCATGGTGGAGATGAGTGGCGAGAGGGCCGAGTTGGAGAGGATCATGGGCATTAGCGTCGGCGTCGGCGTCGGCATGGAGGCGCAAGAACAGCAACATGAGCAACAGCAAGCCCACGAGGAGGATCGTGAAGCCACAGCGGGAGGAAGCGCTCCTGCAAATGCCACTGCCACCGACGGTACCGACGCCACAGCGAGCGCCAGTAGTGGGAGGAACGAGGACGACGACTCGGAGGCTGGATGGGGGATCTGATCCGCAAATAGAACCGAGTCAAGAAACATCGCCCGGAAAGGGGAGGGGTGAAAAGTTGATCATTGGGAGATTCTCTGCGTTCCTCGCTTCATGAGGGCCATGGTCGCAGACACGAGCGGCTGCACCAAACGTACATAATAGACAAAAAGGGGTTTCAAAAGAAACGGCATGGCACGGCACGGTAGGGTCACGGTCGGGGGCGTTTCAATTTTGAGTTACTCATAGCCTTCTCGGATCTTTCGCATGGAAGCTCCTATCTATTTAATGATGATATGATCTGATATGGCAAAATCTATTTATCCATGGAGTCTTGGCTGGGGCTTGTGCTGGAGCGACGCTGTGTCTGGTGAGCAGCTGCTTGTCTTTCCTGTTCCCCGACAGCATGCCCTTTCCTCTCCCTGGGGGTGGTGCGTCCATGGAGTAACTCCGCCGCGAACAAGGAGACTTCTGATGTCGAGGAGAGTCAGGGCAAGAGTCCTTCGGATGAGCGGCACGGCTTGGGGTCGATCAGGCCAGCGGAGCATCGTGGAGCATCGTGGGGGTGGACGGCTAGAGCAGTGATAGATAGGTACCGGATTCATAGGTCACACCTGTGCCACCCCTATGCAACACATACGCGGCTTGACAAGCAGAGAGAGGCCTGGGACTCGGTTCACCCATGAGAAGGACGAGTGAGAGGCGCGAGGAAGCTAGGAGAGAAAGGCTCAAGCCACAGAGCCAGTAGCGCAAACCACATCGAAAGAGGAAGGCGTTGTGAAAGGGGAAGGCGTGGGGATAGCGCCGCAGAGCGTAGCAGGGCGTGGGCGTCCAACTTGGTCGCCAATAGAGAAACACCCGTTCTCACAAGGAAGGCGTAAAGCTGAACCGCACGGGTCAAATTTGGGGGCAGCGGTGGGAAGAGAGACATATAAGGAAAGCGTTCCTAAGGGGGGGGGGGCATATTGATATGGGGAATCCGTAACGAAAAGAGTAAGAAGCAAGAGACAAAAGCGTGGTGTCCAGACAAAGAGTGGACCGAAAGGGAAGGCGTCCGTGAGAGGAAAGCGTAAGGTATGAAATTGCGTATGGAAGCGAAGCCGTGGGGAAGATCGAGGCCATTGATATACATGGGAAGGCATGGATGGAAGAGGAAAGCGTGCTTTGAGAGGCAGCCGTAGCTCCAAAGGCAGGCGTATAGACGAATAAAGTATAAAGGAGGCCGTAGAGTGAAAGGCTCTGTTTAACAGGTTGAAACAGGAAGGCGTCCGAGAGAGGAAAGCGTGTACCTCGTACATCTTGCTTGATGCAAAGACACGCCCAACCATGGCGTCTATGGTTACATCTCGCTGAGTGGTCGTCTGACACAGAGTGCGGCAAGTATTCCATCAACTCTCCGTCGCAAAATGGCTTGCACTTATAGAAATCCAATGGCCAAGTGGTGGAAGCATCAGAACTACAGCCTCTGCCCCCAAGAAATCGGGCGCAGAAGGCTGCAGGTCACGTGATGTCTTTCGAGAGCAGCCTCTATAAAGGCGAATCCTCTTCACAGCCGTCTTTGTTGGTGGCCTTTCCCTCCTCTGCTCTTGCGACAGTGGACTGGCAGCAGAAAGGGTCCTGTTCAAATGAACCTTTGGCGGTTACTCAGAAAAGAGTCCAGACACTGCGCTCTATCGGCCGTGGCTGAGCTGCCCTTCGGGGCACAGCGTTCGCAACACTCACTCCCGCAATCTCTACCTGTACGGGCCGGGGCTTCCGCCATCTCTCGGCCAGAGGCGAGGCGCCTCTCGAAGGCAGACTTTAAGCATCTGAATCAGCATCTAGCGCCATCGTGCATTGTCCGCTGGTCGCTCTCTGTAACCGGCAAACAATGGATGGGAACACGGCCGGGAGCTGCTGATCCCAACATCGGAAAGTCGCTGGCTGCTCTGCCCAGATGCGCTCAGCCTTCTAAGTCCATAAGTCAGACCATCGACGCTGGCAATAAAGGTGGCTATAATTCATCCTTACTTGTAGAACCGTCATGCCTCTTGACATGTTTCGTTGCCGAGCCCTCGAAGAAGCCCTCAAGCTCCATATATTCAGCCGCAAACACAGTAGTAAGGAGAGCCCAGTCTTCAACCGTGGGAATGTCTAGATGCTCGCCATCATCCCTCATAGTGTGCCAGACGGAAGGAAACCGGCCTGGGATGAGATGTAAAACTTGGACACCCCGGTCAATGAAAGGGATATGGTCGTCTTGCATGACATAGCTGCCGAATCTATCAGTCTCCTTTTTATCCTTTTCGGGCAGCCAAGTGCGCGATGGGTTACTGCGGAACATGCCCAGTTTGCGAAGTCGTTGCTCGGCTTCGGCCATTTTGACATATGACCAATGGGAAGTGTGCTGCCAGGAAGGGATCGGAAGGTCTTCTGGGGAGCCGAGGAGATCGAGTAGAACAAACAGTTCGATAGAGTCGAGATAGTTTTTGTATATACTCGTGGCTGCGTGCATGGTGTGCTCCCACTCTTCGGCAAGCGATCTCGCTCCGTATATACTGTCGGTCGCTGTCCAGCTGAAAAAAGCCTCTTCACCGTCGAGAAACAGTACCTGGATCCCCTTTTGCTCCTCGAAGTCAGGATCAGTAAACCCCTGCTCTTGCATCGTGGTCCACTTCTTTGCCAGAGCAGCATCAATGGATCTGATGGCATGCATGATCATGGCACACGGTGCCGCTGAGTCTGTTGCACCAATAAATCCATCTGGCTGGTACTTTGAGTCGTAATGGGCAACCAGGGTCAAGCGTCCAACATCGCCGGACTGCGACCACGGGGGATCCCGAGTGGCAATCAGATTCACAAACGGCACCTCGGTATCTCCGTGGGTAGGTGTCTTTGACGTCGAATTCTGGAAAGACAATGACCAGTCCGGCAAGGAGGTGTGGAAGAAATCGACAAAATGCTGGAGGACCTTTTTGGAGCCTTCTGTGCCGGGGACTCGAGGGATCAATATCGGCGCTAGAAGATTGCCGGTGCGTATATCGAAGTCGCTGGTGTCTGGTCGGGGGAGACCGTGTTGAAGGGTTTCATCCGAGAGTGGGATATATGCGAGAACCCCTGACCATAGAGATATCAATGATATCACAGTCGAGAGCCATGTCAGCGCCCAGCACCGCATTTTAAGAGGAAGGACAGAAGGGGCACGTTCATCTAGACATTATCAAAATATCTGGAAAGCATCGCGGAGGGGTCTCTTGCTGGAAGGAGAGGACATTGGGCGAGGTGGTCATGTTTCAATTCTCGGCGCAGTTTCCGCCGCAGGACGCGATGCGGATCTCCAACTTCAATGCGGCGTCGCAACCGCGTCTCGCAAATTCTACAAGGGTTAAGGACTGAAGCTTGTCGCTACCGAGACAGATGAGAAGCCTGCCACCAGCCCTGGTGGCCGAAATCCGCCATGCCTTTCAATCTTGCTCTAGGCAGTATGCTGCCTCCAGAAGGACTCAATTCAGCACATTGCACCAAAGGCTAAAAAGTTCCCAGCGTTCGAAAAGCGACAATGTTCCCATTCAAGTTGCCCACAGCCAGCTGCGGGCCCAGAAAACGAATCTCGCTCGACCGTCGATACCTCCAGCCCCGAGTGCGCCAGAGACCAAGGAGCTTGTACCTCAGGAAGAGCAGGAAAAGTCTCTCGACACAGGCCGCAAGGTTGAGGTCCCTTTCAAGGTCATCCCGAAGGCTGAGATCGCTCCAAATTTGACACTGTCCCCCAAAGAACGGCTCCATATTGAGCAATTGACAAGAAGACTACCTCCTCGGCCTGAACCAAAGGGTGCGTCTCTCGTTCAACGTGCGGTGGGAGAATATACACTGACTGGGTGCAGTGTATAAGAAGAGATTACGCATATACAGTGCCGGCAACGGAAGGATATATATGCTCACCTTCCTCCGTTTCACCACGATTGCCGCCCTCACCTTTGTCACCGTCATAGTGGCTCCAGCGCACTGGATCAATGGGAGTTCATTGTGGACCGTGGCCGGCAGTGAGTGTTCCCTCGTCGCGCAGTGTCAGCTTGCTGATCTTGATTTCCGCAGTATGGCTCGCGGGCTTGATGCCGTTCATTTTCGTAAACTGGGCATTGAGGCCAATGGTGACGGAGGTCTTTCTTCGACTTCCGGCGTCGGCTCAAACATCCCCCAAAGTGGCAATGGCGTATGCGAAAAGCCTCCCTGGAGATGCCACACTCGACCTGAGATTTATGCGATCATTCACCATCACTGACGTCGTTACGTTGAGGATCGCCAACACAAGACCGATTAAAAGTCTCTTTCGGCCTGTTAGCTTTGAATGGATTGGACCGATGGTGGAACGTGGTGGCTTGCTGAGACCGAACCCGACTCAATTCTATGTACGGCCTGAATCGGCGGGCGGCAGAGCAGCGAGAGATGTGACTCCGGGGATTTGGAGCAAAGTGTACGAACGACTTACCGGAGTCGAAAGCGATGCTGTATCCAAATGGCGGCGATGATCGAAGTCATGGTCATCCTTGACGTATTACCCTCACTTCACTTACACTTCACTCCTCAGCCATGAAAACAAACATGCGGCAAAATTTGGACTAGGATTGATTCACTGGCAAAGCACTCCTCTCGCCAAGTCCAGCAATCACTGCTCGATGTTTCTCATAAATCTCACTGCCTTCATCACCATCTTTCTCTATCTCCACACGAACCGCACTTACTTTCGCAACTGCTCCGAACACCTTTCCTTTCTACAAGTAAACCTGCCACCGTTCCCTGAACACGCTGTCATCAGCCTCTATCCACCATGTCTGACGCCGCCACCGCCAAACTCCAAGGCAGTTTGACTGCTCGTGACGGAGAAATCATCGTTGCTGCGCTGCAGTGTGTCAAGGGCGGTGACATCCAGGTAAGTTCTGCCTAAATTCCCAACTGTGACAAGCATCAGCCAAGTTGCCTTCCCCGCCCTGGTCTTGCATTTCTTCCAACTGACTGAGTCCTGTTCAGATCGACTATGCTGCGCTTTGCAACAGACTTGGCTTCAAAACTGAGGCTTCCGCCAGAACGGCCTGGTGCGGAGTCAAAAGAAAGCTCTTCAATCCTACTGATGAACCAGCCACTACTCCAAAGGCCAAAACACCTCGCAAGCCCAAAGACACAAACAGCACTACGCCAAAGTCAGGCAAGGGAGCTTCCAAGGCTGAAGCTGCTAGCAAGGATGGTAGCCAGGACTCTGGTGATGGATTGGGCAATGATCCGGCAGCCCCTACTGCAGACAGCGATGTGAATCAATCAGAAGGTCAGTCCGAGCCAAATTTTCAACGTACACTGCCCGACCCGCGTTTGCCGCCCCTTTCCGTCGCTTTCTTAGGGGTTTGCATACTAAAGGTCTTGCCTCTCAGAAGCACCAGCGACACCCAAGACGCCTACGACACCCAAGAAGCGTAGTCGCAAGAGCAAAGCTGAAAAGGAAGCTGAAGCCGCAGCCAACGGTGAAGCCGCTGCCGCCGAAGGTGACGATGAGAAGAAGCCGCCAAAGAAGCGCCGAACTCCCGCCAAGAAGAAGGGTACCGAAGGCGAAAACAACGGTGAAAATGAAGGTGAAACTAAAACCACTCCTGTCAAGGGAAAGAAAGCACCTGCTGCACGCAAAACCGCCGCTCCCGCGACCGACAAAGCCCCGGCTCCAGCTGGCCCCGGTGAGGGAGAAGCTGTAGTTCTAGAGGTCGCTAACGTGAAGAAAGAGGAGGATGATCTTGTTTCGGGAGAGGCGGATGGCGCCCTTCTCGCCGCTGGGTTTGTTTCTCCTTGCAGATGGTCCTCCTCGCGCGCTGACTCTATCCCATCAGAACCGCCAATGCTACCAAACGCGTGACTACTGCTGCTGACGGAGGTGTTCATGATACTGTGAACACAGTTGCTCAAGTTATTGCGGCTGAGGCTACTAAGGCTATGGCCGACGCGGCCGGCGATTATTGAATTGACTTGTCTCCTCTACAATCAATCAGAATCCTGGGCTTTTCGGGGACTGGCGCAATCTGTACTACAAAAACATGACAACGTCCAGTGTCGTGTTCTGAGTTGCGTTTGATGATGGTAATACACGGTGGTCAGGGAGAGAGATTGAGCACGCAATCTTGAGCTCTCCGCGCTACGAAGGCAGTTGGAAGAAGTCAGGAAACGGAAACAGGCAAGGACATGACGGTGCGGAATTCACCTGCGCAGGATCTGCATGGTTGTTAGGTGCAATCCTTGCGAAGAAGCTCGCTGAGAGCTTGCTGAGCGCTGAGGTCGACGTCGACGAGATGTGGTGCTGTGTCGCTGGAGACAGGCCCGACTAGACCTGTTCAACCGCGACAGATCGTTTCTTGGTCCCTGTCGTCCAGGAGTGGATCGGGTCAGGATAGCAATTCCACGAACACGCTTAGATAGCTAGCTAGCTGGTCACATCCACCAGCCGACTTGACAAGCTCACATACAATCCAGATGGGGAGTTCATTCAGATATTCTGCGTTCTTCTTGTCCTCTATTTCACCCCTCGAATCCGACCGGCTTTCCTGACGTCTCTTCGACTCTCGGATGTTGTTGTTCATCGCTACATCGTCTCGTTATGCTCACAACCTCCCCCTCGAAAACAACAGTCTGGCAGCTCCACACCTCCTGCCTGGGGTAGGAAGCTGTGGTGTGGTGAGATGGAAGCAAAGGAAACTTTCGCCGACGCCTCAAAGAATCTGTAGCCTTTCGAAAGCTCTTCTCCTATGTCCTATGTACCGAGGACCGGTGTAGTAATATACAGCTGACGCGTCCATGCAACCAGCAAAGGTGTCAAAACAAGTCAGGTCAGATCTCTCTTTTCTTCTTCTTTTATCTTTTCGCTTTGAGCACCGAACAAACCTACCTCCGTCCATCGAGATAAGATTCCATTACTCCATGAACCCTAGCACACACCAGCATCCGGGACAAGGAAAATCAGCGGGGATGAAACCAGCCATAAGTCCGCAAAACAGACAGTCGGGCTCAGACATCGCTCAACACAGACGCAAGCCCAAGCCGGCGCTCACAAAGCCTCAATGCACTTGACCAGCACGTCGAGTCCGCGGTCTTGCACCTCTTCTCCCTTCAGGATGCGTGCAAGATCGCTCAAGATGCCCAACGGCACCTCCTTCTCTTCGTCCTTCTCGCTCCCATCCTTTGCATGGGTCTTGCCACCATGAACGCTCTTGACCCTCTGCTTTCGCGCCATGAGGTTCGAAATCTCCCATTCCTTGGCCGCTTCTTCCGCCCGTTCAATGATCTGGTTCGAGATTCCACACATGCTGGCGCAGTGCATACCGAAAGATCCCTCGGCGGTGCCCTCCTCCAACTTGTAGAGGAAAGTCACCCGTCGATCAGCGTCATCCACAAGAATCTTCATCCTCTTGGGCGCTATTTCTGGATGATGCGCAAACTCCGAAGAGAGCGAGTGATAATGGGTGGCAAAGAAACCCAAGCAGCCCACATGTGTAGCGAGGTGATGCAGCACAGCCTGTGCGACTGCCACACCGTCGTGTGAAGACGTACCTCTTCCCAACTCATCCAAGATGACAAGGCTGCGTGGTGTAGCTTCGCTGAGAATTTTCTTTGTCTCTGCCAGCTCCACGAAAAAAGTTGATTGTGCGGCAAAAATATGGTCCTGAGCCCCTAGGCGGGACATGATTCGGTCAAACGGGGTGAGACGAGCCGACGCACAGGGGAGGTAGCAGCCGATTTGAGCCATGATTACCGCGATACAGGTCATTCGAAGGACGGTGGATTTACCTGCTGCATTCGCACCTGTCAGGAGGGTGAGGTTTGGGGAGCCGCCTCCCAACACGATGTCGTTGGGAATGAAGTCGTCGACTCTGCTCAAAAGGCACGGATGCCGCAGATCAACGAGTTCCAACGTCGACCGGCCCCCGTCATCATTGTCAGACGGGTCGACGAATTCAGGGCGACAGCTCGGGTGTCCCAAAGACGTGCTCGCCTTCGCAAGGGAGATCAAACAGTCCAGTTGCGCGATGATCTTGACCGCCGCGAGCCATATATCGTAGTTTTCGTCGAACTTGGCGTAAAGTTTGCGGGATACATCCTTGACGATCTGGGAGTGTGTTTCTTGTGCTTCTTGCAGATTCCGCACCAGGGTCCGTAGTTCAGGAAAGTAGTATCGTTTCACGCTCGAGGTGGCCGACATTTGATCCCAACCGGTGGGCACAGCGGTGCGAGCAGGCACTTCCATTTGCATTATTTCCTTGCCGTTGTCGCGGTAGCAAATGGCATTAGACTTGAGCGCTGAACGCCATTTGCGGAGAAGGTCATCAAATTTCCTATTGATGGCATCAATGGTGTCCTGCGACTTGTCGAACTCTTCTTCGATCCCGCGCTCGGGCACCAGGATGCCAGATTCCTTTGCCTTGACGCGGTCAAATGCATCGTGCCAATATTTGAGACGGGGCTGGAGATCCGGCATGGCCGAGATGAGTTGGCCGATGACACCTTCGCCGTGTGATGCTTGCCCTGTACCATCGCGCAACAAGGATATGGTGTGGTCAATCTGCTCGAACCCTTCAAGGACTCTGACGAAGTCTTGAACTTTGCAGGTTCCGGCGTGTACACGAGATATCAACCTCTCAAGATCGGGCATTTTTGTCATTTGCGAAGTGAAACGGTCCCGGACTTTGACATCAGCGTTGAGCGAGTCAACGGCGTCCAGGCGTGCATTGATCTTTTTCGTGTCCATGAGTGGATGACACACCCATTGTTTGAATAAGCGTTTGCCGAATGGCGTAATACAGCGGTTGAGGAGCTGGAAGAGCGTGCCCTCGCTTCCACCGTCATAGGAGTTGGCAAAGACTTCCAGATTGATCAAGGTCTGACCATCAAGGACCAGGCTCGTCGCTTTGCGGATGGGATCGTACCATGTAAAGTTACCAATTGTCACGAGCTCTCGCTCGATCTTCAAAGATCGCAGATACTGGATCAAAGCACCGAGGGCAGACATGAGGAGCTCCTTTTCTTTCACCTGTTGCAGTAGTTCAGGCCACTCATTGGGGAAGTAGCTCTCGGCTTCGATCTCTTTGGCAGTGATATGACCTTCCCAGAATTCTTTGCCAGGTTTCAAGTAGTTCCAGATAGTCGTTGGGCTGGTGTTGTTCTTAAGTATGCGCAACGTCTTCGTTGTCACACCACCCTTTTCGAGCAGAATCTCTTGGGGTCTTGTCTGAGCAATGAATGTCTCAAACTTGGTCAGATCTGCATCGTCGACAAACTCTGATATATTGAATTGACCAGTGGCGGTGTCGACAAACGCCACACCAAACGCAGGCATGTCATCGACCTCGGATTCCTTGATTGCCACGCAATACGTCGACATGTCGTCCTGGAGCATTGCGCCGTCGACCAATGTGCCAGCTGTTAGCACACAGGCCAGTTCTCTTTTGATGACTTTGTCTTCTTTGCTCTTCTTGCCGGCAAATCCACTGGACTTTTCCTCCCGCTCACGCATGTCTTTACCCAGAGCAGTCTCTTGCTGGTCAACTCGAGCAATCTTGAACCCCTTTGCAACGAATTGATTTGCCCAGAGTTCCAAACTCGACTCTGGAACGCCCACCATTCTCATGTTTACACGGTCGGTCAACTTCAGATCGAACAATTGATGACCAATCGTCGCATCGTTCTCATAGAGTTCATAGAATTTGCCTTTCTTGAAAAATACAATCGTGTCCCAGAACTTCTGCTTGATTTCCCAGTACTGCTTCTCGAACGGAGAGAATTTCGTCCACGCCATAGGTGGAATGTACAGGGTGCGTGGGTCGTAGTCAGGATGGCCAGGTGGATTACGGTCCATATCTCTGATATCCTCGAGCCACGCGTGGCGTTTTTCTGGCTCGGTCATGTGGGCTTTCTGTTTCTTTCCGCTCGGCTGCTTGGATGGAATGTTGGTAGGTCGTGGTTGCAAAGGCTGAGGGTTTTCGGGATCGTACGTCCACTGCTGAGCAGTCGAAGTGCCCTCAGGAACCTCCAGGTCGGCACCGACCTCGACTTGAGGCGCTGCAGGAGTGGCATGAGACGACGCAGTTCGGGAAGTGTTTTTGGACGCCCGCTTGCGCTTAGCAGGCCGGCGTACTTCATCTTCAGAGTCATCGGGAACAATGAAGTCATCCATTTCTGCCTTGTTAGCACAAACTCATCTTAGGGAGAGCAATGCATGTACCATCTTCCGGCTCCGCCTCATTCTCCTGTTCGTAGACGTCCTCGTCCGCACTATCGGACACACGTCTGCGTTTTGTAGGTCGAGAGCGGCGACCAGGGGTGGGCTTGAAAACGTCGTCACCATCAGTGCCTTCGCTATCGGACTCGAGATAGTTGATCTTCTTGGTTTTGGCCTGTTATCCCAATGGTTAGTTCGACGCGGTCACAGACGCCTGGATCTCTCACCCTTCGTGAAGGTGTCCCGGAGGCTGTCAGCTCCTCCCTGCCATTAGTCTGCTCATCGTCAGCTGAGACTGGCGATGGCAGACCTTTGGAAGGAGGAAGGCTCGCCTTGGGGATATTGTCCTCATCTTCCGGTTCCAATGCATCACTGCTAGGAACAGGAGTCAGGGAACTTGAAGACGTGCCAACAGATTTGGTGCGAGCCTTCGATGGAACAGGCGTCTCAACTGCTGATCGAGAAGGCAATCGGGCTGGCGAGGCGGTCGAGGGCGTCTTCTGGAAGAAGCCCAAGAGAGTCTTCTGTCCACCCGAAGAAGAGGATTTCTTCAAAGCAGGGGTAGAAGAAGGTGTCGAGACAGTCTTCGGTGCCATGGTTATGAGGCAACGAGAACCTGTAGGCCTCTCGGCAGAGACAAAAGATACTATTAGTTGCTGGACGGATTGATTGAAGCGCGAAGAAACCCAAAAATGTTGGAGTGATGCGACCGCGTGGAGAGACACCAAGTCGCTAGCGCGTCAAACGCCGACGCGTAAAGTAACAGCCCGGCGAGTGCCTTAGTACGAGTACGCGGCCCCTCGCTCGTCAGCCTCGTCCTTATCTGGAGTGGCTTCAGGAGTCGATCATTTGGTGCTATTGAATATACACGTTGCCTGGATGCAGGACGTTCTGTTGTTACATCTACCGCCACGACGCCTTCAAGACCGTTGCCTCATCACCCACGCCTCCTTGTTCGGGTCTAACTGTCAGATCCGGAGATTCTTTGCTCTCTGGGACTCCCTCCCAACCCGGGCATGTCAACCCAAGCTCTGCATATTCGTCGTCTGGGACGATGTTGACAATCTTGATCTTCCACTTTCCCGTTCGAAGAATCAGCAGTTTGTCGTCGATGATCCATTTTTGCACTTCTTTCCAGTCGGACGTCTTAACAGGTGTAAAGCTGAGGCTATCATCCATTTCATTTCTTGCGTCAGCGGCCCCTCCTACGTACGCTCCTCCAGCATTGATAAGTCGCTGGCCCTCTGTTTTCGACGTCACCATGCCTGCCGACCAGAGAATATTACTCATAGGTTTCTGGGAAACGAGGCTTCGTGGGAGTTTGATGTGAGTGGAGGCGTTGTCTTCACGTCGCAAGGGCTGGGCATGCTTGTTCAACGAAGGGTGTGCAAACAGTGGCGTCCCAGAGGAATGCGTGTCAGTCGTTTGCGTCTCCGCAAGACTCGCCTTCATATCGCCGAGGCTAATGGTTTTCTTGAAAAGTTGGCGATGTTCACTTTCGGCCTTTTTTGCAGCATCTAGCCCGTAGATGAGCTCCACAAACTCTTGGGCGAGTTTATGTTGTGCCACACGTTTTGACTGGTCCTTTTCGTGTTCTCTCATGACCTCACTGATCTCGGACAAGGGCAAGAAAGTCAACAACTTGAGGTATTTTTCGACGTCTGAGTCTGAAGACCGCAGAAAGAACTTTGACTAGTGTCAGCCTTGTCGAGGTTCACGGAAGCTACAAGGCCATACCTGGTATAGATCGAAGATGCTGGTCATTTCTGGATTGAGCCAGACGGCGTTACCAGCGCTTTTTCCGAACTTTTCTCCCGAGGCCGTGGTCAGGAGAGGGACAGTGAATCCCATTGGATCAGAATTGACCTCAATGCCGCGCTTTGAATCGAGGAGCTGAGTCTGCCGCAAGGCAACCTGATACTCGTGCGAGTCTTTGGCAATTTGCTTCACGGCTTCGGCACCCGCAAGAATATTTCCAAACTGATCCGCACCGCCAATTTGCAGCTGGCAACCTGACTGAAAGAGGTGCCACCAGTCCCATGCCTGGACCAACGGATAGCTGAATTCGGCGAAGGACATTCCATCCCCTTTCTCCAATCTATTTTTCACTCTAAGAAACCCCATTGTCAGCGGCCAAGGAATGTGTGGGAGATTCACCATGAATGAAATGCTCACGTGTCTCGACCCAGCATTGGACCTATACGGATATGTCGACCGAGGATGGACAGAAATTCTCTTGCTGTGACTTTGGACCACCATGTGACATTGTTCTCGAGAGCTCTGCGCCAGGCCCATTCCCGCGTATATCCCTTCCGTACGGCGTATGTTTCGATCGAAGCGCCCAGCCTTTTCAGTTGAATATGCATGGCTGCCATGTTGGCCTTCCTCTGAGAGGGAGACATGATTTCTCTGCCTTTCAAACGGCCCGTAGGATCGCCAATGCTAGCGGTAAATCCCCCCAACTGATGTAAGTCAGCACCTCCTGACCAAAGGCCAATGTGGATGGCTTGACTTACAATGAAATTGGCCTTGTAACCATGGATATAGAGCCAACCCAAGACCATAAAAGGGACCATATGACCAACGTGCAAAGAAGGGGCGGTAGGGTCTATGCCAGCATATACCCCGACTCGACGATGGGTGAGCAGCTTGTCCAGATCTTCTCTTGTGCTACGAGCCGTCAACGGGACGTCTTTGATCCTGCCTCCGAGATTCTTACCCAACAATCTGGTTGATGTATCCCCGCTCCTCAAGTATGGTAAGCATCGACTTCATGTTGCCCTTTTCGATCTCTTGGGCTTTTGCACGCCATTCTTCTTCCGCCTCTTGGATTCGTCGGACATGGGCTTGGGTGATCCATCTTTGCTGAGACGCGGGGGTTGGGACGAGATTCCGCTCGCGAAGGTGACGGCGACAGCTTTGGCAAACGTAGAGGGAGCGACGAGCTGTCCGGAGGGGGATTGGCGTCTTCATGAGGCTCTGTTCCCACGCAGTTTCGATGCCGGCGCAACGGATTGAGTTGACTTGCGCAGGAAAAAGTCATGGCTCGGGGACGGAGCTTCGGCGCAGAGGCCGCCGACCAACGACCCGCCAATCATCAAGCAGCAACAAGCAGCCGCCCTAGAAATCAAACACGTCCTTCTCGCAGTTCTTCTTCCTTTTCGAGTAGTATCGATACATGCCACATTCAGAATCCGTGAACCGTGACACATGACCGCGTCCAGTCACGGTGGAGCTGGTCGGATACCAGTTGATATGGCCCAAAAGATCAAATCCGAAGCTAAAGCACAAGGGTGATGTGCGTATGCGTCCATGCTGCCAACTCACCCTCTGACACACGTTCTACGAAACCTTGTCCTACACAGGCAATGAGTCTCCTTCCGCCAGCGCTACCTTGATATGTGGTCGTGGCCATCATTGCCGGGAGTCAAGATTGGCTTTGCGGAAGACGAGATATTGTCAAGAGCCATGGCAGGGAAGAGAATAGACTGTTGGTTCGAGATACACTCTGGATCACATGGGATCGGGATTGGCCGATATACAGTGCCGCACATAGGCACCGATATGTGGACAGCAATTGTCTATTCGTTGGCGGACTGACCGAATCGGTCGCTGACGAGCAAGTCGGTGAGATTCATCCGAACGACCTTTTGAGGCCTATCCCGTTCAAGTGCCTACGTATGCTGAGTACATACTCTACATAGGTGTAGAGAGCGGGTGACTTGTCCAGTAGGTGGCTTCTCTCCGACTACCACTTGTACCGTTCTGCGCAATTCATCTCTTCCAAATTCCCTGACCCTGACATCGTCCATCAACTAATCCTCCATCTGATCTTCCCCTCGTGGTCTGACAATGGCCCCCTCTACGGAGTACAGAGTACAGGCTCTCGTCTGTGGCCCCAACCTCCACTTTTGGTGCTCGCTTCGAGCTCTCCGCAAAGCCGCACCATCACACCGACTGACCCCTTGTTTAACCACCGAATCCTTTGCGCTCTCTCCTTCCCGAACTGGGTTAACCAGCGACCTGTCCCAGACACAATGAAGATCGCTGCTTGTTAATAACGTAATGCCATCCACGATCCCCATGCACGCCCATCACGTCGATTCGGATCCTTCTACGCCTGTTGCGCATCATCTGGCTCCAGACCTCGAATCCGGGGCCATCCTGCCCGTACTAGCCCATGAACTATCCAGGATCCCTGACTACAACGTGCATTGCTCCCGGAGTCGTGCTCCCTGAGCTCCCTCTGGTGCGTCCAGACTTCAAATAGCCCCGCCGTTTGAACTCTGCCCCGGCTCAGGTTCTGCCAATATGTTAGGCCTCGTCCCAACTCATAACTTCCTCAGTCTCTTCGCACTCGAGACCACGACGTCAACCGCCGCGCGATGCGTTTACGACGGCGACTCGACTCCATCACTACATTTTGACGAGATATTGCTCATCACTATCGTCAATACTCCCGTCATGTCAAGAATCTCTTGCCCCGAAAGACACCAACACCCTGCGACGTGATGAGCAACAATTACTACACGGGCAAATTTGACACAACTACTATAATCGTCACCATCACCTCGGCGCTGTCTTTATACAATGCATTAGAGCTAATCCTGCTGATTTTCACAACCTTTGCCGTCTACCGTGGCCTCTATTTCTGGTCGCTGCTTGTAGCAACAACGGGGCTGGTTCCTTACGTTGTCGGGCTCATCCTGCTCTACTTCCAAGTGACCGCCAGTGTCGCTGGCCTAGTCATCAACAGTGAGTCCACTGCCGTTCGGCGTGAGGGATTTTCTCCATCTAGGTTGTTTTGTCTCATCGACTTGCACTGGCTGACGGATTTACAGACTATGGTTGGTGGACGGCCATCACAGGCCAGAGTGTGGTGTTATACTCCCGACTGGGAATTGTCCTTGGAAAAGGCAACGACCGCATCCTGAAGTACGTCAAATGGATGATCATCATTGACGCGATTTGCTTCCATACAACAACAACGGTGGTCGTCTTCGGCTCTTACTATGCCTCGCCACCCGCTCAGGCGCCCTTCTCTCGCGCCTACACGTACGTGGAAAAGATCCAGATGACTGGCTTCTGCATTCAGGAATTCATCATCTCGGGCCTCTACCTCTGGAAGGCGATGGATATAGTCAAGGCCCAAGCTCAGCCCACCGCCTCCTCCATAAACACATCTGAGCAGAAGAAAAAGAAACGTGTCCACCGGGTGATGTGGCAGCTGTTCATCATCAACATTGTCATCATCTTTTTGGACATCGCTCTACTGGTCATTGAATACAGGAACCTGCACATACCCGAGATTGCGTTCAAAGGATTCTGCTACTCGGTCAAACTGAAACTCGAATTCGCGGTCCTCAGCAAGCTGGTAGAGGTGGCAGGCATCAAGAACCCCAGGACAGTGAGCCTGACCATTACTTTCGATCTCACTTCCAATGACAGGACCGATAGCCTGCCTACCGTGAACGGAAACGCGGACCTCCCCCTCGACCCAGGCCACAGATCGGTTACCTCGAAGCTGGGCCGCCTGTCCGGAACAGACAGTGCATTGCCACCCGAGTGGGCGGACGTGCTCAAGCAGAGCCCTCCTAGGCACATCGACGATGTGGAGATGGACGCTGAGAAGGCGCGGCAACAGAGCTCGTCGTCGACATTTGACGCAATCGAACGCGGACCAAGCAACATCTCGACTCTCGTCCCAGGTAGTGTGTCCGAATACCCCCACCATCGGCGCGTCAGGAGAGATTCTGACCTTCTCTACGCGGATGCCATCCGGGAGATGGCACGGAAAGGGCCGGGATGAACAGGGGGCACCATCTTGTTTTGGGACTTCCCTTTGCTCCCTCACCTACCGCTCCTTGGAGGACAGGGAGTGGGTGGCTATCTGTCCCTCCCCCGCAGATTCATTAAATGTTTGAGTCTGGCACTGGCTCAAGCGTTCCAGATGGGGAAAGGGATTCCCGGAGCCACCATCAGTTCCTGGGTTGGTGACGCCATTCGATATCGAATATGGCGGTCAGGGCACCTGCCGCTCTCAGCTCATGCCTTTTGCGCCCTGAAGAGCAACCATCGGACGGGCGCGATACATGCGACTCTCAAGATGAGTGGGCCAGCAATCCATCCAATCTCCAGAGTTGCTATTCAAATTTGTTTTCAAGTCCTCACCAAACGTTCGAGAATGGCCGAAAGACTAATCCTCAGATTCTCAGCTTTTGGACTTGCTCCCCCGTGATGGAGAAGCCTAGATGTCAATTTTGCACAAAACACACGGACAGTCTGAACTGCTTCGATTCTTGGAGCCTGGCCAGCTATTATAACAGCGAGTGAGATGTCCTCCGCCTCGGGAGTGAAGGACGGCCAACACATCACCTTTCGGAGGGCAGTGCTAATGAGAAGTAAAACTGCTAGCAACTGATTCATGTAGTCCTCCACGACCGACTCTGATACGTACTTGGTCCGGAAAGAAGGGGGCAATTTTGTCTCCAAAGCTACCGCCGATGGAAATGGATTGGATTATACTAGAAATGCATAGCGGTCAACTTGAGTGGCGAGTTGAAATCACTCTTATGCGCTGCTCAGATCCAAATCGGCAATACTGTACAAGTCCTTTCCAACCCAATTCCCTGGACCCAACAATTATAGCCAGGACGGGAGATCTAGAACAGCTCGACATTATCGTGAGCGATCCAAGGATTCCGAAGTCCGGATCTCCAACATCTGTTCAACCTCGTCAAGGTAGCATGTCCATGCTGGCGGGCCACTCGGGCAGCTCGGCGCTCCAATTCTGAGCCAGCTCGCTTCCGTAGAGGAAACGGTCCCAGTTCAGACTCGACTCTGGCATGGAGAATTGGAACGCCTCGTCTGTGCCAAAGTCGCCGCCGGCACTAACACCGGCACCGGCGTCCGCAGCAATATTGGCTTCCAAGTCCCAGGTAGAAGAAGGCAAGCACATTGGCTCAAGCGGATCGGGATAATCCGTTCCAATGCCCTCGTCGGAAGCTGGCTCGGATGCGCTCTGAGATGCCATGTGTAGCTCTGCGCCCAATCCCGGAGTCGGGACGCCATTACTTTGCGGGACGTTGGCCCTGCCATTGAATCCGTGGTGCAGATGACTCGGCGGCCTCAGCTCGAGGTGAATCGCTCCGAAGTACGGGAGCACCACGGTCCGGCGCTTGACATCGGCTCTGTGGACACAGTTGACGTCTTCGTACAAGAACGAGCCTAGTTCCTTCAACACTCTCAGCCCCTGTCTACTGATGCCGCCGCCCTGCTGGGTCGCGCGATACCGGAAGACATCCTTGATCTCCTCGATGAGAGCGAGATCCTCGCCGACATTTCCCACGCCATTGGGCTCCAGCTCGGGTGGAGACTGCGAACAGTATGACAAGCGCATCAGCAGGCCTACCATGAGTATACACGCGCTGAACAGACCCTGGAAGTCCTCGCAGCTGCAGATATAGACGGCGAGCGAAGGGTCGGAGCGGAGCAGGTTGAAAGCTCGGAGCATGCCGCGACAGCCTTGCAGACAGAGGTATTTGTTCACCTCGTATGGATCCCCTACATTGCCGTTGTGGATATTGTCGCAGTCTGGGCTGTGGGCACCAAGGTTGGGGTTGTTGACTTTCAGCATAAAGGGCAGATGGAGGAAGGTCTGGACCTGCCAGAACCACATCTGCGCTATCAGATGTTCATGCGCCAGAAACGGATCGGGAGTCTCCAGGTGTGATTCCACGTCCCACCAGCCCGGAGGCATGGCTGCTGCTACTTCGTTCAATGTCGCTTGGATGTCCATTGTGGTCTGGAGTTTGACTCGGTCTGAATCAGAACTTGCGTTGCGGTCATTCACCCGGCCTGCGGCGATAGACACCACCCGCCTGAAAGCGCGCATCTTGATATCCACTGACACCGACCCTCCGCCCTGACTGGCTGTCTGACCCCTCAACACGGCCATCGCCAGATGATCTGTAAATTTGACGTCCTCTGCGTGCGGGAAGCCCAGGACCATGCTCATGAGCCGGTCCAGCTCCATGATCGAGCCGAGAAAGCGTTGCCGGTGGAAGAGCTTCGTCAGCTCCCGCCCACACAGCTCTGGTGCATACTGGGCCACGTCGATTGGCATCTTCGGCTCCGCGAACCCGGTATCCTTGGCGTATTCCAAAGCTCTGCGGATGCACAACCAGGACTTGCGCAGTTGATTGCTCTCGGCGTACATCTTGGCACGTATCATCAGGAGCAACAGCATGCCAGGGTCAGCCGTATGCTTGTGCGGGGACGTGGGGCAGAGAACAATTGTATCCACGGCCAGCACGATTCGGTCGGCGAGTTCGGAAGGAGACGTGGAGATGTTCAACTTGCGGTCGTCTATTCCAGGGCGAAGTTGGTAGAGGGACAGTGCAACGCACAGGAGGCCTGTGGCAAGTGACACGGGCTCTTGTGAGCGAGACAATTTAGTGAGCACGAATTCCCGGAAGGACGGGGGGTCCCCGGAATGGGTCGTCGGACGAGATTCTGCCACTGGACCCGGTCTTGTTGAAGAGAACGAAGAGGCATTAACTCCTGTTTCCATGCTAGGCATTCCTTGGGCTTGTGTTTGCCGCTCGTCATCTCTCAAAAAGGGAGAGACTTCCTGCAGCGCCGCCGCCTGGTCTCTCCATGCAATCCACCATTTCACGGAAATATCCAGGACCTTGAGCACATACGGTTCGGAGGAGATAGTCGAGAGCAATTTTTCGGCATCGGTGGCAGCAGAGTTGTTGGAGGTGTCGGAGAAGTTCATAAATTCAATCCTTTCGGCCAGGACTGAGGAAACACACGCTGTGCTCTGGGTAAACATCTCATTGTTGAACAGCTGTGAAAGCAAGGGACTGAGTGTCCTGCAATGCTCCTCCGAAGTCATCGCGGATGTGATACAGGCGCCTCCCGTTCCATTTGTGCTTATTGATTCCTGAGGTTGCTGCTGAGTTGGGAGGAATGGGTGAGAATTGATCGTGGTCGAAGCTCGTATTCCATTTCCCATCTCCTGTTCCAGCAAAACCTGTGGTTGGATCCGTGTAGAGGCATTGCCTCGTTCATCATAGGTGAAGTGACTGTTCGGGTTTCCACCTCCGAAATCCAGGTCGAAGTTCAAGGCATTGGCAAATACACTTCCATTGTTAAAGCCAAGTTCTGCATCTAGGTCGAGGCCCGGATTAAAGTCGTGTCCATCGAATAGGTTCGATGCCGACACAAGTTCTGCAGAACTACCCGGGAAATTGAACGTGTTTCTCTGTGTCTGTTCAGAGGCGCTGGTTGGCACTCCGTCGTGCTCGCGCTCCTTTTGCCGCTCTTGGGCAAGCCGTGCTACTACGGACTCCATCCTATCCACATGGATCTTCACACGCGGGTATTCCTCATCGTTGGGATGACTTGTCGAGGATTGCATCTCGCGGCGCCTCTTGTAAATTCTCGGCTGACGGCTGCTTGGTTTCATGGGCGTAGCCACATCTGTGGGTTCTCGAGACGTGCCTAAGGCGACGTAGCCTTGGATCTGGCAGTTACGGTTGTGTTTCTTGCATTGGATGCATTTTCTCTCCTCTGCAGCACTTGCCACGTCCGTAACTTGTGCGGGAGACGAAGGCGGGGTGGGCGGGTAGTTGCATTTTATCTTTCGACGACGGCCTTGGTAATGAATGTGTGTTAGACTGGTTTTCACCTTCGTACTTGGGGTGCAGGATTCGACAAACGAATGTTCAGCCTAGAGGATGGGGAAAGTGAAAGACTGAAAGAGAAGAGAGATAGAAGATTTGGACGGAGGAGAACCACCTTGTCTAAGTCAGGGCCTGAAATGGTTGAGAGTTGAGAGACTTGAGGCCGAGTCCAAGCTGGATCACCTTGTCTTTTCCTCCATTCTGCCTTCCGCATTCTCCACAAGGTTCTGAGCATAGACGTCGTGCAATGCTTGCCCGAAGAAGACCAACCTTCTATCATCGAAGGAAATGGAACAGGGGCGGAAGCTCAGGCAGAGAAATGAAACTCAAGTGGAATATAGCCATGGATCAAAACTGACAAAAGTCGTCTGAAGAACCAGAATACGTACATTCTTGACACGACTTGGTGCCCTTCCTCATCTGCCTAAGAGGGGGGGTAGTGTTCCCTTCTTCTAGGCCATTTTGAATGGTGGCTGACGTCTCGGCCAACATTTCTTTCTGCTTTGGCTCTGATGGCTATGACTGGCGGCTTGTCACCTCCAAGGTCGAGTTCGGTGATGGCGGCAATGGGTGTTCAGCCAGAACGGATGCACAGAACATAAAGACACTAGATGACCTGGATTTGAGAATACGAGAAGTGGGATTGACCTGATAGAGGACGATTCCACAAGCGCTGTTCAGAAATGGAGAGAACATGCCATACCATGCAATGATGGAATACAATCGAACAAGGAGCCTGAGCAGGCGGAAGCCTTGGCCAAGGCTTTGTCCGGGCCGGAGCCTCGCCTGATCATTGACGTCTGCATTATTAAGCGGAATTCTTGGCATTGTCTGCATACAAGTAGACACCCACACACCCTGACACCCTGACACCACAGAGGACTGTCGTCAACACCGACATCAACATCAAACATTATGCTATCTCTTCGACGCTCAGCTTTCCTCAATCGATAAAAGCCTCGTCATACTCCTCGTGTCTGGGACCATCATCTCTATCGCTCCCACTCTCATCGCCATCATGCTTCCTTGTCCTATCTCCCCACCTGCTTCGATTCCGACTTTGACTCCGACTTCCATTGCCTCCGAGACTCTTGCTGCGACTTTTGCTCTTACTCCTCGTCCGTCTCTCATCTCTCCACTTGCCTCTTCTCTCCCCCCTTCTCCGGTTCTCACTCTTCTTGACTTCGTCAACATCGATCTCCGGATGCATCCGTCGTAAGTGTTCGTAGAGTTTCTTGCCTTTGGAGAAAGGCAGTCTCGTTCGTGGGCATGATGGGACGGGGCAGAGGATTTGGTGCTCTGGGTCCTCATTTGATTCACTGTCAGCATCAATGTCGGTAAAGGCACTGTGGGCGCTGATACTGGCACTTCGCGAGCCTCGCCCACTCTTGATCGCCTGTGAACCACTTGTCTGCCCGTGTACTCTTTCCAAGTGCCGTTGAAGATGCCATCCTTTTCGAAATGGGATCTTATGTCTCGGACAAGCTCGATGGGGACATGTTCGCCCATTTTTGACCACATCTACTTGGATTCCAGAACATGCATTCCCCGTCTCTTGGCAGTTCCTGCACGTTCTCGATGTTCCAGGTTCACTGTCCGCGGGCTGGCATTCGGCTTTCGTAGCTTGACACCTTTCGCACGGTCTGGAGGTGCGACTGGCTAGACGCCCTTCTTCGTTGGACTCTGTCTCTCCTTCTTCAATCCGGGATGGCGATTGGCTCTCGGGCTCATCGGCAAGGTCTTCCGTAAAGTGCGATTCACTCCCATCCTTGCCCGTTCCCTCGTTGAATGTGCGGAATAGCATGTTCTCGCCAAATAGCTTCGCGCATCGTCGACTTGCACGTTCCACAACTGAAGGGTCCCAACCGGTCAGGTTAGCCATGCCAATAACGTCGCTCCAGTCCCGCAAGCCGAGATTCTCGACCCTTCGCGACCGTGCGCCGGATGCGGCGGACGTGACGGATACGCTCGAGATGTCGGTATGTGCGGACGACGAACGTACCCTCTGCCTTGCGGCAGGACGTGAACCGCTTCTTCCTCGAGTGATATCACTCGTGTCGTCCTCCGGGCTGTGAGAATGCTTTCCCCTTCGTTTGCTTCGCGGCTTTCCTGCGTAGGCGTATCTCGCCTTGTGAAGACCAAGCAGTAAGTCATCGACTTTGCTGAGGATATGTCGCGCACTGGGAAGAAAGTATTCGCGCGACTTTTCGTCGTCCACCAGTGGAACAGGGCGTCGCTCCGTGTCGGTGGTATCACTATCGCTTTCCTCCATGCCCGAGACGGCAGCCTGCTCCGCATCGTCGTCGTAGAAGGAAAACGCCTGGGAGTAGAACACCGGTTCTTCTGTAGCTTCCGGCGAGTGCACGCTCTCTGCTTCTTCCACTGCTTCTTGGTCCTCGCTCGCGGGGACTTCTCCGGGCGTGTCCACTACATCATCTCTGTGGTCGACTCTCATGTCCCTCTGCGACGAACCCGCCGGTGATGGGTCTTCCCACTGTCTTGCGTTCCATCGCTCTCTAGCAATCTTCGTGGCAGTCGCAACCAACCACTCTTCAAGATTGGCACTGGGCCGGGACTCAACCTCCATGCGATATTCGTCGTCCCCCTCCATTCTGGGCAGTAATTCTTCGCGAGGAACCTGGTCAGCAGGCATGGGCCAAGCCGTCCAGGATTTGGCGAGGCCATATCTCTTCCCTCTGCTATGACGTCCCTGCTGGCTTGCCTCGTCATCAAAGCTGCCCGTAGTGGAGGGGACCGACGAGGCTCTTTCCTTGCCCTTCTTACTCCGCTTTGCCTCCCCACCACCCTGTTGCTGCAGCTTGCGTTTCACCCCGAACGCGTTGAAGAGGTGGATGCTGAGGTCCTGACTGCGTACACGATCCAAGCTCAGGGCCACGGTCCTTTCCACCTTCGTCCAGGAATTCCATGTTGACGCGGGGCCGAAGTAGCGGTTAGGGCGGGTGAAGTATGTTTTCCCGTCTTCCCCTCGTGCAAACGGGCTGTCTGGAATCACGAACGGGACGGTCCGTGAACCCATCGGATCCCCTGCTGGTGAGGTGCTGATGTCCAGGGCATCGGGAGCTGTTCGTGGAGGGGGCGACGATGGAAGGACTCGATCAGGCGACGGTTCTTTGTTCTCTGCGTCCTCCACATCACTGGTCTCTGAATCCATTTCGATGCCGTTGAAGAGTGATCATCGCCAAAGTTCCAAGCTGGCGTCGTTCCAGGGACGATTTCCGGCATGAGGTTGCAGATTGCCTTGCTCACAAAGTAGAGAGCGAGGAGCGCGAGGTTAGGGAGAGAAAGGCCTTGACCTTGTGACCATCTGCCAGATGGGTCAAAAAGCCACTTTACATAGACTTCGTCTTTCCTTTGATGTGTTAGCCGTGGTTGCTGAGACTTTGTATTTGAGACAAAAAACGGAGGATGTAATGACGAGTCGGGAAGGGCAACTTTGAAGGTTTCAAATTACATCTACGAAGCATATGCCGTGAAGGATGAAAAAGAGAAGAGAGTCCACGCTTTGCAGCATTATCCGTAGGTGAAATGTCTTGCTGGGTTTTACACCTGATCTGATCACAGTGTGCAAATTGAAGAGCCCATTTTGTCTTCTCTCAACGCCATGCCAGGGTATCTCGTATCTAATCACCATATCATATATCTACCAGTTTCCCATCCTAGTCTCGCAAGAACATTTTGTATGTGGCATTGTCCGTGCACTCTTTGAACGGATATCCAATATCCTTCAAGAAATCCTCCAGCTGATCCCTCTCATGCTCGGGACACTGAATCCCAGCAAGTATCCTGCCCACATCCCCGCCATAATTCCGATAGTGGAAGAGCGTTATGCTCTGACCCGGTCGCATTGTCCTCAGGAACCTGAATAGCGCTCCCGGTCGCTCCGGGAATTCAAACATATATAACCTCTCATCCTTGACGCCGGACCGTCCACCAACAAGGTACCGAATATGAGTCTTGGCAAGTTCATCCTCAGACAGGTCTTTTGCAGTCATACCTTCAGCTCCAAGCCGCGAAAAGAGTGAGTCAAGTTCTCGCGCCCTTGCACCAGCTGAAGAGACCGTGATGCCCATCATCACGTGTGCTTCATCGGTGTTTGAATATCTGTATCCAAATTCTGTGACAGCTTGGGGGAGGACGGCCTCAACGAGTTGGGCAAATGAGCCTGGGCGTTCTGGAATAGTGACTGTCAGGAGAGCCTCTTTCTGCTCACCCAGAGTCGCGCGTTCGGCGACAAATCTTAGCCGATCAAAATTCATGTTGGCGCCGCTGGCAACCGCGACCAATTCTCGGCTGGTATCTGTGTCTGGGTTCTGGGCGACCCATTTCTTCAGGCCTGCTAGCGACAGCGCTCCGGCTGGCTCCAGGATCGACCTTGTATCTTCAAAGACGTCCTTGATAGCGGCACAAATCTCATCGGTGCTGACCTCGATAACTTCGTCCACCACTTCTTGACAAAGTCTAAACGTCTCTTCTCCGACAGTCTTCACAGCGGCACCGTCGGCGAAGAGGCCGACTTCTCGAAGCAACACTCGCTTGCCCTGCTTCAGAGATTCGACTAGTGCGTTGGCGTCAGAGGCCTCCACGCCAATGATCTTGACCTGAGGGGCTATTCTTTTCACATACACCCCAATACCCGCTATCAACCCGCCGCCGCCGACGCAGCAGAAGATAGCCTTGAGCTTTTGCAATGATGTCTGCCTCAACAATTCCATACCTATAGTACCTTGTCCTGCAATGACATATGGATCATCAAATGGTGGAATATTGGTCAAACCGTACTGTTTCTCCAGGGCATGACAGTGCTCTTTTGCCGAGTCAAAGTCGGGACCATGTAGCACGACGTTCCCGCCCATGCGGCTCACGTTCATATGTTTAATGGCCGGCGTGCCCTGTGGCATGACAATGGTTGCAGGGATCTTCAGGTGTCTGGCAGAGTAAGCTACGCCTTGAGCATGGTTCCCTGCCGAGCAAGCAATGACGCCTTTCCATGAGATCTTGGGTGGAAGGTGGGCCATTTTGTTGTATGCGCCTCGCAGCTTAAAGGAGAAGACTGGCAGCAGGTCCTCTCTTTTCAGGAGGACTTTGCATTCGAGGCGGTTGGAGAGGTTGACGGCATGGCTCAGAGGGCTTTCGCTGACCACGTCGTAGACTCGAGAAGTGAGGATCAGACGCAAGTAGTCCGGATAGCCTGTGGGCAGGAGGAAATCTCGAGGGACGTCGTAGGTAGGAATGTCTGCTCGTTCGGAAGGGGGCGTGGGCATGGCGGTGTACTCAGTCAAAGCGAGGCCCGAACGCTTGGGCGTCGAGGGAGTGGTCGTCCCATTGACGTGAGGGTCGGCGGCGTCCATGGTGACGTCCAGCGATATCTATAGCACTTGGGTACCTATGAAGGGGCTGAGAACTGTCGAAGCGTGCACTGTAGCAATAATCCGTGCTGTACGTTAGCGAAGAGTGGGATTTTCAATGTCGCCCAAAAAATTTACGGAGCTCTCCTCCCCGCATTCCGCCTTTCTCATGAAGGTTAGAAGATCTCGTGCTTTCAACAGCTTCAAGGTCCGAGCAAAGCACACTATCACCTGTTTGCTCTCTCTGTTCATTCCTACAGCTCATTTGCTGCGAGTTTGGCGAGCACTCAGCCGACTGCAGCGACATTTGATTGTGGCAAGCAAGAGGAAGGTCTGGGCCGAGAACTGTGCATCTAAACTCCCTTAATTCGAGCCCGCACGCGAGCACATCTTCCCGTTCTTGCTTGCAGATCCACGTACGTCACGACTTGAACTTTGACTTCTTTCGACTTGTGCAACACAACATAGCAGCTCAACTGCTATCAACGCCATTGCAGCGGACAAATTCATCAGAGAAGAGGGCAACATAATCGTTACCCTAGACTCTGCGGCAGACCTCACAATGTCCGACGATCCATCTACATCGGCCGGGCCATCACCCCTCTCCGCCACCACTATCCCATCCAGCTTCGATTCGTCGCCTGAATTCTTCGAGGAATCCCGCTTTCAAAAGCTCTGGCGCAAAATACGTCAAGAACCGCTAATCCCCCTGGGCTGCGTGGCGACATGCTACGCCCTGTATATGGCGACCAAATCCATCCGCGCAGGCGACCATCATCAAACTAACCGGATGTTCCGCGCCAGAATCTACGCGCAGGGTTTCACGTTGCTGGCTGTCGTGGCGGGCAGTATCTTTTACAAGGATGAGAGGATGAGGAGGAAGGAGTTCGAGTCGAAACTGGAGGAGAAGAAGACCGCGGAGAAGAGGGAGAAGTGGTTGGCGGAGCTCGAGGCCAGGGACCAGGAAGATAAGGAGTGGAGGGAAAAGATCGAGAAGGCGAGTCGAATCGCGAAAGATACGAGCGAGGATATCAGGGACAAGGCGGACAAAATGATTGAAGGTGGAAACGAGGGGCTGCAGAAGGCCCAGGAACAATTGACCTCCCCCGAAGCGGCTGGAGCAGGAGACAAGAAGAAGAGCGGTTGGGCTATCTGGAATAAGAGCGTGCTGGAGGAAGTGAATGAAGATGGGTGGGGTCCCGGTATGTGGGCGAAGAGAACAAGGGATGCTTGGAAGAGGCTTTGAGGCCGTCATCCGATGTGTTCGGGCAAGCGGTTCTGGATGAGAGTTCACAACATGTCGCCACTCTTCTTTTGACAGGTTCATTGTAAAAAGTGAAACATATCTGCGGGGTATAACTATGAACAAGATCTTCAAGTTGCAATGCCTGCACCCTTGGCTCTCAACCGTGTCTGTGTGAGCTCCAGCTGTTTCCGAGTCTGGAATGTCTGCTTGCTGCCCTTCGTGAAGCAACATCCCATCTCGACCGACAAAGAAGTTTCAAAGCTGCTGGTGATTGTACCCAATCCTTTATTCCGTCTCAAATGAGAGCAAAGCATCGGACTTTAAATCGCTTCCGCGTATGTGCATGGGCTCAGATCTTGCCAGCCGTGGCATTTCCGACTGTCGTGGTTTGGCCATATCGTCAAAGTGGCTCTCTCGAGCCTTGGAGTGATCGATTCCGCCTCAAAGGATACGTGGCACGTATTTCTCCATGTCCCTTCCGGCAACGGTAGGTCATGTGCAAATAGTTCGTTTGCCACGTTCGCCCACGACTCCTTGTGTGAATATCATCTCTTCGCTCAACCTCTTCCTCGCGCGGGGCCCATCTCTTCCACACCCCTCCTGACGCCGTCCCACTCCGCCTTCCCGGTACTGATCAGATACCTAATCCTCTCAATTTCTCGCACGTCTTTGTTCCGCGTGAATTCACCCTTCGCATACGCAATGCTCTCTCCCCTTTGAGGCTGTGACATGTGCCGGTACAAAGAGCGCAGGATGTCGCGGTAAAGGGAGAGAACACGTTGGCGCTGGATAAAGTGGTCGAGAGAAAGGGGTGGAGACTTCCGGAAACGCGACGACGACGGGGTAGAGGACCTGATGGCCTTGCTGGAGGGGTTCGTGGCGGCGGTAGAAGCAAAGCGGACGAAATTTAGGCGCATATGGGGAATACGATGGAGTTTGAGGGATTTGAAGCGGACTCAAATTATCGCGCGGGAGGTTGGTAAGAAGGAAAAGGGGGAACGATGCGGGAATCACGAAGCAAGCGCGTTGCTCGTACTTTGTCGCAGCGATGCAGCAGCAAAGGAACATTTGAACGGCGCAGATTTTGTGTTCCGCCAATGGAACCTCTTCCGGCTACAAATGACGTCATCCTAGAAATATCTCAGCCTCGTGAGTTCTCTCTCGTCAACACAGAAGATCAAGATGAGCCGATCTATCACATATGGCTGGAACCATAGAACCTCTTTTGATACTGTGGCCATTGTGTTTCTGTCCCATATTTGCCTCGCAAATAACTGCCCAACATATGGCCCTACAGCCTCCTCAACCCTGCTTTGTATGCTCCGAAAGAAACCGAGCTCCCAGTTCCCTCAAAGCCTATTCCTCCGGCACCGATTGCAAGCTTGGATTCGACATTGGATGCATTCGAAGATGTAATTGGGCAGGTCATCGAAGCACTCCTCGCAGTGGTGTCGCCCGCGAATGTATCGCCAGCTAGTATGTGTGCAGTTGTGCCTATTCCTTAGCATATTTGCCGCATCACGGAGCGCCCTCTCCATCAGCCCGGGATTGTCATTGGCCATATTGGGGCGTTCGCGGTTGACGATAGTGTTTGCTCGTGCAAGTAATCTGTCCTCGTTCCATTGATCACAGCCACATTGTTTCCACCGAACGCCGCAGACGTAGCAGAATTGTGCACCGCATCGACACCTTTAATTGGGTTAGCTACGCAATTCTGGAAAGAGAGAAGAACACTCACGTTATGTGATTGCAGCCTACATCAAGTTCTATCAGGCGATCACATCCGTAGCATCTCTGCCACCCACTCTGAGTGGCGAGACTGAGCGTGGCCTGCAATTCAGGATCTTCTGGACAGTGGCCGTCGTGAGCTGGCTTTTTGCAGATGTTGCAGGTCATGGTACCACACTTTCCACAGGTTGCTCTATCGCCTTCAATGTTGCCGGGAGTGATAAAGGCGGAACATGTCTCTTGACAGCAATAGGTGCGATTTCGAGTACCAAATTCAACTTTGGCGTGTTCAAATTGGTCTCGAAGTTCCTTGGTTAGGAAGATGTTGACTCCGCCCATCTCGAAAGGCTCACGGCAGCAACGCGGCGGGAACAACGATTCGTCTTTGGTGGCCAAATCGACAAGTTCTTGCAAACATGGTTTGCAATAGTTGTGGCCGCAGGGCACCTCGATCACGTCAAAGTACTTCTTGACCTCATGGCAAGCAATGCATCGGAGGTTGTACGTATCATGGAGTCCCTGATCACGAGCAGACCGTTTCATAGAACTCTCAGGCTGACCATTCTCGTCTGTATCACGCCCTGTGCTGAATTTTGTGCCTTTGAACAGCTCATGGCCGACGTCCTCTGATACATAAAGTCCGGCAAGTCTCGCAAGGGTTTTCTGGCCGAGCTCACTGGACTGGAGGTGGACTTCGGATGTGACGTTGGTTCCGTTCAGACGGTGTGCAAGAGTGTGGTCTTCACAAGCGACTTCTTCCTCATGAATAACGTCGGCAATAACCTCAGCGTCCGCCCGTACAGCGTCGGCGATGCTCTGGGTCATTTGTCGGTCGGACAAGACTGAGCGTATACTTTCAAGATTCTCTTCAAATAGGGAGAGGGCTACTTGAGCATCGATGAGCGCGCCATCCCGATTCTTGTCTTTGGAGCTTGTACGAAGGTCTTCAATGTCCTCGAGCTGAAGCTTAAGAATAAGATCAGCTGTCTCTAGGTCTAGGTTGTTGAATGGAGCAGTGTACTCAGCCATCTTGTAAAGGATCACTAGACTTAGCTGTGGCAAAAGAAGGAAGAGGTACGCATGGAATGAGGATGGTAGATGAACTTGCGTACATACGAAATTTCTTAACGAAGCACCTTTGTTTGCCAAGGGCAGCCCCATAGCATGAAAATCATATCATCCCACGGCGGACTGCATATAGGCACCCTCTAAGGCCTTGCATTGCATAGCGCTGCAGGTTATATCGGTGGACAAAGAACTTCACTTGGTAGTAATGTCGGTATTCAAAGGAGGGTGATGGCTGCGACCAAGAGCATTCTCATAGCCTTGGATAGGAGTGTTAAGACGTAGGACGTCTGAGATTATTGCATTTTGGCTTCGTTGAATTGACGATGAAAGTCGTTTGATCCTGGTGACAACAAATATCGGCCACGCCATTGATTGCCAGTTCAAACTTGGTTGCTATACGTATCTTCCGCGGAAGCAGGCTCCATGCTGCAGCCTTCCGAATCGCAATGGATATTCCGCCACAGCGGCAAGAAGTCGGATAGCTAGAGGACAGGCATCGGACAACATCGTCAAGTTAGTGAGGATTTCTGGATAGCAGGATGATTCGACCACATCGACCACAGTCAAACTCGACATTAATGGGAGGCATCCTTCGCTTGCTATTTCAGCTTTTTTGATGTTCCAGCAAAAGACCGAACCGAATCTGAGTATTCAACAATCGGACACTCTTTCCCCGGATGTGATTGTCCAGAAGCCCCGATAGCGGCAAGTATGCAAGTCCATCGGCATGGCATAAAGCCCTCAACAGATGGCTGGATGTTGAAGTCTCCGTTCAAGGGGATACGCAAGTATCCGTGGCCGAGCAAACACTGATTCCCTTTGTAAGTTGACATGGTTGGCTATAAACCCAATACCATTTTCACAGCCAAACCCTCAGGTAAAAGTGGTACATGAACCAATTGGAGACCTACAGACTGCCCCTTGATTCAACATCAGACGGATATACTCATATTTGTGCTTTGTTGGCTCCTGATTTCCGTAAGGCTCGGAAGGATCTCGCGCCTTGGGCTTGAATCTCTCGGCAATGCAACCTGCGCAGATTCCCAGGAGCGAGGCCGAGGAACCAAGCTTTAGCCAGCAGCTGCAGGGTGGACCGTGGAACGTGGAGGTTAGTCATTCTTGCAGGCATCTTCTCACATTGCGAGATTGAGTCCTCCAATCATGCCAGGCTCGGCAGCTGCGGCTGGTAACCTGGATAGTCGAAGGGACGACAGGGAGATAAGTCGGACACAAAGGAGCAAAAGGCCTCATAACATGAAATATTGGCCCTGCTTGACTTGCAGGATCTCGTCTGTTAGCAACATGAAGATTAACATCTGACTGGCGAGATAAAAGACAATGAATACCCTTTGGTCAACGTCTGTGGTGTTTAAGCCAGAGTTGAGCCTGGTTGAACGGGGGGTTGCAGAAGTGCCCTGCTTCACCTGGTTATCAAGCCTCTCAACACGAGGGACCTTGCAGGAACTTTGAAGGCAAGGAAGGCAAGCTAGGCAAACAGCCAGGCAGCGGGCGATGCATGAAATCTGGGGTGATTGGTGATGGTCGGGGACTGGGGGATGGCGTGACTGGTGAGTGGACGCTGCTCTGGTTGCTTCTGCTTGGAGGTGGCTGGTGTCTTTTCTTCTGCCGTAGAATTTTCGTTGCAGCAGCGAGATCAGCTGAAGAGATCGGAGGATGAGGAGAGGCAGCAGGCCACGCAGGCGCAGATAAGAATGGGCAAGAGGGGCACGCCGGACCAGGGGCAAGCCTAAGGGTCAAATGACGCAACAAATTGCCGGGGGGGTTGTTCTTTAGGGGGTGTGGCCTCTCGCCTAAGCACCTCCTCGCCGCCTGTGCCGCCTACCACCACTCAGTCACCACTCGTATAGGCTGCAGGGAACCAACGAGCACCAACTCCAACACTCGAAAAGAATAATCAACCCTCGCATGTGCCAGCTGAACCACTCACTAGACCTGGTCTATCTCGTGCAATCCCCATCTTGTTCCTATCCTCCCAAATCACGCAGCCCGCCGCCTAACAAAGTCCCCAGTTCCTTGTGCCCTGGTGGGTCATTGGGCTGCAATATGATCTCAACTCTCAGAGCGGCCTCGGCCTTGTCCTGCTGATTTCCCTCGAGGCAATTCTTCAAATACTCGTACACCGGCAGTTCTAGCTCCCATTCTCTTCTCACTTCGACTCCACCAACCCACCATGTCTTCCCACGACGATTATGCTCCACGTCCACGCCGAGACCGTGGTCGATACGACGCAGACGGCGGTCTTCGCTACCCAGATGACGATGACTATGCCGACCCTCGAAAGTCGGCTCCCCGCCATCCTCGTTACGAATCATCCCCTACACCAATTGACCCTCGTGACGGACCACGACGCAAGAGAGACGCGGATCCTCGAGACGTCGAGCCTAAAGCCGCTCGTGATGTGAAGGACGACCCTCCTCGATATCGCGAAGATGGCGATCCTAAACCGGGCAAATCCAACACTGCTGCACCAAGGAGAAGACGAAGCTTTGACGATGACGACGCAGCTCGTCGGGACCCAAGAAATGGAAGCGGGAATGGGCCCGCCTACGGGCGATCCAAAGGATACCGCGAACCCATCCCGGAACCCGACGTCGTTGCTGCTGACCGCGACAATCATAAACCTCGACCAGCGAGGCACAGAGACTATGACGATGATTTTGAACCGCCTCCGCCTCGTCGCGCCAATACCCAGAGAGAGCCAGACCGTCGCCGTCGAGACGATCCTCCCTACGACGACGAGCCACCTCGGCCCCGTCGTCACCGCAGTCCAGAAGACAGACACTCCGATCGGGACCGAGGATATCGCTCTGATCCTCGAGATGCTCCAAGACACAGAAAGGATGATGATCGTTATGATGACCGCAGACACCGTTCCGGTGGTGGCTCCCGTCGCGACGATGGCTACGCGTCAGACCGAGGCCGTTCTGACCGAGACAGGATGAGAGATCGTGATCGAGACCGAGACCGAGACTATCGTGACCGCGACCGCGACCGCGAGCGAGACAGAGACCGAGATCGCAGGCGCTACGACTCTGACCGCGAAAGAGATCGTCACCGAGACCGGGACCGGGATCGTGACCGCGACAGAGATCGTCACGACAGTCGAGACCGTGACCGTGACCGAAGGGACAAGAAAAAGGGATTTTCACTCGACAACATCAACGATCTAGTCGAGCAAGGCCAGAAACATTACAAGACTCTGGCGCCGGTGATCACCAGCCTCACCAAGATGTACATGGACAACAAGAAATGAATGAGAGAGTACGGTGCTCACGATGGCGGGTTGTGAGTCTGAATTAAGACTGGGCAGGTAGAGAACGAATTCGCTTTTTGGTTATGCAACTGCAGTGGGCGGAGAGAAGGCATGTGCCGGGAGGCAGAGTCACACTGAGAGGGGAGAAGCAGGCCTGGATTCCCTCTGAGCTCTGATGATCAATCACGACGGACGCTGAACAATGCTGCATGACTATGAAGAGAAGAGGTGCGACTTCTACGACTGTGATTACTGGGCTCGGGTATTGCTTACTTTGGGCACTGAAATGTATGACTAGGGCTATTTTGCTGTACTTTGTGGTGCGGCTGCTGGGTGGGCAGTTATGGGAACGACCAACAGCGTGGATAAGTTTATGGGTGGGTGGACGACTTGGGATGGTACAGTCTGTGTTATTGTTCAACTGCAATCACCTCAATAGCAATGCCAATATCAATATCTCCTTCCAGTGACGTTGGGATCCTGTCCAACCCTATCCTCAAACAATTTCCTCGGACTACTGGCCAATTGTCTGGTTGACTGGCTCGATGTCTGGTTCACTAACTGACTAACTGACTGAGCAGTAGCGACTGACGGACTGACTGATCGATTGACTGGGGTTCGAAATACGATCTCCTCTCACCTATAAAAAGCTCACTTGCAACCACGCCCTTGGGGATCGGGATCCTCTTCTGACACCGGGATTTCACACCGTCAAATACTCCAGAGGCTGGCCGTTTCTCTTTCATCAACCCGCCACCCCCTCTAAAGGTCTATGCGAGGCCCTTTCTTGTGTCAGACGAGGCCGACCAAAAGGGCGTGCATGTTCACCCCGGGCCCATTCCACTCCATGGCCTAAGCTTTGACGACATGGAAGCCCGAGAAATGGGGCAGCACAGCCCGGATCTCCTTGACGTACTCCGGGATGCCGCCCGCATAGTTGACCTGCTCGAACGCCTTGCCTGGAACACTCCCACCCATGTCTGGTAAGGGACGAAGGATCATAGGTTAGCCGTGTTTGCTCATAGATTTTCCCCCAACAGGTTAGAAAGGGGAATGCGCCAGGAGGGATAGGACGAGGAGAGACTCACATGTACTCCTCGTGGTTGGCAGCAATGTCCTGTCACTCAGCTCGTTAATGTGGTCCTTCCACTTCTGGCTCGCTTCTTGAGTGGCGTTGATGTATTTCAGACCCTGGCGGTCAATGTCTTTGATGGCGTCGCGGATCCAGCGACCTTGGACTTCGACGGCGGAGGGCCCGTTGGAGAGGAGGGTCGGGCCGTGGGGACCTGTGTCAAAGGGACGTCAGTTCATGGGTGGGTCATTTACAAAATCTCGTCCCAGAAGATAAGAATGGCAGAAGGGTCGCTCGGATTCTCAGGCGCGGAATAGACGTTGTTTCTTATCCACGGTCGCGGAACTCACCGTAGAGATGGAACATATTCGGGTATCCAGAGATGGTTGTTCCCAGATAAGTGTAGGCTGCTTCCTTCCATTCGTCATGCAACGTGGTGCCGTTGATCGACTTCAATCCCATATTTGTCATTCCTCCCGTGGTAATATCAAAGCCCGTCGCGAGGGCAATGATGTCAAATTCATGGACTTTGCCGTCGCTGGTCTTGATACCCGTCTCCGTAAACTCCTGAATCTTGTTGCCGGACTTTTCGGAGATGTCGACAATGTTCACATTGTCACTGTCCAGAACTTCGTAGTAATTTTGTTCGAGGCAAGGTCGCTTGACGCCGAATGGGTGTGGGGGTTCCACGGGGCAGAGGAGAGCGCGTTTCTCAGGGTTCTTGATGCGGGTCTCCTGCTTCTTACGCCAGAAGTCGTAGACGCAGCGGTTCGCCTTCAAGTCAAAGAGGTAGTCCTTGTGGGAGCCTAGCCACAGACCGAAGCCTGCCCTCTTCCACATTTTTTCATAGACGGCCTCACGCTCTTCGGGGCTGTCTTCGAAGGTGTTGCGCTCCTCAAACTCGTACGTAAAACCTGCAAAGTTCTTCTCGCGCATGCGAAGGAGGTCGTCGTAAGCCGGATATAAAGCTTCTTGCTCCTCTTTAGTCATGTCGCGTTTGCCCATGGGCAATGCCAGGTTAGGTGTCCTCTGGAAGACGGTCAATTTTTCGACTTGAGGTCCCCATTCTTGGATAATCTGAACTCCAGAAGCACCGGTGCCGATAACAGCAACTTTCTTGCCGCGAGCGTCAACGCCTTCAGGGGGCCAGAATGAGGAGTGGTGCATAATCCCCTTAAATTTTTCCATGCTGGGATAGTCGGGAATATATCTCTTGGCTGCGAACCCGGCGGCAATGATCAAGAATCTGCATTTGGCGTTGCGGCCATCGGCAGTCTTGATGCTCCATTTCCCAGAGTCTGTGTCAAACTCTGCATTCGTGACAACACTTTCGAAGGCGCAGTCTTTGCTCAGTTCGCAGACCTTGTCCACGTGGTCAAAATACGCTTGAAGCTCATTCCAATCTGGGTAGTTGGTCGTCCAGGTCCAGGTCTTGTATACCTCTGGGATGGCTAGTTGGTAGATGGGAACCTCGGAATCGACCCGGGCACCTTAGGACAGGTCAACGGAGTCGTTGATATGCTGTTGAGACCCAAAGGCTCTTACCTGGGTAAACGTTCCATCTCCACGTACCTCCAAACGAGGTACCTGCTTCATACAGAACGGTCTTGAAGCCTGCCTTACGCATCTCATACAGGAGATACGTACCCCCGAAACCTGCACCAATGATCAATACATCGACGTCAAGGTTGTCCGAATAGGGCCCGTCGGTTCTGCGTCGCCGGCCGAATTCATAGAGATCTCTCTTCAAGATGCGTTCAGGCAGTTCCTTGGGCTCGGATGGGTCTCCCATTTTGATTACGTATGACTGTAGATAGGTGGGAACGGATAGGCAGATGAACTGGGGTGACGGCAACCAGGTAGATTCAGTGCTCGAATGTTGTTGCGATCCTTATATATGCAAAGCCCCGCCGTCCCAAGGCGCTTGAGACCCGGTGAAATGGATGTAGCAGCTTCTCCTCCTTTGCTCGCATGCTGTAAGCATGCAGAGACCACATCCTAGTACTTGGGCCCATCCCTCCTCAATGGTCGAAGCGGAACCGCGAAAGGGGGAGTCGTTTGATTTGGTGCTGGTCACGCTCTGCAAATCCCCGCTTCCCCTCAAATACCCACTCTGCGGACCAGATGGGATTGAGGAATCTGGGGTCAGCAATGGATTCCGCATATCTGAGAAGGTGATTGGGAACCTAGATATTGGGCTGGGGTTGTGATGCAGGAAGCTCAGGCTTGACGATGGTTTGGGGACCAATATCCTCGGCTAACTCCACGCTCAAAAGGGCCTAAAGACTTCCCATGGACCGATGTATGGCTCGTATTTGTTCTTATCAGGCGACAGGAACTTGTCCTTAAACGTTGGCATTGAGGGGGTTCAAGTGCCAGTGGTGCGGTGACTCTCCTGACCATCGAGTAAGGATAGCCGACTCGTCGAGTGTAACAACCCATTATCCTGAGACAGGGCAAGGATGGGACGATCAGTCAAGCCAGAAGCTTCAACGCGCCAATGCGTCGATTCCCGAATGAGGCGTAAGGTTTTTGGCTCTGCTCAAAGAGGCTTACTTGAAATAGGACTTAGGGGACTGGCAGAAGGGTTGTCGACGTCGTCCTGGCTGTGACGCTTTCTCCACAACAGTATGGAAAGTCACTTCAGTTCATGCCGCGTGGAGGAGCTTTGGTCAAGAACAACAGTCGGTGTGTTGGGTGCGAAGCGAGCGAGAGCTGGGGCAAGTGGACTTGCCGTAGCGTGATTAGGGTGAAATAGTAGTAGCTTTCATGTAAAGCCAGGAACAACAGTCCTTGGATAGATAGACATTGCGACGAGCTGTAATCGGTCTCTGGGGTGAGGATGCGTGGTTGTGGAGGATCGCAGCACCAGCTCACCGTCAACGAGATGGAGATTGGCATTTCGTCAGCGGCGCCCTCTATAACTGTTTGACCACTTACCAATCACCACCTGAGCGCTTCCACCGCCTCGCGCCAGCCAACCTGCATCAACGATGTCCTTCAATCACAGGAGTTATATTGTACACCTCTCCTTCTTCTATAGAAGATGCTTAACAACGCTTTCCCACGATCAGGATGACGCGTCGCAAGGGCAGGCCCTCACCACCGCCATCCTCAGTCTCCAAGAGTCCAGTGTCTTTTGAGATCCCCGCCTCGCTACATCATTTCTCTACCCTGTCACGCTCACTTGCTGCGACGATGGCGACAGGCACGGGGACCTCCTATCACCCTTCGTCGAAATCTACATCGACACCCCAGGTGTCGACCAAACCCACCCCTGCGAAAACGCTGTCGCAACCCAGGCCGAATTCCCAATCCGCCTTGCACTCTCCCTCGTCGTTCTCTACCACTCCTCGTGCAGGCCAATACCCTACTAACAAGGCCAATCCTCTGAAACGCTCTTTCTCAGAGTCTCAACATGATTCTCGATCCGACCACCGACCACCATCTTCGAAGGCGACGTCAAGGGCTACAAAGCAGTCTAATACTCTTCCCCAAGCCCTCGCAGAAGCCACAGGTGCTGTTGCGGTATCCAGTTCTCTCTCTCTGCAAACGCCGCATCTACACATTTCGACGTCTACTCCAGCCGAGGAGCCTCCGCTCAGACCAGGGGAAAAGCTCGTGTTAGCGACACATCCGAACTTGATAGCGCAGTTGATCGCCAGGAAAAGAGCGGAAAATGAGAAGCTAGGTATTCGGGAGCGATGGGCTCGCAAACAGCAGGAATATCGAATGTTGCAGTCTTCAGCTACTCAATCGGCGAATGAGCTTAGTCCTCAAGTCGATCACAGGAAAATACCACAAGCCTCTCCCGAGAGCAGCTCAACACCCCCCCTTGCACGATCTCCGTCGGCCATACCAACACTGGAACCCGCGACCTCGAATATGTTGGACGCACAAACTCCAGCGGCTGAGTCCCCCTCAACGTCAGCGACAGAAGACTCAATAAAACCAGCTGAAAATACCAGTGAGCCACGTCCATCGAAAGACAATGACTCGTTCTTTGAATCTCCTTTCTCCTCGCCAATTGTCGAGTTCCTTGAAAAGGCAACGGAAAATGCAGGGTTGAAAGAACCGCTGAAACATGACGGAGCGATGTCCACAAATACCGTCAGCACGGTCGCAGCATCACCCGTGTCTCATCCTGAGAGCGCTGCAAAGCCCTCAAGCTCTACGTTAACAACCAACAAATTCCAAGAAGCGTCTGCGATACCTCCGCTCTTTTCAGATAAGCCTTTGACGAACCAGTCGCAATCTCAGCCTTTCCGCAAGAACTCAACGCAGAGTCCATCAGTGAATATGCACCAGCAACCTCAGACGGATTCATTGGCTCCAGGCCAAGCTCAAGTGTCTCAACAACAACAAAGAGGAGGACCACCACACTTGGCGCCTCGCCAGCTGCCAGCACCGAGACCCATACCATTCTATCCGCAGAATGCGGGCATGCCAGGCTTCTATAGAGTAGAAATGACCCAGAGCTGGCCAGGCCGCAGCAGCAACTTTGCGGCGACTCCCGTATCAGCAGTTTCGTCAACGCATACTTATGAACAACAGATTTTGTCCCCGAGCATGGCCTATAGCCCCTATGGAGTAGGTTCGATGGCGTCATATGTTGTGGGACCGGAACTTCCACCACCTCCTGGTCCCCTTCACACCTATGGAAGCACGATGGCGCCGGCGGCCACAGGACAGAGAAGAGAGCATTTACTCAATACGGGGCACATAACCGCGGCAGATATAGTCGCCGGGATTAATACAAAGTTCAAAATTGCGACGAAGGATGACTTCGCTGTTCCGAAGCGATAGTGAAAGTCCATCGAGGGATGTCGCTTGCGAATCGCCGTCATTCGTATACCTGAAAATCAGGCTTGCTTGAAAAAGAGTTGGGTAGAAGATACCCTCAAAGAAAAGCAAAATGTTTCGACTTGTTGATCAGCCACCCGAGGCGATAATGATGAACGAATGACACTACAGAGTCTACGAAGTTACCGTGCCGTTTGATGTATTGCTTCCTGGCGTCCGGCTCGCTCTCGGGCATCAAGATGGCCACAGGAAGGCAGCGTTCAGTTAGGTTTGCACAGCTTATGTTGTTGCACGAAGAAAGACCGAAACCGCAAAATTGTACAGTATAACGATATCATGACATTGGGAACGTAGGCGAAATATATGGTACATAGGTGTTCAAGGATGTTGTATTGCTCTTTTCCAACCTGGCCGGCGGAAACCAGACTGCCGCAGTCAGCCAACCCCAGAGAAATCAGCTGTACACTTAGAAAGCACGGGTCAGGAATATGATTTTTTTGGTCGAGCTTTGTTGGTTCCGGCGCATCCCTTGCGCGGGCTCTAGTACTTTACCTTCCCCGAGCTAGGAGAAGGTGATGGGCTTCTTTGTCAAGCCTGATATCAAATCCTCCACGAGATCTCGCTTGCGTTTCTTCCTTTGGTCGGCCTCGTCCAGGACCAGAGCAGCCTTGCCATTGCTCGGCTCAGCCCTGGTAGATCCTTGTTCTCCTTCAGCCTCGTCCTCGTCTGTCTGAGGAGGCATCCATGAGCAGATCCTCCCGTCCCCATGGGCCGTGTACATCTCCACTCCCTCCCCCACGGGAGCGTTAACCCGCCAGACCATCGCGTTGATTCGTCCTCCACTAGTCAGTCTCGCGACGTTGCTTCCGCTGCCGCCCCCAGCCGTACCACCCGGGCCGCCTTTTCTGCTGCCCCTCTTCGCGCTGGCGCGCTGCGCGTCGGACACCCTGATCCCTTCCGTCTTGAGAATCCTGACCAAATTGCCCTCTCTCAGGTGGTGCTGGAACACCATGCCCCTGCCGTCGTCGTTCGGCCACCATAGCATCTCCTTCCCCACGCCGTGATATCCCCGTGGAGAGATCAAAGGTCTCAGTTCGCCTTGCCTCTCGTTCCTGATCCGCGGGCCGTAATGCACCAGGTCGTTGCGGCCCGAAGCGGCGTCCCAGACGCGAATGCGTTGGTCGTGGCCCGTGGTGATGATCTTGTCGCCCATCGGCGACCATTGCACGCTAGTCACGGGACCATTATGCGCGAGGGCGTTGAAGTCTAACAACTCGCGACGAGCTCCTGCCCCGGTGGTGGCAGATACGCCGATCACGCCGACCGCGTCGTCGAGGTCCAAGGAAGCAAAGGCGGCGTTCGCCCGGCGGATGTCGTAGAAGAGCACGCGCCCGTCGGCGGAGCCGGAGGCGAGGATGTGCGACTGCTTGGGGGACCAAGATAGGCTGTAGACGGCGCCGTTGGGCCCGGCGAGAGAGTGCGTGGAGAGACCTGAGCGGAGGTCGAGAAGGCGGATGGCTGGGTGGGCTGTGCCGACGGCGATCAAGGGCGAGGAATCCGGAAGCCGCGAGAGGCAGTGCGTGTAGGGGAGAAAGTCAAGGGAGAAGGTGTGGACGGGCGTAAGAGCGGACGGGGTTATCGACGTGATTTTGAGCGTTTTGTCATAGGACGTTGTGAGAAGGGTGGACGGGGAAGGGTCGAATGGGTAGATTGAGATTGAGGTGAGAGCGTGAGTATGGGAGTCGGGGGTGCTTTTGGACAGTGTTGCCTGAGGGGTGTATTTCGTTATTGCAGTCCCTGAGACGAACGCCGATGATGACGATTCGTGCTCCTCGAGATCCCACAGCCGGATGGAAGAATCCGCCCCTCCTGAAAGGAGATAGCGGCCTTCATTCTCGTCGATGGCAAGGCAATTTACGCCGGCTTGGTGGGCAATATAGGGAGGTAATCCTCCTCCGCTTCCTGGGCCGGCATCATCCTGCTGAGATCCTGGCTCTGTCGTCACCCACACGAAAGTGATGTCTTTCCGATGACCAAGGCTGTGAATCAGGCTCTCGTTATGACTTCGCCTGAAGGACGACGACGAGACCGTGCCGAGGCACCGGCCCAAGCGGAGTTGATTCATGCATCAGCGAGACGCGGACGGCGGTGCTTCCTCGCGACAGCAATAACGTAGAGCCGATAGATGAATGTACTGGAGCTGACCCTGGGGTTGAGATCACTCAGGACGTGATGATCAAGAGGGAGGATTGTGAGTGCGGGATGGCCAAGCAATAAGGCTCCAGAAGCACCAGGATGTGCGGATGTTTTGGTCTGACAGGCATTTCCCCGCATTTCTTGCTCTATGATGCCATTCCCTCGTCGTCTGACGTATTGCCGTTCTAGGAGCTGTCCTTTAAGTCAACTTTATACAGCTGGTGGCCTTGTGACTTGTTTGAGTTGCATTGTAAGAATGTGTTGTCTGGGCGAGTCACCCTTATTGCGCGACTGATCGAGAACGAGCTCACCTGCGACAATGTACGAGTTCAGCCGTAGCAACATTTTGTACTTCGTGTCACGATCAACCCACCGTATCCACTAAGCCCAAAGGCGCAGTTTGCAATTCCGTCGGAGTATTTACGCGGTTGACCTTTTCCTCGAACCACGGCAGAAAATGTTGCTCGAAGATGGTGTTTGAACTGCATATCTGGGGCCCAGCATTCGAGCTTGCTTCTATCGACGCCCAATGCCTAGCTGCGATCATCTACCTGCGCCAATGCCTGCAATCTGACCGCTGGGTGCTGATTCCCTCGAGTGAAGCACGCGTCAGTCCCCTTGGAGAACTTCCTGCCTTGCGCGATGGCGAGACATGGGTCGCTGGCTTCAGCAATATAGTCGACTATCTACGGGATGTCTCTAATGGCGAACAAGACCTTAACAAAGACCTCAATGCCCAGCAACAAGCAGACTGCGCAGCCTTTTCAGCCTTCATTACTTCACGCGGCCAACCTCTCCTCGACCTCAGCCTGTACGTGAGCAGTGACAATTATCTGAATTGCACGAGACAAGCTCTCAGCGATATCTTGACATGGCCAAATAGCTGGACTGTGCCTCATCAATGGCGCGCACAAGCAAAGAAGAGATCGGAACACTTAGGTCTAAGCAGTCTGGACGTGGACAGTGCACAGGAGGAGGAGAACAAGAGAGCGGATGCAGGGTTGACTGCGCACATACCAAAGTCTCTCCGAAAACCCAGGCAAACAGTTACGGGGCTACTAGGCCGGCACCAGCAAAAGAACCGATTTCGATTGGATGCTGTCACCGAAGATTTCTTTGAGCCGCTGAGTGAGATGCTGGGGGAGAAGAATTGGCTTTTTGGCGATCAGCCCAGCAGCGCCGACTGTCTGGCGATTGGCTTTCTGGCCCTGATGCAGACGCCAGCGCTGGAGCATGGATGGCTGCGGGAGTCTCTACAGGCGAAACATGCGAGTCTAGACAAATGGGTGAAGAGTCGGATTGCGGAAGTGTTTGGTCCGCCGGTCGACACCTCTTTGGTTCTGGGGCGGAAGCCAGGGGTTGTTGCCGCCGAGTTGTCATTACCATGGCGAGTACCTGCTTCAAGGAGCTTCCCGCAGCTCTTGCAGGCAGTGTTGGAGGGGTGCATTAGCTCGATCCCTGCCATAGGATCTCTGCATGGGATCTCGGAGATCGGCAATACGCGTGGAACAGGTCGAGAACGATACCGCGAGAAACAATTGCAGCTGGCGAGGCTGCAGCGACAACGAGACGTGTATCTGGGGTTGATGGCGTCGACAGTGACGACGATGGGTGTGGTAGCATGGTTGGTGTATCAAGGCCTACTGCCGGTGCCTCGGTGGGGACGTCCTGCATCCCGGAGACGTGGATTTGGCGAAGCAGGTGCGCTTCTTGGGCTGTGATGAGGGAAAAGGCGATGATATCTGCACAGATTAGAATGACTGCCTAGTCTGGACAGGAGCAGCAATTCGGGACACTGCCCACTTTCCTCTCCAGGAGCCAAACAGTACCGCGAAGGGGATAAGTCGATCAAAAGTGAGGACCTTAAGATGGGCGGACGCCAAGGATACAGCCTTGTCAAATACGTCGATGATGATTCGCTGACTTCGATGGGGGGTGGACGGGTACCTGCCGCTGCAATGCCTGGCGATGGCGACATTGGCCCAACCAGCTGCGCGTGGGGGTCAATCGCTGCAAGCCTCGTCCAATGAACTGCCCTCAGTCTTTCCTCACCTTAAGGTCCTCACTTTTTGTGTCCATATGCTTCTCCCCCTCTGCTTCACTGGCGTCGGCGTCAGCTTCGTCACAGCTGTTGCATCGCAACGGTAGCTTCCTTCCCTCTCCTCCTAGCGGAGCGGGGGTGGGAGAACACTGCTTGGTTCAGTTGCATCTGCGAAAGAACCAGAAAAGATCCCTCGCTGATAGTCTATCTAATCTATTGTATCTCCATCCGTTCCGCCTTGTTAGTCTATGCCTCCCATCCTTCACTCGCGGGATCTGCAGCTGGTGGAGTCCACAAACCTCGTCGCATCTGCCAAAAGTCACTCGACTTTTCCCCAAGCTCGGGGCTTTGCCTGGTAAGGTCTTCTGCTTCATAGAGGGCACAAAACTACAGGTCGCTCACGTATTGTTGATCTAGATTGTTCCAGCCATACCTTGCATACCTTGTGCGGTCCCTCGCAGCTTCAATCCTCGACGCTATACGGTCGCAATCTGCCGCTAGCCGTCCGTGCTCGCTTTTCGCGCCGAAATGTCCAACCTCGAGTCTTTCGTTTATCTGACGGTTCGGCAAGATGACTCTGGAGTGACCCCGGCTTGTGATACGGGGAATGACTACGACGGCCGCATTGGCTTGCGAATAGCCGCGCTCTTCATCATCTGGATCACTTCGTCGATAGGTGCCGCGTTTCCCATCTTTGCAAACCGGCATAGAGGGCTAAAAGTGCCCGACTGGGTGTTTTTCATCTGCAAGTACTTTGGGTCTGGAGTCATTATCGCAACTGCCTTCATCCACCTGCTAGCGCCTGCGAACGACGCCTTAACGAATCCATGTCTTACCGGGCCCATAACAGAATATGACTGGGTCGAAGGTATCGTGCTGATGACCATCTTCGTGCTCTTCTTTGTTGAGTTGATGGTCATGAGATACGGGAACTTTGGCGGAGGGCATAATCACGACCACGACGATGGTGCTCATGCCCATACGCATACTCATTCACACGCTTTGGAGTTGGACAGGTCTACCACCGACACAGAAATGACTGCCGCCCCGAATTCATCGCCCTACAAAGACAATCCCGTTTCCGTGAACATGCCCCTGTCCCCTCGGGTGTCTCGGCCTCAAAGTACGCATGTGCCTGGAGAAGACCACATGGGGCATGCTCGTGAGCATAACGAAATCGAAGAAGCCGCCAGCCCACTAAGCCTTGAAGATTACAAAGCGCAAATGACGGCGATTTTCATCCTCGAATTCGGCATCATCTTTCACAGTGTCTTCATCGGTCTGACCCTTGCTGTGGCTGGCAGCGAGTTCGACACTCTCTTTATCGTCATCATTTTCCATCAGACGTTTGAGGGTCTTGGTCTGGGATCTCGGCTCGCCGTGACGCCGTGGCCGAAAGATCGACGGTGGACCCCCTACGTCTTGGCTTTGGCCTATGGCCTCAGCACCCCTCTGGCTATCGCCATCGGCTTAGGCGTGAGGAAGAGCTACCCCCCTAACTCGGAGACGACGCTCATCGTCAACGGCGTCTTTGACTCGGTGTCTGCCGGCATCCTGATTTACACGGGTTTGGTCGAGTTAATGGCTCACGAGTTTATGTTCAGCAGCTCGATGCGAAAAGCTAGCATCCGAACAGTCATGGCGGCTTTTGTCACCATGTGTCTTGGTGCCGGATTGATGGCACTGCTTGGCAAATGGGCTTAGTGAGCTGGCGTTATGCAATGTTTTAAGAGTGCGGCATTGAACCATGTCAAGGAGGAATGCCGGATCGCGTGTGTACAGAAGGAAAATGGACTAATCTGAGGGATGAATGAATCAATGATACCCCGGAGAAATATATCGATAGAGCTACGATAATCGCGCAATCGAAAAGACAGGCGCCTTTCCATCTCTGTCCGAAAAAGCCTCTTCATTTCGCGCCCAGCGTGATGAGCCACTGAAAGTTTTGATGATGTGGAAGATTGTAGTGATGGAGACGACTGATGACTGGCGACAGGCTGGACTTGAGCATATTGTCCCTAGACTGAGTTAGGATAACCCCTGCGACAGAGGACCGAAAGAGCGGGGCGAGGCGAGGCGAGGCGAGGCGAGGCGGAGCAAGGCTAAAACAGAAAGGGCCGAACAGGGCGAACCATAACTAACCTCACGTCTACGAACGATGGACTTGGGAGAGTTCACTCAACCTACCTCGGGTGACCAGGTTAGGGACCTCGTACATGTCTTATGCACATAGCCAGCTAAAGGTAGCGTACAAGGCCACGCCGGGCTAGAGGGAATAGACAGGCAAGGCTGGACGATGCGGCGGAGGTGCCGCGGACTTAGTGCAGGGACAGAACATGCGTACGTTATATGTATAGTTACCTGTTGTATACCTAGGTATGATCTTCCAGGTAAGTCGCATTAGATCCATTCCCGTAGCACTCTGATCGTGATCATTCGTTCTGCTTCGTTATGTATTCCTGGACGAGCAAATCCAATCCCAATTCCCGTTCGCTGGTTCGCATTATCCAGACAAGACACCCAAGTCATTCCTGGTGCAGCAATAATGAAGAAGAAAAAAACACCTAGAGATTTTTCGCTGGTCGTCGTTGTCTCTTTCCTTTTCCTTTTTTGGGTCCCGTTATTACATGTAACCGCCCCTTCCTGGCCGGACATGGAATCCTCTCGCCATCCCCAGGACACGCTAACTCCCGTCCCTGCTCCAGCAAAAGCCATGGGACACATGTTTTCCCAAGCCCCCTTTTCTCCTTCAGCTCAGCCGTCCCGCGCTAGAATGCCGAATAATCTCCCATTGTCGACTGTGCACGTAGAAATGTCGAGAGCTGGTATGTTTTCGGCACCCGCGCTGATGGCACCAGTATTCCTCGATCCCCGCTGGCTGTATCCCTGCCGGTGCGCACTGCAGTGTGCGGGCGATATGCATCTCGGGCGACAGAGAGGCCCGTGGCAACCGAGTTCGGGGAGAATTTCCGTCTCCACTGTGATGTCGTTGGACGGGAGCCCGCGCATGCCGGCGATTATGAAGGCCGCTTCAACGCAGGGTGTGCTGTTGGCCGTGTTGGCAGACTGGCAGAGTCTTGGCTTGGGTTGGAGGGGAGGGCCACCGTGGAATGGAGGTGAATATGGATTGTGTGCTGTAGACGATAGGTCATCGGGATCCGAAGTCGTAAAGTTCGAATGTGGAGGCGAAGGAAGAGGCGAAGGAATAAAGGCTGAAGTATCGTCTTCCTCTTCGACAAGTGGAGCCCAACTACGTTCTCCTTGAGCTCGGACGTCGGCTGCTGCGATATCATGCACCTTGAGTGTGTCAAGAGGCAGTCCTAAGGCGGCAAGTCGGGGAAGTTGAGTAGGAAATGTGGTTGTCGTCGAATCAGTCGTTTTAGTATTGGTCGGCTTCGCGTGTGTTTCGTGGTCCTGACGAGGTGGTGCTGGATAGCCAACAACAGGAGCGCCATCCGAATATTTCTTACCGTCAAAGACGCGGCTCTTCCTCGTTGGGTCGGTCCGCCTAATCTTCCGTCGTTCGTCAGTGGGAGAACGGTTTTCCCCCTTGTCTTCCTTTGGTGGGACACCGCCCGGACGCGCGGCCAAGGACCTCTGCAGCGCCTCATTCTGCTCCCGCAAAGCCTTAACTTCCTCTCTCAAGGCGCGGTTCTCCTCCGCCACCTTCCGTGCTGCTGCCTGCACTTCTGTCGTGGCTTGCACGCCTTGGGCTTCATACACCCGTATCCGGCGCTCGAGGTCTTGAACGTACACCTGCCGTCGGGCGCGGCAGCGCCTTTGGTTAATCGTGTTGCGTTTAGCCTTGGAGATCTCCGTTGGCGGTGCCGGTCCGGAGGGACTGACTGGGATAGATGGGAGACTGGGGCTGCGCCGAGGTATTGACTCTTGGGTTTTCATCTCAATCCTTGTGTGAGGACTCATTCGTCGTGCCTCTTGATTCATTGGTGGGTCGCTTCTGCTCTCACGTGGAGATTCACGACCAGAGTCCAAAGATAGCCGGTGATCGCTGCCTGGGGAATCAACAGGCCAGAAGGACTCGTCTGCATCTACATGAAGATGGCTCGTGGACACAGTTGTCGCTGGCAGGTCTGGTTGGACGTTGGAGTGTCGTTGGGCGGGCTGAAGCGGCACAAATGATTTTGCGTCATTTTTGACCACCGTAGCCAGCGCACAGGCGACTAAAGCGGCATGTGCCAAGAACCAGTCACCGGCGCGCCTTGATTTGTCCGCTGGATGCTTCCCACAGCATCGGAACGCTTCCACTATGGGCAATCCGTGAGGCACATGTCTACAACTACATGGCTCCCAGAGCGCGAGTCGCCTGTCCCAAGGCGACAGTACCCATCATGAGACGGAATGTTTGTGTCTTAGCGCTTCACTCCTGTCGTATTCGCATCCCTGATGTCTGAGTGCCAAATCTTGAGCCCTGCCCCCCCGATTGCCGACCAATAGATCAGGGACCGTGACACACCGACTGTGTGCATAAGTTCTGAGCACGACACCCCCGAGTTGAACACCGTGCAATCCATTCTGTGCCACTCTAAGATTTCACGTTGATCGCCATCTCCACCTCCTTTGTTTTCAGTAGCGCTTCAAGCTTCCCCCCAAACCACCATGGATGCCGCTACAATCTACCAGGCTGTCAACACCAAGTATTCCGAGGTCGCCTCTCACGCCGAAGAGGTTCGAGCCCAGGCGTCCAAGAGCACTCGCATCGCAGCATCGTTCGGCTATTCGGCCGAGGATCTGGCCTCCCTCCCCACGGGAACGAACCTTGGCCTCTCGTGCGGGAACCCATTGGCGACTGCCAACCTCCAGCCTGCTGAGAACATGGTTGACCTCGGATCCGGAGGTGGCCTTGACTGCCTCATTGCGGCGAAGCAAATGTTGACCGGAAGTCCCTCGCCGAGTGGAAAAATATACGGCGTCGACAGAAGTGAAGCGATGATTGCGTTGGCCACGAAGAACGCAGCCAAAGCCAACCTGCCGGAGGGTCTCGTGGAGTTTATCCAAGCACCAATCTCGGACATTCCCCTTCGAGATTCCACCATCGATCTGGTGGTCAGCAACTGTGTCATCAACCTGGTTCCGGATGAGGACAAGCCCATTGTGTTCAAAGAAATCCACCGCCTCTTGAAGCCGGGCGGAAGAGTCGCAATCAGTGACCTTCTCGCAAAGAAGCCCATGCCAGAGCATATACGACGCGACGCTGCTTTGCTAGTCGGCTGCGTGGCGGGTGCTAGCCTGGTCGAGGAATATCGACGTTGGATGGAGGAAGCGGGGTTTCAGAAGGACAGTATTGCCTTCATCAACACCGAGAAAGACTTGAACGTCTACCACGATGTGGATGGCACCGCACCTTGTTGTATAGAGGACACCGAGTCAAAGAGCTGTTGCGACAAAAGCACAGACAGTGGCTGTTGCGTCGAGAAGAACGGCAGCAAGCCATGCTGCACCACAAACGGTGAGCCTGGCAACAAGATGGACTTCAATGAATGGGTGGCTTCATATCAGATCTATGCCATTAAATGATCGGCAGCCACCTAAGAGAACTTTGCAGGCAGAGTGTGCGCTGCAGAAGGGGTGTTAGTCCAGTCAGCGATCGAGATCGAGGAAAGGTATGATGTAGCCGTGACCACCGTTGAATAGTAATAGCTTTGTAACAACCTCTTCAAGCCTTCTGTTGGGTTCCCGGCCATAACATTGTGTAGTTTCGTGATTGGGGCTGTCGAGTTGGGCCATCTGTTTGACTTTACGCCATGCGAGAATGACCCTGTCAGTCAAGAGACATCAGTGTGCGACATTGCTACAATTTCACCCACTCCAGAATAACTTGCCTCATTCTTTCATGAGGCAGACAACAGGACGCGATGTGGGCAGGAACGAAGTTGGCCAGGCCAGGCCAGGCCAAGGAGGGCGACCACTTAGGTAAGTAAATATTCTGAATCAATGGCATTTGACGCCGATTTGCTAATCGGCGCTTCTCACCGAGACTCTCGAGACCCATTGATTAGTGAATAGGCCTGCGACTCTAGAGTCTATATTATCCCAGCCTATTGCTCAGCATCGAGAAAATTGTGCCTAAAGAGCCAGCGAGAGAGCGCACACTTGAACAAGAAATCAGACCCAGGCAATCACCAAGTCAACAATGCCTCTGTACGATGTCGAACATGTCGCGGCTCTGACGCCAGACCAACAAGAGGCCCTCGCAAAAGCCTTTACGAACCTACACTCCACCCGCTTCAGGACGCCCAAGTTCTTCCTCAACGTCCGCTACACCGACGTCAGCGGGCAGGTCGTGTTCCGCAACGGCAGGAGAGCGGTCTACAACCGCATCATCCTGCGGACGCGAGCGGGCGAGCAGCGGTCCAAGGAACTGTACGACGAGCATTGTCGAGACATTATCAAGATCTGGGAGGACATCGTGGGGACGGAAGGAGAGTTGGGGTTACGCACAGTCTGGGTGCTGGGGGCCTTGACCACTGCTGTCGAGTGCGGCATCGCCAGGCCAAAAGTGAGTGGTAACCCCCTCACCGGCTTTCGCTTCTCTGTCGGGTCTTTTGCTCATGTCAATCTGCAATCCAGGTGGGCGAGGAAGACGAGTGGCTCAAAGCAAACGTGGAAGAATTTCGAAAATTGGCAGCAGCGGGCGATGAGGATTTTGTGGAATTGGTCCAGGAACTCGACTCAAGAGGCCGATGATCCTCAATCTGAGGAAGCATTGTCTATCCTCGACCTCCAACACCGAAACCTCTTCATGCATTATGTGTCCATCGTCCTGCATGCTCATCATCCTCATCCTTCGCTGCTCCCTTCTCTGCCTCTTCCCCTTCCGAATCAGCCTTTCTTCAACTCAGTAACGGTGACGAAAACCCCATTCATAATGATTTGAAAGAAGGCTCGGCCAGCCAAGCTTAGTTGTCGTGTTCGTTGTTCCTCGGTGGGAAAAGAGGTGAAAGAATGAAAGAAAGAAAGAAAAAAGAATGTGTCGATGGCCCTGCCGGCGAACCGAGTATTGTTGCTCTGAGTTGACGTTACACTTGCTTTTCCTTGTCGTCGCATCATGTCGTCGTACAAACATGAAACATCACAATGACGAATCTGAGAACAAAAAAAACACTAAAGAAAATATCAATAACTCCTCCCGTACATGAATCCACCCAAGGGTCCTTGATGAGGTTGTGGTGGTCGAGTAGCTCCAGGGCTTGCAGAGGGCACCAGTGGGCGATGAAACATATTGACCAGCTTACGGCCAACAGTGGGTTCAATCTCTGTACCGTCTCGGGCAATCTTCACTTCGCGATTCGCATTGAGAGAGTTTCGAAGGCCCCTTGTCCTGTAGAATGGTAGACGATCGGTAGACATCCACTTGATCTTGAAGGGCTTCCCAAAAGTTTGTGGCGTGGCTGGACTGGTTGATTCATAACCTTCTCCAGAAACATTGCCGGTGTCATCGTCTGGATGTTGCTCTTCTTTCTCCTTGCCTTCTGTGTCTGCCTCCCAGAAGATTGTACCTCTGGCTGAGTCGTCAATAATTCGTCCCTTAGGTGCGGTCACCGTAGCCGGTGTCGGTATGGTCAGGGGCAGATCTGCAGGACTCGGCTCTCGCGCCTCTGGGCGTGGTTGGTATTCGATATTCGCGGCGGCCTCGTCGTCGATCGCCGATTCCATCCGAGCGTATCCAAAATACTCGCCAGACTTATTGGCCGAAAAGACGAGGTAAACATTCTCTGCAGTCTGATGTATCTGTCAGTAGCCAAGTCAATTCCTCTCACGACTTGCACACTTACTCGATAGGCATTGTTCAACACTGCCTCATTGTGGGCCTGTGTTGCCCATATTCCGGAAACGACGCTCCGCTCCAAGTCGTCGATGGTCAAGCTTTTCACCACGAAGAACCTCTCCTTCACCTTCTCCATAGGTTCTGGTTCTGCTGTCATCGTCCCGTCGGCCACCGTTGTTTCTTTCGATACTCCATCAACCTCGGTCCCTGCTTCAGTAGACGTCGATGGTTGTTGGGTCACACCTTGGGATGATGTTCCAGCCGAAGAACTTCCACGTCGCAACCGGCAAACCAGTCGCACCCCTTGGAACCTAGAATCGTGGAAGCGAGCCATAGCAGCTGCGCAGCTAGCCTCGCTCTTGTAATTCACGAAGGCGCAGTTGCTCTTCGAGATCAGGAAGACACTTTCTATGTCGTCTGTCGCTTCCCTTGCGAAATGATCTTTGAGGTCAATTATATGTGTAGCAGGCGGCAAATTGCCAACCCAAAGAGCATGGCCGGATTGCTTTGGTTTCCTAGGTGGGCCTCGGAGCACGGATGTTTGCAGAGACGAATTCGAGCTGGATCTCCTGACAGCTAGGCAGATCAACAGGGTCAGTCACTCACGGAACCTTCAAAGCGGCAAACTTTTCATACCTTTAGAACTTGACGGATAAATGCCAGGTGTTTGGCTCTGTGCAAGGCTGTTATCGAGCCGCAGTTGTGGTAAAGGATAGCCGGCTGCTAATCTAGAGGCATACGGTGCCACATAGGCTGCGGTTCCATGGGGCTGTGAAAACTGTGGATGGTGATGAGATTGAGCTGCGGCGCTTGGATTGTGTATTATCGGCTGTTGTACCACAAACGCTTGATTTGGGTATGGTTGAGGACCGCCTGGGCCTGCTGGATTACCGACAAATTGCGGATAGTTCGCTCCTTGCTGCTGCTGTCGCGATGGCGCGCCTTGCCCATACTGCGATGGGTACTGCTGAGAAAAGGACGGGTTCATATGAGCGGCAGTTTGACCAGCAAACTGCGCGCCTTGGTGATACTGATACATCATAGACGGGTTGGTGGAAGCAGAGTGTTGGTAAGGTTGCGTATATGGCGGTTGTTGGAACTGGCGTATATGGTACTCTGGCAATGCTGCTGCTAAATTCGACATGTCGAGCGGTGCCGTGGTTGCAAAATTCCCAATGGCAAACTGTGGTCGAGGATATGGTTCAAACTCCATGTTCGCGGGCTGTCCCGAAGGAGGATTTGGAACGGGCAGAGGAGTTTGTGGAGGCCGTTCTGCAAAAGTTAGTTCGATCAACCATCACCCAGGGGAGTAATCGACCTCTTGACAGATGCTCGTCGTTGTCACGCAATCTAGGATTTTGTCGAAGCGGAGGCTCGTCCCCCATACCGAAATCCTCAAATATAATCGGAAGTGTATAGTAGTGCTGTACCCAAAAGACAGCCATCAGTCAGTCCATGTTTGCTCTGATGGTGAGACACAGCGGATTAAGCGCCAAAAGAGAGTACCTCAAATAGGTATACCTAAGCTAGAAGTGAAGTCGATCTTGCTTCAACCCAGCAGGAGGCTGAGCACGGATCAGGAGTGTCCCGAGTGATGTCGTTGGTTGTGAAGATGGATTCTGTTGAGAATTCCTTTGACTCGTTCGTCTGTTCGAGAAAGGAAATGAAACAGCCAGCTCGGCGCCAAATTTGGAAATGAACGTGCTTGACAAGGATCCTCGGGGATGTTTCACGGGGCTTCACAGAGCTAGACAGAGAAGCAGTCAGAACTATTGGTCTGAGGGATGGTTCGCAAAAGATGAGCTTTGGTGAGAAGGGGATTCATGTCCAACCGTGTCTCATATCTGGCCTGAGCGGCGTGGAAGTTAAGGACTGGGGGACCATAGAGACGCACATTTAACCCAAGCCTATGGCACATAGCAAGTAAAATTCGACAACGGCCTTAGGGTCCACTGAAGGCTGGTGGCTAAAGGATGAGGCCACGGTGTGATTGGAAGTAGCGGGGATAGAGCCCTTGTCCAGGGCGTAGATGATCAGGACTGGGAAAGACACCAACGATATCGCGATATCCGAGACTGAGAGGATGCCGAGGATCGATAGTTCTTTCACAAGAAGGAGAATATTCCTAGGAGCTTTTTACCCGGTAGCGAAACGACAGGCCGCGCATTCGCTGGCTCGTCAACGGTGGGCGGAACGGTCAAGATCAAGACCATGTATTGGCTCGGATTAGATATGCGATACTGGGACCCGGTAAAGGACAAGGGTGGATATACAACGAGACGGCGGTAACGCGCGACAACCAGTTCTGGCGATGGGCGCTTGATCTGGACCCCAGGGGAGCGACTTCCCATTGAACCAAAAGTGGCTGAAGAATGCTCTTTCCCTCCACTATGGTGCGGAAGTTGTACCCTAGCTGGGGCTCGCAGACAGAACAGCACATCAAAAGGGCTCCAACCTGTGAGGTCCGCAGGGCTGGAAGAGCTGGTACCGAGTCCTTCGTACCGTTTGGTTAGCATGGCATGTGGATCGGTGGGATAGATTGTCGGGCTGTGTGAAAATTTCTCCCATCTCTTTCCGAAGCCAAAGTGGCCATGATTTTGGGCGATCCCAAAGGATTTTTCGTTTACCTGGTTCGTGTCCCTCGACAATGGACCATGGGCGAAAAAGGAGCTCGAAAGAAAAGACTGGAAAAATACTAGTTAGAACCCAGGAGTCCGCAATGGGGATCCGCTGAGCCACGAACCCCTAGTTAGAAGTTGTGGCAACGCTCAACAGGGGGTCGCAGAGTCGGAAGATGTATGCCTCATGGCCTGTAATTCGCTCGATAGGTAAGTCGCCAGTCCATCGCTTATGGCAATAGGGACACACCCCGGGTACGGTTCCACTTATTAGTGTGAGGCCTGTCTGCTGAAGTGATTGCGTGCCCATCAGAACGGGGCGACACCAGACGGAAAGGCAGCGGTCATGCATGTCTGGGACAGCTAGGAGGTTCCAGCCAAGGGTCAAGTGTCGGGTACCGTCAGCTTTTGCACTGCAACTTTCAGCTGATAGTCGGATCGTGCTGGTAATCTTCGAGCGTGCGGAGGTTGTGGCTTCGGGAGTGAGGTCTTTGGGATGTTCTGGACCGCCCAAGAGGAGGCAGGCAAGCCACATTTCCAAACGTTGCGAGTCTGTGCTCCACTGCTCGGCTTCTGCGGCGATCTGGATCCTCTCCCAAGTGGGAAGCAAAGTGGACAAGGTCGAGAACTGCCACGCTGTGTTTGTAACCCATCATGACACCCAACGCTGCAAAACGTCATAGGAAAACGATTTTCGTTATCGAAGCTGCTCCAAAGCAAAGCTTATCTTACGTCCTTGTTGTATTCACCGCAAAACCTAATGCGAGAACTGCTGCCTCTGTGCAGATCATACCCAGGACTGCTCTGACGCTCACGCGATCGGCTACGAAGTAGGCGCTCCATTACTGTGGGACAACCCCCGCCGTTAACGGGAAACTCTTTCGCATCTCTGGGTGTAAAGAACAGTGTTGTATTTGCAGTGACATTCCCGTGGGTAAAGATGAACACCGAGCTGAGGTCTGCCGCAGGGATGTTCCATGACTCCTGCACATGTGATGGAAACTCTCTTTTTCCTGAATAGTCGCATTCGTTTGTCCCAGAGCGCAGTATGACGGAAGGATAGCATCATTTCCAGACGATCGCTATGCACGGCAAGCCCTCCTATTGTTAGAACGACGCAGGAACGGTCAGAATCTGATCATCACCTTGCGTAGACCGTCCCGTGTCAATCAGCAATTGCTTCTGGCCCGAGTTTGTGGCTTGCTGTCTCAACGGCACTATGGGGCCCAAGGTTGGGTGGCGACAGCGACGTCTCGCTGGCAGATGTCGATCATGTGGCGGGAACCGCAATGCTAACCAACTTGCCTTGAGTCACGAACAGAGGATCCGAGGATACGGTCCCACGGAGTGGCTGGACCCTTGTTTGTGGCTGAGCATCTTCGTTCTCCAGGATTTCGGACCAGGGTCCTGCTCGACCCGACGAAAACAAAATATGGAGAAGGGAAGAAAGATGCGATTGTTGTGCAATTCCCATCTGTTCGAGCTACTGGAGAAGGTATAGCGGGCTGCGGAATGGAAAATCTATCGAGCGCCCGCGGAACTTGCGTCATGGCCTTGGCACCGCAAGCGTTCTTGTTCCAACCTCATTCTTCATCGCCTGTGCATCACTGACTATCACTTCCTACTTCTTGCCTCCAGGGTGCTGATCGCTACAACAGCCGAAAGACGTACCCAATTAGGCTGCCCAGCACGGCTCTGCTGCCTGAAGACTTTTCGCCCTGTCTTGACGGTCTATCACACCAAATTAGCACAGGTGCAGCTGGAAGTTTTCGCCGACACAGGGTGCTATCTCTTCCTTGCGCCCTACCCATGCCATAATTAGAACCACAGGGGCCTGTATCGTTTATCGACTGGCGAAGAGGTAACTGAGACATGTTTCCCTCGGCTCTTTTCTGACACTGTGGCAGCTTTCCGACTGGTCTCATTGATTCGAGCTAATCATCCTCGGACCATTGTCCCCCAGCTCCCTATGGCCTGTCCCAAGATCTAACGGTTGAACCCATTCGCCCAGGACCCCATGTGTTCGCCACCCGCCTTTTTGCTTCCCCGAGCCATCCACAATGCCCTGCCTGAGCCGACGTTGCCCTGCTGCATATCTCTAGCTAGCGTTGGGCGCGTTTCGCGCTAAGCTGCGTCTGGCGCCCTGGACGCTCAATTTCGGCATCGTGCCTATACGAAACATACTCGATCCTTCCTTCACGAGACGACGTACTGGTTAGGGATGCGATCATCGAGCCTTAAGGTCGGCGTCTCCGACAATGTCTTTCTGCGATTGTGCAAAGAGAAATGATCGTCTCTCGGCCTTCTGGATTGCACGCCTCGTACAGAGATTTTCTTGTTCAAACGTACTTTCGGCGACCGTGGCAGGAACGAACAACGGCTGTGTAACTGCCGAGAAAATGCCCTCGCTGTGAGAAAAAATCACACCACCCGGCGGAGGAAGCTGAGCGGCCCGAAGCGATTTTGTCTGCCATGTGTGGTCGATGACAATGCTTTCAGGCTCTTGGACCATGCTCCCATGCAGGTGGACGCACTGTGGCAAGGCGATTGTAGCCAATAACGCTGTCGGACTGGGGGAAGTCGCGATTTCAGCCAACCCAATCATCATACAGAATTATCCTTTCCAGAAGATTTGGGGATACCCACTATCGACTCTCCAGACAGTTCACATACGCACCACAACGGCACCGGTCGGTGTGGGTATTGGTGTTTGTCGTTGCAATGGATGATGTCTGGATGAGTCAAATTGGCCGAGTATCGACGGCTTCAATGCCAGGCTTGTCCGGCAATGTCATTGGGACCAATCAGAGCACTGCGGTAAGCTTCTGAGGAGAGCCTCCTTTTTGTGACCGGTCCCAAATTCAACTCATTGGATGCCTGAGGCCGCCATTTCTCAGAAACACTGGAGTTGACCGTCACTTTCAACAATCTATTTGCTCGAGAGTGTATCTGAGCTTCTCGCCTTGCACAGGCAAGTTCCATCGTCTCAGCCTCTCTTGTAGCTTTCCTTAGCAATCCGGAAGGAGCGTTTTCGAGGCAAAAGCTCCGACTTTGCTTTAACGGCCATAGGGGCCTCCACTCCACTAAATTATCGCCTCACTACAAGTCTTACATCGCACCAATGGGATCGGAAAGAGCCTACTCGATAGGCCCTAATAGAAGGCAAGTACTTGTTTACCCCTTTGTGGAACGCTCGTTCTGTCCCTTCGCAATTCCACGGTTCTTGAGTCTTCCTGCGGGACGAATGATTGTTTAGTATCTTCAGGTTCTTACAAATCTCTTCGATTGTAGGTCTGATTGGGCCTGCAAGGATCTGACCAGCACGTTGTTTGTGAGGCTAAAGCTGCAAGGAAGGACACCCGGGATTCAAAGCTCGCTTCCAACAAACGTGGCTATCCAATGCTTCGTTCAAGCATGATTCTACTCGACATAGTTTTCTCTCCGAGAAGGAGTGCCCTTGCAGTTGCTCTCGCTGATTTGATGCGAAATGGAAAGTACCAGCTCCGATGGGCGCTATGTCTCGCTATCTAGCCGCCATCTTTTGTCTACCCGCTTTGATATTTAACGACCCATTATCAAAGTCACCAATCACTCTCTATGACGCACTCCTGACAAGCAATTCTGACCCGCTCTGGTACCGATAGTCTTCTTGAACTCAGGGACATGTTCATGAGAACTCTGGAGCGGTATGGACTTGCGATCGAGGAAGGTTCAGACCATCTCGTGGACGGCATGGAAGCAGTACGAAGAGTGCCGTGCGGGCAGTTGTGGAGCGTTATTGGCGCTTACTGTCCAGAGATCAAGTTCTCATGCTCGTGAAGGACGACGGACTCTCCCCCAAGCTCGCTTGCCGTCCCGCATCACACTCCAAACATTGTCCTATCAACTCCCACCCCGTCCACATTTACTGTCACCTTCCCTTGCTGGATGCATGAGCGCATCTCCTTACTCCTGCGTCTGGCCTGTGTTCAGTGTGCTGCGCGCCCTAGTCTTGTCTTACCAAAACTCTCGCTGTAGCACAGGAGACTGCATGATCACCTCGAAAACTCCCCCTGAACCATTGCGTCTTTTTCCATCACAGCCTTCTCGGGTCCGCCAACATGAGCACTGTCCTCCAAATCCAGGGGCGGTAGTGGAGATCCAACGAACGTTTGGTTGTGCCCGCCGTCAAATCCAATCTCCCACAGCTTTCTGCTTGCCCCTGAATCTCGATCGCGATCTACCTTCATCAGAGACTCTGAATTTACATGCTTGTTGACAAGAGACAAGCTAACTCCTTCGACGCACCTCGTCCTGGCTGTTCGTGCATTTCTCCGGATATAGGGACAAATGGGGATTGATGGACCCTTGGAGAAAGAGCAGAAAGAGAAAGACCCCCCGAAGAAGAGGCAAATACGCTATGGCTGCGTCTACCAGGGTTCTCGAATGCGGCTCCTGCAAGTGCAATCAGTCTGGCGGAAGCTAAACCATCACCAAATATAGACATGGAACGAAAGGTCACCCAACCGTTCGATTGAGGCATCGAGCGGGTGAAAGTATGGGCCTTCTTTGACTTCAGGTCAAACTACACCGCGAGAGAACGAGAGCAGGCACCAGAGTGTGCTGCTACAATGAAGAACCAGCCGCGCTCGAGAGATGGAACATCAGAGCACTATGGCAGAGAAAGATTTCTGTCTGCATGGACAACACCAGACCCATGTTGATGCTGGCGACGGCGAGTGATCGAAGCCACGCCAATTGTTGACTGTGCATAAGAATATCAGAAAACGTGACTCCCCTGGCATTGATCCTCATCACTGTATCCTGCCCTCTCACAGACCAATGCGGGCGAAAGGTAAGAATATCAAAAGACAGGCTGAAAGAACGGCAACAAGAACACCAGCGACAAACTTTCCTACTTCTCCTACTCCCCCTGAAGAGGCAACTGACCACAGCAGGGGTTGGGTCCACGATAGATTGCAAACATGAAGGGGAACAAGAAACTGCATCCATGGAACAATGCATGGTTCGACCGGCCTTCTCTTGATCAACCTCATTCGACTCCACCGGATGTTTGAGACGTCAAACCAAGGGCAATCAATATGCCTCAGTGCATTCACTAGATAGTACTTGATACTCATAATTACATTACATCTGCATGATCTTATGCTCATCCAAAGCCGTTTATCCAAGTTTTCTTTTCCCGTCTCGTGGGGTGACGAAAGTCGGCCGGTCAAGAAGCTACCGGCCTGCGTCCTTGTCGATGGCCCTCTTGACCAACAGGCCGTTGATTCAAAGGCCCAACCTCCCATGCCGCATAGATTTCGTAGTTTCAGCAATCATCCTTTGCCACCACCGAAGAATATGGATTGACCAGAGCCACGGACAATGCCCCTGTTAACCCTCTTTAAACATCCCAGATCATGGCAACATGCATCATATAGTCATATTCAAGAGGAATCACTCTCCAGATACACCATCCTCGGCCTCAAGCTAGTCCGCGTAGGAGTGTCCAGAACCTCAAAAGAATCACAAAGAATGGGGCCCATGACATCAACATCCATTCTCGACCTGTAACGGTACTATCGTTCTCCCAAGCTCGCCACTTTGCCTGCAAATCTGGCGCCTGCACTACCGCGCTTTTGCAACTTGTTGGATCCGTCGGACGAAGATGACATTGGCGAGGCCCTGTGCACAATGGGCAAGGGCCCTAATGTGTCTGTGTGGCCGCCGTGACTCGGAACTGCGCGAGATGTTCTCTGGTCAACGTACAACTGCGCAGCGGCGGATAGAGGTATAGCTGGAAGCTCGACAGGAATCTCGGCTCCGTTCTGTACTAATAGCTCAGCCATGGGAAACGCTTTGACGCCTCCCGCCGGTGTATTGGAATGAGAAGACACTGGGCGAGCTGGGTCGGCAGCGGTGAGAGCCAGAAACACCGCATGAGTGTTCCTAGACCGGTCGTGGGCGTTGACATTGGCTCGTTGGGCAATGCTCTGAAGGACTCCCTGAATATCATGTTTCTTGATCGATGTCAATAACGTGTCGTCAGCAGACCCGTATTGAGACACAGGCTCAACGTAAGCCCGCTCAACATATTTGGCTGTTATGAACTTCAGCCGCTGGTCTCGGGAGGCGCTTGAATCTGGCTTAAGAGACCGATCAAGCCGTGCCTCCCAGACCATGTTGCTGATGCGATTGCCGATCAGCATGAGAAGCTCGACAATATCGTTGGTGAAAGAGTGCACATCCAAGGTCAGGGATCGAATCTTGGAGACATGTGTACCCAGTGAGCGATGAATCCCGCCACATTCGATGCACAAAATAATCCCCAGATTCAGAGATACCCATTCAACCTTCGACGCCGAGCCACAATCAGCACAGAACTGGTTGCCATGGTCATTGTTTCGGATTTGATCAAGCAGCTTTGACGGATTCTCTTCGTAGCTGTTACTGCTTGTTCTCGTGTAGGTGGGTCTAGCACCAACGGTGATGCGCCGTGACACTCCGCCGGCCTCACTTCGCTGTGAATAGCCGTGTGGGCCAGATTGCGAGGAACTCTTGCCCGTGAACATGTGTCCAAATTCACGCCCTATATGTTCTTTTCGGCTCTGCTGAGGCACTTGCCCGCCGGCCTCCACAGCGCTTTGCAGCGCATTGTTGATTGCATTAATCCAATTATTCATCTCGTCTTCGGTCGTAGCTTGGTAAACTCGCTTATACTGAGGTGTGATTACCTCAAAGCAAAACCGGCGCTCTGCATCCCGAGCAATGCGGACGGAAGCCATCCGAAGGTCAATTGGCTCACGATGCAAATCCAACTTATCCTTCCAATTGCTGTATTCTGAGAGTTTCCCTTGATCAAGCACGATCCAGAATCTAGGAGTGGGTTAGTATCACGTCAAGACCAATTCGCGATGAGCTTACTTGTGCCAGGCTCCTTTGGGGTCAATATGGGAATTAGGCTTGCTTAATGCCCACAACAGTCCCTCCTTCCGGTACTGTCCAACAGAAGATTTGTCGGCTGTGGATACCGAGCTTTCATCAAGATCACGGATACCTTTGAACTTGCTCGGTGTTGGCACTATCGAGGTTCCACTTGGCGATGTTGAAAGGACAGCTCCCACGGGCAATGTTGAGTTGGTGGTGGGCGACAAAGTTTTGATCGATGCATGGCCGAACTGAGAGCTGGTGCTATCGGCCCTGCTAAGGTCGGTGTCTGAGGTATATCCGCCGTGCCCATTTGGTGCCGTCACTTGAGTCGACGCCACTGGAGGATGGTGATGCGGATCTGGATCCACGGAAATCGGCCCATTCTTCTCGAGATTCCGTCTCTTTTCCTCTCTTTCGGTCCTTTGCAGGTTGTATTCTTTGTCAGCATCAGAGACCTCTTTTACAAGAGCGTCTAACTGCGGGGTTAGGCTTTCCACCTTCTTCGCAGTGGCAAGGAACGCTTTCGCTTGGCCGTCGGCATATTTGGTGAGCTGCGAGAGGAGTTCTTGTTCTTTGCGCCCGCCGTGAAGATCTTGCATGAAAGTCGAATAATCAAATCGCTTGAGCTCAAAGTTCTTCCTCTTTGTCTGATATTTGGAATCACTCTCTGCACGTTTCTTGTCCTTGAGAGAGTCCTGCCGCTGACCGAGATACCGGCCGACATAGGCGTAATAATCTCGACTCTCATCATCAAAGTCCTTTTTCTTCGCTTCGACTTGTTTGATGTCCATATTATACAGCTTCGAAATGGGGTCGATGATTTGTTTTTGCAACAGCGTGCTGTTTCCCTTCTCATATTTTAGAATCTGTTGAGCGATGTTGAGGAAATAATGGTCGAGGGCGGGCTTGAAGGCCGTTGCGTTGGACATGGATGCCTCTTGAAGCGCTCTCAAGAATTCGGCCATGGCCTGGTTGCACTCCACCTGGGCCTGCTGTGCTGCCTCGGCTTTCTTCAGCACTTTCTTGATCTGGACCTTCATTGTCCCCGTCTTCTGTTCCAGCGCCTTCATCGTGGCTCTGAAAACCGGACCGTCGTCAACTGCGCTGACGTCCTCTCCCGGCCTTGCACACTGGACGTCGATAACAGGCAGCGAAGGCGCCGAGGTTGGTGCACTAAAGCTGTAGTCTTTAGGCCGCATCTGCGGCGAAGCCGGAATTTGAGGCTCGGAAGGGCCTTCTGAGTCGCTGACTGCGGACTGATATGACTGCGATGACGGCATCCTATGCCTCTGAAGTGGTATCGGTATTTCCAGGCCTGGAGAAGCAAGTGGTACTCCGGTTGTGAGGGTGGTATTCTGGACCCAGAATGAAAACGACGCGAGGGTATTCAGTCTGTGCGCTCTGGAATCATACTCAAGGAAACTGCAGCAGTTGCGCCAACCTCCTCCCTTGTCCTCTTGAGCCTTCGGGGGTTTCCAATGCCAAGTCCATTCGTAAGTAACTGCAGGACTCCCATTCGTCCCGAAGTCGCCGATAAATTGGACGTTGGAGTTCTTGTGCAGATTTGGGTCGGCATGGAACTCGCGCGTCACGAGGGTGTCCAGCTCTTTGGCATTCTGAGCGTAGGCGAAGGTCAACCCCGTAATTGTTGCATCTACAGCGGCGGTGGACGTAGAGGGAGTGGCAGGGAGGGGGCCGGAGTTCTGTCGTGTTACAAATGTGAAGTGGATTTCAAGTTCATCTTCAAGGTCGAGCCTGGGGAGGAAAGAAAGGGCAGAGGAATCAGGATCCTTGTTGAGAGGTCAGAGGACAACCGAATCGTTGGGGGGCTTTCGTTACGCACTTGAATATACGATATGGGTCTGTAGTCCGCGGCATCTGGCTTCCCAAGCAAACGCAATGCAGGATAGGCGTTGGGCACAAGACTCAAAAGACCCTTCCGCCGGCCATTGCTGACGACAATGGAACTGATGGAGACTGGCGGCTATCAGCCAAAGTTGCGGGGAAAGGCAGGGAGGCACGTACAGCGCGCTTGATCCTTCAAGTATAGCAGGGCGCCATCCTCAAGTCTGCTGCTGATGTTGCCCATCGCTGACAGCCTGGAATTCAGGCTCGAAAACTAGAATGCGCCAGGATGGGCGGTAGCGCTGTTTGGAGGGGCGTTTTGGGTTCGCAGGGGGAGTCGCGGACGAGAGTAAAGCTGTCGATACAAGAAAGGAAGACAGAAAGATTGATGCTAAGACTGCAATACTTGAGGTATGTACAGATCAAAGTGAGAGAGTGACTTGAGTAAATGACCGAGTTGAGGACGTGATTTGTCGAGTGGGAAAGGCCGTACTCGTGCACGACATAGGCTGCGCCGCGCTGCGCCTTCGATGTGAGACGGTTCAATCAAGCGAAGGGAAGGCATATGCGGCGCCACCAGCGCAAGACATGCAACAGCCCCCTCGCCAAGACAAGCGTTCGGAGCTTAATTTCAGGGCGCTCCCTTCTGCTTACCACGTTGGGACAAGGGTGACGCCGCTCTGTATCCGCCGAGCCTCACACGACACGCAGCCTTGTGGCCAGCCTGACCAGCTCAACTGACATGGTCAGCGTCACTTGCTTGTCAATTGAACAAAATCACCATGTATGACGCAGGTTTCTTCAAGAATCTAGCGTCAGCCATCTGCACAGGACGCCACATCGAATGGTCATACTCGATCCTTTCCTATTGTCGATGGCCCTCTGTAGGGGAAAAGTTGATATGAGTGTTATCGACCATTTCAGGATCTCGAAAAATTAGATCAGATGTTGAACACTTCTACGGAGGCCCCATTATTGGGTATGTAGGTCTCAGGACCTTTAAGCCGCCGCCGAAACTACAAAAACTGGACATACCGTGTCTTTCGCCAGATGAGGAAGCTGTCTCAGGCAGAGCTATAATGTCACCCTCCATATCGAGAGGTCTTTCTGGCGTGCTGCGATCCCGGTAGGGTTCGCCCAGATATATAGGTACCTTTTGCTTTCATGTAGTGCATTCCTTCTCCAAAGATGCAATTGCCCATTGCCGCCATCCAGCCCAGGATGTTCACTCGCTAGCTGCAGGTCAAAGACTGCCCCTATGTGTCCGAATGCTATCGCGGTTCAGATGTCGTTCTTTCTTCCGGGAAGTCAACAATCGGAATCATAGGGTATGTGCAACCACGACTGGACTTCTGTGCAAGCAGCCAACACCTTCAGAACTTCGCCGCCCGCAGAACCAAATTGCCGAGTTAGAAGTGTCTGGTAGAGAGTCAGGCAAAGAGAAGCATACAATTACCGGTGTGGGGAAACCTTGCTGCTCTTCTAATTTATCTCAATAGCGGAGACTCTGCTCTCTGAGCTCCGGCAGCCAGCAAGAAAGGGGCCACAGGTCGAAAAGCAGAGGTCACGTTGGAATGGTAACCAATCCGTAAGACTTACAACAAGACACTGACGACTTCATTGTTGCTTCCCCGAATCGATGTGAACAAGCCGCAGCCACCCATCATAAGCTTCTCCTGAATCTCGTTCGAGTTGTAAATCTCCAATGGGACCTTGGAACGCATTTTATTTCTCCATTGTCGAAAATACCCCAACTTTAGACTAGGACGTGTCATGAGAGTCCTGCTTCAAGAAGCTGAGCTACTCAATCGCATCCAGGGTATTGATATTGGTTGCGAGCAAGGAAACATCCTCATCATTCAGAAAGCCGGAAAGTAGGGGAGGAAGGCAGTTGCTTTCGAGGGTTTCAAGGGAGTTGCAGGATACTATCTCCGATCCCTGCGCCTTATTCCCTCGTTTTTGTCAATCTGCGCGGTCAAGCGGGACACACAGCTGGCGTACATAGAGTGTGCAAGATGCAAATATATTTCCTGACGTGTCTCGAGGGTTCAAGTGCGCCTCGGCGCGCAGGGAGGGTGAGATAAGGCGATCACTGCAAGGTTGGGGATGGGCACAAGGCGGCGTGATCTTCCTGGCCCTCTGCGTCTCGGGGTCAAATAGTCGGCACGAGGGCGGCTTTCCCAGCATAGCTTGGCCCTTGCCAAGCCAAAATTTCCGCAAGGCTTCCCCAGATCCATGAAGCGACCGAATATAATAATAGGCGCTGTACGGCAAGGCAAAGCTAGGCTTTTTGGGATTGTGAAGACACAGGGCAGAATGAGGGAAGCCAAGGACTCCTGATATTCAGTCTCTCATTTAAACTCCGCCGGCACGCTCTGCAACAACGATGGCGGCCAAAACATTGAAAGAGTCCCAGAACGCGGGCAATCCCAACCAGACGTAGGCACAAGCCCCTCCTCTCTGGATAAAAAGTTGCTGACGATTCTCTCATAGACTCTTCCTCAAGAACCTCCCCGAGAAGATCAACAAAAATGAGCTGAAACGCGCCCTGTACATGCTCTTCTCCACCTATGGGCCTGTCCTCGATATCGTCACGAATCGAATTGGATCGAAAGGGCAGAGCATGCGAGGGCAGGCCCACGTTGTCTTCCGTGACATACAGACGAGCACACAAGCGATGCGAGCTTTACAAGGATTTGATTTCTTTGGCAGGGAGATGGTAAGAATGGTTCAAGTGCTGAGGTTGAAATCCACAAGTTAAACTCTCGAGACAGGTTATTGTTTATGCAAAAGGCCAATCACACATAATCCCGAAACTTCGAGGCACCTTTGAACCTCCGACCGCTGCTGCAAGCGCTGCTTCTGGTGCCACTGCCTTACAGAATTCCATATTCAATGCGCCGCCGACTGGAATTCCAGGCAAGCCCGCCGAGACTGGAGTCAACCCAGCTGGAACAACTCCCGACGGTGTCCCGCACGGCACAAAGAGACCAAGAGAAGAGGAAGAGGAGGAGGAGGAAGAAGAAGAAGAGAGCGAAGTGGAAATGGAGGAAGACGAGGATGATGCGCCAATGGAGGAAGATGAGGACGATTAAACCCGGCCTAGACGGAAAGCCTCGCATGTCTCCCTAAAACAAAAATCGCTAAGCCTTGCCGCCGTCATGGCGTTCCAAAGGCCGTCGAATACCTCGCCTAGGGGAATAGGAAACCGGATCAAACACCTGCTTGCGGCCCAGGCGATACCATACCAGGCGGACAGCCAAGGCGGAGCTAGGTGAAAGGTTGGGGGAGAATACTTCTGCCCTAGGTGCTCATAAGCTTACTCGGAACATGCAGGCCCACAGCAGACCCAATCAACCCCAGCCAAAGTATAAGATATTCCTCCGGAGACAGAGACATGGGTTTAAGAGCTGAAAGGGCGCCTTGTGTGTTACATGGGTGTAAGAAGAAGGCCGGCCGATCTGAGACAGGATGGTGCTGCGGGAAGAATCAGAGCCTGGAAGGTATCACAGCGGTCTTGACCTACCGCCATACTGATACCCCCCATAACGCCAACTTCATGCAATGAAGCGAGTGACGGTTCCGGCACCAACCATTCATAAACTTGCTCCAAACTCAACGCCTTGTTATCTTGGCCATTTCGGCATGCAAACCAGAGAACTGGTACAGAATAGATTGGAGACAAGGTAATGGAGAAGTCAACAATGAGAGACTCCAAGCTGTCAACCTTCGGCAAAAACTGCGAAACATCAGCATGGACATGGTGGATATGAGGATGCCATTGGAACTCGTACGCTATCTCCAACGACACAGTCTTCTATACCAGTCTCAAAGCGCTCATCGCTTTGTGCGTCAATGTTGTCACTGGGAGCTTCTCCTTTGCAGGTCCTCTTCCGTTTTGCTCTGATCAACAGTTCTTCACCAGTCCACCTCACTCTCAACCAATCCGTATCGCTGATCTTGTCCGAGCTCCTCTGTTCCAATGCGCCGCATGCCTGAGAAAATTCCTGTTCAGTGATGGCCGGAAACGCTTGCACTGAGTCTTTCATCGGGACAGAGGAAGAGATTGAAGAGTCATGGCTGAATAGGGCCAAATTGTGATAGAGCTTCACAGCTTAGAAAAACTCTAGAGCCCTTCGCAACTGAAACTTGAAAGACTAGGACAAGCCTCAGCCGGGCAGGTTGACGCCAAGCCGGGCACAATTGAGTGCGGGGAATCAAACATTCCCCTCTTGTCTTTTCCATACGCAATTTTTCCACAAGAGGCTCAACTCGAGACAAAACCATACTATTGTTACACTACGCCAGTCACATTGGGCAGCTGTTCGACCATGGCCGGCCACCCTTTGCGTGAGGCCCCGCGAGACGTACGCTTCTTCCTTGTCGTGCACTCTTGTTCCTGAGCCTTGTCTAGCCCACTAGCAATGGCAAGAGGGGGGGGGGAGGGGCGAGGGCATCTCCCAATCTACTCCCACTTTTCATCATTCGCCCAGGTCGAACTCACGTTTTAACGGATGTCTCTCTGCGCAGCTCTCCGAGATCGCCAAACAAGAAGAATCCCTGATCCTCCCCCACTTCACCGCGGACGACGCCCTCGAGATCGGCCTGGCGATCCGCCACCGGCTGCGCGCCCTGTCGACCCTCGCGGCGGTGGTGTCGATCTCGCTCGCCAACTCGTCCAACCTGCTCTTCCACGCCGTGTCGCGCCCGGGGATCCAGCCGGACAACGACGTGTGGGTGTCGCGGAAGCGGAAGACCGTGCTGCGCTGGGGGGTGAGCACGTGGTTCATGCACAACAAGTTCAAGGGCGACGAGGAGGCCTTCGCCCGCAAGTACATGCTCGGCGCCGAGGGCGGGGCGTACGCGATCCACGGCGGCGGCGTGCCCGTGCGGGTGCGCGGCGTCGACGGCGTCGTCGGCGTCGTGGTCGTGAGCGGCCTGAAGCAGGATCAGGACCACATGGTCGTCATTGAGGCCTTGGCCGAGTTCCTCGACCAGTGCGGCAAGGAGGCCGAGAGAGAAGGGAAAGAGGAGGATGGGAGGTAGAATCCCCTCCCTCCCCTGGTGTGTCGTTTTAGGCCGGTGGTTGAAAAAGTTTCTAGACACCAAAAAGAAAAAAATGGGTGAGTTTGGGGATCGGGGCTCGAACATTTCTTTCGGAATCCTTCCTCGATGGCATAATAATATATAGTATAGATATCCTTGTTTCGCGGAGGCGATCTTGTGTTCAGTTAAGTTGGACCTCTGAGGTCCAGTCTGGGTCGGGGGCACGGCGGGCGCCCAAGTCACAGCCTCGTAAGCGTCTGTACTACGAGGTACGTGTTATCCAACGACGGATGCTTCTTGCACAACAGCGGCCAATGCTGGGAACATCGGTGTCCTTGAAACCCACTCCTGTCTGCTCTGTTCTACCTTGCCCCTCATCGTTTCCAACTGTGGTGATCTGGCCATCACCGTGTGAAAATGGCAAAGGATGGACTCGTACTGGGGGTTTTCTTCGACGATGTGCTCAAGGGTCAACATTGATCGTCAGTCTGACTAGCGATATCTCTCACACAAAAAGTAGCGTTTCGAAGAGACTGCACCAGAGAATACATCCGAGAAAAACGCCGGACCCTGACCCCCAGAGGCTACGATACAACACCTCGAGATCTTCCGGACTGTCATGGTTGAATAGTGGTATTTCTATGGCTTCTCAATCTGGCAAACCTTCAGCCATCTGGCGACCTGCGGTGATGATCACAAATCCGCTCTGACTAGAGGATATCCCTTTTTCCCTCAGCTTGGACGAGCAGAGCTTGCCGTGCCCGTTGCGACCCTGTTTATGCTACATTCCCGACGGCTTAGCATTTCCCCCTTTTTCGCCTTCGATCCAGGATCTGCCCTTGTTGAGTTGTTCCTCGGTCACCATCGGACTTAAACGCTTGTCGTCGGCAGGATGGAGGTCTTGTCAGTCAGGCATGGTGGATAGGACTACCAGTAGGATCGTCGGAAGGACAATGCTGGGACGCAAAGGCCCGTTCATGCTGATGTTTGGCCGTCAGTGAAAAAGGTTGGCGGAGGCGGGCGCAACAGAGTCATCCGACACATCCTTGCGTAACAATGTCAAATGGATACCTTGTTGAGACATTGCCTCCTAACGCAGCCAGTCTGTTCCGTCGGCATCAATGTCCCTCGAGTTTGCATTCACCTAGACGACGTCGTTGGACCCAGGACACTTCCCGAGAATAGGGTTCGGAGGTTGGACTGGAGGTCTCGTTGGCTGCATATCTGAGCAGATGACCACCATCGGCCAAGTTTCTCGAAGGACCTGCGAAGTTGACGTGGTCCGTCTACCCGCGATGCGATGCACTGCCGGAAGCGAAGGTGTTTCGAGCTGTCTTCAGCTGCCTTGAACAAGCAGAAGTGGCGAAGAGACTGCGGCTCGACAACCTCGTTAGGCCCAAGGAAATTGGGCGACCAGCGGAGAGGATGGATACACAGCATGAACAAACTTCAATTAGAGGAGTGTTTTGATCACATGGCCCGCAGCCCGTCTCAAAAGCTCAAGGACCAGAGGGACAGGGTCCTCAATGCATGACCTGGGCATCTCTCGGGCAGACATGCGTGCAGAAGGGTGATTCACAGCCTGTGCAACTTAGATGAGGTGGATGCCTTTCGGCCTCGCATCCCCGAGAAGACCTTCGGGAGATGCTGAGTCGGCCAGGATTTCGAACGTTGGTAAGCTGATAATCCAACGAACCCAGGGCCGAGGCCGGCCTCTGCGGGGATATCTATTTACATTTTCCCAGAAACGCGTGTGGCCTCCTAGCTCGGGGTTGGTGGGACTCGTATCTGCCAGCTCTTTTGCTTGTACGCGCCGCAGGGCGGAGCCAAAGGTTGGGTGGCGGTATTGTGAGGGACGTCCAAGAGAGTTGAAACCAGGCTAAGGGGGGATCTGGTGTGCATGGACTCGAGTCTGGGTAACACGGATGGCTTCCGAATTGATGCCCTGGAAGGTGGAAGCGAAGTCTTCTCCCCGAAGAAGCAGCAGATGTGAAGAAGTCGAGCTGATATCTTGCAACGACCGCAGAGATTCTGGCATTTTCCCGCCGCCCACCGTGCGAACAGCTTCGGGCAGCATCGATCAGATGTTGGACCAATGACAAGACGCCCGGCGGCTCCGTTGCGAGTGTTATATCGCCAGTGAAAGTCTAAGCGAGGCCCATCCTTGGGCAAGAATTGGTGGAATCATGCCAGGATGACTAGTTGTAGATGCAACAAGAGTTCGCAGATTTTTGCACGTCGAGACCATTAGGCTATCCTCGGCAATTGTTCTTGTCCTGCGTAGAATCCCGTCCGGTTACACAGCATCGATGGCGTTGGAGGCCGTCTGTGTTTCATGAGAAGAGGGACTATGCACATAGTCAGTGAAGGTGCCTCACGAAAATTCCCTCGAGATGAAGCCCTGGTCGCTCGCCGCCGTCAGCCCACGTGTTTGTTGCCCCTTTGGCGGAACAGACTAGAATGACCAGCTATAGTTTCATCCTCGCATGGACGGAGGCAAAATAGTGGGTGAGCCATCTACTTGCCGTATGCAGGCTCCAAAATGGGCTTGGAGGTCTGCCGCTATCAGCATTGTTTTTGGGAGTGTGGGAAGAAGAGAGAGGGGCAAGGATGGAGGAAAGAAACAAGAGGCGTTGTGTCACCACCCAACAGCAGGCAGCGTCATGACCAGTAGTAGCAGTAGCACCTAGCGTAGCAGGCATAACAAGTCTGTGGTGGCAAGCAAGGCAACACCGCAGCTGTCCGCATGTCCTCGCGTGTTCTGTGTAGGGACGTAGAGTACGTCAAACTTGGTCCCAGCAATATGGATAGATGGAAACGCGTGGATGATGTGGGTGATGACGATGGAAGTCGAGGGAAACGTCAGAGCAAAGCACTGGCGTCGCTACCCGGTGTGTCAGACATGTGCAATACTTGGCTTGGTAATTTTCCTTTCCCCCTCCTTTTCGGCCCCCCAGTCAGTCAACCAGTTAGTCAATGGGTAGAATGCGGGATACTCCATTTGTATTGGCACTGGCATTGGCATGATGGAGGGGCAAAGCCTTGATCTGAAACATGTGGCAGTGAGGCCATTCGTATATCGGGTAGTCGCTCACTGTTTGCTTGGTTTCGTGAATTCGGCATGGAAGTTCGGGGCCTAGACCTAGATTACTTGGGGATCTGCTCATACGCGAGTAGTAGTCGCGAGTCGCGAGTTCCTCCCATGCACTTCTTTTTTCTTTCTCCTGTCGATCGTATCTATCGAAGTATTCGCTACGAATCGGTACCTGGGTACCTACGTGAGATCATCACTGCTAGTTAACAGCATTAACGGCACCACGTACGGGACGGTACTTGTGGATACTTGATAGGGCCCGTTACACTGAAAGTTTCCGGCAAACCACGGGCCGGAAGTTCACCTCCGGTCTAGAATCTGACGGGTTTCTTGGTTGACACTCCTCTTTCTGGTCATGTCCTTGCTCGTTACGGTACTGCAGAGCACAATACCGTATAGGTGCGGCCTTGATCTCATGTGCCTACGACAAAGGTCCTCATTGCCGCGTACTGGATAGGTACCGAGTACATGGTAGTACACGTTGCAGTCAGTCGGGCCAGACCTCATGCAGGGTGAGCAGGGTGAGCAGGCTTCGAGAAATTTCGCAGTTCTTTGCCTTGCAGGTCATCCCCGCCGGACTCACTTTCGCCTTGTCCGGCAAGAGAGAAGTCCGTTAGCAACAAAGATGCAGAACCTGAAACGCAAACAACTAAAATGCAACTATGCAATGCAATGCACTGCGTGTATGCATGGCTTTTTGGTTCATCAGAAAAAGTCCGCAGTTGTATGATTCGTTCCAATCGTCACATTACAAGTTGAGGTAAGGCAAAGCAAGGGAGGCAAAGAGGGGCGTTTCTCCCTCTGCCACAGTCTCTCGCTGCTAACTAACACATGTCAAGAAGTCTAGAAGGGTAAGACAAAGAGGGGTGGCAAATAATAACAAAGAAGACGGGGGCCTTTTGGTGTGTGGTATCGCGCGGCAAGCTCCAGCTTTCCTCTTTTCCCTTGCTCTTCTCCAAGCTCCAAATCCCAAGCCGACCCTCCAAGAGACTCCAAGAAGGGGGCCCAACAGAACGCGCAAACAAATGAGTGGCAGGTCGTGATCGAACCACGTCTCAACGTGCGATACGTCAGCCACTCAGGAGAGCCGTCAGACCACACTTGCAGCGCGCTCGCCCTTTCCCGGGTCGTACAAGAAACAAATAATAATTGAGAAAGTGTGTGAGAGAAGGAGTCGAGAACAAAAGCAGAAAGGAGTAAAGGAGACGCGCGAAACCCAATGCCCATGCATGCATCCACACACCTTGGCCACGGCTCCAACAAATCTGCCCTCTTCCCTGCCGTGCCTTTCGTCCTCACAGCGCTTCTAGAGCCTTCGCGATCCGCTCCGGTCCTATTTCGTGTCCTCCCATCTTGCTCTTGGAGTCCGCCATTGGTCTTCGCCCCGCTGGCACCGGCGCATCCCAGCTCCTGCCTCCCTCGGGAGAATCGTCCTCTGACACCTCGCTGGGCGGCGTCGAGCTCTCCGAATCCGTCAAGATCTGGTACTCGGTCACGGTGCTTTCAAAGTCGGGCAGCTCTGCGTCTTTAGCCTGCTGCACCCAGAGCTGCTCGGCCCTTTGCAGCTGGTCGAACCATTCCGACACGGTCATCTCCTTGCCCCGGCAGGTGAGTAGCAGGTCTCCGTATTGCGACAGCCCGGCTCGCGACGCCTTGTGCCTCCAGTCTGGGTGTGCGTCTTCCACCAGGTAGCGCCGTTCGGCAGACAGCGCGTTCATGTAGTTGAAAAATGCACCCTCAGAAACTAGAACAAATCCCTCTCGTATTAGTTCCAACCCCGCTGCTTCGCGTTGACAAACGTTGAGAGGGAAAACCGATTGGACGAGGAGGACAAGGGCTTCGTTGTCAGGTAGGAGAAATGGGAAACAACTTACACGACCCAGGCATGCCTGGCAGAGGAATCAATCGGTCGAACCGCTCGTCCAGGAGTTCTTGTAATCTGAGGTACGAGGCGTAGACAATAGAGGTTGATTCTTGTAGAGTCCAGAGAGCGTCTTGGACGGCCTCCGGCAGTTGCATCAGCATTGAGGCTGGCAGTGCCGCAACATGAGAGACGTTGCTGGGGTCGTGTGAATGGGGAGGCTCCAGGAAGAGAGCATCAGCAATTGAAGTGGGCTTCATGGTGATTGTAAAGACTCGAGAGTGGCTTTGGCAAGGATCCAATGCCGGCAGGGTTGGAAGATGTTGGGACTCGAGGGCCGGAGAGCAAGAGTGAGTTGGTTGTCGAGAGGGGAGGAGCAACTTTGAGGAGGATCCAAGTCAGTATATATGCATTTGGGCTTCGCAATACGTCTTGGATGCCGGTGGAGCGAATACTTTGAATGGTGTAGTCAGATCAGGCCACGAATGTTTTTATATGCACCAAGCATCCAGCCCGTATAGAGCCATGACAGACTGGGTAGTGGTACAGGGGCGGCTGCTGTGATTGGACCGGAAGGCTGCATCTGGACGTGGAAACTCCATATCGTCAAATACTCCAACGAACCCAACTGAATGTGCTCAATAGAATCACTCCCCGTAGCCTGCATTGGCTGGAGACAAGGAATCGACGAATGTGACGTAAGTCAGTGATACAACAACAAAGAACATGTTTCCTTTCTTTCTTAGAGCCTGATCTTGGCCACGGCGGATGTTGGAACGCGCATCAATCACCTCGTGACCTTTCCCTCAGACATCTCCGATCTGGCATGGAGGGCGTTGACAGAGTGCCACCACATAATTCCAACCACACCTGGGTAGCTGATCCGCAAGCACCGCGTGGGCCATGGAGAAATCCGTATCAAGAAAAACCATAATGTGACGCCAGTTCTATTCAACTTTTCCTACCGATAAGGAGAGTCGCGACAATGGAAAAGCCGCGCTGGAGTGGGGGTGACATGTGTCCCTCCGTCATGGTCATATCTTCCACGAAAGCCGCCAAAACCCCCAGGGTAAATCTTCGGCGCTGTCCTAAAAACAATACGTCAATGGGGAGACAACGTCGCAACGTTGCTGTCAACGTCGATTTCACAATTTACTGAATTCTGCACGACCGATCAGCGATCACACAGTCAAGGGTTCCAAAATGATCAACATCACATACCGTTGAATGAGGTGCACCCCGGAGGCTGTCTCGACGACACCACTCAGCTCGCCCGGCTGCAGGGCAAATGCTGCATCCTCAAACTCCTTCTGCATCTGTCCTTTGCCGAAGAAACCCAGGTCGCCACGCTTCCGAGCACTGCTGCAGTCCGACTCGGAGACGGCCAGGTCGCCCAGGGTCTTCTCCCCAGAGCGGATTTGGTCCTCGTAACCCTTCAACATTTGGATCGCCTCTTCTTTTGAGCGGGTAATGTTGGTCTCCCTCCAGCTTGAGGGACGCCGGCTATCTATGTGCTTGACCAGGAGATGGGCTGCACGGATCTTCCCTTCACTGGCAGCTCCATCGATGCGGGCGTTGGCCGACGAGCTGTGATGCTGCGCCATGTAGACCTTGAGCTTGTCGGTATCGGCATTTTCAGGGGGCTCCCATCTCGACTCGTGCGTCTTCTGGTTGAAGTAGTAGGGCAGATTCTTGGAGTTGGAGTGGCGGACCTCCCAATCAGGGGGCAGGCCAGTATCAGTCTCAGTCTATTGTGAGGAGTATCAGTAGGGATTGGTTTTCACGGGTGGTAGGGTTCAACGGGCGTGCGCCTCACGTACCATGGCTTTCTGATGCGGTTCCGCTAATGCAGTACTGTCCGTGGAAGGAGGTCTTTGTCACGGTGCCGATCCTGTAGATGAATGCACTGGAGGGGAGATGAGTTATTGTTGGGATGCCCCAGTTGGTTTTTGGTTTCTGGTGTTGCTCGCAATCGAGGGCGCGACCGAGGTGGGGCAGTGGATTTGTCGTTCGTCAGCAGGTCAATAATGTCAACGAAGAAATGAGCCCGTGAGGGAGGGTAGCATAGGGCTGGAAAGCGGCTAAATGGACAGGAACAGGAGCCTGACTGGCTGGTCTCATGCGGTCTGGATGGTCATAGGTTCACTGGTCGAGCCAGTACGTGTGTGGGTGTAGAAGAGGTAAGACAAGACAGAGCAGCTGGGCAAGTCCTCGAAGAACCCAAAGATCACAGGACCAGCTAGGAATCTATCAGGTACCTGATTAGTGAATGATCAAGGAACTTGCCAGAGAATTAACAACAGTCACTGGGGGCGGCAGCGTCACACAGTATTCTTCTAGGTGTGGTAAGTTTGTTTGGGGGGGAAATGGTCTGACTTTGGCCAGGTAACTGCACAGGCACGGAGCACGGTGAACTTCGAGGGAAATTGCGGGGAGCAAGATTTCGTGCACTTTGCTGTCACTTCTTCGAAAACACCACCTGCAGCCATCTCGCCATCCGCCCTCTGAACGCGTTGAGTCACCTTGACGGTCTGTCAGTAATACAGTAGCAGTAATTTACTCACGCCTCAACTTTTGCCCTTCCTCTCTACTGTCCGCATAATTACTCAGCAAGAATATCCAACCACCTTTCGCGCTCTCAGTGTACCTACATCGAGGCCAACACCCAGCGCGCATTTATTCTGAGGAATACCACTTTCAGAATCGCGGACTCATATCGCTCCATCTCCTCGCGTGTCTCTTCAAACCTCACGTATTCAACATGTCTGCTCTGTCTGCTGCAGCCTCCCCGTCTCCAAGCGAGGGCGAGAGCAAGCGTGGCGAGGTCTCGTACAGATTTTGTCAGGAATGGTAAGCCTACGAACTCCCCTCAGAGTCGTTTTCTGACCCGTCTATTACAGCTCGAACCTCTTGTACCCAAAGGAAGACCGTGCGACATCCACCCTCCTGTATATCTGCAAAGCATGCCATGCGACTTCGCAGCACGACTCGGCCTGTACCTACCGCCAACAACTTGGTGCAAATGTTCAAGAGACGGCAGGAACAACCGCTGATGTTTCACACGATCCAACGGTGGGTTCTGCTTTCTCTGAGCTGCCACCTCTCTGTACCCTTTGTGGGGAGCCGTTGAGATGCAACACATGCGGCGCCATCTAGCAGGGGACAGCCTAGGGGAGTTCAGAAGACTTTGACATCAGGTCTCTTGAGTTCTCCCCTTTTCCCCGGGTCTAGTCTGAGATTCTGAGACATTTGGCTGACGGCTTGCTTTACACTTTGTACAGCTTCCTCGAGCACCCAAAAAATGTCCAAAATGCCGGGAGACGGAAGCAGTTTATTTTCAGTCGCAGCAGCGTGCCGCAGATACGGGCATGGTAAGTACTTGTCTCGTGAGCCTCCGCCTCAGGTTTCTGACTGGAACATAGAAACTGTATTATGTTTGCACCTCCTGCAATCACGTCTATACTGTCGTTTGAGCGAGGTGTTGGGGGGGCGGGACGAATTGGTATATCATGGTCATGATACCCATGCATTCAAGGCGTTCTTTTGGGAGAATGGACTGGAACGATGTTTACGAGAGATCGACGGATACGACGAGCCAGAAGAAAGGTCTAAATGGGCCAGCGCCGACGCACGCACAAAAACGAACTCGACATCGAGTATTTTGGTGTTGACATTTTGTTCCTCCGGCTGTTTGTACAAGAATTCTTATCAGACATGGCGAGGGGTATCCATCCTTCAGCTTTACTCAAGCATGCAGTCGCACTCAGCGGGTGAATTATACGTGCATCGGTGCCAATGACAAGATCTTTGACCACTTTTTATCACGTAGTTCCGCTCCCACTATACTCGACAGCCTCGTCCCAATGGGATCGCCGTTCTTGTTGATGAGGACACAGGCATTGTCGTCGAAACGTATTAGACTCCCATCTTTCCTGCGCTCCTCCTTCCTCGCTCTCACAACCACCGCGTGTCGAATATCCCCTCTTCGTACTTTGTTGGCGATACTCAAACTCGATCCGCCGGGGGTCTCGGCGCCGAAGGACTTTTGCTTCTGAACAACGACGATGATCCTATCCCCTGAAACCAGACAGAAGGGTCAGCAAAGAGGGGATACAGGGCGCTGGCGGTGCTTCTATCGTACCTATCCTCGCAGCCTGTTTCTTTTTCCTCATAACCGCGACGCACTCGACAATGGCAGCCCCGGAGTTGTCGATGCAATTAAGCATCGTCTGGCGTCAATCATCATCAGCAACAGACACAGGTATCGTAGCTAGCTGCAAGGGAAATTCACCTTCAGTTGTATCATCGTAGCAGCATAATGCGCGCTATCGTAAAATAGGACGCAGGATCGAAAGTTGTAGCTGCGACTCCAAAACGAGGGATAAGTCTAGCTGCAGGCAAACTGTGAAGTGGATTGCGGTTCAATTGGGTCCGCCAGTGCGTGCTAGGTGAGGATGGCCGCCTCGGCGCATGCTTTTCGTGGCTGATCGAAACGCACGCACGGCACACCAACCAAACAGAGCGGTCGTCTACCCTGATTTCGTTAAGCTCGTCACCCTCCGTGGTTGTCCAGCCGCTGCCGCCGACGTTTCCCCCTCTGCAAACCCTCGAAAGTCACCCTTCCATCGCCCTTCACTTGACTTCCCTCTTTTACAAGGTGAAGCAAGCTGAAAGTCTCTCTCTCTATTTCTCAGCTTGGGAGATAATTCATGCACGACTGAGGTGCCTAATTAGCCGGACCAATATGTCGCAACGTGTACACATTCTCTTTACTATTGTTCCACTCATTTTCGCCTCACTCAGGCTGGCCGGATTCCAGACCGCGTTCCAGGTGTCGAATTGACGATTCAGCCCCTTCCGCTCCTTCCAAACCGCCCTCTGCCAGATCACATACATACATACATACATACATATCCCCAGTACCTTCCCGCCCCAACCTTTCATATCGTCATATGTTCATGAAAGATTTCGAGTCTCGGTTGTCGGGCGCCCATTGTACACGCGACCATGGCTCGGGGGAAGGGCGCCGCAGAGCCCGAAAAGACTCAACGGCTTTCCCTTGCTGAGCTGGCCGCCCATGACGACGTGTGCTCAGACGTCATGATAGATAATGTCAGTGATACTGGATATCATGAGGAGATCTGTCGTGCTGACACGCAGCAGGCTTATTACAAGTCAAGAATCAGAAAGAACCGCACTAAACACATCCCAATCCGCGGCATCAAGGAAGACGAAGTCCCTCGGATCTTATTGCACAAGGTTATTGTCGACAAAGATGTGAAGGGCGCAGAGAAGGCTCTTCTCGCGCTTCCAGGATTGAAGAGATACAAAAAGAGTTTACGCACCAAAGGTGAACAGGAACATTTCTTGAACCACTTGAGAAAGTACATTGATATGTACCAAACCGATTGTGCTTGGGAGGTGTCTACAACTAATCGCTACACTATCACCACCTACGAGGCGGCCGTCACAGCCAGGAGACGCATCAGACAGGGAGACACGATCAAATATCTTACCGGCACACTAGTCCCTCTGACCACCGAGGAGTCGGCTGACTTGGACTTGACGAATCGCAACTTTAGCATCGTCGTTTCCAGTCGCAAGAAAAATTCTTCCATCTTTTTGGGTCCCGCTCGCTTCGCCAACCATGACTGCGATGCAAATGGGCGTCTTGTGACGCGTGGAGAAAATGGCATGGAAGTCGTTGCCATGAAGAATATTGAGGTGGGCGACGAGATCACTGTTTCATATGGCGATGACTACTTTGGAGATGGCAATATCGACTGCTTGTGCCATACGTGTGAACAACTCGAGCGGAATGGCTGGACATCCAAGGCTGGCATCCTTGACACTCCTAGTCGCGCCTGCACTCCACTTAATGAACCACAAACAGCTGTCCAACCTCGAGGCCTAAAACGGAAAAGAAACTCAAATCCTTCATACTCTTCTTCCGTACCTCCCCCATCGAAGCATGCCAAAGTCGTCCAGTCGCCGTCCAAATTGCAACATTCTTGGACGCCATCGGACAGTCCAGATGCGGAATTGCCACTACTTCCAATAGAGCGAAAGTCCGAACCGATCGAAAATCTGCGAGCTGTGGTTTCCGAGGTAGCAGCGACACTCTCGCCACCTCATAGTCCTTCCCAGTCAGAAAAACGCGAGTCCGGAAAGTCATCCGTTCAGTTGGACCCAGAGTCTTCGGCTCCGGAAGATAGTATGGATCATGCACTTGAGTCCCGGACGTCGCTTGGCTTATCAAAGGCACAAGCGGATTACAGTGAAAGCAGGAAGGTTGCCAAACTTATAGGCAAGATATCATCGCGTGCTTTGTTGTCCCCAGCACCGACTTCTCCTTCCAGCCATGGTTCTACACTCGAGGCGGGCCCAATGAGCCGGCCAAATGAGGCTCCTCATAACATCGACGCAGTTGTCACAATCAAGGTCGAAACGGTCGAGACAACGAAGATGGAGGAAGATGAGGATACAATTATCGTTATTCCGTCTAGGCGAAACTCTGCACAAACCAGTAACAACGTTCACAAACCGCAAGAGCACCATACTACATCGACCGTGCCTCACGCTATCTCGACTCTGTCCACCACAACAGTCAGTAAAGAGGTCCGTCCTGTCGACTCGTCCAGAGCTGCAGCCACGGAAAATAGTGTGTTACCATCCATAGAACCGATCAATGCCACAACCACCGTGGCCAAATTGACGGTCCACCCAGTGACTGGCACCATCCGCATTGCTGGCGACTACATTCTCACGAGAAAGTTGCTTGCCCAACCACATGATCGGTGGGTGCAATGCCACAACGATAAATGTCTCGGTTTCTTCATTCAACCCAACGGATACCAGACGAGGCGGGAGTGCCCGCGATGCGAGCGCCATAGTATGCTCTATGGATATCCCTGGCCAAAAACAGACCCAGATCCGCGCAAATTGCTTGAGCGCAAGTCTCAGGGCAATGGTCGTGGTAAGAAAAACAACGCTCAGGCAATCGAGTACAGTGCGTACAGACGGAAGGGGAGATGTGGGAAGGGGACGTGGGTGGAAGGTGGAGGAGACCCAGAAGAACGGGTTATGGACCATCGCACGATCCACCGCTTCGTATTGCCCGAGGAGGAGAGAGAGTTGACTCGAAAGGGTCTACTGAAAGAAGCAGAAGTTGCTCGAGCGGCTGGGGACCATGCCTTAGCCATCTTGGAGGCGAGGATGCGCGCAGGTTCCAGCTCTGGGGTCCTCAACCACGGAATGGGAACGGAAAGTGCTACGAGGGACGCAAGCGAGAGTGGGAGTGCCACTCCTGATGAGTTGAGGAGGAGAAGCAATCGCTTTGTCACGAGGCCTGTGGGTGTCTACACAGACAGATTCTAGGCGCAGATGTGGGAACATGTACCCAGGTACAGTGACAGCAAGAGGTAATGTCGACGTCGTCAATGACGTTGTTTGACCTGCAGGAAGAGGGGGAAATACCGAGGGTCTGAAGAATCGAGACGCGGTGGGGAGCTGTGGTCATTATTCTTTGTGGAGAGCAAGGAGGGTGAACCTGTACCCAGAAAGCAGAGAGGAAGATCAGTACATAATGCTGTACCAGAGTTATTCCGGACGTTGGCTGTTGATCACGAGCAATTTGGAGACCATACGAAATCAGCCGAAGATGTTGTGAGAACATAGCTCGACTGTACAAGGTACGGAAAAGCAACATAACGTTGAAGCCTGTAGCACACAGTGCGTCAGGGCCATAGATATTTTCAACACGATCCGCAAAGGGGGTGCCGACGTCAAAAAGGAGCCAATAGCGCCGAGCTGATAACGAAGCCTTATCATTCGCGCTAAAGGATTTGTTCCTCAACCTGGATCTTGTTTCTGCGCGGAGAAGCAGATTGACATCACTCAAAACATGCTTGTAAACCTGCAACCAAATCATTGCTGTCATGATTGGGCAGATAGTGAACGAGCCGGCTCGAGACCCCAGCTGCGTCGTGGCTTGCTGCTCATCGCAAGCCGCCTCGATGCATCCAAGCCTCAAATGGGGCTTCAAACGGATGACTCTAATCGTTGCTTCCTTTCACCTTCTTTGATCAGGCTCAGCGAGGCACATCATTCAGGCTTGAGACTGTGCCTTGCTTGTCAAATATTCTGACTTCTCTTATCTCCCCTTGTCTAAGCCGTTCTCAGAGCTATAGTCCTTCAAACATGCCTGATCCAATGACTCTACAGGAAGAATCAGATCATTTCTCACCATACCGAACAGATGGGAAACTGTATGGCTTCGTCTGCGTAGTCACTGGCGCCAACATGCCAGTTGGAGCTGCCATCGTGACAGAACTGGCCGGTATTCAATCCTCTCCAACCAAAATCAGCTCCCCCAAGACTAACATGGCCACAATACTAGCACATGGAGCAGCCTGTATATACGCATGCACCGCATTTGACCAACCTTCGAGTCTTCAATCGGACCTTTCGAAGCTCTACCCAAACACTCAGGTCATCTCCTACCCTTACTCCATCTCCTCCGAACAAGACACGCTGGTCCTCATTGACGAAGCTCTAAACGCTTGGGGCCGCCTTGACGTCTGGGTCTGTTCCTCTGGGCTTCTGGGCCCGCCTTCAATAGACCAGACGACCCCGCAAGATCTGCAGAAATGCTTCGAGGCCAACAGTCTCGCGCCGTTCTTCGCCTTGAAATACGCGCCCCATGCGATGCAGAAGACCACATCAAAAGGGAACTATCTCAACGCCGCGCCCAAAGATCAGCGGTATGGAAGTATCATTGTGGTGACATCCACGGCGAGCACGTACGGCGGATGTTGGGGTCCGTGCTTCACAATGAGCTGCCATGCTGCACTTGGCGTCGTCCGCTCGGGTGTCGCAGTCCTGAAGGGTACAGGCGTGCGCATCAACGCCATCTCTCCTGGTCAGATCGATGTGGGGGTGAGCCTCAACGAGTTCGGCACAAAAAGTACTTTGATGGGATATAACACTCAATTACCTCCTGCAGCCCTCCAGAGCCCGACGGCGCAGAAAAGCAATATTGGACTCGAAAGGGCCGGAACACCAGCAGAGGTTGGAAGGGTTGCAGGCTTCTTGGCCTCGGGTTTTAGCAGCTACATCACAGGGGCGAACATGGTTGTGGATGGAGGAGCCAGTGTCATGTCTCCGTTGATGGTGCCCATATAGTGATTGACGTGCAACGCAAAATCGAAAGTGGACAAAATTGTGAAAAAGCAAGATCGACTGAGTCTTCTGTTGTCGGTAGCCCTTGAAAAGTAGATACAGTAGGTCGCATTCCCATGGCAGTATTCTCTCAGGCATCATGAGAGAGCCGTCACAATGTTGAGATACTTGATTGTAGGGAGTGACTATCTAACAGTACCTGCACGATGATAGATCGGTCCTGCTAGCGAAAAAAGACTCCCCTGGAGAATGATTTATTCTGGGCACCGTATGATGATGAAGAAGCCATAGAGACAAAGCAGTTCATGATAAGGATTGAGTGCCATCGGTTTACTTTTGACTCCAGCGAAAAGTGGCCGGAGTCCATGAATTGGTTTAACTGTACTCTGTATACACACGGCCCTCGATCCGGGCAAGCTGAGGTGAAGGAGGGAAGAAAACAAGGCTTGGCCACCACCTGCATTCTCAACATCGACACACATAACACCGGCTTACCCAGTACATCAAAGCGTACCTACTTTGGTAAGTATACAAAGGCAGGGATGAAGGAAGCAAGCTCATAAGAGTGGTTGGAGAGAAAATTATACGGGCAGTCCGGAAAACCTGCCCTTCTCGGTTCCGCATTGTTTCTCGATCCTCTATTTGCTCCCCCGAACTTTTTCAACGACTGGATGAATTGGACGATTGAGCTTCCCATAACCAGCACATGTGGTAAGTGGGAGCGATCTAGAAAATGTCTCCTCGATCGAGAGGCGCAAAGAGCGTCGCAGATGCTTTCGGTATGTTCTTCACACTCAGACAGTCACTAATGGCAAAGCTGACACCTCGCTGAAGCATCGCCCTCACTCCACCACGTGTGCTCTTCATGTCTCCAGACTCTATCCAAACGGAATTACGCCTCTGCCGCAACGGCCAAAGCAAGCCTTGAATCCCAGATACCCCCGCCTATCACTCAACTATCGCCGTCGGGACCTGAGGCGTCCCTGTCGCCCCAACCACTTTACACAATCAAAGCCGGGATCGTCCTTTCCCGCCCGCCCCTGATCACACCAGACCCTCATCCCTTTGAGACAGCTTTTCATCTGTATCAGCGCCGCCTCAACGAGCGTCTTGTGTTACCTTTTACGCAGTACTTCTACTACCGCCGCAATACACCTGCATTTGAAAATTGGCGCAAACATCGCCGTGAGCGAGGCGGCGCCGCAACACGCGACATCGGGAAGTACAACGCGTACAGTCCGGAGGCGTGGAATGACGAAGTACTCGTGGGTGACGAGACCGGGAAACCAGAGAAAATACTAGAGCAACTTATCACTGAGGAGGGCAGAGCTGACGAATTCACTGGCCAAGGGGATTCTAGGTTTGCGGGGTTGAGGAGGTTCACGGAGGCAGACGAGAAGAACAACCAGAGGAGCTTGGAGAGGAGGCTGCAGAGGACGTTGTATTTGTTGGTAAAACTGAAGAACAAGGGCGGACAGGCAAAGGAGAAGGACGTGGACAGCGACAGTGAGAAATGGTTGTGGAGGTTTCCCTCTGGTCCGGTTGTTGGGTTTGAAGGGTTGAAAGAGGTGAGCGAACACGAATTTTGCTATTGCTTGGAGTTGTGTTCGACTAGCCTCCGGTTCTTCGTGCGCATGGGTGAAGGTAAAGAGCTAACCGAGATCTTTGACAAATGCAGGCCGCGCAACGCATCCTCTTCAGCTCACTAGGCCCGAACATGAACACCTTTTTCGTCGGCAACCACCCAGTTGGCCACTACGTGGCGCGCTTCTCTTCACCGCGCCCGCGCCCATCTACGCCCCCTTTGTATGTCCCTGGATCCTCAGCCTCTGCAACTTCAGAATCTATAGAACATCCGACCTCTTCAACACCGTTGTCAGCGACGACACAGGTTGAGAAAGCCAGCGACTCGACACCCCTAAAACAAGACCTTGCCGCAACACAGGGCTTAGTCGACGGCGAAAAGACCTTCTTCATGAAAGCGCGGATAATGGCAGGCCAAGCAGACGTCTCCTACTCTACTATCCATGCCAATCCCAGTGAGAAAGGATCAAAAACGTTGACGGATACAAAAGCTGCAGGCGTTGTCAACGGTGAGACTAAGGACAAAAAGGGTGTTGTCGTGGATATGGGGTTGGATGAAATCGAAGACTTCAAATGGTTGAGTAAAGATGAGGTGGAGAAGCATGTGCATCCGGACTACTGGGTCAAGGTGAAGAACATGCTTGTGACACAGTGAGATACAACGGACCTACTCAATACAGGCCCTTGGGAAAGCGCAAAGACCATAAAATCAAGGGAAACCGGAGGCAGAAACAACAATCCCGCGTCTCGAAGACCTACTCTATCCAAACTGCAATGGAACAAAGAGGGCCGGAGCACTGTCTCGTATTGCAAGGGAGCATCCAGAGAGCGCGTAGCAGGAGAAGGGAGAAAAACGCTACGCGCGAAAGGCGAATTTTTCCAAGGCTAGGCCCCTGGCTATAAGGGACGAGCGGGAAGAGAGCAGGCATCCGACAGTCTCCATGTAGTATTCGCAAGTGTATATTGAAAAGGGGAGATCTGTACAAAATAGACGGGCGAAAAGGTGAAGACGAGGCAGCACGATAGCATCTCATCACCTTATTCAATTCAATGTATTCTTGGCCTTCCAACTCGGAAAGGAGGAAGTGAGAAGATATGAGACGAGATAGCCTGTATCTAGGGCATCTATTTCGTCCTTTGCCTCATCTAAGATCCAAAAGACTTGACGCATAACTCTCCAAGACGAATGCCAGTCTCGAGAATGTCCTATTTTGCATCCCCCCCCCCCCCCAAAACAAATGACCAATCCTGGTTGATATCTTCCTGCATAGATTGCCGTATCACCTTTTCTTCCTTCGCCCATGCTAAGTAAGTATTGTCAAAACCTCACAAGCAAATCCACGACCACGCCGCGGTGATCGCTCATCCACACCTTGTCGTCGAAGCGATTCGGCAGGACGCCGTAGCCTTGCACCATTTCCCCGACTTGGTCATAAGATTGTCCCTGTCCCGATCTCGCCGCCTGCTCTCCAGCGTCTTCTCCCTCGTCTTGGCTTGCCTCGACTGGAATTCCCAGATGGACAAAGTCGATCCGTTCCCTGCCCTCGGCGGCGGGATTGGGAGGGAACCCTGTGAACGTGAGTTCGTTCCCGTACGCGTACATTTTGCCGTCCTTGTTGTTGTCCGACCCGACGAGGCGGCGGGTGTCCACGAACCCGGACCCGGGGGCGTTGAGGATCTGGTAGGCGTCTCCGTCCGGGTGGCTGTTCAGATCCCCCGTCAAGAAGGTGAATGTCGGACTGTACTGCGATCGAAGGCGGGAGGCGACCCGGCGGATGAGTTTGGCGGATTCGCGGCGGGATATCTGGCCCTCGTTGTCGAGGTGGGTGTTCATGGCCAGAATGAGCCGGTTGGCTTGTTCGCCCAAGGCCGTTATCGACGTGGTCGAAGTCGAGGGCAGGTGGTCATCTGCAGTGTCGTTGACCAGCACCGACTCCAGCACGGCGCACGTCAAGATGCGGACACTGTCTGCGTCCCAGCCCTTCTTGCCCACTTCGCCGGTCTCGTTCAACCAGACTGTTTCGAAATGGATGCATTTCCACGCGGACTTGCGGAAGAAGATGGGGCTGTACTCTCCTTTGGTTTGGCCGTCGTTGCGGCCCACCCCGACGTAGGTCCAGTCGTTGTCATCACCGCAAGCTTGTGACGACGACGACGACGAGGTATTGGTGTTGAACGTCCGACTGTGCAGGTCCAACAGCTGCTCGTGGAGCACCTCTTGCATGCACACCAGCGTTGACTGGGGAGCGAAGTGTGGGCGCGTGTGGTACTTGAAGTGGCTCGAGAGGTAAGGGAAGCGGTCTGGCCAGAGCTTCTCGCTCTCGTCGGGTGTGTCGGTCGCAAAGCGAATGTTGTGAGTCAAGATCCTGACCGGGAGCACACTAGATAACGACACCTCCTGCGTTGCTACCTCCCCTGGCATGAGTTCTGGTGGGCAAGATGCATCGCCCATTTTGAAGTATTTGGGCAAATTCGCCGGGGAATATGAAGCAGATGAAACTCCAGGAGACGAAGAGATGCCTACAGGACGTAGACTTAGGAAAGACACTCCTGCTTCAATCTATTCTTTTCCCGCAAGCCCTATGACTATTCGTTCTGGGGCGACGAAAAGTGCTATGAAGCGAGGTCGAGGGATCTATTAGGATCGAGTTACAACAGCTAATAAATATAGTTTGCGGGACAAAGACGCTTTGGGGTGACAGGTGCCTCCGTTGTGCTAAGACCTCGCGCGTATCACAACATGAACGGGAATTAGCTTTTCTCTGACATGGCCACGTTTGAGGACGTGACAGAACGGTCAGCGCAAAAAGGGGGATCGTCAACAACAAACACAGCTGAACCTTTGGAAACACAGAGATGCCAGCGAACAAGCATCAGAACCAACGGGAGCGCGATGGGCCGTTGTTGTTTCAAATGACGTCATTTGTAGAAGAATTATATGAATGCAGAGGAAACCTGTAGTCGCCGAGGGCAGCCACATGAGGACCTCAAGCGAAGTAAGTGGTCGAGGGAGAAGGCGGCGAGCGCAGAATAACGTGTGGCATTCTGGGATGGACTAACGAGTCCTCCCCATGCGTGTTTGACATGCACCACAGGGTAAGCAGCGAACAGAGTGCCAGCTCATCCACTGACCATCATGTCAACAAGCCCCCCGGCCTGCAAGTATCTCTGGCTTGTGTACACACGTGTGCCTGTGGATACCATGATAGGGAATAGAATGCAGGCCAGTCGGGGTTCTGCTGTCCTTCATCTCATGAGCCACGTGGGAATCTTCACTGGAGACCAACCTGCCATCAACCTGAGCCTCATACGAGTGACTTCAGGTGCTAACACGAATCTATCTTCCTCTTCCAGCACAGCTGGTGTCTTTGATGGAATTGGTGCATGCCTTACCGTGATTGACCGGCAGCCTTTTCGGGAATCCTCATGCAGTGTCACATAAGGAGGCACGCTCGTCCTTAGCTTGCCTGCCATGGAACCCGGCCACTAGAAATCTGTTTCATCAAAAAGCATGTTGCATAACTTGTCACGATAGCACCGTTTACTCAATGCTGACTTACTATGCGTTTTGGCCTGTAAACCGCTTGCTTTGAGCTCGGTATTGACGGTCGTACCGAAACAGAGTGGTGAGTGTACAGATCATTCGTGAGACAGGCCTCAGGGCGGTTGGGAGTTCCCAGAAGATCACGCCCATATTTTCCTGTAAACATTGGAGACTGCTAGAACTCTTGCGCAGAGCTGAGCCAGTTCTGAAGTGGTATTCGACGGGGTGAGATCATGGACCAAGATGGAGGCCGCGGGACGCAAGGTAAGATTTAGCGAGATGTCGGCTGGACTTGTCAGACCAACTTTTGACAAAGACGCTAAACCCGATTCTGCCGTTGGCGCCCCCGACGCGAAACTGCGCCTTGAGTCCGACAAAGTCCAGTCCACAATGATCCCATACCAACCAGACCCCCATACTTGCTCTTGAGCGCATCGACTCCAGCTCCGCCGCATCTGGTATGTATCACCTTGTTATCCCTGGTTATTCCCAATGTCTCTGTCATGGTTGTGGCGATGGCTCACAAACTCGGTGGCTGGCTTCTAATCGCCCCATCCAAAATGTCCATCTCTCTTCCCAGCCCAGACCTCATCTCAATGTCTCTCGAGATGGCTAATTCTATCACTAGATACGCGTCCAATCCCTGTGGGCCCTTCACTCTGTGTTTTTTGCTGTTCCTTTCGTGAGATGTCGACATGAGCGATACCCCAGACGGTGGAAATGCGGTCGCCGCGCCTGCTGAACCGGCCCCCTCAGCACCCAGCACCGAAGAGTCGATCGCGCAAGGCAAAGAGAGGGCAAAAGAGATCCTCGCCGCGTCTGGCATTGACGTCGTGAGGAAAGATTCGTCGACCGAGGCCAATGGCCACGATGGCAGCCCCAACGCCAATCGAAAGCGCAAGCGCGAAACCCCGATAGATCGTATCCAAGCAGCTGTCTATGTCGACCATGAGTACCACTACAAGGCCCTCTACGCAGAACAGCTAGCCCATCCATTGCTCTCACTAGAGAAAAAACAAGAACTAGCGTTGTATCAGAGCCTCCGACAACGTCGGGACCATGACCCTGGCTCTGTCTTTGGGTACGGCTACGCGGGGTATGGCAATCCCAGGACAGACGAAAAGAATCTCCGCGATCCCATAGTATATCCACGTCAAAGAAGACCCGGCAAGAAAAAGACCTTACCACCTCGAGTGTCACGGAAAGAGCTCAGCATCCAAGCGGAACAAAGCGAAGAGCTGGTGCCCATCCGGCTTGACATCGACTGGGGCAAAATCAAATTGCGGGATACCTTCACCTGGAACCTCCACGACCGAACGACCTCCGTTGACTATTTCGCCGAGAAGTTGGTCGAAGACTTCGGCCTCGAAGTTCAGAACTGTCGGCCCCTCGTTCAAGCGGTCGCAACCCATATGCGCGAGCAGATAATCGACTATTGTCCTCAGATCTATGCAGATGACGAGTCGTGGGAGCCGTCCCTGCCATACTTTGCCTATAAAAATGATGAAATGCGTATTTTGGTCAAGCTCAACATCACTATAGGCCAAAACACACTCATCGACCAGTTCGAGTGGGAAATCAACAATCCATTCAACTCTCCCGAAGAGTTTGCACGGCAAATGACGACCGATTTATCCCTAGCTGGAGAGTTCACCACTGCGATTGCACACTCCATACGTGAGCAATGTCAATTGTTTTCGAAATCCTTACACATTACGGGACACCCATTCGATGGCCGGCTGATAGAAGATCCGGACCTGAGAGAAAACCTCTTGCCATCACCTTTCCCAACCACGTTTCGTCCTTATCAAGCAGCCAAGGACTATGGACCATATCTGTACGAACTCAACGAAGCGGACCTGGAGCGGACTGAGCTCTCCATATCTCGTGAACAGAGGCGGCAGAAACGTTCAACGAATCGTCGTGGGGGTCCTGCTTTACCAGATCTCAAGGACCGCCAACGCACAATCCGGTCGCTTATTGTTTCATCTGTCATTCCCGGGGCTGCTCTGAGCATGGAGGAGAGTCGAATATTCAGAATTACCAAGGCGAGCCGGAAGTCAGCACGCGGGCAGCGAGACGGGTTCGAAGATTCCGACGAATCAGATAGTGAAGATTCGGCACCTGATTCACCAGCTATTCCGACTCACTTGTTACAACAAGGCACTGCCCGTACTAGAGGTATTAGGAATGCCGCGCTGTCGGCCACCGCTGGCATCAGATCGAATCTGAGCGGCTTTGCATCGGTGAGATCTGCAACACCGGAGTCGATTGCGCCTACACATCACGATGGCCGAGCTTCTGCTAGGAAGAGGGACTACAAGGAAGAGAGCGACGAAGAATCTACTTCGGGCAAACTGATTGTGGTATTGAAAGTGGGAAAAGCTAAGCTTCGAGAGTGGATGCGATCCCAACGAGCCAAGGACAGGGCGGCTCATGTCTCTAATATGTCGAATCAAGGCAGCCCACGACCTGGCAGCCACTCCCGATCTGTTTCCGCAGCTCCGTTGAATCTCGCAGGCATGCCGCCTCCGCCATCACCAGTCCCAGCAGCTGCAGATATCCCAGGTGCCGTTGATGCAACGCCGAGTCCGATCAATCCTCCCGTAAGTTCCCTCACCTCCGCTAGACTTGGATTTGTACTTACATTCTCTCCCCTAGCCCCCGCCGCCTGACTGGCTTCTTCGAGATCTAGAACGATTGCGGAAGACGTACCCCAATGACCGCTTCGAGGCTCTCATGAAGCACACAGCGATTGACCCAAAGACTCAGAAGCTTGTTGCCCCCAACGAGACGAATCACTCTTTTCCGCATAAATACGTCCCACGTATCAGATGCTCTGACTGTCTTGTATGTTCCCTCACCGTTTGGTAGTCTCTCTTGTCTGTCGAGCAGCCATTTTCATTTGGAATCCCAGCATTGATAGGAACTGACCGTGATCCACAGGGCAAAGTCTACCTACCTGGCGAAGGTCTCAGCGCTACAAATTTTGAGTCTCATCTCAAGAACCGCATCCACAGATCCAATGTGGACGATCGGCTAGCGAAGGGATCATGATCTACTCACAACATTTATTATTGCATCACACGCGGCTTCAAATGGTCCAACCCTGACACATCATATCTAAGTGCACCCAAACCTAAGCACTCTACGAAACTTTCCCTGCTACGAGGCTGAGGTCACGTGGAGCACGTCACTCCCTTTTGGTTACACACATTCTGTTCGTTGGACGCTTCCTCGAAGTCGAGGAATTCAACACCGAGGAAGCAGTACACAGAAACGAGGGTGATGCTTCGAGGCAGCACCACATTGCCATGCTGTTAAGATTTTGATCAGAGGTCTGCAGACTGCATCCTCATACTGATCGGAAATAGCCGGCGCATCCCTGTTAAAGTGATACCTGAGGCTGACTGGGCGCGGGAAGACCATTGTCGGAACTAGGGACAAAGAAACGAAGCTACGCGATGATAGAGACTTTGTGAAGCAAGCCGTTGGATGTGCATTCAAAGACATTCCATAAGTTACTTCTGTTCTGTCCTGCGATATGCGCGGCGAGAGTGCAGCGGTACTGTAGATTTAGAGAAACCTTGGATGCTGTTTCTCAACGGGCTGCCTTATCAATTTGAATACTTCGAATTATAGAAAATCGTTCTGTCACTGACTATAGCTGTCGTGGAAGGAAGGGCATTCCCCTGGTCGTGTGATCTTGGAAGACTCAGTCAAAGCATTGCTGCCTCGCTATAGGTAGCTTTGCATCCCCGCATCCACACAATGGAAATTCACATCGCACCCCACTATCCAACTACTACGTTAAATATCCCCTTCAAAAGGGTTGAATGCTAGTAACTTCACCTGTGATCTTTTTGGACGACCCTGCTTGCTCAAAATGGCCGATGCAGCAGTAGCAGAAGGGATTAACAACCCAGACAACCTCACCAAGTAAATGTGCACCATCGACGGGTAGATCTGCATTTTACTGACGTTAGGCTCAGGTACAAGACCGCCGCGACAATCAGCCACAAAGTCCTCGAGGAGGTGTCCAAATGGCTGGTTGAAGGCGCAAAGATTGTTGACCTGTGCATCAAGGGGGACGAACTTCTCGAGGCCGAGCTCAGCAAAGGTGAGGCTTCTCTCTCGCGTCACAAGTTGGTGATGCATTCTCAACTATGACTGCGGACACCACTTCCTCCACACATTGTGATCTAACATGCACACCTCTGCAGTCTACAAAGGAAAGTCCATCAACAAAGGAATTGCGACCCCTTGCACAATATCCCCTAGCGCCCATGTCACCCCTTTCACCCCTCTGGTCTCCGACGCCGATGACGCCGCCATGACCATCAAGGCTGGTGAGATGGTCAAGATTCAGTTGGGAGCACAGATTGATGGGTATGGTGCAATTGTCGGAGACACTGTTGTAGTGCCACAAGAGAAGGGCAAGAAGGCAGAGATCACGGGCAGAGAGGCAGACTTGCTGCTCGCTACATACTATGCCAATGAGCTCCTGCTCCGACTCATGGTGCCCCCGGGGCTGTTGGTGAGCGGCACCGAGGAAGAGAAGAAGAAGGCTGCCGCCGAAAAGCCGCCTACACAGACCAAAATCATCTCGCTGGTTGAGAAGGTCGCAAAAGCCTACGACGTCCACGTCGTCCAGCACACAACCTCGTGGCTGTTTGAGAAAAATGAGATCGAAGGCAAGAAGAAGATCATCCTGTCTCCTGCTGATGGTGCCAAGGGTGAAGGCTCAGCGGACGTCGGCGAGGTCTGGGGAGTCGAGATGGGCATGAGTCTGGGATCTGGCAAGGTCAAGGAGCTGGACAAGCGATCTACTCTGCTGAGGCGGACCACTACGACGTACGGCTTGAAGCGGCCGAGCTCGAGACAGGTTCTCTCCGAAATCGTCAAGAAATTCGGCACCTTCCCGTTTAGCTTACGCCAGCTGGATGACGAGCGAGCCGGCAAGGTCGGCGTGGTTGAGTGCATCAGATCTGGAGTTCTACGTGAATACAAGCCAGCCGCAGAGGCGGATGGTTCTCCGGTCTCGCGGCTGTTCACCACTATTGGTAAGTTGAATGATCCTGCGTTTGATTTTGACGCATCATGCTGACTGTCTGGGTCTTTCTTGCAGCAATCACAAAGAATGGCCTTACACGCCTAGCAGCCCCGCCTCCGCTAGATCTGGAAGCCGTCAAGTCGGACAAGAAGATCGAAGATGAAGAAGTTCTATCGATTCTCGAGCGACCGCTCAGTAAGTCCACTGGCTCCAAGAGCAAGAACAAGAAGAAAAAGAAGAAGCCAGCCAAGAAGGCCGCGGCCGCCGCCACTACTGAAGACGACGACGACGACGACGATGATGATAGCGACGAAGAATGAACAGCTCGTCCTCACCAAAAGCCACCGAAAGCTCTTAGCTGGTTGGGCAGACATAAGAGTCATTGGGCAACGAGGTCAATGGGCCGCTGGGAAAGTCGCCTTTGACGTTCCACAGAGATGCATGAGAGCTGGTTGGGTATCTGACGCGACCAATGCTCACAACCGAGAAGAAGCGTGTTTCAGGACCGTTGGAGGACCTCAGGAAGGAGAGCACATGTATGGTGCTTATCACCGCCGCTCTGGTGGCCGCAACGCAATGAGGCAATGAAAATGAATGGAAAATGAGCAGAAAAATAGGACTACCCAGAGAGCAATGAACGAGAGAACCGTTGCAAGCATGATTTTATGTGATTCTGCCAGGGGTTCTCGTACTAACGGGGCTCTCCCATTAGGCTGTAGATGAAGAGGGGCAAAAGCCAGGGAGGCAGCGCTGTACAAGTCGCCACGTCATGATGAACACAGTGATTGTTGCCTAAGATCATGTCAAGAAGTGGTATATGGATGACTTGTCTTCAGCTAAACAAATCTAAGAGGCCTGTGACCGGTCGCGAGTGTGTTCCTACAACATCTCTGGGACAAGTGGGTGCGAGGTAATACTCTGAGGTCCACAGCAAACAGGGAAAGGAAGAGAAAAAGGGATTCTCTCAAAACAGGGAGCTCTCAGCCTTGGGGGGTTCAACAGGTTTAGGGGAGCCAGGGAAGCCGAGTGGTCGCCGCTGCGGAGGCAGGCGGGCGACTGGGCAAAAGCTGCAACCCTGCGCAGGCTGGTTGGGTGCACTGGGGGCAGCTGGGTGCAGCTGGGCGGTGGGCTAGTAGGCTAAGGCTAAGTGCCCCTTGCCCGATTCTTTTGTCACCACTGGATTCTGGCATTTCCTCGTTTGCGGAACCACAACACCATGCGCCATTAACTCCCTCCTTCTCGCACCTCGTCACAGCCTGCGCCCTCTGCCCGCTGAGCCGCATCCAAGGCTACAGTAAGTCTTCGTCTTGCACCTTGTGACACGTCCCTGAACTAATTCTCAAGCAGTCGGCGCGTGCGGCGCGGAGAAAAGAAGGCAGGATGGCCACCAGATCGTTGCGGCACAGGTCGAGCCGCTACTCGAGTCCCGCAACTTTTGGGGAAAAAGAGGCTGCACCAAAGCCCGCCGAGGATCTCTTGACAAGAAATGGTCAACAGACGAGTCTGGACAAGTGGATTGAGCCGACTGTGCGCCCTGCGGTCCCCAGCTTTGAAGACACAAAAGGTCTTGAGAGGGTGGGTGTGCTCGAGAACATGCAGCCCCTGGGGACGGCGCCTTCTCAACGACTGCTACAAAAGCTCAAATTGAACTATGTTCGCCCCTCGCCACGACCAGCTCCCGCACAGGTGGAGGAGGTTGTCACTCCTGTGGCAGAACCTGAAAAGGTGGACTCTGCTTCCCCGTTGGAGGAGGACGTGGCAGTCACAACAGCGACAATTGAGGCCGAGCAGCCTGAAATATTGTCCGATATACCACCAAACCATCCACCGCCATCTGATACAATCGTCATTTCCAGTCCCCCGCGTGGTCGGCCTCCTCGGAGAGATATTGCAGAGATGCCACAAGCAACAACGGTGTCGCCGTCTCCCGCCACGTTGTCATTGACGCCGACCACCCATGTTTCGCCCAAACCGTTATCAATTCAGCAGCAACTACGGCAAGACCGTCTTCGCACCCATATCGACCGTGCTGTACAGGAGGCGCATCAGAAGAACACGCCAGATCTGGTACGTGGGCTTCAAAGAATCTGCGACGATGCTCAGCTGAACCCTGAGTTGTGGAATGTGTTGGAGGCCTTGGTCAACAAATCTCCCTCCTCCGAGCAGTTTAAAATTTTCAAGCGCTACATCAAGTCGGGCGTCAAGCAGCATAGGAGAGAAAGTCAGATGTCTGCGAGCCCATATCAACATTCTCCTCAAATATTCAACGACCTTGCCTCCCCTGAACACCGAGACCGCTCACCGAAGCCTCACCACTCAGACGCCAACGCACCCTTGTATTCCGAAGAGCGGCCTCGCAGAATCAACCTCTACTTCAACCTTCCTCGCGCTGCAGCTGCATATGGCTCTGAAGAAGCGCCAGTGTCGCCGTCTACAATTTTGCGCTCTGTGGACGTCGCTGAACCCGGCGGAAAATCTATCCACCACGCCTCCAATTCGTCACCGCACAAGCGGAAAAGATCGGGCAGCGTGTCTACCATCTCGTCGCTTTCATCGGCTCCCTCGATCCCTGATGAAATCCCACCTCCCTGGGAGCCACATGGTGACGAGCCGGCAGGGGGTGGCCGATCCAGATCAGCTGGACAGCGCCAAGCCGCAAGCCGGGCGGCAGCTGGCAACAGACTCCGTTCAGCTGCCAGTGCCACCACTCTCCCTTCTCACGCTGCTCCCAAACAATCCTTTCCAGAAGTTGCAACTTCGTCCAGGACGAGCTCCAACAAAAAGTTCAAAAAATCGCGGGAAGAAACCGAGTTCGACATTGATGAGCTTTCTAGACGGAAGCGGCTTTATCTGGATGATAGCTTCCATGATTACAACACCATTCCTCGACCCGAGAGCCACGAACGCGATCCTGTCCACAGCCATCCAGTGCGACCCACATCTATCGACAATCCTCCTCCTCCCGTCATTCATCCAAACCGCCTGGTCGTTCCCACCGCCACATTGACGTCTCCCGTGAGCGCTCAGGCTCCGCCTGAAAACACCTTGGCCAACGGAACCGGTCGCAAGAGAAGATACGATGAGCTGGACGTTGATGATTTCGAGGATACGACGCCCGATTCATCCTCTCCTGGTCCGCTGCTTGTACCACCACCGCCGCCGGGTGTGGCAAACGCTCACCCCCGGGGTGCGACCCCAAGGTCGACCAGGCTTCACCCGGCACAGAAAACACGCAAATCTGCGCGGGTTATGGTATCGTACGTATAGCCCTCTGATCTCTATAATCCCTTATGCAGCGCTTTGAGTGAGATAATTTGGGGGCGGTGGATGTTGTTGAGATAATCCGGGGGGTCAGGGCTCCCATGCCAGGCTCCCACCGACCTGTCTGGGAAGACTGCCACTGGGGAAACCGTCTCATCGCTCTTCGATATGCGCCTTGGGATATCTTGGCTGACTTTGGACTTATAGGCCCAACAAGCCCAAGAATGGCGGAATCACGGCAGGAATTGCACGTGCGGGGCCTAGGCGTGATGCTGGGATCGGCAATTTGAATGGAGCGGATTCAGGCGCAGAGGTACGAGACAAGCCCTGGGCAGCCCAACCCAATTTTTCTTCCTTTTCCCCCCCGGCCACACCAGGCTCGAGTCCTGCCACGATTGGCTCCAGCCTGCGATCCCCCCTTACCACCTTGACTCCCCCTTCTAATCCCGTCCTCATCATTCTTTGGGGCCTTTCTTTTTCCTTGATCCCGAGTTCCTGCCCACTTTCCGTTGCCTGCTTCTCCGTTGCTTCGAGATTTCTTGATCTGTCTTTGTTGTCGACCTCCCCACCGGTCATAGTGATTGATGTTGCACCTATCAATTACTGACTTGATTTTTCAGGATAACGACGAGTTCTGCGCTTCGTGCGGTGGCGAAGGGAAGCTTCTTTGCTGTGATGGCTGTACGAATTCTTTCCATCATGCCTGCTTGGAGCCGCCCCTGAATCCGGATGAAGAGGTCGAAGGTGAATGGTTCTGTCCGCGATGTGTTGGCCGGCGAACGAAGCAGGTCCCTCATCCATCCGGGCTTTTTGGCATGGTGATTCGCCGCGTCGACGATATTATCCCGAAAGCCTACACACTTCCTTCCGACATCCGCGACTACTTTGAGGGAGTTCGAACGGGAGACGAGGGCGAGTATGAAGAAGTTGGCCTCCCCCGCACCCAAAACAACACGGCTAAGATGAACCGAGCTGGCTTTATCGAGGAGCCCAATTACAAGGAGACTCGCGACAGCAAAGGCCACATCATCAGATGCTACCGCTGCGATATGACTGCTAACGGCCGGGACATCATTCCTTGTGACTTTTGCCCAGCGAGATGGCATTTGGATTGTATAGATCCTCCTCTTGCAGTGCCGCCGCGCCGCCGCCCGGGTGACAAACCCGGTGCATCATGGCGGTGTCCTCTCCACGTCGAACACGATCTGGTGGCTGTTGGTCGGCAGAGTGAGAAAGCTCCCGGGGAGCTCGGTCGCGTGCCTCGATTACGCAAGCCGAAGAATGCGGTACCACTCGATGTCAGCGTAACTCGAGGCTTCCGAAACAACGGAATCATCGAGGTCGATCTCATGAAAGACGAGCCCGAACTTGACAAAACGAAGGAAGTCCAGATGCATGGCAAAATTTACCGAATTCCAGAGATGGGTATCAGACTGGATTTTATTGATCGTGTCAAAAAGAGCTGGTACGAGGATCAATCCTTCCCCAGACAAATGGACGCCCCCAAGCGGATACGCAACCGCAAATATCGTCCTGATGGTGCGGTTCTTCACCATCCGCCTCAGCAGACTATCGTCAAGATTCGAGAACCCGACTTCTTCACGGGTGCGAATGCTCTGGCCATCACTGAGACGGCCAAAGCAAACGTCGCCTTGCGGAGACGATCGATCCGAGAACAGCAAACCGTCCTAAATCTGGCTGAGATGTCACAGAGGGGCATCGACGGCTACTCTGGAGACGCGTTGGCAGAACTGACTAATCAACTGATTAGCGAAGCTCCCTCTGATGTGGTGAACGCGGTCGAAAAGACCGAGCTTGATCAACTCCTCGAATTGCAAGAGCTCATCAACAGAAGACTTGCCTTTTTGGGCCACGCTACGAATACCTCACGCTCGATATCCATGGATGCTGAGTCTTTCGATGGCAGCTTCACTGGCGACGAGCTTCCTCCTACCCAAGATCCCAATATTGATCCAACCCTACGAATACTCCCATTGGACAGGCTGCCAACTTCGACACCACCGTCTGCCGATGATGATCTGCCTATCGATCCAGCATTGCACATGGCCTCTGTGGATGACCTTTCTAATCCTAAAATGACGAACGGCGACACTGTCGAGGTCCACGAGATCGAATCCGACGATGACGACGACGACGAAGAAGAAGAAGAAGAAGCTCGCCCAGCTCCGGTCGACGAGGCCGCAGCACGACGGCGAGCTAAGGAGGAAGCTGATCAGCGATGGCTCGACGCCTTCTTTCCGCTGAGGACTGAGACCCCAGCAAGATATAACGGCCCTACGAATACGGCAGCACAGGGTTTTGGAAACCGGAACAGTATCGACAGGATGGAGACGTCGCCTTGACTCTATGCTTCCTTTGGTTGGAAACTCAAGGTCTGAAGCACCCACCGACAGTCCAGGTTACCAGATACCTCCCGAGGCCGCTACCGTAACATCAGCACCCACTCAAGCGTGAGACTTGGCCCCAGAGATTGTGTGCAGAGACGGAAAGCCCTATCTACAGAGTGGTCAGATGCGAGACTGAAAGCAGGGGAGGCTTTATTGCAGCAACCAGACACATCACAGCCCGTTCAGACGAGGAATTGGGATATGGAATCCTGTTTTGGAGTCAAAGTTTTGAAGCATTTTCTGGCTGCCGAGTTGGTCCACAGGTCCAATGTATGACTCGAGCAAAGGCAGATGAGAATCGTGATACGTTAGCACCAATTTCGCTTTTTTCAAAAGTGTGACACGCAGGCATTGGGGCGCGAGATGGTGTTGTATTGTTTCAAGGCGATGCTGATACTGATGCTGTATTCCTGGTCCAGTCCAGCGACATATGTGTACGGCAGGGAAGATGGAGGAGGAGGGGGAGGATGGGGTTTTAGTTGTAGTTAGTAAGAATCGACGGGCCAGACTCGTATCGTATGTACTAAAAGACCAGGGACAAGGGCGGGAAAAGCGCCTTGTGGCTTCTAGATGGAACGGTGTTTTTTCCCATTGAGTGACTGTTGCGACGAGCCAGGACACAGCAGGAGCAGAAGCGGCTGAAGGAGACTGAGACAGGCAGACAGGCAGACAGACAGAGAGACACCAAGTACCTATGTATCTATGTACGTATCTGGTCCAAGATATCATACACGGGCGCCCACCTGTTTCGGTTTGCATTGACCATTGGGCCATAGCTCTGCTCTCTGCTCTCTGCTCTCTGCTCTCTGCTCTCTGCTCTCTCTATTTGTCTCCTTCGTACCCGTCTCTAGGACTACAGTGCCATTAGAGACGACGATATCTCGTCGTGTCACAGAGGACGGGGACACATTGTATTTATTTGTGTCAGCGTCCCCACCCCGCCGCACCTACATAGCCTTACCGTGCCTTGCCCCGCCTCGCCTGTCCTCGGGGTTTTGTATCTTGAGACGTGCTTACACGTCCGTGGATGAGGAAATGTACCTAGATATAAACATGGAACATGAACATGGACATGGACATGGACATGGACACATAGTGGGAAGAAGGAAAGAAGATCGCGGGAGGGAGAGAGGGACTGAGGGAACAACACCTTCTGCCTATAGATAGCACTGGTGGCACTGACCAAGACCAGCTTCGATTCTAATGCTACAGCCTACAAGGTAGGGGGATGTAGCGTCAAGAGTAGGAAAACTTCAAAACAACAGTATCCCTTTGGGCAGGAATCGTGAATGACTCTTGTGATCGGAACGAGGGACGGAAAGCTGTGGAAAGGGACATTTCTTTGGCATTTGTCTGTCGGTCCCGATGGTCCGAATGGCGATCAGCCAGCGATAGGATGGAGTGAACGCACAGCCATGTCCGAGATTCAAAGTGCACAAGAAGTTCTCGACTAAGATAAAGAAACGCCATACGACGCCCCAAGCTTGAGATCCCCCAAAGCTACCAGTCGTTGTTCGTGTAAGTTGCCCATCCTCTCGCATGTACTCCCTGCACGATTTCCCGGTCGCCCTTAGATCAAACGCCCCTGAATGGCTGATGAAAACCACCCCATGTCCAACGTGGTCGGGAAGAGAAGGTCGGAAAACTGCATCTGTGAACTCTGCTTCATCTCTAGCAAGGAGATGTCGGTCTGAGTTGGAAGATGGCACAAACTGTCTTGTGTTTCACCGGGAAAGGTCTGTCAAGATGCCATCGAGTCTTTGCATGTCCAAAATGAGTCCAACGTCCCTCGCATTTGAGAAAAAGTTGCGGACGTAGGAGCAAAGACCTGAGAAGGAAAACGGAAGGAATTGTGCTAGTATCCAAAATCTGATTAGCGTGAGAGAAACTTCGATTGTGATACAGCAAATGTATCACGAACCTCGGAACGAAAAAGGAATCCCCTTGCTCAGTGTCCGAAGAGCCCTGGCCCCGCCATCACAAAATCGTGCACTTCTTGCTGCTCTTTTTTGGTGGAGGTTCCAGCGCCGCCACAATCGCCTCGTCAAACACATCTTTGAGCTTATACTGGGTTAGGGCGCTGCACTCGACGTATTTGACGGCACCCAGATCCTTGGCCATTCTTTCTCCGTCTTCCTTGCGGACAGGCTGCATCTTCTGCTTTGCAAGCTTTTCCCGGACAGATGGATCGTCCCGGAGATCAGTCTGGGTGCCAACAATGAGACAAGGAACTCCGGGACAATGATGGTGGACCTCCGGGAACCATTTTTCTCTCACGTTTTCAAACGAGGCTGGCGATGTGACAGAGAAGCACACAAGGAAGACATCGGTCTGGGGATATGACAATGGTCGAAGGCGGTCGTAATCCTCTTGTCCAGCTGTATCGAAAAGACCCAACGTGTATGGCTCATCACCGATCCTAAGCGCCCCCCCGGTCAGCTCACGTGCTCAGGCTTCGACAGTGTTGTGCCCAAGGGACCAAGGCCATCAGAGCGACGAGATCGAGAAAGAAATCGATTTTGGAGACAAAGGTCACCAGGGCTTTCGGGGGCAAGCAGAACTTCAAGAAATGTGATTGCGTGAACCCGAAAAGTTGGGCGCTGCTTTCTGAAAAGATTGCAGATAGAACTCACATTACCGTCACGGCATAGTTGTCGAAGACTGTCGGGACATATTCGGAGGGGAATTTGTTTGTGGTGTAAGAGATCAACAAGCATGTCTTGCCAACTGCACCGTCGCCGACAACCACACACCTGTGTCGGAATGTCAGTTCGGCCGTCTCACCCAGCCTCAACCAGTAGACTCACTTAATCGTGGCAACAACCATCCCGTTCTCGTCTATCTCAAATATGTCGTCCTCAAGGCGACGAATGCGGCTCGGGTTCAAGGGTCTGATGGGGCGCACTCTTAGTCTCCGTGTCGCCAGCGCGATGTTTTTGAGACGGGATAACATTTTGTCAAACTTACTAGAGTAAGGAGGAGTCAAAGGGTAACGATCGTGTGAGAGGAGATTTAAAACAGGCGGTGTTTGTGAGGCTCGAAGTTATCACTTCACTTTTCTGCCCGTAATATGAGGGCGGTAAGGGAGGTCCAACGGGGAATGACTGTCACTAGAACTGGTGCGTGATATCGAGTGTTTTGGAGAATCAATACTGTCATTTTCCATCAGCTCATGGTATTCCGTCTCTTTTTTTTTTCTCACGGTCGGATGCTCACAAGGTAGGAAGCGAAGGGCGGGTCGAAGGTAGGCGCGAGCAGAGAGCAGGGCGGTCAACGGCCCTAGCGATCAGGATCGAAGAGGAAATTGACCAGCAAGAGAAAGGACGGGTATGTTCAAGAAACAGAAGATCCTGAAGGAAGTCTAGTCCTCAGCAAGAGAGCAGTGGCATTTACCGGAAATGACAAGTTGTGGGAGGAGGCGCGCGAGGATGGAATGGATAAGGGACAAGGTTTGGAAAGAGACGTGATGGACGAGGTCGACCGACGTGGAATGGGAGATGGAGACGCAGATATGGAAGGAGAATGCAGCTTGCCCCGATAGACGAGGGAGGGAAAATAAAGGGTATGGGGGCCGAGGCCTAGCATTAGGCTCAATAGGCTGTGGCTTCGGGGTTGCTTTTGGGGCGGAGCTGCCTGTCTTTGGGCGCCATTCAGCCTGGAAGCCGCCCGCGGTCCGCTTGGTACGGAGGCCTGCAGCGCCCTGCCCTAGCCCTGGCAACCGCAGCTTAGCAGTCCCTAGGGCCCCAATGCGTGCACTAGGCTGAACGGAGTAGCAGGGTGGTTCCCTCCCCCCAAAAGCCGCTCACTCCTTCGGCGACTCTCATCAAACTCAAGATTGCACCTGTCACTTGCAGCAGCGGGAAAAGAAAGGGCTCGCCTATCTTTTCTCAACCTTGACAACACGCAAGCCTCCGTGCGATGCTCGATCCGGCATGGCTCGAAACGCGAAACTCTTGCGCGAAAAGTCAAGCCCCAGACCTGGCGACGGATACATGGTCGGACCACGAAATTCAGCTTGGCGCCCAACACGTCCCCTCGAGCACGCAATTCATGGGCTTTTGGGTACAAAGAACCGGGTCGACCAGCTGGGCTTATCGCTCCCTCGCATCATGGCCAACGGCTCCTCCTGGTGGTTTCCGGGACACCGTCACACGAGTGCTAACTCCTCCCATGTCCGCCCAGAACGCGTTGAATACGAGCCGGTGGCTGCCTCTCCATCGAGGGGGAAACGGCCTTGACGGCCTCTCATGCCCGAGTCTCCAAGGATCTCATCCTGCACAGACCTCACATATCTTTGCTCCCAAACTGAAATGCTTTGGTCGAGTCGAGGCTTGTCCATCCATCACATTTGCTATCAAGTATACTACACCACGGCACAAGCGCGGGTGATACCTCCCTTGACCCATCACGGTGTTGCGTCATGCCCTTCTATGCCTCGAGCCATGCCACCCTTCGTCGCTAGACCAATGTATGTACATTCTGGTAGCATGGCTTGAGGCGGCAGCAATGTCCAAATGTCGTCTTTTGGCGTGCCCGAATTCCGTCACAAATTCAAAGGATGCAGTCAAAGGACGCATCAGAACGCGCATTTTGGTTCACGCCATAATCCCACACTATTAGAACGGAGTATAGCCAAAACAAAATCACCACTAAAACCCTCATTCAAAGCAAAGGTGCAATTCCAGATGCCCCCAGACCGGTACAGTCCCAAACCCCACGGATTAGTTGTTCCATTTATTTTGCCCCTATTTCCTCCTCAGCCCAGCCGGAGAGACCTCCACGGCCATCGCTCGTCAATCCCAGTCCATTAAACCCACTGGTCCCGAAGCCAGTGCCGAAAACAGATCCAAACCCACCAAAACTGCCCTGAGGCGCATGCCCACCAAAGCCGCGTGACGACGACGGGCCTGGTTGCGTAGACTGCTGGCCGCCAAAGAGCTCTTGCGAAAACGCCGGGAGCGACACTGCTCGAGAATGGGCACTCCTGCTCGCCCCTATCCCAGTATTCGTCGGGGCCAGGAGCCCTCCAACGGTAGTGGACGCGCCATTGCTCAGAGAACTAGAATTGAATCCGCCGCTGATGCTGCTCTGTCGAGGAATGTGAGACGAGGTTGGCATGTCCATTCCGCTGTGTCCATTCGGCATCTCACCATACAATGCGGCCTGTTGGTTCGCCAGAGCCTGATTCTGTTGCTGCTGTAGCTGGGCAAATGTCAGGGAGTCGTCCCGCAAATCCTGTTCAGCTTGAGCTTGCTGCTGCGACACATGTGACAGATACATTGTCAGCGGATTGTTGCTACCTGCGTTCAGAATTGCTGACGGTGTTGGCGCAGCCAGAGTTGGCTGGCGCGCAGCGACTTGAGACTGTGGTCCCAATGATGCCTTGGGTCCTGTAGGAACAGTTGATCTCGTGGGGCTAGAGCCCGACTGCGACACAGCATGGTCAAATCCATTCATCGCAGCGGGGGACCCGGCGCTGTCAATAGAATTCTGGAGACGTGGTTGGCTGCCATTGGCATTGTTCAGGTTCTGGCGTGGAGGATTGCCGCACCGGTCTTTGCCGAAGTTGATCTTGAACCGCTTGTACTCCTCCCGCTGTCGGACAGCTTCAATCGCCTTGATGGCATTGGCGATGTTTGTGAAGTTGACAAAGGCACAGCTTTTCTCCCGCAGAGTATTGACCAACTCGATTTCACCGTACTCGGAGAAGTCTTGTCGCAGCCGTTCTTCGCTCCAGCTCTCATCGAGATTTCCGATATATACATTCCGCGAGGCTCCTCCGCTCACGGCCAAAGCAATGGCGGGCGGGAGAGCTCCTGAGTGTTTGCCCCAGCCAATCTTCAACCGCCTGTTGTGGATCATCAGCCCCTGAAGATTGCTCAGTGCATAGAAAGATGCAGCAGACGTGGGATCGATGAACGTGACAAAGCAGATATGCTTATCAGGGATATATCGGATGTGATGAAGCAGACCTCCGCGCACGACATTGCAAATCTCCTCGATGGTGGTCTCGGGGTGAATATTTCCAAGATAGACAGTTCGATTTCCGAGATTATTGACGCCGCCTGCAGTAGTCGCAACGGCAGCTGCCGCGACCGACTGCTGTGCCAGGGCATTGGATATCAAATCGCGGTCAGCTCCATTGAGAACGTGGGCGTAGCCGGGAGCGATGCCCAAGTATTGTGCCGCGTTCTGTTGCTGTGTCTTGGAAACGTAGGCACACCTGTCCTTGCCGTAATAGACGCGCCGCGGAGGACCCCATTTGGGATCCTGTGGCAATTGGGCCACCGCCTTGACCGCATTGCTGATGGAGAGGAAATGAACGAAGCCGATCGCCTTCTCACGAACCATTTTGACAGTATCAATGGGCCCAAATTTGCCCAGGTCCTCTCGAATCTCCTGTTCAGTGATGTCCTCGGGAAGATTTCCTAGATAAACGTTCCTCGACGCACCCGACTGTTGTACAGCGAGAGCGACCGACGTAGGCACCTGGGACGGCTTTCCCCAACCAATCTTAATATCATGACCCTTGATTGACAACTTTTTCAAGATGGCATCCGAATGAAAATGCGTCGCAGAGCTGCTATCCAAGAACGAAATAAACGCACAGTTCTTTTCGGGTAGTAGCCTCACGGATTCGATCTGACCACTTCGAACGTGACTTAGGATCTCCTCGGCAGATGTATCCGCTGGAATATTCCCCAAGTAGACTGTGCGACTTGTACCAGTCATCCATGAGTTGCCCATGCCTACCATGGGTTGGTAATGCCCGAATGCCGCACCACCTAGGCCACTGAAGCCGGTTGGGGACTGTGCCGTATAGCTTTCCGGTGACATGACCGTATGATATGCTTGTGGCGAGAGCGGATTGGCATTGGGCTGAGTAGGACTCGCGAGTTGGGCCTGAGCATGTTGGTTCTGTTGATACTGCTGAGTCTGCGTGTGAAGAGCATTTGTTCCCGGGGCAAAGCGATTGAAGGTGGGAAACTGCGGAGAAGCGAAGGAACCAGGAGACCCTGGCTGGAAAGGGCTGCCCAGCAAAAGCTGAGAAGGCAACAAGGGCGTGAAATTCATATCAAAGGCGGTAGCCGGAGTCTGCTCGGTGACATTATAACTATGTTGTTGATCTTTGGTAGCAGTAGCTATCGAAGGAATGGCAGGTTTTCTCATGTTGCGATCGGCGAATGGAGGATAGCCTGTGTGGTTCGAATTGTACGCGCCATGACTGAAGCCTGTATTATCAGTCCCAAATTTTGAAGAAGCATAACGGCTGCCAAATCCCCCAAACACGTCCTGACTCTGCATTGCAGCAAGCATATGGGATTATTGATGGATCGTGTCCCCAGGACCAGGTCCAAGGACAGGTGGTGTTCGTCTTTCTTATTGTGGAGAGGGGGGGAAGGGGGTGAAAAGAAGCACGAATCTGGCCGTCAAAGCACTGTTTCGAGCTTCGCAAGCGGAACGACTGGCTGCAGGTTCTGTCTGAAGATGCGGAGAGGACTCGGGGAGGCAGAGCGTCTGTACATAAACGAATGGCTGGTGGAATATGGACTGGTACGAATGGAGTCTATAAGGAAAAGATCGAAAACAAGATCGGCTCAGAGGAATGGAACGAGTGAATGAAGGGAACAAAATGATGGGAATAGAAGAGAAGATGGGTCAGAGACGAGGAGGTAGCGAGAGAATGAAGAAGAGAGAGTAGGGCCAAAATCAAGGAGGAGCAACGGTGAACCAGCAGAAGAATGAGGGAAACAGCTCAGAAACGGAAGCAATCAATTGACCGGGGGGGGGGGGGTCTAGAGTCTAGGAAAGTGCCAAATTGAAATGGGTGGCTAGGGAAGGGGATCAGAAATAAGGGGGAAAGTACCGGAGAAAGGGACCAGGCACGCGGAAGTGGACTCCAACCCGGACAATTGGAAGACAAACCGTAGCCAAATGCCCAGCCCAGTGCGCTCGCAGGCGAGGTCAGCAGCATTCCATTACAGGCGCAAACCCCATCGCCATGGTCCTGACCCAGGATTGTAGGCCTGGAGACACTCGTCGCCCCCAGCAGGAAGCTCTGGCCGCGCTTGTTCAGGCTGCAGGTGCCAGGTGGGCATGTTTTCGATGAATCTGATACAGGAGACAACCGATTTAAGGTTCGCAACGTATGGCTGCAAGATGATGGGACGGGGGTTGATCAATCTGCAGGCTGATGCAGGTAAGGCGGCACTATGAACAGTTTGGTTAGACGATAGATTGCTTTTATGGAGAAGCTGGTAGGGGCTGGGGTCCTTGGGAAATGGCCAATTGAAGCCAGGCCTTGGGATGACAACCAGGTCCGCCATTCTGGCAACGAATCCAACATGGAACACAAGATTTGAAGCTTCCCCCAAGACAAGGGCAAGCTCACCTGCCAACGTTGGTTTGGTATTCCTGCGGCGATCAGTGCGGAGTGCCGTCCACCTTGTCGGGGGGGGAGGGGAGGGGGGTGTCAGTCTGAGAGCGAAACATGGCCCATGACAGGTTCGAAGGCGGGACAAGTTCGCCGAGCAGGGTGGTGTGGCGCTGGGTTTTGATTGCCCTTTTAAACCCTGAGCTTGATTGGCCGTCGACTCTGCCTGCGCTTACCAGACGAACGGAGGACGGTGCCGCGGCCTCTGGCGCAGGCCAATGATACTGAGAGGAACAACTTGGGTTCGTCGTCATCGACATGTTGCACAAGCAAGACAAGCTGCTGACAGTCGGCAAGCAGAAGTGGAAGGCTTCGAGACCCCAACCGCAGCCACCGCAATGTTGGTGTGGCACAGGAGATTTGGTTGAGGCGCGAGGTGACAGAGACAGACGAGAGAGGGAGCAAGACGAAGGAGCGAAAAACTGCGGCGTCCGAATCCATTTTAGCTTCTTATGCTCGTTGCCAAGAGCGCTAGCCGCTCCTTTCCGAAACCTTAAACTTGGCTCTATCCGATAAGCCACCCGTTGACAAGTTTGACTCACGCCGGCGGTTTATATTTTCAGGATTTCAGGATTTTTGATCTGACTTGTCCCTGCCCTTCCACCACGCACGCAAACATGGATACTTTCTACGTCGACGAGGATGTCGGTCGCGACGATGACTCGGCCACTGGCTCTGAAGCCGCTCCCTACAAGACTCTTCTCTTCGCAATCATGCAGCACCCCAAAGCAACATACAAAACTAGGAAATCCGAAACCGCCCCGGTAGACGCCACTGCTGATCCAGCCTCGCGGCTAGAATGGAAGCCGGCGTCCAAATCTGCGCTGAAGAAAGCCACTAACCTTTACGAACAGCACCAACGCAAACAGGCGAAGGCCGCTGACTTGGCTATTCGGGAACAGCAAGAAGCAGACAGACGGAAGCAAGTGCTCGAGGAAGCCAAGAAAGTGGTCATCAAAGAAGATGAAAGCTTGCCGGCGCCTGTCAAGATCAAGCTCAACACCGTTGATCCTGCCAAAATCAAGCTAGGCACAGCAGACTCCAAGGGCACGCGTGTCCGAGTATTGGGTCGAGTTCACCACCTACGGTCTCAGAAGGACATCATCTTCGTCACGCTGAAAGACGGCAAAGGTCTGATGCAGTGTCTTTTCTCGGGCGACTTAATCAAGACCTATGTGGCCATGACTCTGACCCTCGAGACTTCGCTCGAAATCCGGGGTGAACTCAAATCTCTTCCCCCGGGCGCGCACGCCCCTCTCGACCGCGAACTCCATGCCGACTATTTCACCGTGATCGGAGCGGCGGTTGGTGACAAGGAAGCCATAACCAACAAAGTGCAAGAAGATGGCGATGCCCAGAAGCTGCTTGATAACCGCCATCTCACACTACGTGGAGACGTCTCGTCAAGCGTCATGAAAGTTCGAGCAGCCGTCGAGAAGTCCTTTATCAAGACTTACGAGGAAGTGCAATTTACCAAGGTGTCCCCCCCGGCAATGGTCCAGACACAAGTCGAGGGCGGTGCAACTCTCTTCGAGTTCAACTACTACGGTGAAAAGGCTTACCTCACCCAGTCCTCCCAACTGTACCTGGAGACCTGTCTCCCTGGACTCGGCGACGTATACTGCATTGAAAAGTCCTTCCGGGCCGAGAAATCCCTTACTCGCCGCCATCTGAGTGAGTACACACACGTGGAGGCTGAACTCGACTTCATCACCTTTGACGACCTGCTCAACCACATTGAGCAGGTGGTGTGTAGGGTCATTGAAGTCACCCTCGCGGACCCCGTCATTGCCAAGTACATCTACGAGCTCAACCCGGACTTCAAGGCCCCATCCCGCCCCTTTAAGCGCATGAAGTACTCCGAAGCCATTGCCTGGTTGGTGGAAAACGAGATACCCAACGAAGAAGGCAAACCGCACGATTTCGGGGACGACATCGCCGAGGCCGCCGAACGCAGAATGACCGACATCCTCAACGTGCCCATCTTCCTCACCCACTTCCCCACCGAGATCAAGCCCTTTTACATGCAAAAGGACCCCTCGGACCCTCGGGTGACCGAGAGTGTGGACGTCCTCATGCCCGGCGTCGGCGAAATCGTGGGCGGCGGCATGAGGATCTGGGACTACGAGGAGCTGCTCGCCGGCTACAAGCGCGAGGGAATCAACCCCGAGCCCTACTACTGGTACACGGACCAGAGACGCTACGGCACCAGCCCCCACGGCGGGTACGGTTTGGGCCTCGAGCGATTTTTGGCCTGGATGTGCGGCCGCTGGACCGTCAGGGAGTGTTGTCTCTACCCGCGGTTTGCCTATCGTTGCAAGCCATAGTCGGTTCAACGGCGCATGGAAGCATGGAAGGGGCTAAAATGGGTTCCCAGGATGTTCACGAGGTATGATTCAGAAGGTCCGACGTGGTGTGGAAGATGTTGGTCGCGGCGGGTCCGGAATATGTAGCTACGACGGGATGATAGACCAACTGCCCTCAGGACAGGTCGCAAGAGATAGATAGACCAAAGCGCAGGAGCATTTTTCTTGCTTTGCATTCGTTCAACCATTTTCCCAACTCCACAAAAGGGCCCATTTTCGAGCTAGCTAGTGACCATAAACTCGCCGTGGTCCCATTAGTCCTACAGGTATTTCTTAGGCATCGTACTCTTTCGCCATTTATACCATACAAACGCGCCAATGCAGCATGTCTGGAACGCCATAAAACTATACAGGATGAATCCGATCCTGGGCGTGTGCGCGATGACATATTCCCTTAACCTTTGTGGCACGTCTTCCGTCACCCCGACGTGGGTCTGCGCGATTTGCTCACTTATCTTCGCAAACTGCGTGCGGTGGTCACCGCTCTTCAACTCCTTCTCCAGAGAGGAGACGACCCGGTCGAGATTCGCCATCCGGTTATCAAGACTAATAATGGATTGGGAATTTGGCATGCGCGCCAGGATTTCGGCGTGCCGGGACTCCAAGGTGGAAGAGACGCGTTGGACTTCGGCGAAGAGGTTCTGGATGGATTTGGAGATGAGGTTGAGGCGATTGTGGAGGTCTGCGAATTGGGTTTCTGTCGTGGTGTAGTAGGACGCCGGGTGATCGTCCATCTGCATCATCCCCTGGCCTTGATTTTGATTTTGGGAAAATGCTTGGTGGTTCGTACCTTGTTGGGTTGGTAGCGTGGTTATGGGCGACAGAGTGAAGGCAAACACTTCGAAGGAGTCAGGAGGATCTGCTGATGCTGCGGTCATCCCAAAGCCATAATCCGATGGTAGGGAGATCTTTGCCGTGGTGAAGCACATTTTATCATCGACACGGACTTCGAGGCCTCCGGCGCGAGAGTGTCTCACGTTGATGTGAGACGGTCGCCCGAGATTGCGGTAGACGTAGTCGCAATGTCCAAATGCTAGGCTGTCCACGTTCGCGTGGTTTCTGTAATCGACAGTTCCGTCATTGAGAAACCCTCGAATCTTTTGCACTCCTCCTACTGTATCGACCACTATTGCTAGTCCTTCCCAATTCCCCACGGTGTATATGCTCGAAGTGCTCACTGTTTTGTCTCCGTTTGCCACGTACCACAGCTGCAAATTCCCACTGCCTCTATCTGCAGCGCTTGCTCGGAATTTGAAGTCCACAGTCCAATCTTGTAATGAGTTCTTCTGTTCGGTCCATAGTGCCCCCCGCTTGTGGCCGCCATACGGAGGTGTAAGGATGACTTTGTCCGACAACAGTTGCGGCACATGTCCTTCGCCCAGCATGGCCCAACCAGGAATGGCAAAGGAGTTTGGCGAGATGGTCTGTTTATGTCCGAAAGACATTTCGTCGACGACATTTTGAGCAAGGGATGACGCTGCCCAGAGAAGGGAGAGCAGTGAGGAGGAAAGAGTGATCTTCATGGTGGATGTTATACAATGCTGTCAAGGGTCAGTTTTGCGGAAACAATCGACCATGACCGAGGTTTGCACACCGAAGACTTTTGTGGACGACACAATGCCCACCTCAAGAGGAAGGTCGTTTAGTGTTTGACATCCAAGATTTAAATATTGATACAGTAGCGAAGGTGACGCAGACGGCAATAACACAATAGCGGATCTCGCGCGCAAGGTCAAGAGTGACTGGAGATGGCTCAACAAGATGTCGCACGTTTAAATTCTGAAACACAACATGATGCTTGAATCCCTCAAATGCGTCCATGAAAATATGATGGTAAAGGAAAATGAAAGAAGTGGCTTGAGGCTCAAGCGCAAGGTGTCATGTCATGGCCACCTCATGGCAGCCGGCAGCATGCTGGAGGCACCCTTGGGACGACCTCGAGACTACTGGTCAGTTTTGATGCTCCGTAGAAAAGGGTGCGCTTTGTGCGGCGGAGCATACGATCAATTATGAAGCCCTAGCTTTCTCTACACGTTATGTGCAAGTCTTCACGCAACACCTCCTATGATCTTCCACTCCCAGCCCGAGCCAGGCACTTCTCCTAATGGCGTCTACAGTTTCGACAACCTTAAGCCAATTTCGCGACAATACACCTATTATCCCAGTAAGCATGCAGCCCAATTATAAAGGAGCAATATCACGCGGCTAATACTTCTCCAAGGAGCAGAGGACAAAGGCCAAACAGGCCGGGCATGATCAATGGCCGTCCTTATTTCAGACAGCCATTGTTGCCACTGCTCTCAAGATTCTACTGTTTCCGTCCTACAGGTCGACAGATTTTGAAGTCCATCGGAATTGGCTGGCCATCACTCATTCGTTGCCGGTAAAAAAATGGTACTACGAGGTTAGTGGAGGTCAACATTGGCTATCGAGGCTTGCATTCTCTGACTCCCTGCGCCAGGCTACATCAGAGTGGACATTGGACTATCCTCCTGCATTTGCGCTGTTTGAATGGCTTCTATCCCAGCCCGCTGCCCTGGTTGACGCTGGGATGGTGCAAGTTCAAAACCTGAACTATGATTCATGGGCCACCATATACTTCCAGCGTAGTTCCGTCATCATCACAGAGCTGTTGCTCGTCTACGCTTTGCACAAGTATGTTTTACGACTCGAACATGAGCGAGCACTACTGATCTGAGCAGGTATATGGAGTCCTCACCTGCCGCAACACGCCGCCGAAGTCATGCTGTGGCGCTTTCGATCCTGCTCTCTCCGGGCTTCTTGATCATCGACCACATCCATTTCCAGTACAATGGCTTTCTTTACGGTATCTTGATTCTGTCCGTCGTCTTTGCACGGAAAGAGTCGACGTTGCTTTTGAGCGGTATCCTGTTCGCCTTGCTTCTATGCTTCAAGCACATATACCTTTACCTGGCACCAGCCTACTTTGTCTACCTCCTCCGGAGCTATTGTCTGAACCCGAAAAACATGTTTCAGCCTCAATTTGCAAACACCATCAAACTAGGCACAAGCATTATTGGCATTTTCGGAGTGGCGTTCGGACCATTCGCGGCGTGGGGTCAGCTCGACCAACTCAAAAGCCGACTGTTTCCATTTGCGCGAGGCCTCTGTCACGCATATTGGGCACCCAATGTCTGGGCGATTTACTCGTTTGTGGATCGGGTGCTGATACTTGGTGCTCCTTATCTTGGCCTGAGGGTTGATCAAAATGCGGTGAACAGTGTTACACGGGGTTTGGTCGGAGACACTTCATTCGCCGTCTTACCAGACATCACGGCTCGACAGTGTTTTGGACTTACCTTGGCCTTCCAGACCATCGCGCTAACCAAGCTATGGCTCGTACCCAGCTGGGATACTTTCGTTGGAGCTCTCACCCTCTGCGGGTACGCGTCCTTCTTATTTGGCTGGCATGTCCATGAGAAGGCGATTCTACTTGTCATCATTCCTTTCAGTCTGTTGGCTGTCAAAGACCGGTCATACCTGGCGAGCTTCCGCCCGTTGGCAGTGGCGGGGCACGTATCTCTATTTCCGCTTCTCTTCACGGCTGCAGAGTTCCCGATCAAGGTGGCATACACGATAACTTGGCTGATGGTTTTCCTCTACTCTTTCGGCCAGTTAGCTCCAGCTCCCACGCGAAGGCGAGTTTTCTTGTTGGATCGGTTCGCTCTGCTTTATATTGCAATATCGGTGCCCTTGATGGCGTACTGTTCCTTGCTGCATCGAGTGGTCTTTGGAGAGAGATATGAATTTTTGCCCTTGATGTTCATTAGCACGTATTCTGCAATTGGGGTGCTGGGCTCGTGGCTTGGGTTTATGGTCTGCTATTTGTCTTGAAAGGGATGCTGTGCAGATTCCCACAGAGGAGCTCCGGCAGGGATGCTGGCAAGTATGTACGTACAACAACAACAACTACTTCACGAGCGGCTTGGATCATTAGAAAACACTTACGTGTGAAGCGTTGCGCTCAGATCTAGAGGCCTCTCAAAAGGTTGTCGTTTCTGGATTTTCGTGGTTGTTCAATATCGGATCGCTTCAGTGCCCCCAAAGAATCACGTAGGGAGCGTTCCGGGCGTCGTAGCCATGGTCAGTACCAGAAGCCGCAGGCGTGCGTCGTGGCTAGGAGGCCCATAAGGCTGATAATGGGCTACAACAGGCCGAATATCGTTCCTAGAGGCTCATGGATAGCCTCATCGTACTCGCATCGACTGCCGGAGTCGAACAAGCACAATTATGGCCATGACAGGAGGCGGGTGAGATGGTTGATGAGTGGCCATGGCTAGTCGAGGAGTCAAGTGGACAATGATTGGCTGTGACGAGGAGGCCGCTCGGCGGTGTCTCCGCCGATCCCTGGTCGCCAATCCGCGCAAAAGACCCAAAAGGTGGTGGCATGCCGCTGTTTGTGCTGCCTACTTAGGCACTCAGGGTACTAAACCTACCTACTCTATTCACACCTATTCCCTCCTAGGCACATTGATACGGGCATTAACCACCTATAGCTTGTATTCAAGGGCTCGGCTTGGAGGCTCCACCATCCGCATAGCAAGCCACGCATCCCGCCCGCCATCCACTGTAGAACTGCCACTTGCCCCAATCCTCCAAATCCACCACTCAGCACGCTCTCTTCCCTCTGCACACACTAGTCCGTCCGCCTTCCTGGGCATTTCGCATTGTCTTTTCTCTCCCTCCACTTCTCCTCGTCATGTTGAACTCTTTGTTCTTGACTCTTTCTTCTCCTGCACCCACTACCAAACAACGCTCCTTGTATGCTCCCACCACCACACCACTCAACTCCCCTCGCATTTTGGTATTCTCCCTCCATGAACGCGTTTGTCTCGCCGAATGTATGTATATTTCCCTGCGCAAGAGGTCCGACGACCGCGGACCGCGCCCGACACACTACCAGCCCTTAACACGTCCAGAAAGCTCACCAACTCTACTCCTCTAGGTCGCGATCGCCCTGAAATAACCTGCTAGTGGCCCTCTTCTCTCCCCTCTCCCTCCCCGCCGGCCACATTGCACTGGTTTGCTCCGTTCTCTACCTGCCCAGGATGGTCTTATTCAAGAGGAAACCCGTTCGCTACCTACCGCATCCCCACATCGACGACCAGGAATCGGATGTTTGGGTCATCTCCGAGTCCAACGAAGTATTCACCTCCTACGATGCATATCTCGAGCGCATGGACTTTTTCAAGTCCAGGAGATTCACGTGCGAAGTATCAGGACGGTCCGGTCTGACATTCTTTGACGCGCTGAGGAGCGAGCAGGCCGGCTCACGGGAGATTGACGAGGCGTTTCCGCAGGCACTGCGAGAACCTGTCCTGCGCCGAGTCCAGTTCTCTACCACGTCTCGCATCGACAACTTGGTCGAGGAGGTCTACAACGATTTCAAGAATGATTTCTACCCGGGCGAACTGGTGACCGTGATACTGGACGACGCATCCCGGTTGAATGGGCGAGTGCGGGATAAGGCCAAATTTGCAGAGGTGAGGGCGACAGACGGTTCCGTGGCAAGAGAGGCATTCTCCCGATACTTTGTGCGGCTCATTGATCGCCCAGACGAGGAGGCTCTGGTCGACGATAACCATATCATTAGAGACCGCAAGGTCTTCACGAAACAAATGCTCCGCTCCTTCATCAAGAACACCGTGACCAGAGAGGGTTGGAATGGTGCCCCATGGATTGTCAAGCCCGAAATTGCAGAGCGATTTCGTATCGACACCAACGTCCCTCCCCACCTTCAATATGGCCATAAGATTGCCGCAAAGAAAGCGGAGAAGAAGCAGAACGCAGAGCAAGGAGAGGGTATGTTTGGAATCTGGCAACCTCATAAGCTACCCGAGCTGAAGCCTGCTCCTAAAGGACGTAAGAACCACCAAACGTCGCAACACCAACCGCAGCGGGACGAAGTGCACATTCCTCCACCACCCTACCACGAGAACTATCCTCCTCACCCTATGCCTGACCCAGGGTTGTTACCACGATCTTGGGACCATATGCACCCACCTCCCCCACCACCACCTCCTCCTCCGCCTTTCGACCACTATTATCATGGATATCAATATATGCCGCCGAACGGTCACTATTACCCCCCGCCGCCACCTGAAGAGCTGATGCCTCCCAAACCAATTATCCAGCCTCCTCCGCCTCCACCGCCCATCAAATACCCGATTGATGATCTTGATGTCGAACCCGTCCGCGACGGCACGCATCGGCCGACGCTGAAGTTCGTCGCCAAGGAGCAATGTACTGATCGGAAGTCGACAACCCACGTAATCCCCGGACTCCGGTCTGAAAATGTCGGCCTCTTGCTGGAAACCTGGAATACGCTGAATGTGTATTGCCAAGTTCTCAAACTAGATTCGTTCACCTTCGATGACTTTGTGGAAGCCATGATGTTCACCTCGCTTGAGACTGACTGCGAATTGTTTGTCGAGACGCATTGCGCAGTCCTAAAGCAGCTGGTTAATTCAGAGAATGATGATGGGGGGGCCATTCAAATCTCACTGCCAGACCTTCCTGATCCAGATGAGGAAGAAGAGGAAGAAGAGGAAGAGGAAAGCAAACCGCCCACACCGACCCCTGAGCCTGAGTACCCCGCGAAAAGAACCCGCAGTAGCCTCCACAAAGTTCAATTTGCAGAGCCAGAGCCAGAGCCTGCAGAGCCAGAGCCTGTGGTTACCCATCGAGCAGCCGAAATGTTCGGAGAATATGGCTGGATCGAGAGACTTCGAAAGCGTGATCTCAGACATGGCGGCTGGGAATTGGTGATGGTTGGGTTGCTGCATCAACTTTCTGGCAGACCTCGACTTACGGATGTGTGCAATAAGATCCTGTCTCATCTCGCGCCTCTAGATGCTGAACCGACGATGGAAACGGCCAGGGTTCAGTACTCGATCATGGACATCAATTTACGGGCGGAGGCTCTGCAAATCATCTGCCAGTTGTTCCTCGAAACCAAGACTGTCAAGAATTTCCTGGAAGAGATGAGCAATACCATGACCCATTACCGCAAAATCAAGATTGAACATCAACGAGCTCGGAAAGATGCTTTGGCAAAGCTTAAGGAGCTTCAAATTGAGCGAAGACTGTTGGCACCGGAACCCGAGAAATCTCCCAGTCCGATGCCTGAGCTTGAAGAAACTATCGAGGCGGACAAAGGTGAAGACGGTGATATCTCGATTCCTGATTCAGATGACGATGAGCCTGTGATGACGCGATCTTTGCGACGGGGTAGTGACCGAGCCGCGGAGCGTAAACGGAAACGCGAAGAAGAGCAAGAGCGCAAGGAGAAAGCAGCAGAGGCCAAACAAAACAAGGGAAGCAGAGAGTACCAGAAAGTCCTCAAGCAGATCGAAAAGGAGCGCGATCGCATTGAGCAAGCGGAAGAGCAGATCCTCATCGTCGATGGAGACTTGCGCGAGGCCGACTGTCCCCGGACACGAGTTCTCGGGAAAGATCGCTTCTGCAACCGATATTGGTGGTTCGAGAGGAATGCAATGCCGCACGGAGGTCTACCGGACAGCTCGACGGCGGATGCGGAATACGCCAATGGACGGATCTGGGTGCAAGGGCCTGACGATATGGAACGTGAGGGTTTCATTGAGATTGGCGAACCCGACAAGCAGGCTTACTATCGACGATTCCAAATGACTCCAGCTGAACGGAAGAAAATGGAAGAAGGCTCCACAAACCTAGTTTCGGCAAAGGAATGGGGTTTCTACGACACAGCGGAAGAACTTGACATGCTTATCGGATGGCTCGACTCCCGCGGAATTCGCGAACTGAAGCTCAAAAAAGAACTCAACTTGCAACGCGATGCCATCATCAAACATATGGAGAAGCGAGCTGCGTATACCACACCGCGAGAGAAGTCCGAAGAGCCGTCAACGAGGATGTCTACGAGGACCAAGACGCACGTCAGCGACAAGACACATCGATGTCTAAAATGGAAGAACTCTACCGCCTTGGCCGAACTGGGTCATCGCCATATCGACCCCGTGCCTAAACCGAGAGGAAGAGGCAGGAAAAACATTACCTATGAAGAACCGCAAACGAGGTCAAGTGCACCAGCCCCGCCGGCCCCTTTGAATCGTCAGGGCAAGCCTGTAACAAGGCAAGGGACACGGTACAATTTCTGAAAGCGTTTGCTCTATGTCTGCGATAATATGGATAATCGGAGGGAAATGTGATGGTGTTGGCGTGATTAGACACGACCGGGGACAGGGCATTGCATTGATTCTAAAACTTTCCTTGACGCGGGCTAACTTGACGGCATTTATGTTTATTTCCAGGCGGGCTTTTCTGTCTCTTCCAATTTTGCGAGGCGCACGTCACTATGAGCTCACTGGAACTGGAGATTCGACCGGGTTGGGGCGGTTTGCATTCCTGAGCATCGACTCCTGCGAGACTTTGATGAGAAATGAGAGCACGAAAATGGGCGCTGGGCAGATGTTTCTCTCCGACTCAAATTTATCCGCCAACACTGGCCAGAAGAGAAAAGAGGCATTGTTTCGGAAAAAGCATTGAGGATTAGAGAAAGTTGTACTTTGCCACCATGTATGGATTTTGACGTTGCATTCAAATAGATTTGCGGATAGAACTTGTGCTGTGAAAACTGGAAGCCTTGTACTACCGGAGTTGGAGCTGGAGCTGGAGCTTGTCGGTGCTTTTTGCGCTGGAAAAAGGGGGGACGACAGATGGAGGTCACCTTCGGGCCAGAGAGACCATACATATAGCATTGAAGAAGAGAGAATCTTTCGAGACAACAAAATGTCCCCATTCCTAGCTCTGTGCAGGTTTTCCTTCGGCCCGCACGGTCGGAGAGAAGAGTTATTTCCTACCTACAAAAACGCTCGAGAATCGCCTGGACCTGGATCCGCACCTGGCGATTTGCAGGCGGACTATTTCTGTTTGTCATTCGGGACATGAACATAACAATAAACGCCACGCACGCAGAGGATGAGGCTGGTGAATTGGAAAGCCCAAAGACTTCAGAGCGCGGGACAAGACGAAGTCGGGTAAACGGAGAAATTCGTCTGGCTCGTCAAAAGTAGAGTGCCAATATAATAAATATTAGCTACCTAAATGGGGAGCTGTCCATCTAGCCGTTTCCTCATGTCATGCAAGCCCACGCCATGACGGTGTTGGGGTTCTGCTTCCGCGTTCCAGACCTCTCTCTGTTTTGTTCACAACTCATCCCTCAAAACCTCCTGGACCTTGGCCACGATGCCTTTCTTGGTGGCCCCGATCTTCCGGCCGGGCTTCTCGATGACGACGTCCTCGCCGCGGTCCTTCAACCCGCGCTTCACCATGCTCGTCAGGATCTCGTACACGACCTGCGCGCCGGCCAGCGCGGTGGCCTCGCCGTGGCCGGCCTCGTACGCGGGGCTCACCTCGACGACGTCGGCGCCCACGAGGTTCAGGCCCTCGACGCCGCGCAGGATCTGGATGAGTTCGCGCGTGGTCCAGCCGCCGGGCTCCGGGGTGCCGGTCCCGGGGGCCAGGCCTGGGTCGATCACGTCAATATCCACGGAGAGGTAGACGGGCATGGACGTGCCCATGCGCTCCATGATCAGGTCGATGATGCCCTTGACGCCCACGCTGTCGATGTCGTCCGACTCGATGCGCAGAAACCCCTGGCGTTCGTCGTCGGCGTAGTCGTGGAAGTCGTCGCCCAGAAGCCGCGTCCGCAGTCCCGCGTGCACCGACGACCCGTTGTTGATCAGGCCCTCTTGCGACGCGATCCAGAACATGGTCCCGTGGGTGAAGTCGGCCTGCGTGGGGGTTTCGGCCCACGCGCTCGGGTAGGCCCCCGGGTGCCAGGTGTCCAGGTGAGCGTCGAAATGTAGCACCGCGATGGGCTCCTTGTAGATCTTCTCCAGCGCCCTCAGCGCGGGGAGGGCGACGGAGTGGTCCCCGCCCAGGGTGATCAATTTGGGGTGCTCGTGGCTTTCCGGATTCTTGTAGCTCAGTGGTTTCCGCGCCAGGAGCTCCAAGTATGCCGAGGACATTTGATGCAGCGCCAAAGCGTTGTCGAAGGGCGTGATGGGGATATCTCCACAATCGAGCACAAGAGGCCAGGACGTGTAGGGGTTGATGTGTGCGCGGTGGTTGAAGCCTCGGAAGGAGGTCTGACGAGCAGAGGCGGCACGGATGGCACGAGGACCGAAGCGGGCTCCTGAGCAGCATGAGAAAGACTGTGCATCTTGAACGAACGGGAACATGTCTTCTGCTTCGGTTCGAAGAAGAAGGTCTCATGGGACGAACTGGCTTACCGGGTCGATAACTCACAGCTGTATCGTAAGGAGCGCCAATGATGCCGATATCAAACGGCTCGTACGGGGTGGTCAGACATTTTACATGTCTGAGATGGGCAAATGTCGATATCCCTGAGAAACCCCACTAGAAAGAGTCAATTCTCACATGTTCTAGACTCGATATTTTGGTTCTTTTCCTTGAGATAGGGGACATATGGCTCCCGCCGGGACACTGGATCTGGGGCACCTTACATCAAAGTCCCATTTCGCCTTCAATTCATCAAGCGGCGTACCAGACTCGGGCGGGATCTCGAGCTCCGGGTTGTCGTAGAAGGACGAATGTGCGAGGGGAAGCAGAGGGAGCAATATAGACAAGGACAACGACGGCAGCAGCATCGTTGCGGGCTGGACTATGAGGAATAGCGCGGGAGAAGAGAGGGTGAACAGGCCTTCCACCGCACACTGGGGTATATAAGATCGAAGAGAAGAGAAAACTTACTTCTGAAGGAGAGGCATTGTCTATATCTATTATCTAACAGGATGCCATGGCCCGCCATCAGACTCCATTGCGAGTTGATTAGGGCGTCGAATGAAACTCGGCGCCGCGAAAAATCAAAATGGAGCCCAAGACGGAACGACACTGACGCCGCTTTGAGCGGCCATCTCCGGCATTAACTCCGCGGGTTGCGATTGGTCGGCGCCGACCTCCTGTATTGTTTCCTCGCGAAGGCCGGAGACGAGACACAGAAGCCACCGAGCCACTGAGCCACAGGATGAGAAGAAGAGCATGACAAGGAGATGCGGAGAGTGGTCGTGACTGGGCTGGGAGCTGTGACGCCCCTGGGTGTTGGTATGTTGATGATTCCATTCCCACTTACCTACAGCTGCCGCGCATGAGGTTGATGGTCGGTGTCGTTCTCAGGAGTCAGACAAACATGGTCGCGGATTCTACAGGGCCACTGCGGCATCGTCTCAACACGCCAACTCGGAGATGAGTTCAAGGCGCTTCCAAGTCAAGTCGCCGGTCTGGTCCCTGTTCCCAAACCCGACTCAGAGGTAGAGCAAGGGGTTTGGAGAGCTAAGGATCATGTCTCGTCCACGGTTCGTTGTTTGCCTCCTGTCTACCAGCTTGTGCCCCCATACCACCGGTAAAGGGGATGTTCATCAAGCAGATACTGAGACCAAGTCCTGCGCTAGGAACTGCGCCAAACTGCCAAATTCGCACAATATGCTCTTGCGGCGTCAGCCGAAGCATTGCAGGATGCCGGCTTCAAAGACGGCAATGGTCTTGATCCGGAGATGACGGTACGTAACTAAGACATGTCACCAACTTCCATATCGTTATTTATATTCTTCAAGGAAGCTATGCTTCCGTCCGTGCTACCCGGAAACAAATCTCGTGACTAAACGCATCTGTAGGGCGTCTGTCTCGGCTCCGGAATCGGCAATCTGGAAGATCTCTACAACACCTCAGTGGCATATCACCAAGACAAGAACTATCGCAAGATCCACCCGCTTTTCGTTCCCCGACTGTTGATCAATCTGGGAGCCGGGCACATATCCATGCGCTACGGTCTCAAAGGCCCTAATCACGCTGTCACCACCGCCTGCACCACCGGCGCCCACAGCCTCGGGGACGCTTCGCGCTTCATCAAGTCGGGGGAAGCAAATGTGATGATAGCCGGGGGTGCGGAATCGTGTATCCACCCGCTCGCGATAGGCGGCTTTGCCCGGTCGAGGAGCTTGGTGACCAAGTTCAACGACGAGCCATGGAAGAGTTCAAGGCCGTTTGATGCGGACAGGGCAGGGTTTGTGATCAGTGAGGGCGCAGCTTGCATTGTGCTCGAGGTAAGCGAATTGATGTCATCTTGCAGGACGGTGAGCACCAGACACAATTCTGACGTGTGTGGAAAGGAAATGGAGCATGCCAAATCCCGTGGCGCCACTATCTACGCCGAACTCGTCGGCTACGGCAACTCAGCAGACGCTCATCACCTCACGGCGCCGCTTGAAGATGGCGCCGGAGCCCTCCTAGCCATGCACAAGGCCCTCAAACAGGCCCAAATTCCCCCGTCTAAAGTGGACTATATCAATGCTCACGCAACTTCCACGCCATTGGGGGACCAGGCTGAGAACCAGGCAATGAAGACACTTATGCTGGGGGAACAGGGCAGGAAATCTGCCAAGGAGATCAACGTGAGCAGCACCAAGGGTGCAATTGGCCACCTTCTAGGCGCCGCAGGAGCAGTAGAGGCTTTGTTCACTGTTCTGGCCATATACGAGGTACGTATACTCAGTCTGGCACCTCCAAGGATGGTGCGACCAGAAGATGGTGGTAATAACAATATGAATGGCCAGAATACCTTGCCGCCAACCATTAACCTTGTCTCCAAAGGCGACGAGTTCGACTGCAACTATGTTGCCAATACAGCGCAACAGGCCGATGTCAACGTCGCCTTGACCAACAGCTTTGGGTTTGGGGGGACTAATGCGAGTCTCTGCTTCCAAAAATGCAGATAAAACTCATTGTCCATGGGGGACACCGTGATGCCCGCAGCAACCACAACACGCGTCCACCACAAATCATGTCTCTATGCGACATCAATCGAGGTCTTTCGGAGAGGCGCCTTCAATCCAGGTTGAGCCATCCCAATGCCTGTCGTTATAGGCGAAGCAGATATCGCCGTGGCAAACGTTTCATGGATCGCCGACTGCGGGACAGCACTTCTAGCACTCTCCGGAGGAACACTGAACAAGCCGCCGGATCGGTTACCACTCATGGCGTTTGACAGCATTTCCTTCATCCGGACCAGCTGGTATTTCCGGCGTGTTGGGAATAGTGGTTTCGTGACGAGTGGTTGGGGTCGAGTAAGGCTTCTGGCAATGGCTGTCATGACCGAGTCTCGCTCTTCGTCCGAATCAACTGGACCAGTCAAACTGGGGTCGAGATCCTCTTCGAGGAGAGCAGGCGCATTGGCATCCAGCGCGGCCTTCTGCTGGCGTGCCTGATTCTTTTTCTGGTATGCAGCAAGCAACATGTCGTAAGGTAGACTTCTCCCGGGGACAGCCCGCTTTGCTCCCATGGAGTGGCTTTTGCATGTTAAACTCCTTGCGCACTGTCCACCGTTTGGCAGTTGGACGCCGCATTGTTTCTCGACATCGACCGGGCCCTTGGGTTTGGCCACTTTCGGTTTCTGCTCCTCCTTTTTTTTCTTCTTTCTAGGCTCTTTGTCATCTTCAGCGTCGGCCTTTCGTTTCTTGGTCTTCTTGGAGCCGTCATCATCGCCGTTGGCAGCGTCTTTTCTGGCAGGCGCTTTGACATCATCATCGTCGTCATCGTCATCGTCAGCTTTCTCTGCCCGTTCCTTCGCCCGCGCTGCAGCCTCGCGTGCTTCCTTTTTCTTGCGCGCTTTGTCCTGTTTTGATTTTAAACACAAGGCGATGTGCCCTTTCGCCGTGCGCTTCAAAACCATCTTCTTGCAATGCTTGCAAATCACGGTATCAAGGCTTTCGAGGCGGCCGTTGGGGAAATTTGCCATGGTCTCGTCATCGAACTTTGGTACTTCTGGTGAGGGCGCTTCTGCGACATTCTTGACGCCTATTCTCATCAGCATATGAGGACGACACCCGATGATCGAACTGACCATTTACTTGCGCTTCTTTCTTGCCTTGGAGAGGCAGCTTTTTTAATTTGACCTTCGGCGCCTTCTTGCTGCCTTTACTGAACTTGTAGCCGGACGCGCTAATGAGACTGTCTGTGTGGGAGCCAACAGAAGAGGCTGTAAACAGGTTTCAGTCCTATCGACAATGCGCTGCAGTCTCGATAAGTACGAACCTCGTGCCTCATTTGCCGCCATCTCGGAAACCCTAATTCAACGGATCTTGCAGGGCGAGTTGTCAGACCAGATGGCTGGCTGGAAATTCTCGAGTTCAAACAGAGGCAGCGACTGTCGTCGATGATTCTCGAGTCCTGGTGCGTCGTTAACAGCCGTCACCTCTTTCGCAGTCAAGGAGAAATGCGGAGGATCACGATGGGGGAAACTGCGGGCGGTACATCGAGGCTAGAATAATTTAGGTTAGATCTCCAATAGGAGTTTAAGGTTATATATCAAGGGCGCAGGCGTCACGGCTTAGTAACTGCGCCACCCAACAGACACACTGCGAGCATACGTACGGCAGACCATCTGGGCACTAAACGAAGGCCCAAGAATGAGATCTCCGACTTCTGAACTTGGGCTTGAAGAAAGGACTTGATCGCTCGAGTCTGAGGAAGGAGACACCTTTTCCTCTCGTTCAATCGTCCCTCCTTTCTTCGCTCCCTCATCTCCCAATATATCTCCCAGCCATGGATCCCGGCGGCCCTGAATCGCAGCACCCTGAGCAGAACGCTCTCATGCAGCGCATCGGCGGGCAGTGGGCGGGTCCTACGCTCCAGAAATCCTTCCAGCACGAAGTGGCCGACCTTCTTGGGCGAGGAAGAAATACGTCCTTCCCCGGGGCCCAGCCCGTCTCCTTCTCTTCAGAACACATACAAGAGCTTAAGAGCCAGGACTACTACGTTTGCGAAAAGACCGACGGGCTACGCTACCTCCTGTACCTCACTCAAGACGGCGATAGGGACATTCACTACTTCATCGACCGACGGAATGACTACTGGTATGTCCCTAATCTACACTTTCCGCACCACGAAGACAAAACCTTCCGACGATTTCATACTGGCACAATATTGGACGGGGAACTGGTGGAAGACAAATACCCTGATCGAGAGCCGGTCATTAAATTCCTCGTGTTTGACTGCCTGGTCCTCGACCATGTGGTCTTCATGCAACGCCCTCTAGACAAGCGCCTCGCCTACTTCCAGACCCACGTCCTCCAGCCCTATAATGCCATGTTTAAACAACATCCAGAATACACGAGGCCATTTGTGCTCGAAGACAAACATAATGAGTTCAGTTACGCTTTGGAGAAGATGTTCAAGGAAGTCATCCCCAAGGTGAAACAGATGCATGGAAATGATGGCTTGATCTTCACATGCCGGGACGCATCGTACAAGATGGGCACGGATCCGCATATCCTCAAATGGAAACCCCCCTCTGAAAACACCGTCGATTTCCTGCTCCGTATTGAGTGGGCAAGGATGGAGCCGGACCCCGAGGATCCAGATCAATCCATGCAGACCGACTTCTACTCCTTTCCGGAGAAATTTGCTCTATTCATCCACGTTGGGAATAACGAGTACTCGTACATCGACGACATGTACGTCGAGCCGCAGGAATGGGAAGAGTGGAAAACCCTGAACCACGCCCTGCAAGACATTATTGTCGAATGCTACCAGGACGAGCTGCAACGGTGGCGGTTCCATCGATTCCGACACGACAAGGAGAACGCCAATCACATCAAGGTGTTCAAAAGCGTAATCAGATCCATCCAGAGCCACGTGACGGAGCAGGATCTGCTGAACCACGCCCCCGAAATCAGAACCGCCTGGAAACTGCGGGCCGACCAGGAGAAGCGACGGCAGGAGGACGAAAAGCGGAGGAGACAGGCCGCAGTGAAGCCGGAGGGGTGATTCGGGGTTTCCGGGTGTTTGACAGAGCAAGCGTTGGATTTCCCTCATGGTGTTGGGGCAGGGAGGAGTATCACTGGGTGTCTCAAAGCCGATCCTTTTCGGACTATACGATACCCCCGGCCGGAAGTGTTGGTTCTGGAGAAAGCCTTTTTCTGGGAATGAACAGTCTATTATGGCTGTTGCGGATTGCGGGAAGCGCCAAGTACCACAGCATTGGAAAATGGAGTTGATTTATTTTTCATTCTTTGGGGGTGGGCATGTATTGTGTATCTCAAAGTCACGATATCTTTGCGGGTTTATCCTCGACCTTTTAACGAGCAAGATCAAGAGGGGTACGTTGATGAAGAAATCAGAAAAATGAGGAGATTATCCATCCAAAATCCTAGATGGAAGTTTTACAACCAAGGCCACAAGAGTTTCCGCCTTTTTGTCTTATGGCACTCCCAAGTGCAAGAACCCTCCAAAAGTCGTTCCTGTCTTGTTGTAAACACTTGCGTAGCGCTCGTTCGAAACGATGAGCGCAAGTCCCCCGTGCATTCTCATATAAATTGGTTACATACATGGGCGTGGCGCTTCCGCCACCTTGGGGATGTCTCTCTCAGTACCCGACGACGTGTCCCATATACGGCGCCATGTCGCCGGTGGTAGCTTGTCGTCCGGAGGAGCCAGTGGTGTTCGCGCCGTTGACGCCCGCGCCGCTGCGGCGCTCGCTTCCGCCCCGACCACCGCCCCCGCCACCGGATTCGCCGGCGTCCATCATCGGCGTGTCGGCCGCGCCGGTGATGTGGTCAAGTCCCTCTCGCGGCTCGCCGCCGAGGAAGCGGTAGGGCGTGCTCATCCAGTGTGTCGCCGGGGTGGTGGTGGTGGTCTTGTCGAGTCCGCCTGCGGCTGCACCTCTGGCATCTTGATGTTGGAGTTGATGGTGGTGGTGGTTGGTGCTTGCATCTGGCTGCCCGGGCGGGGATCCAGGTCTCCAGGCCAGAGGGTGCTGAGGGATCGGATTCAATGCAGTAACTTGCGACGGAGGCGCAGCCTCGCTCAGAGACAGGATGTCCGGGTTCGGCAGCGCCATCCACTGGTCGAGGAACGCCCAGTCGATGTCCAAGTTCATTGGCATGGAGCCATTGGCTGCCATCTCCTCGGCAACGTCAGAGGAAGAGGATGTCCCCGTCGCCGCAGCCGCAGCCGCAATCGCTGGGTCTAGAGTCGGTGTCGGCGGGGGATACGCCGCGCTGAAGGGAAGGAAACTCATGAACGGGTTCGGTCCGAGGCCCGGGTTCTGAAGGCCCGGCATGAGACGCAGGTTCGGATTCAGCGGTGCGCTGCTGTCGTTGACACTGGAGTTGTTGAACGCCGGCGTGAAGTAGCCACCACTCCCGCCTTGGTTCTGACCCTGCTGGTTCTGAGACGACGTTGACGATGATGGGTAATCCGAAAACCCTTCACGGTCTTGTTGATCTTGTAGTGTCAGCGGGACGAGGGTGAAGTCGTACTGCATCGGGAACATTGCCGACCCCATAAAGCGCCCCGGCTGCATGAACGGGTGATGTTTTGAGGGTAGTGTGGCGGATTCTTGTATTTGTCCTTGTTGCTCGGTGTTCGACATCGCTCCCCCGAGACCCCTTGTGTTGGAGCCAATTGAGCCTGGCCATGTCGATTGGGCGACAGCAGCTGGGCTGGCGATTTCATCCAGCACCACCTTCAAGACGTCTGCCACTCTTTTCGCCTCGTTGCTCGTCGGGCTCAGTTCCTCGCAGATCTCATATGCCGCCTTCAAAAGCTGGAACTGCTCAACCGTCGTGCCGTCCCCAGAATCCTCGAGTCCCTTCCCTGGGTTCGCTTTTCTCCACATGCTCACCCCCAGACACAGGACCATTGCAGCCAGGTAGAAATCGTTCATCGTGAACGAACTCAGCATCCAGCGGTCCTGGAACAACTGCCCCCCAGGCTTCAACTCCTTGTGCAGATCCAGCATATGCCGTGTGATCGCGATGGCGGCGTCCGTGCATACTTTTGTAGAGGTTGGGTGAGTGCCTTGTGTCATATACTTCCTGTGTAGCACGAGGAGAGATTTCTGGTAGAGAAATTCACAATTTGTGCGCACCATGATGAGATAGCTGGGATCGGCAAAGGACTGTGACATGGGACGGATATGTAAAATCTTGGGTACAGTGGCGTAGACGGCGCGTACTTCGCGATCGAGATCCATGACTTCCTGCTGCGAGTAGTCCCGAAACGAGAGAGCGTGCGAGCAGACTTTCCCGAACGTAGTCATCAAGCGAGTTTTGACAATGAAATACAGTATTTGCGTCGCTTCTTCCTCCGGTCGGGATTGTCGTAGGGCCGTACTGTGCTCGTCGAAATCGCTGTCGAGCAGGTTCGACGGAGGTAACGTGTCCCAACTACTGGGCGGGATCTGGTTTGGCAGGCCGAGTTGGAAGGATACCATGAGGTCGAATTGCAGACACATCGCCCACATGCGCCGCCGCATTTCACCTTCAAACACCGAGAAATGAGGAAATTGGGAAGGATCGCGATGGTAGCCACTTCGGTAAGCGAGTCGCACCAGGATGGGGAATATGATGCTGACTTCCCGCGACGGGTCGAGCGTGGCCATGTATTTGCATTGGGCATACAGACCCAGAGCTTCCACCACGTAGCGTTTGGGCCGAACAAATCCGCCAAGGCGGAGACATTGACAGGCAGCGTTGAGAAAACTCATGCGCGGACTTAGTTGATCCTCCGGTGTGGAAGGCTCGGAGCCTACAGCTTCAGACAAGGTGGCAGACATGCAGCAGATGGAGAATAGTATGGAGATCCAGAGGGGGGACATCTCCAGTGGTGTGCGCCAAAATTGATCGTATTGTCTTCGGAATTGTGTCGTATGGATGAAGGGAATGACCAGATATCGACTGTTAAAGTAGGTGGACAGGCGACGGTCGACTTGCAGTCGTGGAGGAAGGGCCTGAGACAGGATCTGGGGGAGGGAGAGATGGCTCGTCGAACCGAACAGGCCCTCTATCTCCTGTGGTTCGATGTCGTCGCTTTCATCGAACTCGGTGGCTGATGGGCCGCCCCCTTGGCCGTTGCTGCCACTCGAAAGCGCAGACTTGAGTTCTTGGATGCTTTCCAGGATTGCGGACCAGTGCGTCGAACCGACGTAGCGCGATTCCGAGGAGCCGTACTGGAGGTGTCCTTCCTTTGCGATGCTGGCAGTCGACGTGTCGATGTCAAGTGCAGAGCCAGGGCTGGCAGCGGCTTCCGAGTCTTGCGAAGACTGTGCGCTCGTCGTATTGCCGACCATTTGCATGACGAGTTGCTCCAAATGCCGCAGCCTATCCTGGGCTTGTCCTCGTTTATTCGCCGCATGAGCTGTGTTCGTGCCGTTGGCGGAGCTTGGATCGGACGACTTGGGCAAAGGAATGTTGCCGTATACGCAGCTAGACTCGTCGCCCCGCTTGACGCATGTCTCGCATGGATGGCCCTTGTCGCACCTCAATTTTTTGATCCTACAGTTGAAGCAGGATACGGGCTGTCGGTTTCGTTTGCTGATTTTGTGCCCGCCTGATTGCTGGCTGTCCAGATTGGCGCGGAACTTGGTGGTAAGCGAGGAGAACTCTGCCATTGAATGTAGCCTGCTTTGGTCTATTTCAGAGGCTAATGTCGATACGGGGGCGGCTTTTCGTGACGGAGTTGCTTGAATTGAGAGTGGCCAGAGGACAGCCCGTGAGGTCGTTGGTTGGAGTGGCGCGGTCCAGCAAATTCAAACGCAGACCCAGCTTACAGCCCGACACTGCAGAATCAAGACGACGACAGGAAATTGGCAACGATACACGGCAACCATTGATGAACAGGCAAAGCGACGAGAATAGGAAGCAAATGTGTGCCGACTGGGTACCTGGTTGTTGATGGGAGAAAAGAAGATGGAGACACAGACGATGACATTGATATGTATTCGCCCCCGCAGCTCGCATCCGAGATTCCACGCTTCCAGCCCAACTGGCTTCAGGGACCTGGTCTGGTCTATTCGTTATATTTGTCGCTTCCACCTCATGCCATTCACAGTTGACATGCTTGACAACCTTGTTCCAAAGAGCGTCACGAATGTAAACGAACATAGAAACCCAACTACCATGCCACGAGAATACCATCCTCGCCCAGCCTATTTGCAATCTGCCAATTTCCCTCCTGTCAGAGCGCCTTGGTGCACCCAGGTTTGGCCTCTTCATACAAGACGCTCAATTCTTGCCAGATCCTCCTTGCGGTGTGATCTCCATCTGAACTCTTGACAAAAGCGCTGTATTTTTTGACCCGACACTCGCTCAAATACTGCCCATGAGTCTCTCTTCCTGCAGTAGCCCCATACACCGATGTTCGCGCCCCATGCTCGCCCGTCCGTCCTATCATTGTGAGCAGAACTTTGGTGGGCGTATCAAGTTGATGCTGAAAAAAATTGGTCTTGCAAAGCCCCGGTGCAGCATTGTTGACAATCACCAAGGCTTTATTAGTTGGATCCTTTTCGGCCGCCGCTGTCAACATCGAAGCTAGGTACTTTACCAGCAGCATGACAATGAGTTTGCTGAGGAAATAGCGACCCTTCATGTCCGCTTTTTTTGGGTTCGACAGTGTCTTCAGAATCTGTCCCTCGACAGGAGTCATGATCTCCTTGCTATTCGCCCAGAAATGGACTGCTGATCCAACGATGGTGATGTTGGGCGTGATGTCGTAGTTCTTCGCATGATTGCGCATGATGGGGACAAGCAGGGTAGCCAGGAGGAATGTCGAGATAACATTCACAGTAATAGTTGTCTCATATCCTTCTGCAAGCGTGAACTCGTCGAGTTGAAGGCCTGCATTCAGAATTGCCGCGTCGATCCTTGTGAGATCTTTGCAACGCTCGGAAAAGGCGACCACGTTTGCAAAGGAGCACATGTCGAGTTGAAAGACGTCAATTGTTGGAGGCGGACGTCCATGGGAGCTGCTGGAGACCGATTGCAGAATGGTCTCCTTGGCTCTTTCCCCTTTCTCCAGGCTCCGGCATGCAAGGACAATGGTGCTGCAATTTAACTGCGCCAGTAATTTGGCAGCCTCAAGGCCCAGTCCAGAATTTGCCCCCGTCACCAAGATGGTCCGTCCTGTCAAATCGACTTGAGGAATCGGTGGAGTTGACAGCTGACCGCGAATGAATTGGCCTGCCATGATGTTGGGCGAGAATCTGCTCTCTGCTTGTCGAAAATTGTGTTGAGAAGTACAGATTCAGCTTCGTAGCCATGTTCAATGAGCGACTGCCCGTCAAATATGTTCTGCAGTCTCCGGGATCATCCACGTCTTTGAAGGTTGCCTGGGTTCAGAGACGACAAGTTCTTCCAAAACGGTAATTTATTCATTCGTACAATCTCCGACATGTCTGTGGATTCCGGATCACCCCTTCACAGGATGTCGAGCACATTGGCTCCCAGCTCGATGCTTCAAGGGCGAAATCGAGGAGATATCTGTCGCTATTGGGGAAGGGACATGTGAAGCCACGACCATTGTGGAAACATATTAACTCCGAGATGTGGAGCACGGCCACGGTCAATTTCAACCCGCCGCAACTCCCAAGGCCGACCACGCTCGACATTGTATGGTTGGCATAGGCGTCCGGACTATACCTCTTAGCTTGAGTCTCAGGTGCCAGGGTTCTCTCAGCAAATCCATAGCCTGATATCAATCCCGCTGGAAACGGGAATGCTCAGCTGGTTCGGCCCCAGGCGGAGGATTTTCAAGCAGCCATACAGCATCTTCATTATACCTCAGCAATGCCTGCCGTACTCGTTCCGTGTGCATAAGTGGGGCGAGAAGCATAAATATCTTGTCCACGTTGTCGTCAGAGATTGGAACATGCTGAAGAATGCTGATCAACAACGTCACGAGTGCTTCCAGTATTTGTCCGCTTGATGACCTGACAATGACACTGTATGGAGCCACAGAAGATTGACTAGGCAACGAGCTAGCTTCGTGGGTAAGCCGTGTTGAATTGCCTGTATAGACGACCAATTCTGATCGTTTCATGTTCAACGTCGTAGTCGACTTCTGCCGCCTGGTCGACCTGAAGACGCTCGAATATGTTTTCTCGAATAGGATTTCAAGCTCATCGAAAAGCTCATCGATTCGACTGGACATGAAATTGCCTGCTGCACCGCAGATATCGGCTATCGTGAGGGCGGCAGCTCTAACAATGTACGGTGCGTTCGCCGTGTTCGCATCATTCCCGGACAAAAGTCTGCACACCACTGCCGGCCATATGGAGTTCACCAAGGGTAGAAAAGTATTCTCATGTCCCGCAAGGAGTGGACATATCTCTTGCAGCAGTTCCAACAAAATAGAGCGCACCTTCGATGAGGGGGACGTCAGATGTGGGACTGTAGACTGTGCAACGTTGAGCAGAAGCTGGTGGGACTTGGAGATCTTAGCCTCTTGCCCATCAGCTGTTTGTTCGAGCCGCTGATCGTCCTCCCCGTCTTCATTCTCGCCGGAGAGGCTACTCTGCTCCTCACTCAGCCCACCGTCTTCGGCATCCGTCCACGGCCGGTGGGGAGCACCACTAATCTCTTCATATTCCTCGTCAGATCGGCGCCGTCTGTGTTTCCTGCGTTCCATGTCGCCTAGAATGTCTTGCAGTCCAGATACGTGGGCCGCAACGTTCCGGTGGCTCTCAAGTGCTCGCCCAGACTGAATTGAAAGAATGGCAGGTTTCTTAGAACTTTCTGTCACCACCATCTTAAGCACTTCGAACAACTGTTCGACGAGATTCGGGTAACCATGGAAGGTGTCTAGCGCGCCAAATATGCTTCCGATGAGGTCGTCAAGATGTGGGAGGAGTCTGCCACCACAAAGATGGATCATCATCCCAATCACGCGGAGACTGATTGGCGACACATCAAAGGCGTTAAGCCGCAGCGCAACGGCATTGATTAGGTAGTCCACATTCTCAATCAACATCTGAGAGGTCGAAGGATATTCACATGCTGTAGCCAATAGGTTCAGGGCCGTCATTGCATGCTGCTGGAGCAATGCATTACCGGAACCAAGCAGGGTGAGTAGTGGAAATAGTGTCTCCACTAGCTCAGGACGGTACGATTGACTGAGCTGAGAAGCCTGGAGTATTAAACTCTCAAGTGATAGTGCCACCAGGCGCCAGTCTGTGTCTCCTTCGTCTTCGAGGTCAGGGTATTCTGTCAGGTATGGCAGAATATTCGAATAAAGATCGCTTATAAGAAAAGGACGAGAAAGTGAGAAGTCAGGCGAGGAAATATTGTCGTCCACTAGCTCCATCACATCAAATGACTTGTTGCTGTCAGATCTCAGGAATTGGAGAGCGAGCCATGCTGCCGATAATTTCTTGCTGATATCGGAGTCATGCAGATGATCGACAAGACTGCGTGTAATGTTCTGGCTGAACGAGTGCGTCTTGAGGGTGGCAATCAACACTTGGAGCTCTTCTGTGGATGACTGCTGGCTCTGGTGACTCAAGATAACCGGCAAAAATCCATGTTCTGATCGTCTAGACTGCTGGACAAGTTCGCTGGGGGAGATCTGAGGCCTCTCGCTAACTAGCTTTGACTTTTTCGGACCCGAGTCAACAGCTGCTGCAACAGTGTCAATTAGAATCGAGGCAAACCTCGACATTTCTTCATCAGTGGCATTTGAACTGTCTGATAATGCGATGAACGATGTCGTTACCTGCTTGAGCAGTTGCTGTTTGGGTCTATCGTCATTACCTTGCATCACTCGGGGGAGTGCCTGGGACCATTCATAGAATTTGGCCTCTAAGATCTCGGCTATCTCGGGCCTCGAGGTCATCAAATATTTGAGAGCAGAGTTTGCTTTAGATCCATCGGACGATCGGCAAAGGACTGCAAGAGTCTCTACCATCAGAGGGACAGATTGAGCAAGAGTCTGCGGACAGTCATCGATAACCGTCAGACAAAGGTTGAGGAGAGCTTCAACAACGTCAGGGCTGGAATGAGTCCTCAGTTTGACCACCTGAATCAGAGCCAGATCGATTTGAGACGCAGTCGCATCGATCCAGGATTTGTCCAGTATAACCTCATCATCAGCGCCGTGTGCTATTGATGGCTTGGTCAGAGGTCTCGCTTTAATGTTATCCGAGGCAATCCTATCAGCAAGGACGTTTCTTAAAGCCTCAGTCATCAGTTCCAAGTATGCGACAAGAACCTTTCTCGTTCGACGAGCCTGAGTGCTGGATCGAAGGACTTTGACCAGTGTAGAGACAGTACGTGGAAGCAAACTGGCCAATAATGCTCGACTCTTGATAGCACGCTGAAGCTCAAGAAGAGCGTGGGTTGCACTGATCTGGACGTCCTCAGACGACGCCTCTGTTACCGCTTCAAGTAGCTGATAGACCAGCTGGTCTACAATGTTCTTGCTGCCAACACCTTCCAAGACTGTGGGTGCTACTGAAGCACTCTGGCGGATGATGACCGCCATGCATTCGAATGAAGCAACTTTCAGCTCATCAGTAGGAGGCTGATTCTGTTGGTTCGGTCCTCGAGAAACCAGCAAGCCCATGAGAATGAGCAGCTGTTTGGCCATCTCGGGGAGCAGCTTGTCTCGCCATCCTTTTGAGACCAGGATTTGCACGCATCTGACAGCTAACTCCAGGCCTCGGGATGATATTCGAAAAGACTGATTAAAAATATGGGTCAGGGGGAAGAAGGCGTATTCCGCCAATTTCTCATCGAGAAGATCCTCTTCTCCAAGCGAGCAAAGAACCCGGTGTACCTGTTCCAGGGAAAGAAGTACAACTTTCGCGGATGTCTGATTTGCCTTGAGTTTCAGAGCGACGGAGCTCAATTCGACGCAAGGTGGACGCAGCTAAATGGCATGTTAGGTGTGGAAATTTCCTGCAGGGTTTGTGGCGTAACGAACCCGCTGAAAGGCCTGCTGCCGTGAAGACTCCATCGTGAGACGACTGAAGCTATCCCAAAAGACATGCTGACTGTAGGAATTTGCCTGTTTTCGACGGCATGTTTGTACAGACGAATATGAGTACGCTGATGTCGGGTACAAAGTGAACTTGGTCTAGGCATGACATCTGCACAGCCACTGTGGCTCGACAGAGCATGTGGCACTGCTTGGCGCCTGGGCATCTTCGGTGCGGGTAGCTACAGTACTCGCATTGTCTGCCAAGATGTGCTCCCACAAAATCACCTGTATTTTGCAGCAATTCGACTGGTGACTGATGGCCTGATGGCAAACCTGCACGGAGTAGTCTACCGAACAAGGTTCAGACGAGAGAAATGAAGGCTGGGCAAGGATAGGACAGGGTGACCTAGCCGAGGCAGATGCAGGATACCGCGTCTTGGTTTCGACAACAAAACATGGTTAAGGGGGTTCGCACTCGTCAACCGGTGAGAAGCAATAACAGTCCAAACAGTATGACAATGTTTTTTTGTTTCATTGATGAGGAGATTATGGAGGGATACAGTTCCCAAGTTACCAGCATCAGCACTCGCGTGTCTCGAGGGACATTCAAGAGTCTCCGACATGCACCGGCGTTTATCGCACCTTCATGGTCGCTGTCACCAGCTTTCAGTGCCGGCATTTGACACACCTCCATCCCCAGATCCGAGGTGTCCTTACTCAAGGAGAGTCACACCATCAGTCCATTTCGCCATACTCGCACATCTCCAAGCGCCGGCCTCTTATGGGTGCACTCATGCAGAGCGCCACGATGAATACCCTAGGTGATATCCAACACGAGTCGAGCCCAGAGTACATGCCCTGGCAACCGAGAATACCAAGTGTCTTCTTGTTCTTTCTCCCTGCCCGCAGACTCACTCTTCTGCCGATGTATCCATGAATCGAAGAGGTAGAGTCGAATCGACTAAACCCCCTCCGGAGAACCACTGTTGCTGTTGGAATTCCGCTGCCTGGAGACACTCATGGAGGTCCTTGGAGGAGAGTCGAACGGACTTGTCAAGCAGAGACTCGGGAACCAGGGTTCTGGGCGCAAAGTACCGGACAGGAAGCGCCAACGCCCATGCTGGACTTAATCCACCTTCGGCAGTTCGGAACTCCTGTGGTCGAAAAGTTAGTAGATGTGGATGGGTAAAACTCATCAAGAACGTACCAGATCGGCCACCTCCACCTCTGCAGACAAGGTTGGGAGCGAATTGTCAGGGCTTGTTGCGATCTTCGGTTTCCAAATCTTCAGAGTCGCCTTCTTTGAACCAGGATGGTTGACGTTCAACATCATAACTCGACGAGTATTCCCACCAGATCCCATGATGTATGTGTTCGCAATCTTTTCCAAATCCTCACTGTTTTGCGAGAAAGCAACTTCAAAGACCATGCCAGGGTAGCGTGCCGCTTTGTGCTTGAGCTGGGCATCTGTGTCGTGCTTGCAGCCATTCGCGACCATGGTGAGCGTGACCGGGCCACGGGTTTGGATGCAATCAACGAATGACTCGGCAGCGGGGTTCTCCAAGCACAATCGTCTCAAGCGGCTCATCAACAAATTCATGAGTTCGCGGAGGAGAGAGTCATGGACCAAGGGACGACCCGTGCGTAGGGCAAAGCTATGGAATTGAGGATTGAAGTTGTGTCTGTATTCGAATGTCAGCAGTGTTGGCTTGAGTGGAGATTATCTACTGTACTCGAGTGGATTCTTGAACAAGTCATCACCAAAACGACCGGCCATGAGAGAATTGTGGTCCTCTTTGCTCAGTGGAGCCTGGAACCAAGATGTATTGCCTGATGAAGACTGGTTGGCGCGATGATCGATTGTTGAGAGAACAGTGATCAGTGCGGATGGCGGAGAGTCGTCATCTACTAAATGGCGCGGCATCCTCACAGTGGGGTCAAAGGGGAAGTGCCACCAATCCGTGGTGTTGCCAGATCCCGCTGACTCAGGCATGGTTGCGGTTTGGTGATTGTCTTGGTGATGTGATTCGTAAGTGAGAAGACCACAGCGCAATCAGTTGGTTTGAAGATTGTGTGGTTGAGCAGAACAAACTGGCGACACTGATGCAGATCAGCAAGATGAATCGAAGAAAAGGGTAAAATGAAAATAACGCGTCGATCGTGCGTCATGCGGGGTGCAGTGCAGTGCGGGGAGCAACATCAGTGTGTGGTACGGTGCAGTAGATGTCCAAGGGGTGTATCTCCGGTGGTGCAAATACCTTGTCGTGCTTCGCATGGTGTTTATATATACATGATAATGGCCCGGTACCTATCAGGGAAGGGCAAAAGCCAAAAGGCTTTGCTTCCGGTACACGTGTCTGGCGACAAAAGAAGAGAGATCGTCTAAAAGATTAATGCCAGATAAATAAAATCTCACAAGGGCCGAGCGCAGATTCCCAAGCCGCAGATTCCCAAGCCGCAGATTCCATGGCCACAATGTTTATCTTTCATTTCCACCCCTCCATAATAGGCAAATTCTGAGAAAGTCGAGAGCTCAACCGCCCTATACTACAGTGGCAGAGTATTACGGTGCTGACAACAAAAACGCACCTTCAGTCGTTTAACTAGATACCAGACACAGGCCTAAAGACATTCGGCTATCTTGGATACATCCTTGCACCCAGGGAACCCTTGAGGTGGCGGCCTCCTCGACAGTAGCTCCGACAGCTAAGTGAGGACTATCAAGACCCATCACACCACACTCACCGAGCCCCCGCGAGAGCTCACAGTCTGAGGCCAACCAGAACTCAGTATCCGTTGCCAATGTGTTATGCCTATATTCTTCTGTTTCCTCTGACGATACGCATTTCCGCGGATAAAGAAGTGGCGGAAGCAAGACATTCACCAAGATTTGACCAACTCTGCACCAACCAGATTGCCCATTTGCATACAGGAATGAGTTGAGGGAATGTGTACAAACGTTCTACAGCCGTTGAACGGTGACGCAGCAGAGAGTCAATTTCCATTCTGAAACGAGGATACAATGCTGGCGAAAGCTCTGGAAGCAAGAAGAGTGGCCAGGAACAAGAGATGGTGATTCGGTCGCAATATTTTCGTGGTGCCGGAACTGGGAATCTCCCACCAGCTAAATACGAGTAGCTACGGACAAGGCTCGTCAAATGGTTGAAAGACACAGGACACACTTGCTGGGGTGTGAAGCTAGGTGCCTCCGAGCAGGCTGTGGCGGGAGCTGTGATTTGGCAGCGTGAGGTTGACTGGCCGAATGCCTGTCTCAGTAGCCTGCAGCCGGCCGGGCCTTTCTGCTTTCTGTGCCCTGCATGTGCGGGAGTCAGTGGCGGTCACGGTTGACGCGTCCTCTTTGCAGTGTCAACAATAATGGGAAGGGCTGGATGTAAGCTGAGGACTGCACTGCACGTACGTGAGAACACCTGGCCGACTCTGCACCGTCTGAGCGCTAGATACAGCTCTTGTGGCGAGCATTGACTCCCAGCCCCGCTGCGATTATGATGTGATGGCAGTTCTCGGGACCAGGCGCAGAGAGCGACTTGCTACAAGGAGCAACCACATCCTTAGGCGAGCTGGCGCTGTGCTAACACTAATTCGTGTCGTCACAGTGGAGCTCCGACGCTCAGGCCAATTTCCATTTCTCGGGGTGCCTGCAGTGTATCACCCCAGACTTCTTCAACCTCTCAGGACCAGGCACGCCAGGTTTACCAGACGGCTTGGTATGTCGTACACGCTGAGATGAGGCTGGATATGAACACCAGCTTGTTGAAGCCGTGTACCCCCAGAGCGGCTAGTAATCGACAGTTGGGCGGCGCACCCTGACGGAATGCCATGACTGCATGGTCAACGGAAGCAGGATTTGGTCATGGCTGCAGGTGGGAATCACCGAGGGGATCATCGATTGGGTGCCGACTTCAAGATCTGTGAAGCCCGATGTTCAGCTCGATTCGAACCGTGCTAGAGTGCGTTGGGTATAGAGTTGGTGATCGCCACGCGTAAAAAACGCCCGATTCAGGGTTCCAGCTCATATCCGGGAACGGGTCGAGGGGCTACGGGGGATGCGTCCTGGGGGACAGAAGGGACAGAGGGGGCTAGTGAGGTACTGGCGACACCTAAAGGGGCCCGCTGTGGCTGAACGGGTGGCGGTCAGGATCAATCGGTTGGGTCACAGATGAGTTTCCCGGTGTCACAAGTGGCTGCGGTCGCCTAGGGAAAGTTCGGCCTGTGCAACACTCAGAGACCTAGCTCGCTAGAGGAGGTGCTAATTGCCATGGGCATTGTAATTGTAACCAGCTTCACAGTTTCGACAAGAATCAACCCCCAATCACCAACCTCCTCATCAAGCCGAGTCCCCCTGTTGCCATGAAAAGTATAATTGTAGAAAACTTGGTTCCTGACTCTGGGGGTCAAGCTTCCGCCTGTTCTTTCATCATCACATCCACTGGCCCCTGGAGCTCCTTACCTAGTAGCTACCCTAATACTCACAGCACCTACCTAGGTACTTGCTAGGTCCTGCATCTTGCTGCATACTGCATACTGCATACTGCGCACCGCATCGTACTCGGACGGCGTGCCGCACCTCCAGAGCTGTGCCTTTGCTGCATCGTCACTGGCAACAGGGTCTCCACTGCCGTCACTCCTCCACCTCGACCTCACTTGACCTTCACTTCCCAAGTCAAAAGCTTCCCACTTCCACCTTCCAGCTCTGACTTTCAAAGCACCTCCCCTTAAAACCTTGTGCGTCAATTCAATCCGCGCCTTAAGGCTGCTTTCTTTCCCCCATCCACCACTTCGCTGGACCTTGTCCTCTCTCCCTCCTTGCCTTACCCAGGGCTCGCTCTCGACGTCGTCGTCACGTACAGTGCATCATCTTACTGGTCACACCCTTTACGCCGCGCAATTCTCAACTTCATCCGCGAGCCTTGATCCTCTCATCCTCAACCATGAAGAGCTTCGTCATCGCCGCTGCTCTTGTCAGCGCAAGCTTCGCGCAGACACTCTCCAGCCTACCACAATGCGGTGTAAGTATCCCATGCTCCAGGCTGGCCTCTCAGAACGTTGACTGACCTGTACTTCAGCAAGTGTGTTTCAACAACATGCTCGCTCAAGCTGCCACCCTCGGCTGCCCCGATGTCAATGGATCGCCCGACGTTGTCTGTCTGTGCAAGAATTCCGACTTCAGCTATGGCCTCCACGACTGTTCCTCTGAGTCTTGCCCGGTTGGTACCGATATCTCACCGATTCTTACGTATGGACAAAATTACTGCGCCTCTGGTGAGTGAAAGATGGACATCCTTTGGTGACAGTCGGGCAAATGTGCTGATGGTCGTCACAGCCGCTGCTTCCGCATCCAGCGCCGGTAGCTCGGTTGGTACTCTCTCCGGAACCTCAGCCTTGACTGTTGGTGGTGCCACTGCCACTGGCCCTAGCGGTGCCACTGCTACTGGCACTGGTGGTTCTGGTGGAAGTGCTTCTGGCTCAGGTGGTTCTGGTTCTGGATCTGGTACCGGCGGTGCTGGCTCTGGCGGCTCCTCCACGCCAGTCTCTACAGAGACTCTCTTTTCCACCCTTACCTCCGATGGCAGCACCATCACCACCGCCGTCGGCACATCCACCATCTTTAGCGCAGTTGGTGCAGGTTCAGGAGGCAACGGCGGTTCTTCGACTCCCATTTCGACCGAAACCCTGTTCTCGACTGGCACCGACAGTGCAGGCAGCAAATTCACCACGGTCGTGGGCACATCCACCATCTTTAGCGCAGTTGGAGGAGCTGGGGTCAGTGACATCTTCCCCCTCAAAAAAGCATTGTTCCAGAATCACTAACGGGTTTTTAGTCCTCGGCTTCAAGTCATGCATCTTCGGCCGCCTCTGGCGCAAGCGGATCTGCCTCGTCCCTCTCAGCTTCTCTTTCCTCCCAAATCTCATCGGCCTCCTCTGCTGCCTCGGGCGCTGCCTCGTCCGCTGAAGCCTCTGCATCCTCTCTCGCCAGTTCTGCATCTTCGCATCTGGCCAGCGCCACTAGTTCTGCCGCTTCGGGCGCTTCGTCTGCTGCATCTGGTGCATCGTCGGCCGCTTCGTCAGGGGCATCTAGCGCCACAGGTGCAGCTGTGCCCATGGCGACAGTAGCTGTGAACGGCCTGGCTGGTATCGCAGGTCTTGCTGCTGCTATCATGATGCTGTGAATAAATGACACTTGAGCCACATTTGAGTCGGTTAGGAGGGTCGATGAAAATTTCCAATTTGTTTCCACATCACTGTTGATACCCACATTCGAACGGCGCGACTTGCATCCTCGCTCCACAGGGGCAGGGAAAGGGACAATCGGCGGACAGAATCTCAGCGCGATTGGCTTGTTCAAGGTCACCGCAGCGTGCCTATTGATGCGTAACGGATTTTACGGACAACCAAACGGTACCTATTAGCACGAGCATTAAGCATCTGCTGTAATAGGCCCGACTGGACGGGCTGATAGCTAATACATGATGCATTGTACTCGAAACAGAGATAGCTTTTCAGAAGTGCGAATGTGCTACTTTGGAACTGACTTGTAGTCCGTTATCTGTTGCGTTGACTCAGCCTCGCTTCCTCAGCCGGCGTATCCGAAGCCTCGCCTCCGATCCTTCGCCTCGAGATTGTCTTGGATTAAGGGGCACATAAGAAAGCAAAGCACAATTCCCATTGGTGCGCTTCACGCTCAACTTGGGCGTGAGAGATACGAGTATTACCTCGACTTTAACCGAAACACAACAGACTCTCCACTGGTTGTTAATAACATACTTGTAAAACGCTGGTCATTCTCTGGACGAATTTGCCACAGGACCGACCTTTTCCCTGGCCAACTGCGCCACATTATAAGGAAGCTATTCTCTTTATCTTGCAGGTTTTTGTCTACTTTGGTCAGTTTCTTGTCTAATCGACCCCCCGCCGGATGTGATTGTGCATTCCCAACGGTGCATACTGGTGCCAGGGGGAGAAATAATCCAGGTCAAATACGACATGGGCACCCGCTTCTGGATTGACGAATGCCGCTCTACTTTGATCGAACTTGTCCTTCTGGGAGGGATTACTGTATTCTCTTGTACCGTTTTGTATTGTTTTGTATTGTGGTGGTGGTGGCAGGGTATCATTATTAGGTACATGGCATAAACTCAATACCAATCGAGAGCCAAGAGCAGTAGCAGCAGCGACAGCACAACTCTCCTCACTCCCAGTCCTCTTCATCGCTCTCCTCCTCCGCCTTGGTGGGCGACCGGCCGAGGTCGTCCTTCGGGCTCCCTGGAGCCCGGCTGTTGGCGCCGCTGACGAGATCATAGCTGGCGTCACTGTCGGCGACGGACTTCTCGTCGTGCGATCGCCGGCCTTCGGGTTTCAGCGAAGTCGGGTCGGCGGACGCGGACGCGGGCGTCTGGTGTATCGTGGTCGAGGAGTCGTTGGTGTTCTGTGCGACCAGGACTTTGGGCACTGCTTCGTTCCGGAGCTGGGGCGTCGAAGAAGAAGCGCCCTGCTCCTCGTCGCTGTCCTCGTCCCAGCCAACCTCCTCTGTTTCGTGCGTAGATGCTGTATTGGGTTCGTTAGCAGACGTTTCCGAAAATGTTGGGGGGGGGGGGGGGAGGGTGAATGTCAACGTTGCGCCATCATACCTTTGAGAAGCTCTTTCCGCTTTTCTTCTTGCGTCTCCACGACATGTCTCAGGAAATAGTATCTCGTCCAGAAATCCTTGTACTCGACTTTCTCTGGCACGAGCTTCTCCATGGAGCTTCTCAACTCCCGATACTTGTCAAGGTCTTCTGCAATGCGTGCGGTCATCTCGTCGATGTCGAACCCCCTTTTGAAGCCATCCCACTGGTCGCCCGCGCCGCTTGGATCCTGAGTGAAGCTCGTCATTGTAGTGTGGATGACGTGTAGCTGCGCATCGAATCTGCTTGTGTGGATGACTCTTTTGCCCGAGGTAGGATCTCTACTTTCAAACAGCACCTCCCCAGCCTGGCGGTTGCCAGCCTCTTGGTCGTCAGGGGCGGTCACCGACACAGCGTCCCGCAGGAAGTTTCTGATGTTCGTGCCGAACCTCAAGAGCGCTTCATCAGCAGCATCTTCCGCTCGCTGCACGTCTTTCAGTCTCTTTGCAGCCTCGGCCTTGAACCGCTCGAGGAATGTCTCCGTCTCCTGGATTGTCTTGTTTTGCTCATTTTCTTTGCTGGTGCTGGATGATTCTATGTCCCCGTCTGTTCCTGAGGTATTCTCTCCCTCTTTCTGCTCCGCCCCAAAGCCCAATCCCTTGACACCCTTCAGGCGCAAGGCTTCCATATCGCTAGCCATTTCAGCAGCCTCCTTCTTTGCCTCCTCGTAGAGACTTTCTCCTTGCTTTCTGACATTTCCCCAGAGGCCACCTAGCTTGACGCCCCATTGTGAATTGGAAAATGCTTTGAAGGTCTCCTGAAACTCTGATTGGAGACTCTGTCTAGGGGAGCTTGTCTTTGGCGTGGAGGTATCGTTAGAGTTTGAGGAGGCATTCGTTGCAGGGGTAGGCGTAGTGGCACGATCACCGGTATTGTAGGCTTGTTCAGCGATATGATCGTATGCGAGATCCATGGTGGCGGGGAGGAAGGCAGTCAATGGGATGTTATGGAGAGGGGTAAACAGACGAGCAGACCAACAAGGTCGCCTTGTGGTGGTGAAACGACTGTGTTTAGCGACCGTAAATTTGGGAAGGAGAGCTGATTTGAGCCGCTGTGTCAGGCGTAGTAGTGATTGACGAGATTCGAGGCTTCGACATGCATGGAGAGGTTGGAGGGATGATCAAGGGGGTTTTGTCGATGACAGTCGACGGGCCACGTGCCGCGGAATGGGATCGCAATAATGAATGCGTCTGACAAGTGTCGATCAAGACTGCTTGCACCAATACTGGCAGATTTCATACTGTCAGACACGTTCAAGGAGGCCAGCTGATATCTCGCCCTGTCGAACAAACACATCCAGCGCCCATCTCCCGCTCACACCGCCGTGAAACACTCAATGTTCACCAATGCCACAGCAAAGTCGATGACATGACCTCCGTTTCTCCCAGGAAAGTTGCTGCCTTCTCAATCCTACTGGTGCCCTATACGAGGTACTGGCATTCCAACCCCAATACGATATACGGCAGGGCGCAGACGACGCATCTGCCGCGCGATCAAGTCTGGTTCCTTTTCGCTTGATCTCTATCAATGATCTTCGAATCCTTCTGGCAGTCTTTTTGCTGGTGCCTGGGGGACTGCGCACACAAGCTAAACCGATCTGATCATGGCAACACATAGCACGTTCCATCGACTACCCCGGAACAAGGAATCCACAGGTTGGGAGATCCGATACTGGTTGATGGCCAGATGCATTGCCTCAGCGTGCTAACCCAACCTGGTCACCACTTCGGCCTCGCTTACATTATAGACAATTTGGACATGCGTGGACTGATGTCAACGCACAGGTACAGCGCTGACCCAACAAACATTCATTTCAAGGTTTTCATGCCCTGCGTCCTTATTGTCCGTGCTCAGTTGCTCCCTATATAATCAGGTGGGTGTTCTGCTTCATCCTCTCAAGATGTCCCTCATACCTCAACCCAAGCCTTTTCGCACATATTTGAATCCAAACTTCCCAGATAAGCACCAGATCTTGATCTCAATCCTTCAACCAAAACATATCCGGAAGTATGAGTGGCGGCCAACGAAATGGACCCCTGACTCGGGTGACTAAGGGGGTTGGCAGTCTCATAGGTCTTGCGGCCGAGGCGCATGCTCAACACAAGAACAAAAAAACAAGCCCGGTTGCAAGGAGACATGACGCCCTCGAGGACTCCAACGGCGCACCGAAGAGCAGAGGGGCCGCCGTTCAACATGAAGCCCAGGACATCGACGAACAAGAATCACTTTCTGACGAGGAGGAGGAGGAGGATGCTTTTGCCCTCGACTCCATCCTCCCCCCGTCGTACGATGAAGCAATCTCTCCGAGTTCTTCCAGCACTACTCCATTCACCACAATAAAACCCCTCCCAGCTCCTATCATCCTACCTCAGCGTCGCCCTCACCGTTCTTCTCGAGGCTTTATTCGAGCGTATGCTCCCGTCCTCCAAACCCACAAAAATATCTCTCAAGCCGCCTTTCTCCAGTTCCTCAAAGACTTCCAACAGTCCTCGCGCGCCTCGCCCGTGTTCCATGCAATTAACATTGGCGCTATGGCTGCTGGGTTCGCCCCCAGCGTGATTGCCATGGCCGTGAGCATGAGCGTGCAAGCCGGCGTGAAGTATGCCAGCGCCGCGCAGGAGAGGATGAGAACGAACTCTTTCTTGGACAAGGCGAACAGGGAGATGTTTTGGCCCGTCGGGCTGCATGCGATGATTACGACCTTTGCGCCCGGTCAGACCGACCAAAGCATTCTGGACGTCGACACGGGACGTCCACTTCCCTCGTCCGGCGGAACAGGCCGACGTGAACTCGCGATCCCTCAATCCGCCCCGCTGATCTTCCCAGATGTCGACGACGAAGCAGATGACGACGGCCAGCCGGCATCGTCTTGGAAGCGGAGCACAAAGTTTGTTTCCTCGTACTTCGACCGACGTGCCCAGGCCGCTTATCCTTCCACCTACGCCGACGCCTTGCAGGCAGATTCAAATGGCCGGCCGAGCTTCGCCAGCCGCTTCAGCGACCCCAATCACCCCGCTAATTCGGGAAGTCCTCTCGCGCTCCTGACGGGTGGCATCATCAACCCAAGAGGCGACCAAGGCGGGTTGCTGTCGACCGTAAGAAGCATAAAGCGATCCAGCTCCCACGGAGACGAAGGATTGCTGATGCGGCTCGCACGGACCGCGTCGGGCGCGGCACAAGGTGAAAAATACAGACAGCAGTCCTATGGATCTGCTTCCCTCTCTCTCTCCCGATCTGAGTCCCAGTCTCAGCCCCATTATTACCAGTCCCGTGAACCGGACGACCGTGGGTATTCATCGCACGAGAGCTCTCGACGGCGCCACCGCCACGAACGACGTCATCGCCGGGAAGATTCAGGGAATCCATGTGATGAAGGTTACAGCCGAGGACGGCCGGGACCGCAAGGACGTGGCGGCGGCGATGGTCGCGGTGGACTCAGACAAGTGCTGAGGAGAGCAAGGACGATGCAGCAGGATGTGCTGTACCTCGTCATCGCCGAGATCCCAGACTCGGTCAAAGAGGAGATGGCGTGCAGGCGGCGAGGTTAGTTGGCGATCGATACATACATGCCAAGTAAGAAAAAAGGAATAGGCGCTGGTCTGGACTCAGCACGGCGGAGTTCCTTGTCTTATACTATTATTCATTTCACAGCTCCATGCACGGTCTGGGAGGAGCCAGATCCGCCGCCTTGTAAATGTATTCTTTCTTTTCCGTCGCAAATTCATTTGATGATACAATGAGAAATTCATGCTTCGGTAGAGCAATGATGGCATCACATCATATCATGACCCCATCAACCATCCAAGTCCACCTTCCTGCTCATGTTGGCCAACAACTGGATGGTCAATCAGACCAGCAGTCACCCACCACGTGCCCAATCACCTCGTGTCATGCCATTCGTGGTCTTCTTTCTCGGTTCTAATACTCAAAGTCGTCGTCCACGCCAGTTTTAGTCGATTGCTCCTTCTGCATCACCTCCTGCTTCCTGTACATCTCCGCCACTTGCGCGCTAGTCGTCGCCTCCTCGGGCTTCTTGTCGTCTCTCCGCTGGATGAACCGAGGAAACCTAAGACTGATCCCATTCTTGCCGCCCATCTCGTCGATCGCGGCCCTATATCGAGGACTCAACGTAAGATCTGCCGTCTTCACTTCCCAGACATGGCGCGCCTCGAACCACACGTCTGGTTGATCGTTCTTCACGGTCGAGTGAGAGTAAAAGGGTTTGGGGCGCTCAATCACTATTTCGGAGAGCTCCTTGGCGAGCTCCTCAAGCAGGGATTCAGAAAAACCGGTGCCGATGTTGCAGACTGTTTCGAAATTTTGGGTATCGGGATTGTATGCGGCGAGGAGGAAGGCGCCATACCAGGAAGTGCGTTTGCCTTTGCCATGATAAGCACCAAGGACCACAAGGTCCAAGGAGTCTCCTATGCCGGAGAGATAGTCTTTCTTCACTTTGAGCCAGTTCCTCGAGCGCTTGGATGGCTCGTAGGCCGATTCTTCCGTGTCGAGCATCTTTACCATCAAGCCTTCGCAAGATGCTTTGACAGCATCATCGAGCAGATGCTGAATTTCTTCAACGTCCTTGGCATCGCCATACTGGGCAAATTGGAATTCACCCTCTACCGGCACGAAGGCATCGTGCAGGATTTCCCGTCTCTCACGGAATGATTTCTGCACAAGTGCTTCGCCATTATAAAAGAGCATATCGAAGGCAAACACACATACTTGGACAGTGACTTCAGAGGTCTTGACGTCTTTGCGCTTGCGAGTCATTAGTTGTTGGAAGGGTAGGATTTTCTTGTTTTGAGGATCCCAAGCGACGGTCTCGCAGTCCAGGACAAAACTCTTCGTCGAGGGCTTAACCCACGAGTTGAGTTTCTCTAGGATGTCGGGGTATTTCTTTGAAAGGTCCTCCGAGTTCCTTGAGAAAACGGCTGCAAGACCTTTGAATGCCTTCGGATCTTTGGTTAGCGTGTTCTGTGCTGCTGGGTATTCGGACATGGCTTCAGGGGCAATGTAGTGGATCTGCGAACGCTCCCCATCGTATTTATATTCGCATGTGAAGTTCTTGCCCTCGAACCGGTCTAGCACCTCGGTGATTGACTTGGTTGGTTTGGCAAGCATGGGTTTCAGGGGCACTCCTGGCTGCAACTTGCACGTCTCGTGTAAGTTGAAGATGCCGTGTTCCAGCATTGCAGGAATGATCACTTCGTATGAAGGCAGCTGGCTGTAAACCATTTTCAGCGTGGCCTCTCCCTGCGCCAACTGATCTGTGGTGGGAACCTTCCCTTCCTTCACGGCCTCGTGGGTCACTACGGCCTGTGCCAGCGCAATGATGACGGTTTTCTCTGCCAGGCCGAGTCTCAGTTTTCCTTCAAGAAAACGAACCAAGAACTTGGCCTCGGACGGCCCTCCTTTGTCCTTGGTGATGTCGACAGTTTTACCTGCAGATGAGACATCTGCAGACGCCATGAGTTTATTGATAGCTCGAACTTTCTGGTCTTGTGAGCCTTGCCCTTCCATCTTGGCGATGTCAAGTAATCCCTGATGGACGCCTCGGACTGTGAGCGGCTTTGGTTTAAACATCTGGCTCTGCTTAGATTTACTCTTGGCAGCAACCAGGCCCAGATCACCAATCTTTTGATGGTCTGCCTTGATAACCGATAACGAGCGGCCAGAGCTCTCTCCAATGGCTTTCATGATCAGGGACTCCCCTATCCCAAGTTCGATACCGGCGTAGTCTGCAGCGAGTTTGTTCAGCATCAGTTGGATCGTAGGCAGGAGATCCTGAGGCGTCAATCGGAGAACTTGCTGCAGAAAAGCCGAGCAATAGGCTGTGATTTGTAGACGCTTTGTTGTGAGTTCGATCAAGGAGAAAGTTGTGCACAGTGCTGCGTACGGGACAGGATCGCCAGCCTTCCAATCTGGATAAGGATCTTTTCCCGTTGATATGATCGTGGCCTGAATTTCGGCCGCTTGTTTTTTATCGACCTTGAGGTTCTCGTCCTCACTTGCAGAGACATCCTCGTCGGCTTCTGAGACACCACTGTCTCGATCTGACAGTTCCGGCTCCTCTTGCTCGAACTGGACCGTTTTCGAAGACGTCTCTTCAATATCAACTTTAGATTCCAGTTTGGCAGCGACACCATTTGTCTTTGGAGGATCTTTGGGCTTATTTTCGGATGCAGATGCTCTCCTCCGTCTCTTGACCACAGGCTGATCGTCAGAGTCATCCTCCTCTTCTTCGCCCTCTAGCTTGTGTTTTCTGCTTGGGGAATTGTTGGTTTCATCCTTGCCATTCTCGACATCGTCCACGTGTCCATTTCTCGGATCAGCGGACACATCCATCTCTTCCTCGGGTGGATCATCCGCTTTCCTGCCCTTGGATGTCGACTTTTGGTTGAAGGAGAGAGTGGACTGGGTTTTAGATTTGGTGCCATTTTGTGTGTTCCCGAGGAATTTGCTATGAAAGTCAGCCCCCTGTCAGAATTCGCAAAAGAGAGGGTAGCTGTACCCGAGAGTTGACTGCCTTGCTTGTGGCATGATGAAGGTTTGCTGCAGGTTGAGATATCTAGAGGTGGATGTAATAGATCGAGAAGTCAGGAAGATGAGGTCAGGCGCAAGCGGAGACCGCGACAGAGACAGGAGGTGGAAAGAAGAATGAGAAGGCAGGAGCGTTCTGAGAGTCGCCTGAGGTGCAAGCACACAGCCTAATGGCACCAGTTTCATCCAGGTAAAGCTGTGGCTTCAATAATCGCCTGCGCGGTCGATATTTCAATACATCGAGAAGCAAAGGCGCGTCGACGCGTGGGGCAATGGCAATTAATTATTTCGCGTCTGTCACGATTTAAATGACGTGTGACGTGTGAAAACTGCGGCAAATGGTGGCTGATGCCTGTGGTTGCCTACTAGTCCAAAAACCCATTTCGATCCTTCGCAACCGTACGAACTTCAAGGCTTGCCGTTTACACTTGCGTCCTGCACCCCTCTTCCACTGACAATGGAATAGAACAGATATCTATAGCGTCGCTGGGGTCGCCCGAGAGGCCGTTACTCAAACAACCTCCGCATCTGACCCTCTCCACCGAACATCCGAGTGATGCTTGATCCCGATGCTACTTCCCCTCCGACTTCTTCGCTCACCACCTCGGTATTTGGCAGAGCGACAATGGCAGGGCCACGTCCTCTCCCTTCCTCTGCGCTTTCTGATTGTGACACATCACGTCGTCGATTGCTCATTTTATGCGAGGCATCGTTTTTAAACGCAGACTAACGGCAGCAGCCTTCGTCAAGCAGTTCGGTGAATACAATGAAAAGACACACAAGTACAAGATCGATGCCACCTATTTATCCTTCTTGAACTCCTTTCCCCTTTTGGTGTATGTCGCTGGCATCCTCATTGCTACCTTGATTGGCAACCGCTGGGGACGTCGTTTGGTCTTCTGCCTCATGCAACTGATGTGCATCACCGGCATTGCTGTCACATACTCGGCAAAATCGTTCGGCCAGGTCCTCGCTGGTCGCTGCCTTGTTCAGGCACACATTGGCATGCTTGAATGGCTCATACCCATGTATCAGGCGGAAATCGTACCCGCAGCCATCCGAGGCAGAATGGTCATCCTTTTCATCTTTGAGCATCAGTCCGGAGCTTTGATCAGTTCTCTCATCTGCAACTTCACCTCAAGGCGCAAAGACAACTCGGCTTGGCAAATTCCTGTTGGTCTGATGTTTCTCCTTCCTTCAGTCGCGTTGCTCTTGAATTGGTTGGTCCCCGAATCCCCCCGATGGCTCTGTCGCCAGGGGAGGTACGACGATGCTGCTGCCAGCCTGAATCATCTTTACGGATGCTGTAAGGACTACGACGCACAGGAAGAAACGGCTCTTCTCAAGGCAGGATTGGAAGAAGCCGACGCTGCTTCCAAGGGAACTTGGGCTGAGGTCTTCAAGGGCACGAACCGAGTGAGTTTCAAGACCCCCTTCCAACGTTTCCGTCCCACATCGACCACACTTTGGACTGACTCTACTGTCACAGCGCCGCACCATTCTTGCCATGTCCGCGGCTGCCTTCTCTATGCTGTCAGGAAACGCCTTTTCTTCACACTACGGCACAGTGTTTCTCAAGTCAATTGGCGCCTTTGACGCATTCACTGGCACTATGATCCAGAAGGCTATCGTTGTCTGTGGCCCAATCACCAGTATACTGGTTGTCGACAGAATCGGCCGACGAAAAATGTTCTTGATCTGGGGATCGTTCGCTTCTGCCGCTCTTATCACCATGGCCTCTCTGGGGACCCATTCGCCATTGAGCATGGGCTACAAGAAAGGCATCGTGGCTATGGCTATATTCTTCCCTTACGCCCGGATCGTCTCCTTCGGTGCGATGTAAGCATAGCCGTTTTCCTTTTCTAAGCAGCCTTTGGTTTTTCGCGGGTTTCCATGCTGACCATCACTTTCGCTTGTTTACAGGGGTACCTTGCTCCCGGCTGAAGTTCCTCACCCCAGACTCCGCGACAAGACGTGCTTCGTGGCATGGAGCACGCAAAACTGCCTCGACTTCCTTACCAGCTTCACGCTCCCGTATTTGCTGGACGACGATTACGCTGGGCTCGGCGCCCGGGTTGGCTTCATCTACGGCGGATTTGCCTTCCTCGGCATCCTCTGGGGGATCTTTGTCCTTCCGGAACTCAAGGGCCGCTCGCTGGAGGAGATCGAGGAGATGTTTGAGCAGCGTGTGTCCGCGTGGAAGAGTCGAAGTAAGTCTATCTGGGAACACTCTCCAAGATGACCCTCCCACTCTCTCGAAAGCCTGTGGCAAGTGTGTAATGGTGTGAAAACATGTCACTAACCTTTTCTCTCTTCTATGTCTTGCAGCGTGGAAATCGCCCAACGCCGACAGCGTGGGCGTCCAGGTTACAGATTTCGAAAACGATCCCACGCACCACCATATTCGCCACGTGGACTCCTCCGACAAGCTCGCTGGCCTCGAAGAACTCACCACGACCGTCAAATCGGAATGAAGGATGGCTCTCTCGATGCTACATAACGAATTATGGTTTGTGGAGGAGACGTAGGGCTCAGTTGCTACTTATCTAACTCGTCAATTCTAAGTGTACGGAACTCAATCGACAATCCTTGTGCTTTTAGGAAAGAGGCTTTTGATGCATGGCTTCCGTTTCTGAACCATCACCAGGTACTCAAGTTACTCAGGATCAATGAATCCCGGTCCAATAAGGACATGAACATGGATACAGCCAATAGTTATAATTGAGCAGGTTATCAACATTTGTTTTGGGACTCAAGCGCAGAGTGAAAGAGAGGAAGAAAGCCCGAAAGCTTCCAGATACGCATCGTAGATATAAAGTGTCTTTTCAAACACAATGACCTCTCGTTCTGCTAATTGTGACCGCCGAAAAAAAAGCCCTGAACTATCTATCTATCAGAAATTGAGCGATATGGAGACATGCAACATTTTTGTCTCGACTCGTTTCTCCTCCCTCCGTGACTCCCGTCTTGGACCGACGTGGGTAGCAAGTGTTATTATAGCCCAGAGTCTGTAGAAAGAGCCTGGATAGGTCACACAGTGTATAATGTGATAAGATTTGTACGCTGTTTGGGCCTTTCGGGGGTTAAAGTGGAAATGGAACAAACAAGGAACCTTTTGTGACGCCTCGCTTACAAGGTGGTTTAATTTAAGGTGCCCTAGAAGATGCAGCAGCAGCCTTTCTCTTCTGAAGCTGTTCAGCTGGGCTTTCGAGGTCCACGACGGCTCCTCGGCCGCTCTTGTCTCTCGACCAGGGCATCACGTCGCTCGTCTCGACCATCCAGCGCATCACGACCGCCTCAAACATCCGGACCAGGTGGCCGTACTCGGGCTCGGCCGCAAGGTTGTGCAGTTCGTGCGGATCCTCGCCCGGTCGTCGCGAGTACAGCTCGCATGGCTCGTACAGCCGGTAGATGTACGTCCACTCTTTGCTCCTCAGCGCGACGGCCTTGCCCACCAGCGTGGGGTCCTGGTGCTGCAGCCCGGCCTTGAGATCGTACGGCCACTTCCCGTTCTCCAGCAGATGTTCCTCGCTCGTCAGGAACCCGCCCTCGCTGAAGGCGTAACTCTTCTTGCCGGACGTGCTGCTCGAGTTGTCGGCGGAGGTGCCGTTCAGCACGGGCAACAGACTCTGTCCGTTGTGCGAGTAGTGCTCCTGAATCCCACACATCTGGAATATTGTGGGCACCAGATCCACCATCTCGGTCATGTCGTCGATAACTTTGCCCTGGGGCAACCCTGCACCGGAGATGATTAGCGGTTCGTGCGTTAGTGAGTCAGAGAGCCCTGAAGGCCATTTCTCTATCAGGCCGTGATCGCCCATGTATTCGCCGTGGTCAGTGAAGAACATGGTGACGGTAGTCGAAGAGAGATTCGAAGATGATAGGGCAGATGTGATCCGGCCGAATTGGTTGTCGAGGCGAGAGACCATGCCCATGTACGTCGCCTGGACTTCGGCCCACATTTCGGGCGTCGCGCGGTGAGTACCGTAGGTATCGCGGATCGCCTTCATGTATCGGGGTTCGTAGCCCGTCTAGCCCGCACGATGGTCAGCAATCCTCCAGACAAACAATGTCTCGCTTTGGAGAAGTTCATAACTGTCGCTGGACGTAAAGAAGGCACACACTAGCTTACCTTTTGATCCAACCGTGTCTGGGCAGGCATCAGCTTCCGATCGTACATGGAGAAGTACGGCTCCTCGGCCCAGAAAGGACAGTGTGGGAAGAACAGGGGCAGAAACAGAACCCACGGCTGCCGGGGCGGGTCCTGTAACCAAGTCATGGCCGACCTGACGGCGCCCTCGTCGTAATCAAACGACTCGCCGGGGTCCCGTTTGCCCTTGTAGAACAGCCTGTGCCATATGTCGTGCGGATCTGCCGGTGCCGTCTGGCCGCCTTCCTTCCAGTTGGCGGGGAGATAGTCTGGGGCCTCGATGAAGCCGTACTCGGTGACGCTGATCTCGATGACGGTCGGGGCGAATAGGTCGCCGCGCGGCGCCAGGCACGCGACGTGGTAGCCGCCCTCCTTGAGCGAGCGAAACATGTTGGGCTCCCAGGGCTTGATCATGTTCTCGAGCGACCGGTGGCCCGACACGTGCGGGTACTGGCCCGTGAACATGGACACGCGGCTCTGCGTGCACACGCTGGCCTGGGCATAGCAGTTTGTGAAACGCGTGCCGGTTTTGGCAAAGGCGTCGATGTTGGGCGTCTTTGCGATAGCGTTGCCCGAGCAGCCTAGGGCGTCGTAGCGGAGCTGGTCGGGCATGAAGATGAGGATGTTGGGCTTCGAACCTGGTGCTGTAGTGCTGTTGTCCGGCGCCATGGTGTGTATGTATGTGTTTCCTTCTCTTCTCTCCCCCTGCTTTTCAGTTGCTTTTCTTTTTATTCCCTCTCTTCCTCTCCCGGGCTGTGCAACCTCACAGATCACAAATCAAACAATGATAGCCTCTTGGCAGCTTTATACAAGTGTCAACGACCAACTCGGCAGACCCCTCGAAGAGATATGCGTGCTTTGGTCGTTGGAGAAGAAGCTATTGCTCGTGTTGACTAGCATTCATCAACAACGTGTATTGCCGACGCCTTACCTACCAGACACGCCTTGAGTAGCCGACTATCAAAAGCCGTCCACCCTGTGACCCTGTGTGGCTTTTCCTCTCAATAGCAGAGCCCATCAAATCGTGGAAGATTTCCTGGGGTAGGACAGAGCAGATCCGCAGATCCTATCAACCGAAAAGCCCCCTAGAAGACGTTGTGGCAGCTGGACTATCGAGACGATGTGCCAGCCGAAGATCCGCTGCCAGCTCCGGCTTCCCTCCGATCTGCCACGTTTCCCACACGCGACGAGCCGAACAGAAGTTGACGCCATTGAGGAGCCAAGACAAGTTTTGGGACTGCGTATCTATGTGAGTGTTTGATAGTTATGTCTGATCGAGTACGTATTAACTTTCCAAGGACGGTCACGGTCCAAGGCACGCCCGCTTGTTGCCCTAGAACACTCAAAGCCTGCATTGCTGAAGGACGGACAGGAAAAGAGACCCCGAAGAAAATGCGGCTATGAGGCATCGAAAAAAGTAATAGCTGCAAGATGTTGGACTGAATCCTTCAAATCCGGCTGGGATTTTTGTTGCGAAAGGACACACATACAAAAGCCAAGCCCTGAAATTGGCAGCCAGGCAGGCAAGCAAGCAAATCCGCTTAGACAGACACCTCTTGCGGCCTTGAAGGGGAGGGCCGCGGAAACAAATCATGCAGCAGCAACAGCAGCAGCCCAAGAGACCCAACTTCCTAGTCGTTGTGGCCGACGACCTAGGTTTCAGCGACATCGAGCCCTATGGCAGCGAAATTCCCACACCCACCCTGGCCCGGCTGGCCAGAGAGGGCATCTTGATGACCGACTTCCACACGGCCTCGGCTTGCTCGCCCACGCGGGCAATGCTCATGTCAGGCACCGACAACCACATCGCCGGCCTGGGCCAGATGGCCGAGTTCATGAAGAACAACCGCCAATACCTGGGGCGCCCGGGGTATGAAGGCTATCTCAACTTCCGAGTCGCGGCGTTGCCAGAGATCCTGCAGGACTCTGGTTATCACACCTTGATGTCAGGTAAATGGTGGGCCAACAGTCCGTTTTGCGTGCCGCCCCCCTCCCCCTTCCCACGTGCACGGTGTTTAATAAAATTGGGTTGACCCTTAACCATGGCGGACTCCTAGGCATCTCGGACTGACAAAAGACCTATCACCGCATGCTCGCGGCTTCGATAAGAGCTTTGTCTACCTCGCTGGCTCGGGTAACCACTACAACAACGAGCCCCAGCTGGGCGATCATCCGCTGCGGCAGCCTGCCACCTGTAGCGACGGACTCTGGATGAGGGATGATCAGTTTCTCAACCGCAAGAAGGATCTACCGTCGGACTTTTATTCCACTGCTAAATTCACCGACGAGTTGCTCGGATTGCTGGAAGGCAGATCGCCCCAGGACAGAGACCGGCCCTTCTTCGCTTATCTCGCATATACCGCACCACACTGGCCCCTTCAGGCGCCAGCTAACGAGATCGAGAAATTCCGGGGTTGGTACGACGACGGGCCTGAGGGTCTGCGGGATCGCCGGCTCAAGGCACTGATTCAGCGAGGGCTAGTGCCTCCTGACGTCGAACCCGCGCCCATGGTCGGGCAAGTCTCTCACGAGTGGCACGAGATGGACGACCATCAGCAGCGGGATTCCTCTCGGCGCATGGAAATCTACGCCGCCATGGTCAGCCTGATTGACCAGCATCTGACACGGGTCATTTCGTACCTGGAATCTACGGGCGAACTCGACAACACGTTCGTGCTGTTCATGTCCGACAACGGCGCCGAGGGGAAACTGCTCGAAGCGCTGCCCGTAATGGCCGGCGTGCCGCTGGTCCGCGTGATCAAGGAATTCTACAACAACACGCTCGACAACCTCGGAAACGCGGACTCGTTCGTCTGGTACGGACCGCGGTGGGCGTGCGCCGCCACGGCGCCGAACAAAGGTTACAAAGCCCAGGCCAGCGAGGGAGGTATCCGCTGTCCCTGCATCGTGCGCTATCCGCCGTTCTCGCGCTCCACAGGCTCCATGACGCACGAGTTCACCACCGTGATGGACATTTTGCCGACCATTCTCGACCTGGCCGCTGTCGAACACCCGGGACCCGCATTCCGGGGACGCCAAGTCGTCCCCCCTCGCGGGCGCTCCTGGGTCGAGTACCTGGACGCGCGGACCGAGACGGTCCATGAGGGCGGCTGCCAGGATGTGACGGGCTGGGAGCTCTTTGGGCAAAGAGCGATCCGTCGAGGGAAATGGAAGGCATTGTTTCAGCCGGCGCCGGCGGGGTCCGATGAGTGGGAGTTGTACGACATGTCCAGGGATGTGGGCGAAGTTCACAATCTCGCAGGTCAGGAGCCAGAGGTCTTGAATAGTCTCTTGGTGGAATGGGAGCGGTACTCTACCGAGACGGGGCTGTATCTGCCAGAACAATAGTGGTTACCTCGTCCTGTGCCTTTTGCATTTCTTCTTGGCGTTTGCGAAGAGCGTCACGCCAGCCCCGAACGGGCGCCGTTTCTCCCTGTGCACTCCGAACTTTGCTACATGCTAGCCTTGCAACGTTAGAGTTCTCGGTGCCTTTGCTCTATGTCTAACTCGTTGACGTCGACGCGGCTGCGCTTTCCTCTCCGCCGTTATCCCTCCTCAGCCCGCTCTCGGTTCGACACTGTGAGGCAGGCCTTAATGGTTCACGAGCGTCAGAGTAGCGCATTTCCGACACAGCGACAGGCGGGGAGATCCCCTCCGTGAAGCCCGGTAGTGATTACTAGCTGATTTAGCTTGGATTGGCCACTAAATATTGGAGTATGTGGACTGGCTATAGTCCCCATAATCAAAGCTGCACTTCGGGCGAAAGGTGGATGGGAACCCCCTGCTTTGGGAAAGAAGCTTATGATGTCCAGCCTCGGCTCCCTTGTTCTATTGTGACGAGAAATGCCAAGCCCGCCGCTCCGGTTGCCCCCGCAAAACTGTCTCCGCCAACCACGCGCCGTGTTTTAGCGTGTTTATTTCGCCAAGCCGGAAAGGGTCGAGACCTTTAAATCGACCTCTTCCCCAGCTCGCCCACGATGGCTTCCCGCCACCTCCATTTTCCCCACCTCTCGCTCTCAGGTTCTGAACCCGTTCGCTTTCCTTCACCATTTCTCTCGTCAATCAGATTCTGTCATATCCCTTTCCCCTTGCCTTGTTGTTTTCATTCCATGTTCCCATCTCCTCCCGTCTCCCCTTCCTTTACCTTTTCGCGTCGGCGCCCACTTGCCGGGAGCAAGCCTTATGGGGGAGATCGATTGAGTTCGCGTTGTGGATCCCCACGTACATCACACCCAAGGTCTTCGAGAGATTGCAACTATCCGACGCATCGAACCCTACGGCTTGGGCTGGTAATTGGTCGGATCGCCTTCGATCTCACTTATGGTGGGTTGGGAGTCGATGTCCTGCTGCAAAACCCCAACACAACATCGGGCAAGAAGAAGGATACAACTGCAACTCTCTCAACTGTCGAGAATGCAGCAAGACACTCGCCACATGGAGCCGCTGGCGTACAGATTTTCTGCCTTGTGTCCTGCCTTATGGGTGGATGAAGGAGAGCTTCTGGGGCTGGCGGGAGGAGGTGACTTGCGGAGTGTCTGAGAAAGGCTCGGGCAGTTTGGCAGTGACGGATCGTACCTGCGGTCTCGTTGCGAAGAACCGTTGTAACCTGCACAACGCCCGCCTCCATGTGGAGCTTGGTTGCTTCTCCGTAAGTATTCCTGGAACTGCAAATGGTCGCTGGCCCAGGCTGGCAGATGTGGTTGTGCCGTCCTTCGCTCTTGAGCGTGAGGTCGGGAATTACATTCATGGGTGCGCCCTTCGCACATCATGGGCCTGTGAGACGGGAGAGGCACGCTGGTTGTCTAAAGCAGGCCAACCGATGAGGCAGACGAAAGAGGGGCTTATCTGGCTCCCTTGCTGCACTCGGGAGAGGGCCTGCTAGTGACGGCTTGACGGCGGTCGATGTAATCCTTTCCGGGTCACAGGTGATTGCCCAGCGAGCGTGCCTAGCGACACAGGTCTTGCCACCCTTCCACGACGTATTGTCATAATGCGGTCTTATGAACCAAAGGATACTGGAGTATTGGTCAGCCTGGCCAATTGTCGCCGGTCGTCAAGGAATCCTCAGGAACCGCGGGATACCAAGGAAACCTCTTGTTAGGAGCAGGCCCCCCAAGAAAAGGAACCTTTGGAACCATGGGATGTGAGGAAACGACTCACTCGCTCTTGAACTGAGACACAACAAATACAGATGGCTCAACTGCATTCTACCTTTGTGCAGCACCTCCACGGGGCAATTCCAGACTTGCAACTTACCTGAGAATCCGGGCAAGATAAACCCGTGACAAGTCAAGCGAAAGAGTTCCCAGCAAGCAGTTTCCCTACCAAGAGGAGTACAAATGATGCTGGCTTAGGTCCAATAAAGGAAGGCAGAGCATCTGTGTTTTCTCAGGAAAAGCTGAAAGAGACAACGAGCTTCTCGCCAATCACAGTCTCAAAAGATCACTTGGAAACTCGACCCACTCGTCTTGACGAAGGCCTGTGGGAATGATTTCTGCAGTCGAATTGCGGCGCAGAAAGTGGCCCAGAGCGGAGCTGCCACTGGATGACCTGGCTTCTGACACAAACAAGGTGCAGAAGTGATGAACGAATTCCCATGTGCCATGCGTCTGATCAGCCATGGACTTGGGCATCCCTGAAAGACGTGAGAGCTATCTACTCAACTTGCACCTGGAGCTACCCTACGACGAGGAACCCGTAGAGGCTTGGAAAAAGCCCAGAGGTCAACGAGATTAATAGAGGGGGTCAGTCTCGAAACGTCGGGAAGAAAGCATGGCGATTTCCAATCCTCATTTGAAATTGGAATACGACCATAGTGAAACCCACAATACTTCGAACGCATACAATGTGGCTATGCGCAGGCCGTTGTCACTGCATTACTACATGGGTCATCGAGCACAGCCAAGTTCAAGACCCTTGAAAATACAAACTGGCTCACCGCCGAATACCAACTTGGGTCCACGCACCGTTGGATCTGGGGCAATTTCTGAAGAGGGCACCGAGGGGCTACAACCGACCACGAAGGCACCACGTCAATTTACAGAGAGATACAATCCTCGAGAGGGCACGATTCTGAGGGTACTTTTCAAGTGTGGTCTCATCATCTCGACGAAAAGGAAGAAGACACCATCAAAGCGAAGTGGCAGATACATCTTCTTGTCAGATGGGCCATCAACTGAAACACAGCACGGGAATATCCAACATGACCCATGAAAAGATCTCAACATCTCAAAACGCTTCCCAACCGAAACTTCCAAAGCATGATTCAACTTCATGCGCACGTGTGCAGCTGTGGGAGACTCCAGCACTTTGCACTTTACACTTTGCACTTTGCAGGGGCCCGTTCGTATTTGGCAGAACGAAGAAAAATGGACAGCTCGAAACCAACACCCAACCACCGACACCGACTCTGGAACGCTCAAACACGGGACGCACTGCCCTCATGACACGCAAAACCTTCATTTCTTCAGCGCTTGCCCGCCAAAGCCCCATCCCCTCTCCAGCAGCAACCATGTGTAAGAGAAAACCCGCGCTTTACACCCGCGCCTTCTTAGGTGAGCTGTGTGAAAAGTGGTTTGGTGTTTTTTTTTTTTCAATGCCGTGGTGCCGTTCGGGGTAGGGGCCAAGGCAACTGAGTTAGTTGGTGGGCCGCAACGAAGAGAAAAATGCCAACAAAAGAATATCAAATCCGATCTCGCGATGAAAGGGGGGTGTAAATGTCTGTACCTGGTGGTTTGATGCGTTGTTTGTTGGTGGGTTTACTGTGTGCTGTGTTCCCATGTCCACCGGAACAGGAACAGGAACAAGCCAGCCGGAATCAGGCCGATTCCTGGTCCCTGGCTGGCTTGTTTGTTTTTGTTTAAAACCTTTTTCATCATGGAACAAACAAGTTTGCACACTTGCTTGCTTGAGGCAAGTCCATGGAGAAGAAGATGGCCACAAACCAGAATACACGCAAGGACGGCGTCAGCGTTTCTCGTTCATGGCGCCAGCCTGAGATAAATACATCTCTGAGACAATTACGAGACTGATGATGGCAAAAGAGCCTCTGGATGCAGCCCAGAGAGACTGACAGACTTTTGATTTTGTTCCTCCAAACAATTCTATGATGAGGACGTCCGTCACAAATTGACCATCTCACAAAAATGAGCAGCTTCTCTCCCCTTGTCCTGTCATACCATGCATGGATATTATACACTGATAACGCCGGACGGCTTACTAACCCTTGGAACACCAGTCCAACCAGTCCCTCGCTTCTATATGTTCTTGTCTTCGAGCCAAGAACGCCCCTTTATGCAAAAGCTGCATGTTGCATATTCCGCCCACTCCGTTTCCTCACGAGAGCCAAGGTCTTCTGCATGCATTGTCGCTTCCACCAGTCCTTGAACCGGCCCAGCACTTTCCGCTTCTTGTACGCAAAATCGGACATTGGAACCGTATCGCCCAAGTCCGCATGTGGGTACTCGAATGACTGATGTGTCCTCATATGGCATGACTGGCTGAGCCTCAGTGTACCGGACTCTTGCTGGGTAGAGCTATGTCGCGTCCCCAACAACCCAGACGACTTCGTGAAACCACTGCGAAAGCTGTGTAGGTCAAATCTCTTTTTGATAGTAGTTGGCGGTTTCTGTGCCAAGGCTGCCGAGCTGTCGTCGGAGAAAAAGCTTTGGACTTCACGGAGAGGTGGCCTGTATAGTGTCTGAGGTTGATCTGGGAACCGAAGGCTGAGGTTCAATTCCGAAGATGTGAGCGGCGGTCCTAATTCTGGAGGGGCTAGTTGAGGGACCGATCCCAATCGTGGAATCTGAGAACTGTATCGTGTACTGTTCAAAGGCTCGATGATGCTAGTATTGCTGCGGTGTGAACGCACAGTCCTGACCGATGCTTTGCGAACAATTTCAATGCCTTTCTTGACGGGCTCCGGCATCGCAGCCAGCATGCTGGTCCATCTTCTAGGCATCGACGTAGGTACAAGAACACTACCTTCAGACATCGTCGTTGGCGGCTGTGCGGCTACTGAGTCCGCACTCAATTCGGCATATCCAGCAACTGGCGAGGTTTCGCTGATCTTTTCGGGCGAATCTTCAGTTGTCCACTCTTCATCTGGGCTGACATCCTCCAGCGACTGTCCCGTTTGCTCGAGAATTCCTAATTGCCCCAGACTCTGTGACTTTCTCTTGCTCTTCATCAAAATTCGCGCTCGCCGTCTCTGATGTGACGCCTGTCTGGCAAGCACGTCACTTTTTGATCTGCGATGAGCATTCGCGGCTCCCTTAATCGGCAATCTGCTTGTTGTCTCTGGGCTTAGGCTCAGCTCCGACAACCTCCTGACCTTGAACCTCGTTCGTGGCGGATCTGAGTCAATGTCTGCCATGTCACCCGATGTCAATGAACATTTGGCGTTGGATCGGTTGGACCTGGTGGATTCTGAAGTTAAGAGTCCGCTAGTTGACTGAAGTGTTTGCCAGCCAGATGAATGCCCCCGAATCCTTGAGCCAGCGGAAGACAAGATGGACGTGGAGTTGACTTGATAATCTTCCAGAATTGCCCCCGGAGGTAGTCTGGCATCCATACTGGCAAATAGACGCCGGGGTATGAGTCGGCGCCTCTCAGAGCTGGCGAGGCTGGAGTGCCGAATAGTCGAGCTCGAGGTTGTTGGCCTCAAGTTCCATGGGGACAAAATCCGCGGCATACTTGACGATGCTCTAATGGTGCTCTCTCCACTACTGTCCACTGCAGCGACCGAATGCTCGGAAGGGCTGGTTGTTTGAGGAAGCCCTTCTTCGCCTTCAGTCCCGTTATCGTTCAAGCCCAAGCATTCAATATGTCTATCGAGAAGTGACTCGATGGTTGATCTTTCATGGATGGTGATCTGGCTGGCGTCTCCGAGGGCGTTTGGGAGTGCTGCTTCGTTAGCCACATTCTCCCATTGGTTTTGCTGTTCAGCAGCATCAATCTTTGATCCATCCTGTGATTGTGGCGACAGAGCTCTTTCGATCGACTGCAGATCTGGATGTTCTTCCACAGCGTCGAGCCGAGAAAAGGTTTGAACATGATGGGGCGCTTTTCCTTGGTCGGTGACATAGTTGTCGGGGATTTCCAGAATGCGGCTAAATCGTTTCCTACTCTGTGAAGACATTGGGCGTTCAGGCATTGGCGACAAGATCTCGGGGCGCTCTTTTGAACGAATGTCACCAGATGTCTTTGGTCGTTCCTTCAACTCAGGCGAGTAAGAGCCGAAGGACAGTGGCCTAAAGTTGAATGAAGGCAATTCCCATTGAGAGTGGGCCCGTTGTATGTTATTGAATGCATGTCGCTGGTTTCCATCACAATGATGATCGCCATATTCCATTAACCCAGAGATGGAAGGTTTATGATCGAACACGGGCGAGTGCACTCGAGCTGCAAGAGTGGTCAAATCCCGCGGGCTTCGACTTGCATTGGGGAAGAATGCACTCGAGTGAGTGGAAGCACAGGTTCGACGTGATGCGGTGGACGCTCGAGGATTGTCCTTGTCATCTCTCGACCGCCCATCAAGGTGGTCTTGATCCGCAGTTGGAAGCTTTTCGGTCACCTGGTGGTTACTCCGTCAGCATAATAACGACAAGAAAGGATATTTTTAACAAAATCATAAGCATTTGGGTCTCTGACCATTTTACTGGCCGAAACAGATCTGATGGCGGGCGCAGTGGTGGCCCCAAGGCTCGACTTCCGGGGTGGAATCATTCCGGCGTAGCTGTATTTTGATTGCTTCGACTGCTCACTGGGTCGGCGGTTATGTGTGGTCGGCAACTCCAATGGATGGAAGGCTGACCCTGGGACCGTGCCAAAAGGGGATTGAGCCTGACGGCGTTCAGGTGCGGGCAGGTTGTCTAGGATAGTCTGGTCCATATTAAAGGGAAGATTGGCTGCAGAGGGATCGTCCGGTGGTGAAAAACAATCCTCCTCGAGAAATGATTCGGAATAGTCATAGTAGTGAGGTGTAGTAGACTCGGTCGGAGACTTTGGCAGACCTCGAGATGAGGCAGCGCTGTGGTTCCAGACGGGTCGAAAACTCTGAAGAGAATTGGACATCGGGGTAGTCGTTCTTGGGTGTGGATAACCATTACCAGCAAACCCGTTCATGGAGGAGACCGCTGGCGATGGCAGCCGGACGAAGGAAGAGATGGAGTTGTTTAGCTCGGGTGGGTATGCAGGCGGACCAGGACGCAAATAATGCACAGAGACAGGAGAAGAGGCAACCGTCCCAACACTTCCCACTCTTGGATAGCCATGTCTTGCACCATATCTGTATGGATATGCCTCACTCAGGGCTGGGGAGGAAGCTCGATAAGCAGGCCGGCGTCTTTGGCCGGAAATGATCAATGGGGAGCTCGAATGGAGGCTGTGGAAGTCGCGCTGGCTGCGCAGAGTGATCAGCGACCTGTGGGAGTGGAGAGGATGAGCAGGGATGCCGGGGCCGGTGAGATGTTGGGATCTATGACGGGGACCGGCTCTCTTCGAGCGAAGCCCTGAGCGAAGCGATGTCTGGGTAGAATGGATTGTCTCTCGTCCTGACAAGGCCGAGGATGATGGGACTGGCCGTGGCCCCTGGTGGCGGTGAGATCGTCGTCGGGGGGGTCGTTGGTTCTCGAGTTGAGGGTTGAATGAGGCGTCAAAGGAACCAGCACGGCGTTTGGATGACAGTAAACGGGAACCAGAACGATGTATGCGTGAAGGGCGAACTGCGAATGGGCCACAGTCTCCCAATTCAGTTGTGTTTCTCAGCATGCTTTGCACAGCACTGGAGCGAAGTGAGGTCGTGGAGGTCGTCGGCGCCACCTCCTCCTGCTTGGCGCCATTCTGGGAGGCATCTTTTTGGATGTTGGGGCTGATCTCCTCAAGTGGCATTGCTAGCAAACGTCTTGCATGAGGGTGTCTAGTTGAGAAAATGATAGTTGAAGCCAGACAGAATTGCGTGAGCAGAAAGTCAGAGCGGGCAGACGGATGAGTGAAGAAGACGTTCAGCACCTCGAGTGGATTGTCATGCTGAGAAGGGGGTCATGGTGGTCTTCATCCAGAGGAGAAGATCTGGTTGATGAGAAGGAGAAGACGAAGATGGAGAAGCCAGAAGCAGAGTGTGTGGGTGTTGAGAAGGTGCGCCTCGCAGAGCGCAGGCTGAGGCTGCTCTGAGGTTTGGGAAGGAACGCGTCCCTCGATATGGTCCGTTGCAACTCACTTCCCCGTCGCACTGTCCTCTGTCAGTCAGTGTCTTCAACTCATCATCTCTTTTCATCATTGACTCAAAACACCATGTAACTTGTGCCCCCTCAGGTCGGCATCATGCTAATCTTTCCTGCTCCACCACCACCTCCGCCAACACGACTACGGCTAGACGAGGCTTCTTTGCTGTTCTTATACGCAAATTCTTGCAGACCTGAATTGCTGGTGCTAGACCGCGCACTGGCACTATTCCTGACCTTCTTTGCCACGCCACCGCTGCCTCGCTTCCCCTTCGCGACCGTCGCTCTTGCTCTAGAGCTTCCGCTGCCACGCTGCTGAGAGCCACGCGATACACGGCGATTCCAAGGAACAGACTTAGGACGAGAGTTGCGCTTTTTCGGGGCGGCCTTCTGAGGTCGAGTCTCGAATGCGGATGCCTGGGATACTGCTGTTTGTCAGTAGTTGAAGGCTAGCCACTGGCATCCCACAACTTACGTTTCTCGTTGAAATGGCTGACGTCGTCAGCCACACTAAAGTAGTGACTGCTCTCGGTTTCACTCAGATCTTCGTCGCTTTCATCCACTCGATCCGCATCCTCGTCGTCGCTGATTTCCACAATGGATCTGCCATGAGGCCCGTCGCCATCTTCTCCGCTTGCCTCTTTCATCGCCTTGTAGTCATTATAAGCGCTTTTGGCCAGTCGCAGCAAGACAGGCCCGAACATTTGGAACGTTTCTGGGTTCATACGAGAAATGTCACGGAGCGCTTTCTCATCTCGTGGAAACCGAGTGGCAATTTCCCGAAGTATAAGATCAGATATTGCCATCTGCCGTAACCCTTTGGCAATTTGGATTCGCTTGATTTCTTTTTTAGCGTTATCGACAAAGTCATCCAGGATGTGTTGGTGAATCTCGTCGAGTTCCTTCGTCCTGTCATCCGTAGTAATTGGAGGCCCTACTTTTGCGATTTTTTTGGACCGGTGTCCGCCAACAACGGGCATCGAATCGAAATAGAAGGCGTCGTCTTCTTCGACTTCATCGGCAAAATCTTCATCGGAATCTTCGTCGAACGGCGCACGAGGAGGGATCCTGCGAGACCTCGGCTGCAACGGTGAGGAAACGTTGGTAGAGGCAGGATAATCGTCAGTAGCGGCTTTGACTCCAGTCCGTTGAGTTTTCTTCCTGGTCTTCGAAGCGACCGCCTTGGATTTCGATTTGTCCCTCGGCGAGACCAAGATTTGCATACTCAATGTGCCGTGGCCGGCCTCGAAATCGGGCGCTCTGGGTCCCGGTTTCACATATTGCGTTGCGAAGCCAGCAGTGTTGACCTTGTTATATTCCGCCAAAGCATCCTCACTAATGAGCCGGTAGAATAACCTCTCCACGTCCCCTCTGGCCAACTCTGCCCCAAGACCGTACTCGCGAATTTTGTTGTGGCCGAGCTCAGTGATCTTCTTGTTTTTGCCACCACGGTAGACATCGACACAGTGTAACAGGGTGACTTGTTCACGAGACACCTGCTGCACGAGACGGATTGCATTTTTAGCATGCTCTGAAAAATCCTGCGTTTCGAAGGTGCTGGTTGAGTTGCAATTGTCACAGGTATTGTTGCAATCTTCGCGCTTGAAGTGTTCGTTGAAGTACCCGAGCACTTGCTGTCTGCGGCAATCGCTGCGATTCTCACAGAACTGGACGACATTGCGCAACAAGTGCTTCTGCCTCTCCTTTTGTTGCCAGTCGCCGTCGCCTTTGTCAATCATCCGCTTTATGGAGGTTGTATCGCTATAGCCGTAGTAGAGATAGCACCCTGCTCTGCCACCATCCCGCCCAGCTCGGCCTGTCTCCTGGTAATAACCTTCGAGACTCTTTGGAATGGTGTGGTGGATGACAAATCGGACATCTGGCTTGTCGATACCCATGCCGAACGCAATTGTAGCAACGATGACTTTGTAAACTCCAGACTGCCATTCTTTCTGGATATGGATGCGCTCGGGAGCTTCGAGTCCAGCGTGGTAGTGACGGGTCGCAATATTATATTCTTCTTGGAGCTGCCTCGCAACATCTTCACAAGCTTTGCGCGACAGGCAATAGATGATTCCCGCTTGTCCTTTGTAAGACTCTTGTATGAGACTGGCAATACTTGCGAGAACCGATTGTTTGTTGCCCTTTGGCCTCACCTCGTACGTGAGATTCGGTCTGTTGAAGCTCTGTGTAAACACCTCGGCACCATCCATGCCCAGATTATGCATACAATCCATTTTCACGTTCTCTGTTGCCGTCGCAGTCAAGGCCATTACAGGCACATTCATGAAGCGTTGGCGAACTTCGCCGACAGCCTTGTAGTCAGGACGAAAATCATGTCCCCACTGGCTAACACAGTGTGCCTCGTCAATCACAATGCGTGCGAGGAGTCTTCTCTTGTTCAGATCCAGAAAGACCTTGAAGAATGTCTCACTCTTGTTGAGCATCTCGGGTGTGACGTACAGAAGTTGAACAAATTTTTCTGGCTCGTTAGATCGTAACGCTTGGAGGATATAATTCCGATGTTCTTGCGAAGTCTGCCCGTTGACGAGCACAGCTTGAACGTGCAATTTTTGCAGATGATCCACCTGGTCCTGCATCAGACTGAGCAATGGAGAGACGACGATGGTCACGCCTGCAGTTCGCCCGCTCTGAACTACAGCCGGCAATTGATAGCAAAGCGACTTGCCTCCTCCGGTAGGCATCAGCACAAAGGCGTCCTTGCCGCTCAGGGTCGCGTTGATGGCTTCCAGCTGATTATGACGGAACTCTTGGAGATGAAACTTCTTCCTTAGAGTCGAATACACGTCTTTCGACCATGGATGTTGCATCAGAGCTGCTGGTGGAGGCCGAGGTATAGATGATGTTGTTGCAGGCTTCTGGGGCGATGTCCTGCGAATGTTTTCGCTGACTTCACGCAGAGCAGAGCGAGAACTTCGATTAGGGGGGGTAGCTCTCAGCGGTAAATTCTGTTCGTACTGTTCTGCGGCCTTGTACATTTCTTCGTCATCTAAACCTTCCTCGAAATCCTCATCGTCGAATGAAAAGTCGCGAGCTGGGCTACCCATTGTTCTTGAAAAGTCGCCCGCCCTAGCCTTCGCGCCCGCACCGGCAAGAACACGACTCGGGCCAGGAATGTCAAAGGCATGAGAGGTGGGCTGGTTGATTCTTGCGTATTCCGATACTTGAGCTCTTTGGGGAGATCCTCGATAGGGAGAAGGGCTTCGATTCGACGACCTGATGGCCACGTCAACTGCATCGTATCGGTATAAAGATGGTGTTTGGCGGACTGACTGCGTTGAGAGGTGAGAAAGACCTTGTGGAGTCTCACTCTTCGCATTCTTTGACGTTGATTGTGGCGGTTTCTGTGTTGAGGCAACCAGGACCTTTTGGTTTGATAAGTTTGAGCTTGGGGACAACAGATGATCTCGGTCTGTTTTGGGACTGTTACTCATTCTTTTGGCAGTCGACACTCCCACCTGTTCCAAAAGCGTGAAGACTGTGAGTTCTCGAGCGTCGATCTCACGTTTGGCATTGAAAATCTTCGAGCATATTGATGTCAAGACATCATCGGGGTCATCGGGCTCAATGATATGGCCCGCTTTCCGAAGTTCTTCTCGCTGGACGAGCATTTGTTCCCGTAGGTTTCGAAGTTTGACGAGAGTGGCGAATTCCTCCTGAAGACGTGTTGCTGCATTGATCTTGGTTACTATTGCCTTCTGCTGTTCCTTCAGATGGCTAGAAGCAGCGCCGCGATCGCATATCTCTTCCATAATTTGGCCGACGACAGCTACCTTCGAGTTCTCCAGCCGTTGCAGGAGGCTCTGTAGCTGGTCTTTCCCGTCCATAACAAAACTGTCAATCAGCGTCTTTTGTTCTAATGTCAAGCTGCCAGCGAGGCTGGGGGTCGGAGTGCTGTTGTATAACATCAGTTCTGGATTCGATGTCGCCTGGGGCGTGACTGCAGGCCTTGTTCGGAGGGAATGCAATGGTCCAGGCGCTTCATGAACCGGAAAGGGTTGGGATCGAACTGGCTGGTGGAAAGCAGCCTCTGCACCTTCTTGTTTTTCCGCCAAACCACCTACGTCTGGACCATGCCCATCCTCGGGAACTGCTTGACTCGAAGCATCGGATTCGAGTTTTGGAGCAGAGGGAGAGTCTTCATCGTCGTCTGACTCGGGAATGATGTTTTGTGATCGCTGAATTCGAGGTTGTAGAGGGCGCGTTGAAGCTCGCAGTTGATCATCGTTTTCTGCCACTTTCCTTTGGTGACCTCTATCTCCGTCGATCGCTTGAGCCCCACAGTCTAAGAATGTCTCTGGCTGAGGAGCAGCAGCCTTGAGCCGAGTTGTAGCTCGCGTTAGACTAACTTCTTCTTCAAGAAATTTCTCGATAACACTGGTCTGGCTGCCGCGGATCGGAGAGGTTGTCGTTGTTGTGCGTTGCTGGACCACCTTTTTTGGCTTCCGATTTGACTGTGGGGAGAGCAGATCTGATGCATATTCATCGCTTTTCCTCTTCTTTCCTTTCTTCTTTGGCGACGGCGCCACACGAGAAGCCGACCTTTCGTTCCATAACTGGGTTGGAGGGCCGAATTCGCCAAAGGAAGAAGTCGTGAGAGCCTCGCCAGTGAGATCAATTTCGTCAATGTCGAGGATGTCGATGGAATCATCGAATTTAATGTCATCAAAGCTCGTTACGGGTGTACGCGGATTGGGAGTCTGCCGGGATGCAGCAGGCGTTCCATGTCGTTTCGATATACTCGATTGTGGTTTGATGTCAACTGAAGGTCGAGATGGAGTGGGAGTGGGAAGGGGATTGAGATCGCGTTGCAATTGAGTATGCAGTTTCGGTCTGGGAGGAATCTGTGGTGCCAGCTGCAATCTTGCCATCTCCTCGTTCGTGTCTGCTGCTTCCAACTCATCGTATGATACACTGGCCGTATCAGCAATAACAGATATGTGCTCCAATGATCCAAAAGAGTGTGGGTGCTGCAAGAGCCATGAGAGGGAGCTGTTGAGATTATTCTTGGTCATAGGTCCGTCTCATCTTGCTGTATCCCGGAGCAGTTCTGTAGATACGGTAGCCCAGTAGGCGAATGTGAGTGGGAGTATTATTCGCCTGCGCCAGTCGAGATCGGGAGGAATGTCAACGTCCCCGCCAACGACGCGTTGAAGGAGCCAAGGCGCGGTGCGCGCTGTGGAACTGAATGACTAAGCATTTCAGAAAACACCAAGGCACGTGATCGAGCTTGAGAATTCGGTCCCTCGACCTTGGCGGTTCAAGCAATGGTAAATCTGCTCGCAGCTCACGGCGCCCTCACCCAGACGCCGCCACTTTTAAAACCGTGGGGTCACGATTCACCCTCCTCTCACCTCTCGCTCACCCTTGTGATAAGAAAATGAGATGACATTCTCCCTCGGGGTATGTCCCTCGTGCCATGGCAGCACGCAGGTTTCCCAGCCACAAGCGCCGGCCCTGCTTTTTCTGTTGAAGTCACAACTTCGACCAACAAGGCGGGGCCGGCGCCCAAGGCCTCAGTTGAAAGCTCTTCGGCCTTCCCATATCCTTCGCGCCCACTTCACATTAATGCCGTAAATGTGATGTTGGCTGTACAGGGTTTTCTCACACGATGTATTGGCATATTTGGCATATAATCATGCAACTTAATAGGCCCTGTTTGTATGAATGCCCTCACCGGTCTCGCGGCCTAATGCTCCCTGATTTGATCTTTGAAGCGTTGTCACGACCCTCGGATCTCTTGCCCGAACCAAGATACAGCGTCAGCCGTTCCTTTACCTTCTGCACTGTCCCAGTCCAACTACTACCGCTGCCCCATCAGGCATATGCAGCCCATCATGCAGACTGCCTTTCGACCACGGAACAACTTGACACTGCCCTTGTCTTCACCTTGTCACGGACACTTGAAGCGCCAGTTTGGGAGCGAACCAACCTCCGGCTGCGATGCCGACAACGAGACCCCTGCCAACATGACTGTCACAGTCACAGTGGAACTTGTCGTTTGTTACTTCCACGAGCCAGGGCGCGAGGCGATCACCGGTGAAGACTTATGTCCTTCCGGCAGACTTAAGCCCCGAACGCCATCATGGTTCTCGTATGGTCTCAAGCATGTACCTTTTGTGTTTTACTGCGATCTAACTTGTGCAGATCTGTCGTGGCCCGGACGATCTACGATCAATACTTGTCTCGTACGCTTTAATGCCAGCCATCACACAGTGAAGCTGCAGGACCTTGACAAGGTAGTTCAGAGCCTCTTCTACGTGCTCAACATTATGCAATTAAACAGTGGACGTTGGGAAACACTCGTATGGAAAGGGGCCGTTACTGAATTGAAGGACCAACTCTGCCGAGAGTGCCCCAATTCCCTTTTGGAGGTCAACAAAAATGCCTGGGACCCCGACCTAGAAGATGTTGAATATTTTGGACATGTACGGGCTAGAAGGCTATGCCGTGAGTGGTTTCAGGGACGCGCCCTACAGGCTATTCATGGCGACCAGTACACCATCGGACCGTTTTATGGTTATGTTCTATACTGCGTTCTACCTTACATAGAAGAAAGGCAAGGAAGGCCAGCGCGTCTTCGCTTCCGACTCTAGGACTGGGTCTCGCTGTGATAGCTGTTGCTATCTTCGAGTTCTCATGGACCAATCTCTCGAACTCCCCATCATTGGTATGTCAGGGTCAGAGCTGCGCCTCCAGAATTTCACTGATTTGCATGTGCAGGTCGAAAATCTTAGGGCACAGACTCTGTGGACAGCCCATTGGTGTATTGCTGAACCCTAAGTGGCGTGTCTACCATGACAATGAAACTTGATCACCGAGCCCTCTGGTTCAAAAAGTCGGTAATCTCCCAATTGGGTTCCTCGCATCGAATCGTCCTGCACCCTGCATCTGCACCTTACTCTGCTCGCTGTTGCACACCGCTTATCAGCAGGCCAACTACCAATGGCGAGTACTGCCAAAAGAATGACGATGGGAGTGGTCGGTGACCAGGGGGTCGGCAAATCCAGGCTCATCCATCAGGTAAAGATATCTCCATTCGCAACCGGGTTGAAGCTGATCCATGACTGTAGTACCTTTGGGGGAAGTTCATGGATGATTACCAAGATGAGTGTATCTATCAGAAACTCATTGTCATTGGTCCGGCGACGATTGACCTCAAAATCATCGGGATCCAGGCGTCTCAATGCAAAATTCTGAAATACGATGCGGTGATATTTGTCTTCGACACACAAGTCTCGTCAACTTTGGACATGATAGAGGCGTACACAGAACGCCTGGACACCCTCCAACAATGTCCCTCTCACGCCTTAGTTGGGACGAAAACAGACTGCGACCCGCAGCAGGTTCGTTTCGAGACTGGTTCCGCCCTCGCAGAAGCCCTATGTGCTGAATATTCTCACCTGTCGGCCTTCAACGAGGTCAAAGTCCAACACTTGTTTGATATCATTCTTCGTCAACGGATTGACGGCTAACGGCCTGCAGTTCAACAAAGCTCCCGCATCAAAAGTGGTTCAAACACCTTCATGGATGTTTTTTAACCTGGCTATTTGCTGCGGGAGGAGGAAGTCCGAAAGTAAAGTTTTGATCGAGATGTGATGCGATGTGATGCGATGAGATGGTGTTCAGCAGACCATCGTGACTGATGGACTTGATAGGGGCATTTCATGGCAGATAGGGTTGGCTTGCATGTTCATTGGCTACATGACCTTACCTCACTTACCCTTTGGCGTTATTTGACTATCAATGCGAGCAGTGTAAATTTTGTGCATTTCAAGTCCTGGTGATGCCGATTGCGCTCGGTCTTGCAGGACAGCCTGCATTCCTTTCGCCCTAGTTTGGATGTAAAGTCGGCTTCGCAATGACTGATCAAGGGAAAGTGTTCCGATCTTCGCTAAACTGCATGGATTTTGGGTATGAGGAAGCCTCGTCGCATGGGCTGGTGGAGATAAGAAAGCGCTCATTCCTCGGGTCCATCGATTTTTGAACGCTCTCAAGTTTTGCCATTCCCTTCGCTCCTTCACTCCTTCATTGCCTTGATTTCAACTCAATCTAGGTCAAGTGTGCGAGATGCTCCGCATAGAGTCCCTCTACCAAGAAAGCATTCCTCTACAGCTGAGGGTGCGCACCCACTGGGGTATCACTATTCAAAACAACATCAGTATCCAGATCGACCCAGCGCGGTGACCGAACCTTACGGAAGAAGAAAAGAGAATCGCTATAGAGGGTACGGCAAGAGCCGACCAGATGCTCACCTTCTTGTTGAAGCATGCCGACCCTTCTTCCAACGAAACCATGCACATGAAGATGGGGATGATGGCTTCGGTCAACATGGTCGATCAAAGGACAACAGTCGGTATGAAGTACTTTCTTTAAGTCCGACATTGCTCCAGGTTGCGAAATTCACGGTCAAGGCGACCATTAGAATATTGACTGAAGGAGGGATTTGTGAGAGCATCGAGCATGCGAATCGCTTGATAGACGGAGTCCTTGTGGAGCTGGAAGAAGACATTGAATTGTCCATAGAAGTAGAAGTGTTCACCGCCTAGAAGCCGTAGAAATGCTGGCTACGCGACCCTTGCTATCCAAGCGAAGGCGAACATGTACGTGAGAGAGAACAATGGCAGAAAATTCTTGGAGACAATACAAGGATCATTTCGCATCGCATACCGGGTGGTTCAGGACATCGATCCTCCTCCTAGCTTATCGACCTTAGATTCTGAAATGGCGCCGTGTTCCTCCGTATCAGCCCAAAATGCAGCTCGCCGTGTCGAATTGGAAGGGCCGGTACTGAAGCTGATCGATCGATTCCCAAGGTAGTGGTTGAGCTGCAGGATACAGGGTCGTCACTTGAGGAGGACCTTGAAACCCAAAGGATTCAACAAGACACCGAGGAGGACGAGTGACCAAGACCTTAAAGGGACCAAGAAACGAGAAACAAGAATGATTGAGAGCCTCCTCGGATGACAGCCATCGTGCTATCTCAATAGCAGATGAAAGTGCTATATAGATAGGGTCACAAGTACTCGTTCCTGTAGGCTACTAGCTCTTTCACACGGCTGCAAATAGTTGAAAAAAGCATCCAGTCTCCAGAACGAATCGCTTTTCGATGGTGAACGTAATGACGTATGCGAGAGAAAGATTTTCTCATTCATTCAACGTGATCTCTGCTTAGAGGAACTCCTGTAATGACTTTCCCGTTGCCAGTTTTTGACGTTGAGATCAGCCGAGGTGCTTCCTGCCGTCTCGGTGCTGCTCTACACGATATTTTGTTCAGAGTGGAGGGCTGTCGGTCTGTGCACATAGACCGACGCCATCGCGCTCAATGAGGTGAAATTGGACGTCTGATCGTCGCGAGGGCTCACTTTAGGTCCTTCTTAGCCATAGATTCCAGAAGCTGGCAGGACGCAACATTCGGACAAAGATTTGCTGTAGCTATGCTGTCGCGTCCTCATCGAGGCGGACTCGACCAAAACAAAATCCGGTTTCGACTCTGTTGAACAGGAAGCATCACGGCCTGAGTCCGCATATCTCGACGGATGTCCCTGGTCCGGGAAGCGTAACCTTGTCGTTATGGATAGCAGTCCTTGCTGATCTCGCTGATGCAAGCTCCATACCGTGGCGTAAACACGGCATTCCGGCGCCGGCAAGGCCGTCCACAGCCTGTAATACTAGCATACCACTATGCCTCCTGTGTGTGAGGAGATGCTAATTGTCTCATTTTTGTGGCTGGTCTTTCTGATCTTCACCCTAGGACCATCCTAGCATGCCCGGGAGAGGAAAACGGCTTATCAGTATCATGACGCGAGTGATCCAGCGGGTGCTGAATGCTTTGGGGGCCTGGCAAAGTCCTCCAATCACCATCGCCGCAAGGCGCAGAGTCCTCCTGAACCCGCCCGTCGGCATCGCACTAGGAAGCCAAGTCTGGGGAACTCGAGAGACTCAAATGATCGCTGCCGCAGGCACCGCACCATGGCGGGTAAGCCCGGGATGAGGCCACCAACGCTCGTGCTGTGTTCGTGTGCGCTCTGCCGTTCTGCGCTGCAAAATTGGGGTTAGCGTTGCGACAAGTCATGTCTGACTCTTCTCGAACGCTTAGAGTGCCACCAAAAGTTCCCCCAACTACCATACCGTACCAGTCTGATTAGAAAGGGCGACAAAGTGCCGTTAGCAACGACTACCATTGACATCGACAAACATCACACAATATCAAAAATATCAAATTGCGTGAAGGCAGATCTTTCCATAGTCATGGCGACGACGACCACCACCATAAGCAACACCAGCACCCTGAAGATCTCGGCTGGTCCGCCAGTAGATATTTCCAAATATCCCAAACTCAACGCTGCACAGGCCGGGCATCTGCGCCATTTCCACAACCTCGTCTCTCAAGTCGACGGCGAGTGGCATCACTTTGGAAGCCTCGAGGCCCAGCAGGAATGGGACGACGCCTACAGGTACCAGCTGGCGACCATGACCTACGCAGCCGGCGTCGCCCACTATCACCGCCTGCCCGCCATGAGGAGCGCCTTCAAAACCCTCCTACGACAGATGATACACAAGATGCTTCGGCGAGAAGTGTGGGGATACTGGTTCGTCACCAGCCACGGAGGCAAGCTGTTGGATCCCGACCTCAAGGAACTCCGCAAGCCCTGGGCCGACCCGGTCATCAAGGAGAACATCATGTACTCGGGACACCTCTTGCTGATGACCAGCCTGTACGCCATGCTGTTTGACGACGACGAGTTCGAGAAGGAAGGCAGCCTGACATTTACGTGGAATCCACTGTTTTGGGGGTTGGGGCGCGAGGACTTTGTCTACGACAATCGAAGCTTGCAGAAGGTGATTTTCCAGCAGATGGAAGACAACGATTGGGTGGGAGTGTGCTGTGAGCCGAACGCCGTGTTTGTCGTGTGCAATCAGTTCCCCATCATCGCCATGAGGTACAACGATAGCCGCGACGGCACCAACAACGTGGAAGACGTCCTGGTCAAGTACAAGGCATCCCTTGTTCGCAAAGGCATGCTCAACGACAGCGGCCTGTATCCGAGCTTCTTCGCCCTCAAGCAACGCAAGGCCCTGCCCGCCCGACAAGGCGCTCATACCGCTTGGTGAGTAGTACTGCTACGTAGTATCCGTGCTTCGTTCTTCACAGAACTAACAGATTGGACAGGGCAAATGCATACATGAACACGTGGAACTCGAAGCAAGTGCACTCGCTCTACGACAGCCAGGTTCTAGGCTTCTTGACCAACGTCGACGGCAAGACTCGACTCCAGCCCACGCGTGTCGCGCTCGGATTTCGAAAGCTGGTCCTGGAGAATGGCGAAGACGCCCACAGTGTCGAGACGCTGCGCAAGGCCCGTGAGATGTCCGCGCAGTTCGTCAACCCGGCCTTTCCTTTCGAAACGCCGAGCTGGAGCTCGTTTGCGCAGATGCTGTCGGAGCTGGGGAAGGAAAAGGAGCTCGCGGACCTTCTCGACTACGCCGACGCGCACCTCAACCCTACGTGGGAGAACGGAGGGCTCTTCTACCCGCGCAACGACAAGCTTTTCGACGACGACTACAATATGGTCCACATGGAGCCACACTCGGGAAATTCGGGCATCGGCTACTCTCGCTTGAACGTCAAAGATGGGCAGAAGAAGATGTGGGAGAAGCCCTGGACAAAGGACATCCTGGCACAGCGGCCTTGGGTGAACGGGTTGAGCTTTGCGGATGGTGTGGACTTTTTGAGAGGTGTCTGGGATGAGGAAGCCCGTGCTATGATCATCACCATGAAGAGCTGGAGCGGGAAAGACAGGGAAGTGAGCTTGACGGCCGAGAACCTGCCCCGAGGAGATTGGGCAGTCTATGTCGATGGCACCTTGAAGCAGACGACAACGACGGTACGAGACGGCGAGGGCGTGGGCGTGATGGTAGTTGTTGGACAGGACGAGGTTGACGTCGTTGTCAGTTCTGTTTACTAGGGACAAAAGTGCTGAAATAAATCGAGGGATGGGATGGTTTTGTCTAAACCATTTTTCTACAGGCTAGTGGAGAACGCACTGGTACAGTCCTATCTGCCTATAGCTTACTTGCCACGAGCTTCTTCAAATTCTCCTCCGTCATCTCCTTGACACCTAGAAGCTTGTTGTCATTCTCATCAAAGGCGCAGCCGTAGACATCGCCAGCAAGTGCTGTACCCGCCAGGACCTTCATGGCAGCCGGCATGCCGGTGTTTCCAGCCTTGAAGTCGTCCAGACCTTGTTGAACAAGGACACTGCATGGAACTTCATGGGTCTCCCACTTGATCTCCGGCTTCAGTGCCTTCGCGATGCCCAGCAGCTGGTTTTGCGTCAAAATGACCTCTGAGACTTTCACGATTTTGTTCTTGGTAGCCTCCAAGTTCTTCAAAACCCCAACGACAGCCTTGCCGACCTGGGGTAGAGACGTGGAGCTGACTCTGTTGTCACCCTTGTCGTACAAAGTCGCCTTGTGGTTCGCGTAGTCCAGCAACGTGGGACGGTCAAACAGAAATTCCAGAAACGCACCGGTCGCGAGGACCGTCCAGGTCAACTTTCCTGCCTTTGCCTGCTCGTCTAGATACTGTCTGATGCGGGTCATGGGGGTGTAGGTCGGCAAGTTTTCGATCTTTGGGTTGTACGAGCAGGAGCTGTACTCGGAGGGGATGAACCGTTTAACGCCCGCGGCGATGGCGGCGTCAATGAGGGTCTGCTGGGCGGCGATGGCTTCGTGACCAACTGTGGACACTACTGCGTCGATGTCGGTGAGTGCTGCCGTCAATGACTGCGCGGATGTGTAGTCTACCTCGACCACTTTGACATTGGAGTCCTGTGCGTCTGACTTCTTTGATCGTGTGAGGATCGTCACTTGGAAGCCTGCTTCGGTCAATGCCTTGAGGACATGGGGTCCAACGACGCCGTTGGCCTGGGAGAGATGTCAATAGTTGCACCCCGAAAGGGTTTCGAGGTACGTACTCCGGCGATTGCTACGGATTTGATTTCGGACATGGTGTAGAATACGAAGGGATGGATGCCGGGAGGGTTGCAGGAATGTATTGATGGTGACTGGATGCCGTCTTGGTCGGGAGGCAGTAAGAGACCATATTTATGCACTTTCGGATTATCAGACCTTCAGTCATTATGTTCGTGTGGTCCCAGAGGTTTCTGCAGATGATAAAGGTCCGCATGGTATATTTCAGATGTTTCCGACCTCAATCCCGCAGATTACCGCACCAGACGACACAGGTGCGGGATTTGATGCGGGGTTACGAAGCAGAATCCCGCATGTCTCCCGCACAGTTCTTCTGCCAAACCTGTCCACATAATTACATCTCATGTCGACTGATTCAGGTACCAGACAGCGGAGACTGTGAGCCGATGGCTAAAAAGGCGTGCATACGATGCAGCACCCAAAAAAGGCGCTGTGACAAAGTGATTCCGGTCTGTGGACTCTGCCGCAGGTAAAGAAATCCGAACAAGTCTGTGCTCCTGGCAATGCTGACCTGCATCTCCACAGACTCCATCAACGATGCGAGTACGACACCTCTCGCGGATCATTGCCGGTGCCAACTGTCTCGCCATCTGAGTGTTCCGAGACAGCCCACACACCAGCAGCTTCCGACACCTCTTTGTTTACAGCAGACAGCGTCAAGAACGCCATCGTCCATCGCCTTGGATCCCTAACCCTAGAAGATAGTCTTTCCACATATCACCGGGAAATCGAGCCATGGTTTCCCATTATTTCGACTACAAGCCTGCACAATAGACTCACACAGACATGCAATACATGGGGGGAAGTTCCCCTCGATATCGCATTACTCTGCATCTCGATCATCCTTGTCGCAACTCCTCCACCTGCGTCTCCAGAGAATGAACACTGTCTCTCGGATTTCAAGTCTACCTACTGTCAAGTGAAAACCTGGATATCTTCGACCGAAGTCCTGGGTCTCAATTCTCCTCAGATCGCTCAGGCGAGAGTTCTAGCGACTCTATTTGAGGTAGCTCACGGACTGTACCCAGCAGCTTATATTTCAATTGGAGCAACCGTCAACGCAGCAGATGCGCTTACACTACACCCGGGAGCAGCTCCTCGGTCTCCTCACAGCACTGGGGATGAGAACAATTGGAAGCGAGAAGAAAGTGCACTCATCTGGTGCGGAATTCTGATCTTGGACAGGTACGCTCTTCTTGATTCGGCTCTTCCTTACCACTCACTACATGCTGATCTCTTTGAAGATACATCACAGTAGAGTCTGGCTCTCACCCCTCTCTTACGCGTTCACGATTTCAGGCTCTCCAAGATCTTCTCGAGCCTGTTCTGCGCTTGACACATTCGCAGCAGCAACAAGACGAACCAGACATCAGTTCCCGTCTGACTCGACTGGTTGAAGCCACCACCTTGCTCGACAAGATCCATGCCATTCTCAACAGCCCTACTGCGGAGCACCAAATCGACGTGGAGGAGTTGATTTTTACGGTTCAGACAGTAATCAATTTCCAGACGGAAATAGACAAGGAGGTCGGGGATCAAGCCTGCGCCCATGTCAGTGGACTAGGTCCTTGCAATACGTGAGATTCCGGTTTTGGCACACCTAAGTCACGGTACCGTTGCTGACATCCGCACAGTGCTCTCCTTCTTGCACTGGAAAACGGTACTAAGGTACCTCCGGTCGCCGGTGCGCTTCAAGACTGTAATGCCGTGGCCACAAACTCTCTTGGTTCTGTCATATCCACCATCACTACCACGGTCGAGCTCTTCACACTTGGCCGGCAATCCATAGATCTGAGAATGCTGCCTCCATTCTTCACAATTTTGGTATATAAAACAGCAGCGATTATAACGAGGATACTGTTGATGAACACCAGTGCCACAACTGACGGTGGAGATATGAAGGAATATTTGAGAAAATTGATACTGCTCAGAAACTTTCTGGGCATCGTTGGAGTCCGGTGGCTGGGTTGCGGTGAGTCAAGCAGGACGCTCTAATATTGATTGAGCTGACCACACCCTCTTGCAGAGCGTTACCTGAAGATGCTCGATGAAGACACGACACCGCGGCTGCTGAGGGCCATGGGAGAAGGATACGCAGCCTGCGGTCGATAGAAACCGCCTTGGGCTCGTGACAAACTTGGATTGAAAGGTAGTATTAACACGGCATGTCCAGGAAGGCAGTGGCCGCTTGTTTCCTGAGTCCTGACTTCACTTCCTGTAGGCCATACACTGTGGTATTCCGTTCCAGGTTACTTTGCTTGCTTATTTCAAATTCTTTCATGATTTTACTGATACTGCCAATTCTATGGTCTATATTGTTGAAAACATCATGAAATTGGATCCAACGGTTTTCATATGAAGGCTTGTGGTCGATCTCGGCGCTTGCTTTTACTTTCGCTTTTAATCTTTCTATTCCGGCCAGTTCTCGACGCCTCATCGTCACAGCCCTTCTGAAAATTTGTCCGTTGCCTTATTCGCTCAGCTTCAATCTCATACTGGGGAGGGAAACCACTGCAACTTACCTCGATGAGGAGTTTCATGATGTTTGGCTCTTTTGCGGTATGACCAGAACAAGGTGCGATATGCAGGGTGGCTTCCGGCCAAGCCTTCTTCAGTTCCCATGCGTTTCGTGGCTGTGCGTTGTGTGTCAGTTTCGTATGTCTAGGAACAAGCGGTAAAGAGTCGCAGCGTAGAAGAAACACTGGTTCGAGCCAGGGGCACACTTACGGGAACGAGATTGTCGTATCGGCCGTGGACTATTACACCGGGCATGTGGCGACTGCGGAAGATCAGTACGAGTTTCGAGTGACACGGAAGACTGGAAACCGAGCTCTTACATCTTGTCAATATTCTCCTTGGTAGTGAGCTGCCCGTCCTTGAGGAAACACTGATCTGTTAGCCTTTGTCGTTCGTGGAAGCCGAGTGCTTACATAGTTGACAAAGTATTCGGTCTCGACCCAGCAGTAGTTTCCGAGTGCGAATGTCAGTGAATTCTATTAGTGAAGAGAGACTAATTCAACCCACTCGTTCCTCTTCGTATCCGACAACTTTTCCTCCAAGGCAGTTGCCTGCTCTTTTGTGTACGGAGCACATGTGTTGCAACATTCGTCCCTACAGTGGGTCACATCAGTACAGAAGAAGACCATGGTTACGATTTTCGAGCAGCCAGAGAATGTAAGGTGGTGGTGTGCCGGGATTATTTTACTGACCAGACCTCGGGGTGGACGGCTAACCACACATCAGCATCACTGTTAGCTTGTAGTCGTAGAATCCAAGACTTACCTCCAGAACCAGAAGCACTGGTCCATCGATGCACGTCCCATTTCGAACCGAACCAAATTCCTCGTGCACATCGTTCGGGATGGGTTTGCGAATACGCGAGGGACAGCGTAGAACCCCTGTTTAGGGGAAATGTGAGCTTTGTTGTAGGGCAATTCAAGGCTGGAGTTTACCAAGAGCCGCCAAAGACCATCCATTTGTCGATGCCCAAGTGTTTTCGGATCTTCTCAATATCCTCGACTAGACATAGATTGTTTAGTCCAGTCCAGATTTTCGAGGAAAGGAATTGCGGGTGTGCAAAGACTCACCAAGGTCCCATGTCGTGTTCTCCCTCACTTCTCCTGCTCTGTTTTCCTATCAACCCTGCTCCTGTCTCTGCTGAGCTCGCGGAGATGGAGATGGCCATGGACTTACGGTCGGCTCTTCACACAGCCCCTCTGATCGAAAAGAACCACCCTATACTTTTCGGGATTGAAGTACTCCGTGTCTGCGGTCGAACATCCGGCAGCGGGACCACCATGGCTGGAGTTTGGTTAGATGTGGTCCTCCAATCGAATACAATGCAAAGTCGAAAGAACTCACAGGAAGATGACTGTGAGCGCCGGTTAGCTAGTTGTTCATTCGCTAAAAATCCACTATTGCACACACCTGGTTTCCCATTGGGATTGCCGCATTGCATGTAGCTAGAGCACTATTGAGCTTTGGTTAAACACTACAGGGTTGTCCTCGAAGCTGCAACGGTCAAGTCGTATAGCTATAAACTCTAGTGCTCGACCGACTAGTAAGGGAAAATACGCTCCAAAAATCACGATGGGACAAAAGCATAACCCTCCTTAATAGAGTACTCGTCTGGACAGATTAACTACTTTTCGCGAGATACCAGAAAGGACAGGTGTCAGGCTCTGCGGCCTCCCGTCGGCGATACTGAGTATCGTAATGTGAGCTACCAGCCCTCTATAACGATTCAACGCTGATCGAATGAATATCGCGCTTTTATTACCTACACATCTACCTTCGAAAACACAGAAGCGCAGACGGGAAGCTGAACAGCACCTAGGCCTTCCCTCATTACAAACGATTACGAAGCCTTCATCCTCTATTGCCTGTTTAGAATGTCGAATCAATCACACACTGGACCAAGACATTCTGTTGGCCGCAAGGACACTTTGCCCGCAATAGGAAAACGAGCCATTTATCAGCGAGGAAGAAGTTGGTCTCCTCCCTCCAGCAAAATGATCGGAAAGCGACACCCTGATCGAAGACAGTAAGCGACTAGAAGCCTAGAGGTGAGATTCGTTCCGCGCAGTACGTTCATTCTGGCTTTCATAAGGCCAGGAAGATTCGAATACCGGATTTCATCTTGTTCGAGTTGTTACTGAAGACGACACGATAACGCAGCTGCAGTAGATCCTTGTTCGAGTATCACGTCCTACTAGCTTCCAAGCGTCCAGGGATCTTTTAAGGATTGCCTAATCAGCAAGGGTATCGGGGTTACGTTGGTCTCGGCGCCTCTGTCAACGTCGCACCATTGGAAGCCAGCGTCGATAGTGCCAGGCCAAATTTCCACCCCCACGATCGGCGAGTCAAGGGTGATCGCTCACCTGACTCGCGCGAGCGGGGGGTGAGTACAGGGCGGCATCACCCTAGTCCCAAGGGAAGGTGAGCCGCGAGCACATTTACCGAACCTTGGCAGATCTGTGTTTCATGCCAGGACCATCTCGCCCCAGGTTAGAGTACTTCCCAGAGTGAACTCTTACTGCAAGCGCCAACATGGCTGGCAAGAGTAAAAAAACCAAATCCGCGGAACAAAAAGCCCGCACAGCAGCAAAGCAGTCGAAAAAGGCCGCGAAAGGCGAGAAAAAGAAAAGTGCCAAAGCAGCGGCTCTGAACGCCGACTCGGATGGCGATGATGATGGTGATCTTGACGCGATGTTAGCTGCCTACGCTGAAGAGCAGGCCAAGTACCTCAAAGTCACTGAACAGCCCTGTGGCCCACCTGGTCCTAGATCGTCCAGCACAATAGTTGCCTCGCCGTCCAACAGGAACGAGTTGTTTATATTCGGTGGCGAGTATCATGATGGGAGCACTGCCTCCTTTTACAACGACCTGTTCGTATACCTCATCGATAAAGGTGAGTGGCACCAGATAGTCTCAGGAAACAGTCCCTTGCCCCGAAGCGGACATGCAGCCTGCCGCGGCGGCAATACTGGCGGAATATACATCTCAGGGGGTGAATTTTCCTCACCGAAACAGAACCAATTCTATCACTATCACGACTTCTGGCATTTGGACACTGAAACAAGGGAATGGACCAAGCTCGAACCGAGGGGGAAGGGCAAAAGCCCACCTGCCAGAAGCGGTCACCGAATGACATACTTCAAGAACTATATTATTCTTTTCGGTGGCTTCCAAGACACTTCGCAGCAGACCAAGTATTTGAATGATACATGGATCTATGACTGCAAGGAGAACACATGGGAGGAAATGAAACTAGGCCCCGCAGCTCCGAGACCCGACCCTCGCTCCTCGTTCAGCTTCCTACCCCACGAATCCGGTGCTGTCTTGTACGGAGGCTACTCTCGCGTAAAGACTTCCACAGGCTCTGGAGGCGGAGGAAAGCAAGCCGGTAAGGGCAGCGGGAGCTCAGCCCCAGTGCGCAACATCCTCAAACCGGTCGTGCACCAAGACACCTGGTTCCTCCGTATCACTCCTCCGAGCCCAGAAGCCCCGAGCGGTACACCTCTGTCACTCCGCTGGGAACGGCGGAAGCGGCCGGCCAACGCACCAAACCCGCCTCGAGCAGGTGTAACGATGTCCTTCCACAAAGGGCGCGGTATCTTGTTTGGAGGCGTGCACGATGTCGAAGACAGCGAGGAAGGCATCGACAGCGAGTTCTTCAACGAACTGTTCATCTGGAACATTGATCGAAATCGATTTTTCCCGCTGTCGCTGAGGAGGCCCAAGACTGGTGGGCCGAAAAAGCAACTCCAAAATGCAGCTCGGGGGGGCCGTGATCGTGGCAAAGCGGATGAGGAAGAGCTACTCCGCAATCTGGCAGCTCTGGAGACGAAGGGCTCAATATCAGCCGCGGCGGACATCAACCTTGATGTTAAGGATGCAGAAGAGGCCGAGCCCGAGCCACCAAAACGGGTTTACCCTGTCCGATTCGAAATGCCGCATCCTCGCTTCAACGCCCAGCTTGCTGTACAGGACGACACGCTATATATCTTTGGAGGTACATTGGAGAAGAAAGACGTGGAAATCACCTTCTCAGACTTCTATGCCGTTGACCTGGGCAAGCTCGACGGCGTGAAAGAGCTGCACTACGTCGAACCCATCAACTGGAACGTGACCATCCAAGAGAGTGACGAGGAGATGGACGATGACGACGACTACGAAGAAGGCGAAGACGACGAGGACGAAGGCATGGACACAGACGAAGACCTCGAGAGCAGAGCCGACACCATGTCCCTCGACTCGCGGCCCTTGGCGTCCACGGCCGCAACGACACCTATGTCCCGGCCCTCTGAGCTCGAGACCGAACCCGAGACCCTGGCCTCGCTAGACCCCCGCCCGTTCCCACGGCCCTTCGAGTCCCTCCGGGACTTTTACGCCCGCACCTCGGAAGACTGGCAGCGGATGCTCATCGAGAAACAGTCGTATGGCGGCAAAGCAGAGATGGCGGCGCTGGCCGCCGAGCAGACGATTAAAGAGTTGAGGAAGAAGGCGTTTGAGCAGGCCGAGGAGAGGTGGTGGGATTGTCGCGAGGAGGTTGGAAGGCTGGAGGATGAGCAGGAAGAGGCAGGCATTGGTGAGATTGTCAGTATGGAGAGTCGGGGAGCTGAAGCAGGTGTGGGCAGGAGACGCTGAGAACAGCAGGACCGGTAGCGTTGTTTACGCAATCCAGCGTTGAATATACCAATTGACTGAGAACAACATGTCGACGGGAAACACATTGGTATCTATTCCACTTTTCCTTTCCCCCGCAGTCGATCCTTCACTCGTACAATCATGCCTTGTACCGTGCCCTGTATCCTTTTCACAAAACCCGGTAATCTGCCCTCTCCAACCTCATCAGCACCAACAAATCTCCTGACCAACAAGTTATAAATGCTCCCAAACGCCAACGCCATAACCGTACTCGTCAATATGATCACATTATATGGCATGGAAAAATCCGGCGTCGGCAATGGCAATAGCAAGCTTGTCGTCCTGATGTAAACATCTCTGGCGTTTCCCGTAACCGGATCGATTAGTTGCGGTGAAAGGATACGAATTACTGCAGGGGGAATGTTGAATCCACGATTCGCATCGGGAGGGTATTCCGTGTAGCGAAGAATAGACTTTTCAAAGGCATATGTCAGAGAGACAGTGGTGAGGGGCGGTACGTTAAGCAGTAGTTCAAGTTGTGTACCGCGGTGGCGGTCAATTGCGGGTCGGTAGTACATGTCCATGATTATTCTTTCCTTCTCAAGTCTCGAAGAGTCGAAAGGGGTTGAGGACGAATGCGTGATTTGAGCCTTGAGAGTATGCATGAAGGGACGCATGAACCAGGGTAGACTCTCAAAGTATACGAACTGGACCGACTCGGTCGCGGATGGGTTGGTAAAGATGGTGCGCATGCCTCCGTGGGCAGCACCATGGCCGGTCATTGTTCTTTCTGCTCGAACAAGTTCATTGCCCAAGTCGTGCTTTCTGGTGGTAGATTGCTGTCGGGGCACTTCAAGATCGAATTCTTCGAATGGCATGATCGAATAACACCTTGATTCGCTAGGGCCAGGTTGAGATTTGACTTCAAACCCGCTATAGCTGATTAACACCATTCGATCATGTGGTACATTGAGGCACAGAGGTTTCGAGTCAGGTCCATCATCGTCTGCCAGGGGACATGTCCCAGCTAACGTCCTTCCAAAGATATCCTTGAGGGACCACGGAATTTCGTCCACCATGTCGCGAGGATAACAAGTATCGTGTGAATGATAAGGCTTAGACTCATCGCAAACAAGTTGTTCCGGGGGAATTGGTCTCGGGATTGGATTGTCTCGCGGTCGTTTGGATCGTTCAATGTCGAGTACAATATCAATGGTTTGGCTGATTTCCATTTGACATTCGTTGGCTCCAGCGGCACACTTCGGCAGCACATCAATGGCCATGCTCTGCCATGAAGCGTCAAAAACCTTGTGTCCATCTAGAAGGCTTGAAATCCCAGCTTTGCCTTTGCACGGCAGAAGTTTGAGGAAGGGGGTCAAATTCTCTGTGCACACCACCTCTCCAGGAAGTACTCCGTGCAAAAGGTGAAGATTCTGACTCCTGTTGCGGAACGTCCCTGAAGGTTGGAATGACAAGACAGGTTTTGTCGTTCTGGTTGCATCAATGAAATTCAATGAGGCGCAGAACAGGCCCGAGAGTGATTGTGTCAGAGTTGTCCACTTCCCAAATGCCTCCTCTTCAGAGTCTGCATCTATCCAAGCCCATAACTCCACTCCGGTGCCGCCCTCCTTGGTGCCATCCCAAGGGCGCGCACCCCAAAGCTCCGGATCCCATCGTCCTGTGGTAAATCTCAGATGTAGTTCTTGCGTGTCGGCATGCCTCAGCGCCTGACCCAGAGAGCGGGGGAAGTATCTGAAATTCTGGGCTTCATAGTCCGTGGCACTTTCGTTGCTGCGGAAGTCGAATGAGGCGAGGAGAGAGCCGAGGGGTAAAGGGGTCAGAGTCAATCGCTCAGAGTAATCAGAAGCTGCGACGCTCAAGGCGAGGAGCGCAGATGTGAGAAGTAATAACAAAAGCCGGGACATGCCGGCATCGCTATCAGCAATCTCTCATTCCGTTTGCGCTGCGATACATTGACAGCAAGTCGAGCGCGAGAAAGGACACTGAATCGGAGTGGAAGGTGGACGCAAGGCATTCTGCCGCAGTTCAGCCGATTCCTCCACCACTTCTTTCTCTCCATTTGCGGACTTGGATTCTGCGCAGCGCAACAACATTTCCTACAGCACACGTGCCATACAAGTCGGACTCTATCCGATCACTATTCAAACTGTCCCTTAAGACTAAGAAGGCTTGAAGAGGCGCTCCAGATCTCGAGTCATCCCTCACCATGGCGGCCGAGCAGCGCAAGCTGCTTGAGCAGCTGATGGGCGACCAATTCATGGGAATGAGCTCTTCCTCCAAATCTGCAAACCTCACCCTTACTTCGCCGACTGTCTGCCGTTCATATTTGGTGGGAACATGTCCCCACGACCTCTTCACAAACACAAAGCAAGACCTAGGCCCTTGCCCCAAGACCCACCCGGAGAACCTGAAGATGGAATACGACGGCCTCCCTCCAGCAGAGAAACAAAAATATGGATTCGAATACGACTATATGCGGGATATGCAGAAATACATTGACGACTGCAATAGAAGGATCGACCAGGCACAACGGCGATTAGAGAAGACCCCAGACGAGATACGGCAGACGAACAACCTCCTCAAACTGATATCCGATCTCACCAAGACCATCAACACGGGTCTTCTCGAAGTCAGTTGTCTCGCAGAGATGGGATCCGTGAGTCTGGCCTGCACCGAATTCCACAAAGTCCGAACCGCCAAACTGGCCAAAGAACAAGCCGAGCGGGACCTGAAGTCGCTCTCAGACACGTCAGGTCCATCGGGGCACCAGAAATTACAAGTGTGCGATGTCTGTGGCGCATATTTATCCAGACTGGACAATGACAGGCGCCTGGCTGACCACTTCTACGGGAAAATGCACCTTGGGTATGCGCAGATGCGGCGGACGCACGAGGCGCTGCAGAAAGAACTGAAAGGACGAGGGCCACCACCGGTGAGGCAGCAGGAGGAGAATACGAGCGGGAGCCCCACCGGACCAAGAGGCTACGACGATGGAGGATACGGTGATGGTGGTGGTGGCGGATGGGGCAGAGGTGGTGGGGGATATGGTCGAGGAGGAGGCGGCGGCTATGGCAGGGGTGGCGGGGGATATCGCGGACGAGGAAGGGGGCGGTGGTAGAGTCGCCGCTCCTCTCCTCCTCTAATGAGCAACGACGACGTGCCTTCTGGATTCGTGGTCATGAAACATCATTGCGACGCATAGCGGGTGGGGAAATCGGGCTTCGGGGTCAGGCGAAATAACACAAGAACCAGGCGCGGACCGGATGGGGAACTTGTTACTACTATTACTACTAGGCTCAAGGTCGATTCTCTCGTTTCCCCCGGTTTATGGCTGGCTTCCTTGTTCGCGTTGAGGGAAGCACGGGGGAAGACGCCCACGAAAAGAGCAAAAAGATACCCTGAAATGCATAGTCTTTTGGTACGCGGTCCACGGTCCACGGTACGCTCTACTGAGTGTACCATTGCTATTTGCAGTCTCCAGTCGGTGTGTGTAATGCATACGTGTAAGTGTGTATATAGTGCGTACCTAAACAGTGTGTGTGATATGCAAACGAGCATGCTCAAATACCGAGGTCCCTATACAACGACCAACGACCAGCAAGCCAACGGACGAAACCTCAACGCGAGCCCCCATGAGCCAGAACCTGATCTGCCTCTCGCCTCTGCCTCTGCCTCTGCCGCCTGGCCCTCTGTCACTACCAGAACGTCTTGGGCTTGCTCGTGTTCTCGGCATTGAGCTCGCTGGACTCGACCTGCTCGGCCCAGGACCCTCCACCACCGCCGCCGCCGCCTCCTCCTCCTACATCGCCCGAGCCCCAGCCTGAGCCCGAGCCTGTGGAATCCCAGCGCCTCGGACTCGGTTTGGAGGCTGTAGCGCTTGCATTCGCGTCGCCGGCGGCGGCAGCGGATTCCTTTCTCGTGGCGGTGTTGGAGCCAGGGAGTGAAGGAAAGTCGGTGTCCACGGACCAATCCGGCTGCTGCTGCTGTTGGTGAGCGAAACCGTCGCCATTGTGGCCGAAGCCGCCGCCTCCTCGGGGACCACCGCCTCGACCTCTCCCCCTTCCTCCGCCCCTGCCGCCTCTTCCCCTCCCTCGTCCTCGTCCCCGGTCCTCGTGCCACTCGTACATTTTCAAATCATCCTGGTCCTCGCCCGGAGGGGGCCCTGTGTATCCTCTCCTCCCTCCCCTCCCATTGACCTGCTGCTGTTCGTCCTTGTCCCGATCCCACTCCCTACCCAGCTGGCCCGCCATCTTCCTCTGGCGATTCTTCTCCCTCTCCCCCTCCATCACCCTCCTGTCCTTGATATCCCTCTCCCTCCTCTGTTTCGCTTGCCGTTCTCTCTCCTCAAAGTTTGCCGCGTCCGCTTGCGCCCTCGCGTGCGCCGCGGCAAGGGACTGTGACCGTTCCTTCGCGGCGGCCAGTTTGGCACTTAGTTCTTCGTCCGAGAGTTTCGGTGGCCGGATTCCGCCGGTGGAGAGACGGTCACCACGCACCGCGGGGGTGCGGAGAGCAGTGTTTGACGGACCGGTGGGTATGTTTCTGGGAGCAGCGGCGGCGGCGGTCGTTGGTGACGACGTTGCGTCTTCAGCAGGCGGCTGGGCCACCGTTGGTTCGGAGGGGGTGGCGTTTGCTTCCGGAGTGTGTCGACCTCGTCGCCCGTGTGGCCGTGTAGATTTCGTATCTTTGCCAGACGCCCCGGGCTCTGAGCCTTTTCCTGCTGGCGCTGTTGCCCACTTGGAATCCTCCAACCCAATAGCAATCTTCCTACTCGAGTCCCCGCGTCCAGCTCCATGGCCACCTCTGCCTCTCTGCTTGGGCTTGAACACCGGGAACGATGATTCAGTCGGGGTCAGAGGTTCCGCAGGTGCGGGCTCGGGTGCCGGTGTAGAAGGTTCGGCAGCGACAGGCGGAGGAGGTGCGGCATCCGCAGAGGGCTCAAGCGAGACCTGCTCGAGTTGAGCGGTGACTTTCTCTGGAGAAGGCGAGTCGTCAAAGGGAATGATTTCGTCGTCGAATAGATCGTCGTCCCCTCGTGACTGGGAGAAGTCTTCCATGGCTGATGAGAATGGGCTGGGGAAGAGACAAAGGCTCCCAACGAAACAGCTAACAGAAACAATTTTCAGGGTTCTTGGGTATACTCTATAACAATATTCAAAAGGAAGTCTACTCAAGAGAGCAAATTCCGTGCCAGTAGCGAAATCAAACCATCAACAAGGGAAAAAGGGTCAGGAAAGGTGATCTTCGCTGCTCCGCATTTTCCAACAAAAAAGTTGGGGAAATCACCCAAGCCTGCAAGACTCAAGGCTGGACAGATTCAGGAGTCGTTAAAGTTGATCACAATGGCTTTTGGCGGTCAAGATGTTTCCGTTCTATCAGTCAAGCACCTAAGATTCCATGCCCTCTAAATACACACTTTTTCAAAGCTCGTGGCTTAATGCATAATACACACAATTCTTCATCCTTCGCTGTCTCAGGCCGTGATCAGAATGGTGGCAGCCAGAAAGGATAGCCACCGTTCTTGACCCGAAAGACACTCATCAAGAAGCTATACATCCCGAAAAGAACCGCGGCCCAGATGATGACTGCTGCTTGCTGGGTCTTAGGGTCCTTGATCCGCGGCACTCGCAGAGCTAGATTGATCGTTGCAAAGGCAAGAAGTGCATCTGGGAGTTGACAACCATTAGCAAAAGGTCCATATGGAAACCCTCTTTCTTGACTGCGTGGCATGGGCCGGAAACTTACACATTGCAGCCACAATCTGTGTCTCCATCCCATACTGATTCTGAAATCCGCCAGCAAAGTAACTGATTCCACCTCGTCCATTTCCAGCGACATACGGTACCCTGCGGATATGATTGAACATATGTCCACTAGTGAAGAGCAAGATCATGATCAGACTGATGCCCGCCCAGAGGTTGCGGTTCTGAATAATTGGCATCAGATAGGGATATGCAACGGTAATGAATGTAAACAGGCCCAAGGCTATGGTGAGAAAGGCGCCAATTCTTGCATAGTTGACGGGTCGGACAATGTGAGGATAATCGCCGGCAGGAAGATGTCGCAGGAGCCAGCCGTAGACGCCTTCAGCCGTTTGCGGACTGAGAAAGTCGAGTCGGAGGGGTTGCCCTTCAGGTTTGGCGTGCTCGCCGACTGTGGGAGGGAAGAAGAGGAGGACAGGGGCGGTTTGGAGTTGGAGCTGTACGGGAGGTCTGTCAGCAACGACTTCTCCCCGTCCGAGATTGAATGCCATCAACAAACCTTCATGAAAACGTTCCTCCCCTGGTCGAAATCAAGCGTGCTCAGAAGCACCCGCTTGTCCCCGTTACGATCGCCCTTCTGCCAGCTTCTCCCCAAAATGCTCCATTCGGGATCGAAGTCTCGACAAATCCCACATGCATATTTAGCGTCTCGGGCAGTAAGCAGCACAGCAAGGGAGTAGTCCCGCGGTGAGGCTGTCAATTCATTGTAGCTTTTCTCGTCGAGTTCGAAAGGTCCGGAGGAGGCCTGTTTGGCGAAGTAGGTGTCAAATTTGCTGGTGGTGGCAGCCTTTTTCGCGGAGACGGCGGCGGTCAGGGAAAGCGCTGTCAACGCCAGCAGTCTGAAGAGACGCATATCTTTGGCCTAAGCAGGGTGATCGAGTGTAGATATGGGAGAGGGGCGTTGGTGAACTGCAGACTGCGAGACAGGGTGTTCAATTGAACTCTTCGGCAAAGTTGCACCTTTTACGAACCATGGGAATCAGGAGAATGCCGCGAATGCTTCCTCCGTTGTGTCTTGCGCGACTTCCACCTCTCTTTCCGAATTGAAGATACAGTGATCTCTACGAAGGATAGATTCAGAAGTTAATCTCAATCCTCGCAAGAGATGTGGGAATTTATTCAAGGCACATATTGCCTTAAGCTTGTCACCCGGACTATTTGGCCTACGCAAGGCTCTATTTGTCTCGCACAGGAGTCCCCGCCATCGATGCGGCCTTCAACCTCATGGTCTCTTGGAACCACGAATTTTGCGTTTCAGAAGCCGAGCTGTCGAAGAGAAATCCGCTCAGAATGGGTACGGTATCCTCCCATGTTGAAAGTCCCATGTCGTGGGCCTGGCGGGCAAACTGTTCATGGAACCAGCCGTCAAATAACTCGTTACTCAACGCAGGCTGCTGCTGTCGGCCTTCGTATATCGCACCGACGTAGAACGCCCAGAGCCTTGCATTCTTCCATTTCTGCCAGGCGGAACTGCCCCTGGGTCGCTCGCTCTTCTCGAGCAGAGGTCGCAACGTTTCCAGCACATTCCCCGCCCAAATGTTCTTGCCGCAGACGTGGTTTTGAAAGGTGAGAGCCCTTGACCACTTGACAGCGCTGATGGACATGTATTGCTGAGCGTAGTCATAGTCCAACTCTGGCCCTGAAGCGGTCTCGGACAGCTCCTTGAATCTGCAATAGCGATTCACCAGTCTGCCCAGAGCAATGCACCATCTATACTGGCCCCAGCCAAGGTGCATCGTGGCAGATTTGGCAGGAAGCCCGTCAGACCACCTTCGGCGCCATCGTGCAAATATCTCGCGACACGACTTGACGCAAGTCGTCATCTCTTCCGAGTCGATTGTCGGGTCAAGATGGCAAAAATCCAACGGCGCAGGGGCAAGGATGGGCTCGATGGCCCGAAGAAATGGCTTGAAGACCTTCGGCAGCCACTCATAGACGTCAAAAGCAGGTCGGGTCAAGAGCTGTGTCGCCATGTTCATGTCTGCGTAGAGGAAGAAAAACAAAAGCTCGACCATGGCCAATCCTATCTCATCGAGCCTGTCGAAAAGGCCTCCACCCTGCTGGAAGTGCTCGTCTACCAGCTTGCTCAGCATTTGTCCATGCATTCGTGCTGCGATCACATTCTCCGCCGCAATCTCGGCGGACCAGATCATGAAAATGTGCCACCAGATCCATGGGTCGACTTTGGAGACGCGGGCCAGTTTCTGCCGCAACGCAGCCGTGCTTTTGGCACGACAGACCAGCGACTTCTGCTGCAGGAACTTGCCCCGACGAGTTTCGGATCCTGTGCACATTGCGACCAGCGAAGCGTTGCTGCCGATGAAAGCCAGAGCTGTTCCCTCATCCCGTAACCCTGCCGTGCAGACCTCCCAGTCAGCTTTGGCACGGGCACTTGCAAGGTTTTGTTTGGATTTGGCGTCAAGCCGCCACGCTGCAGGCAGAAGAATATCCCGGTAGAAAGTCAAGATGCTGTTCTCTTCCACGGTGATGGGGATTGCGCACGCTCCGAACGGATCGGAATTGCCTTTGTTGAGGACGGTTACAGGAGACAGGAGCTGGCGCCGTCGAGCCTGTATAGCTATGAGCCGTCTGTTCTCGTCATGGCTGTCTGCACTCTGGCCGGTCTTTGGTGGATGGTCGATGGCGGCGTTGTTCTTGGGCGGACCATTTCTATGCTGTTCTCATATCAGACATCCTGTTACCAGGGCAGAGTTGATACTTACCCCCGATTGCCGCTGCTGATTTCTTCCTGGAATCATAGCCGAGGCGCGCAAGGCTCTGACGTTCTCCTTTCGCTTCCAGCTGCGATAGTTGTTCTGGATGTGCGCGTAAACCTGCTGCCGGTGAGGCAATGTATTCATGTTCTGAGCATCGTAGTTGACCCACAAGATGGCCTCCATCGCGCCGTGGGGGAAATAGGTCAGAACTTGAGGTGAGAGCGGAGGTCTGGATAGGGCCAAAAGAGCGAGAGTTTCCTGTGGGAATGGATCCTCTTGAATCTTGATGGATGGATGGATGGGGCATCTTGTTTGGACTTTAAGAATCCCTCTTCATGAGCCCATCTGCGCCCACCGCCCTACCAGGTACGGACGGCGGCCAACCCCCGTCAACCAGCAGCATCTCGGCTACGGTACAAGGCCGCCAGTCCAGAAGCATCAGAGATGAATTTCCCATGGGTGGAATGGGACCTGCAGCCACGGGAATGCAGAGTCAGCAGCGGAAGAAAGCTGTACTTTTGAATGGCCGGGCAGAGCCACAGAGCACAACCACTGCCCGCCAACTGCTGCTTCAACGGTTGGTGAGGCTCGCTAGCTGGCGCCGTCTGGCACCGTTGAGACTTTGCTGACTCAAGTTGAGGCTGCTGCGGCCCGTGTTTATCCCTGCGCTCACGTGGTGTCAGACGTCCTAACGGTTTACGGCCCCGATAGAGTGTAACGGAGTGTTCAAGGATAATCATCAATCGTCGATGGAGAAAATAGACCAAACCTATTTGTAAAGTCAAGAGGCACCCCATTTCCATCTGAGGCTAAAATATCGTCTGCATTCAGGACGTCGCTGGCTCGGCTGCTTGATGAAATGCTATCGTCAAGCGAGAGCTTGACACCGCCAAGTCTTCACAAGTGAAACCTCCACCGCGGATCCTCATCTCCAAGCCAGGGCCCGTCAGGATGCCCGTTCTCTGTTGCCTTCGCTTCTCTTCGCTCATTCTGCCTTTTCAACACCAGCCACAGAGTCGTAGTCACGACCAAGTTCGCTACCATGTACGCCAGGGCGAATGAGTGTCCCAGAAAGTACCGCGGCGCTGTTTCTGTTCGATAGAGCTGGGTGCCAAGCACGGCTCCCAGATTCCCCAGCGAGATCTGTAGCGCATTGGCAACGGCTCTCTTTGTCTGTCCACTGACGTTGTTTGCCGGCCAGGCAAGCGTCAAGGCCACCGACGGATAGATGCCGGCTGCAGCGAATATTATCCCCACATACGACACGCCAGGCCGTGGGTCGCTTAAAAGCAAGATGTATCCGATAATGGCAAGCGATGAGGACATGAGGATAAATGGGGTCCGGCGGCAATACCTCTCGGAGAGCACCGCAAGGCCGATGGTGAGGAAAAATGCGATTGCATAAGGTGGTATGGTCATAAGTTGCGCTTCCGCTGATGAATATCCGAGAGACTTGATGATGGTCGGAAGAAAGAGTGAAAGCGTGTAGAGTGGCAGCGAGAGTGTGTGAAATCCGAGGGCATAGAGGTAGCATTTGATATCGGTGAAGGCCTTTTTGACGTTATTCCAGTCCAACTTTTCATCCTGGGTTGCATCGCTGTCGGCCTTGAGACGGTGCTGGATGTACTCTCGTTCCTCGTTGTTCAAGAACTTCGCCGTATCTGGGTAGTTGTGGATGAAGAAGTACGCAGCAATCGAGACGACAACGGTAAGTAGACCTTCCTGTGGAACCCCTCAGCAAGCCGCACTGCAGCTTTGAATGGGATTGCTCACCAGAATAAATATCCATCTCCAGCCATTATAGCCACCGACACCTCTCATGTGAGCAATACCCCATGCGAGAATACCCCCAAAAGCCCCGGCCAGCGACGCCGCGCTGAAGAACAGAGCCACCCGAAACTGCCGTTCATTTCGCTTGTACCACATTGAGAGGTAGAAGACGATGCCTGTCGAGATATGTCGTCAGCCCAACCCAGCTAAGGCTCACAGAGAGTGGCAAGCATACCTGGGAATAGCCCGGATTCAGCCACACCCAAGAAGAACCGAACAACAAAGAAGCCAGCACGGGATTGAGTGACACCCATGAGCGTACTGACAACACCCCACACGAGCGTCAGTGTGGGCAACCAAAATTTCGGTTTCCACATTTTCAAAATCAGATTACAAGGAACCTCGAAGAGGACGTATCCGATGAAGTAAAGCGTGAGTCCGGTCAGATATTGGTCCCCCGTCATGTGTAAGTCAGTCGCCAAACCCTCGATGCGTGCATTGCCGACATTGCTCCTGTCGAGAAATGAAAGAAGATACAGCGAGGTCAGGGCTGGAAGAAGGGTGATATCGAGTTTTCGCACGAGGGCTCGCTCATTGATATGGCCTCCAAGACTTTCGTCGAAATCAGTTGGGGGGGCATCTTTTTCTGTGGTGTTGGAACCGTCGACAGGGGGTTTTTCGATTGCGGCCATGTTCTCTTGCTGATTGCACTCGCCCGTTTTGAAAGACAGGCTGTGCTTCAGAAGAAAGGAGAGATTATAACAGAAGCGTAGACATGAGTCGGCGGTCAGTGCAGGGGATAGAGCGGTTCATATACATACGCGATATCGGTGTAGGAAGGTGAGCATTGAACATTTGGATCAATCGCGCTGAATCGAGGCGTTGTGGGAAGGATCGGCTGAACGGTTGTGGTGCAAATCTCATGGCAGATTGCGTGATTCTGGCGGCCGGATTGGGAAACACCATCTCCAATATCCCAATGGCATTGGACAGTCGACACTGAGAATTCTTATGCAAAGGAGATCCCCGTCCTTGGTTACATGTCGGTAGTGATAAGTTGATTCCTTGACTGTCTCTGTGCTGGAAATTTTGGTCGAGTCGAGGTATGATCCATGCACCCCGTGCACATATAAGAATAGATCGGGTCGGGATGCCCTATCATGGACGGCGACTATATGCGACGCTTTGCCACGCCCTGATCCCCATTCATTGAGGCGGCTCGTTGCCGGCCAACGTCTCTGCGAACCATGTGGCCAGATATGGCTCTAAGAACTCGTAGAACACGAAATGGCTGAGGGTGTCTCGTGCCTGAGGCCACTCAGTCAGCTCCAGGATCTCTGCCTGTCGCGCGAACATCTTGGTAAACCAGGTTCTTGGTGGCATAATGTCTTTGATCTTTTCATTTACACGCCACTCGAACCTTGCACCATAGAAGAAGACCCACAACAGAGCCTCGCGATATCGGGCCAGTTCATCTGTTGTTGCTATACTCAAAGCTTTTTGCATCGTGCCCTCGAGATGATTTATGGTGATCATGTGGTGGCTAGTCCGGTGGTCACAGCCGTAGACGGTGGCTTCGAAGATCCCTCGTCGCAATATGTGCAATGTTGTAAGTGCCAGCGATGCTTCGATATAACGAAGAGACTCCTTCATTTTGTAGCCCTTGCCGGCGATGAGATTAATGTAGGCATTGATCAAGGCCCCAGAATCGTACTGAGAGTACGTTGTGAAGATCGTGTAGACCGCGTCAGTGCGATTGAGGTCTTCTGGATCATTTAAATCGACAGTCGTCGATCGGACGAATAAGTACTGACGAAGCCTGATAGATGCCTGGCGAGTGGCATGCAGTCGCACACTGCTGTGCAGCGCCTTGTATTCAGCCGGCAACTGAGGCATGTGTGTCTCTGGCGTTTCCACCCAAAATCGAGCAATCTGCTTCTGCACCCAGTTCTCAAAATCGAAGAACGTGTTTCGCATTTGGGCTATAGCCAACTCCGTGTCATTGTTCATGCAAGTCATGAACAAGGTTCGAATATGGAGATCCGGAGTCTCGACCCTGTCAACCAGACGTTGTATGATATTCGCATGAATCTTTGCCGCGGGGATGTCGTTCTCCTTGCAGGCTGCCCGAAAGAGCGAGACAATCTGTGAGACCAACGATATATCCGGCGGGATGTCAAGCGATAGCTTCTCGATTCTGGTTTTCAGAATCTTCATGCTCTTCGTCCGCATCTTGATGGCAAGAAAATGCAGATCACGAGCGGTGTCTGGCGAGGAGAACTTTGCCAGAACTGGCATGTAGCTGGAACACCACGACAGCGCCCGTCCCTCATCTGAGAATTCTTCCTTCATAGAATTCCACACTTTTGCCACGGTACGTCGAGCGAAGACGTGAAATCCCTCGCCGATCGTGGTGAGCATCGGAGCTCCACGCGGAGCGTCTTTGAACCTCATGTAAGAAGTGATATAAACCCCAGGCAGATAGCCATCTCTTATGAAGGTGATGAGTTTGTTGACCTGAGGAGTGATCTGGAGAGCCTGAGCATTGAAGGGGTCCGAGTTACCACCAGGTAGAATTTCCAGCAGACTCGGGCTGTCGTCTCGGGCGGTGTGAAGGTCCCATCGTTGCAAAAGGTGGTCTGCTCTGTAGAATACTAAGCGACCGGGCCCACGTATATCCTGTTGCTGATCCGTCAAATGCCTATTGTTGACGCTTGCGTAATGACCTGAGGAGAGACGAATCTGTCAATCTGGAGTACACAGATGGCGGAATCAGAGACGCATCGACTTGCCTTGTGCTTCATTTAGCAAATGTTCTTTTTGCTCCTGCTTCCTCTTCTTGCGCTTTTCATGGGACCATCTCGCAGCATGTGATTTTTGGTTTGCGATCTCAAGTTCCCTCTCGACTTGCGTTGCTTTGGAATCAAGCTGTGGCACAAATCTCACGGTGGTGAATCTGGAAGAACGCATGATCTCGTGTTCGTGTCATCCACTTGGCACTTTCCAAAAGAAGTATTTGGACGAATGCAGACCAAATCCAGGCCGGGAATGGGGCGGCTCTTTGCAATATAAACCTTGAGAGCCCATGCTAGCAGAAGGGTCAAATTCAGGGAGAAGTGCTGAGCTAATATCCTTGCATATAAAGTCAGCTGAGGGTTGATAGAGCAGTGTAGGGCTCGCTAAACGAGCAGCACGTGCTTGACTTCTGGATTTCTGATCGATATCGAGGAGACATGAAGAGTCTCAACTCTCCGCTGGTTTTTGCAACATGAGACTTTGGCTCTCGGTAAGCGGTACGGGCCTTTACGGAATTGGGAAATACATTCATTATCAACGCTGAGCAATGGAATGGCCAGCCTCATGATTGGAGTTAATAAGCGAACAGGTTGGTTTGCCTCCCGATAACAATTGAGGCGAGGAAGGCATATCCAGTGCTAGCCGGTTGTCTCTGCGTAGCACAACATAGCGAAGCCCGGCAACGGCCAAGTCTTCAAGTCCGTCCGACGATATTCTGTCAATTACTTTGGGAAGTACCCTCATAAGGATGGATTGACAAACAAAGGCGACCGCCCACGATTGGTTGAGAAGAAGCAGTCTCGGGACATATGTCCAGATTGATATGGAGTCAGACACTTCAGTGAGAGACGACAAAATTGTTCCCGAGGGGCCAATATGCAGGACGAAGGATATGCGTGCCGAGACGCCATGCCGATTCCAGGCATTGGCCTTCCTACTGGTTGGTCAACATCACTTGGTCTTTGTTAGGAAGAAACGAGGAAGATGGGGGATGGTGACCTCCTTACCGGGAACAGTAGCTCTACTCCACAGAGATGCAAGACACGCAGATGCGGGTGCCGGAAGACCCAGACTAAGGAGGACAGACCTGCTCCAAAGAACGAGAACGGCGAGGTCCACCTCTGAAACGGGAACTCGGGTGTGTCAAGAAGCCGAATCAGTCACCGCCCCATGAATCCTAAATCCGTAGAGTAATATACTTCAGGTCCCGATATGCCGCTCACAGCTGGGGCCCACCAAAAGACATTGCTGAGTTTCGCTGACAAAGAAGACAGGACGTCCCAATGGTGGTGGGAGCCTGCCGACGGGTTATGCAAGTCCGAGATTAGGGATTTGTCGTGAGATTGTTGGCGAGAGGATCAGGCTCCCGCAGGGTTTTGAGGAGCACAGTTCGCGATCCAACACACGGCGCATGTTTCGAACCCTTGTGCCTGAGTCAACCATCTCTTCCGATTTTCTTGATCCACCATTGACAACTGAAGCCGGGTCCATTGCTCACTACGTTGGCATAGCCGTTGGGAGGTTGCTCAACCTGTGCAGAACTTGGTGTTGGCCCTGCGAGATGGATCCTTTCTGGCGAAGCAGGGAGTGTCGACATGATTGCTCCACCACGCGTGTCATTTCCGCACGCGTATTCGTTTCGGCCGAGTCTGGTGACCTGTAGCTCTAGTACAAGCCTTTCCTAGGTTGTAGCTTCGTTGAGTGCGTCGGGTCTTTGCAACGGTGATTGAGAGCTGCTTCCCACTCAGTGTCGATTGAACTGTGTCATGCTTCTGACGATGGGAGAAGAAACCGCCACACACTTGCAGGAAGGATGAAGCGTTGGTACGATCGAAAGTGAAGGTCAAGTTCAAGGTGAAGGTGAAGGTGAATGTGAGAGTCATGGAGGTGGTTTCAAGGTCGGGCGTGAATTGCGACGCAAGCAGACGTCATACAACTCAACGATACCATGTCAGGATGAACATAGCAATTTCTATGCCAATAGGGGGAATGAGACACTTCCTTCTCCGATCCTGGTAGAATCAGGGTTTTCTTCTGGCTACTGCTAAAAAGTTTGGAGACACTTGGGCTTCCCTGCATACATTGAGCACTACAAGCCCTGACTATATCTCCATCATCTGTGCCAGCCATTTCTCGTATGCTCCCTCAATCTCGATGCACCTCTTGCCTCTAACCCACAAACACTTGCCATTGATATCTGCATCCTTCTCTGCTGTTGCAAGATATGCAATTCCCAAGGCAACATCTTCTGGTTCACTCGCTTCGTGTCCTTGAGTTGCCTCTGGCGGTAGATTGGCGGTCAAGGCAGTCCGTGTAAGCCATGGCCCTACCATAGCGATGGAAACCTTCTTCTCTCTCAGCTCTTCTCTTCGGGATGTGCTGCGCATCAGCCCCATGAGAGCGTGCTTCGATGCCACATAAACGTCTTGATACGTGACGGGAATGTATGAGGCAGCAGATCCGGTAATGATGATCCGGCCCCCTCGGCCATCTCCAAGATGATACACCGCCAATTTGATCCCATAAAGGACGCCATAGAAGTTCACGTCGAGAATCACTTTTGGCGGTGGCTTGACAAGTGGTCGACTTTCTTCGGACACTTGACTCGCATTGCCAGAGGGTTCATACTCGTCTGCGAGGAAGTTGCTTGCAACTCGCTCCTTGCCCGACGCTGACTCCGAGGCTGCAAGCTCGGGATCGATGCCAGCATTCAGACACACTATCTCTGGAGGTCCGTATCTGCCAGTTACCCAATCAAATAGGGCGACTTGTTGCTCCCACGACGAGACGTCACACGCATAAGAATCGCACTCGTGGCCAATACTTCGCGCCACATCTTGCAGCCTATTTGCATCCAGATCAACCAGAATAACCTTCGCACCGTGCTGGGCAAATAGTCGCGCAGTTGCAAGGCCTATTCCACTTGCTGCCCCGGTCACAAGAGCAACTTTCCGAAGCGCTTCTTCCAGCGTGGCGGGGGTTGGGAGGACAACTTCTGCCATGGTTGCTCTAGACAAAGCCCGGTGCGATTGTATTTGGGGAGAAGAGAAGTCACAGAGGTTCAACAAGGGAGGAGCATGGATGGTTGCAGTTTGCAGGCAGCTCTGGATCCAAGCGTCATGCTTATGCCGACTCTTGTGTTGCTACGCCGCGTTATACGTACCCCAAATATCAGCATGAAAATGGCGGAGAGGCAAGAGAGGGGGAGAGGCAAGGACTCCGCAACACCGCACTATGTTGGAACAAGAGTCCGCGCATAGGATGAGTGGAATTTAGTGACTCTTGGTGTGTCCGTGAAGGGCGGTTCGGTGTCCTTGTGGCAGTCAATAATTGGATCAGCGGACGATCAGGCGTGAAGCCGCAGGCAGAGGCGCGTTGGAGTGACCGAGGCTGAACTATTCAGGAAAGTCTGACGAGACATGCCCCGTCATTGGGCGGCGCTGGAGGCAGTGCATTAGTCCATTTTCAGTTGGTTGTAAATAAACGCAAAACACTGCAAGGCCTACCAGTCCTCTCCAGCATCACTGAACTGCATCATACCGAACCTATTCCTTCGCTGGGGCGCTATTCGACAATGGACACAGAGTTATCATGCATGGACACGGCCGAAATCGCGCAATCTATTCAAAGCACCAAACTTGAGCTTACTTACGAGCGCGCTTTGAGAGACGCGGAACGCATCTACGAAGAAGAACGAGTTCGCGGATTGCGCATCCAGCTCTTGCTATTGGAACACGAGAATGATGAGCTGCAAGAACAAGCGGAGAGCGGAGAGGATGAGCAGCATCATTTACAGGAGGTTAATGAGGAGCTAAATGGACGTCTGGCCGACGCGGAGGCGGACTTTCAACAAGCCCAAATGGATCTCAAGGCACGCTTGCGCGACCTGGAATACTTGAAAACAGAAGTTAATGTGTTGAATGCTGCGAGTAACGATGCAAGCAAGCTCCTTGCCGAAAAGCTGGCCTTGTCCAGAGAGTTAAACACCCTCAAACCGGAACTTGAGCACCTGAGATCCCAAAACGCGGCGTACCAGAAACTCCTCTCCGAAAAGCTGGCTCTGCAGCGGGAGGTCAGTTCACTCCAAGTTGAGCTTGAGACCGAGAAACGAGCAGTCCAGAGGCTCAAAGCACAGGAAAAGTCTACCAGCCGCGAAGATTCGGAGTTAATGGAAGAGGTTCAGGGGTTGAGAAAAGAGCTTGCGAAAACACAGCGGGATGCACAAAAAACGGAACGGGAGAGCAGGAAGAGAACGAGCGACTGGGAAAACGAGAAAGAGGTCTTAGAAGGCAAGCTGAATGCTTTCCGCAACAAACTCCGATCTACAAAGGACCAACTTAAGGACGCGCAAGACGAAATCGAGAAACTGCAGGCAGCCCAGATGGCACACTCTTCTGAGATGACCAAGGCAAGACTTAATGGGGCAGGAAGCACGGCCAATCCTAGGAAGAGAAACGTTGCTAGATTTGATCCAGACATGACCATTGGCACACCAGGAAATGGCGGTCATGCCGCAAAGAAGCCTCGGATTTCAGTTAATGTCGGGGACAAATCGAACTTTTCCATCACACCCTTCTTGAACCGCACTCTCAGCATCTTGCCAGAAACGCCTGCCGAGAACGACGTCGAAGGGCGAAAGGAGGACAACGCGAATGCCGATCAGCTCGTGGAAGGGGCAGACGCGGACCAGGACGAGGACGAGGATGAGGCGCCCACGGTTCAACCTCCAAAGAGAAAGCAGACTATTGGGAAAAAGCTCACCGCACCAGCAGCCAGGCGAAAAGGCGCTCAGCCTCTGAAAGAAACAACCAATTCAAAAGCAAATAACATAGCCAAAAATTCACAGCCCGACAAACTCATTGAAAAAGTCTCGGACATGGAAAGTGATCGAGAAGATACGCATAATAGTGAAGGCCAGAGGACGAACAAGGAGAATACAGAGCAAACGGAGAGTACCGACACCTCAACTCAGGAGGCGAAAGAGCCTCTACGAAAGCAAAAGACATCGGCCAAACGTGCCAACATATTTGACGAAGAGGACACCGCGCCCGCACCTAAGATCAGGAGTCTAGGAGGTGGGCTTGCCGGCAAAGGAGGCGTCATGGGCCGCATCAATCTCAAGGCAAAAAGTGTGGGCAAAGGGAAACCACTGGCTGCGTTCTCGCCTCTTAAGAGGGATCGAAGGACTGCTGCTGTTATTGAGTGATGTCTGGTTGGGGAGGCGCACGATCTGGGGGCCACTACGGCTTGAGACCGCATGGATGATTTCCATGCATCTGGGATGAATTATTTGTCAAGTCTTCTCGTTGGCTGTGGCACATGGATACTTGGTAACAAGATGGTGGCAGCTGTTAGTTGTACGATAGCGGCAACGGATGCCTGCCTATTTGAGGAAGTTGAGCGATGCCGCTTTGTAGATCGATGACATCTGAATCGCGGAGCAAAAAAGTGCTTGATGCTTTATCAAATTGTTCCCTTGCAACCAACTTCGTTTCGCGACACTCCCTTCACACCTCTGCCGAGCGCTATTCGGCCTCGCTAGAGCGTGCTATGCAATCATGTAACCCACGTCTTGCACTTCGCTTTTTAGCTAGAGCACCGACAACCGCCCACCATCCCCATCTCAGTACCTTTGGTCTTCACCCACGATCAAAGCCATGTCTCCCCTCGATAAACTCTATCTCATTACCTGTTGGTCGTACATCATATCCTTCCACATCAGCTACACACTCCTCGCCCTGGCCCTCGACGAAAGGAGTGCGCTTCGCTTCCTCAAGCACGAGGCGCTGGACTGATCGGCAACGAGGGGATCAGTTTGCTCGCGCAGCAAAGGTCCAGGGATTGAAGAGTCGGGCGGCTTTTAAGCTGTTGCAGATCAATGAGCGCTATAGACTTTTCAAGCCTGGCATGACTGTGGTGGATTTGGGATTTGCACCGGGAAGTTGGAGCCAGGTAAGAAACCATGTGCTATGATGAGAGGAGTAAACAGTGGGGATAGGAGAATTGAATCAACAGAGTCGGGGCTCTGGTGCTGACACATGTTTCCCTTTTGCACAGGTCGCCGTCGACCTAACGAAGCCTCGAGGCCGAGTTCTAGGTGTTGACCTCCTCCCCGTCCAACCACCAAAGGGCGTGTCGACAATACAAGGCAACTTCCTGTCCCCAGACATTCAAGCCGAGATAAAGTCCTTTTTGCGAGACCCTGACCGGGGCCGTCTACGGCGACCGCTCATGCTTGGCTCGTCCGAGACCTCAGAAGATGGGCTGGACCAGGCGATGCTTGAGGAAGAGGCAACGGGATATCTTGAGCGCGAGAGCCATGAGAAGACGCTGGAAGAAGAGCACAATCGAGAACATCTGGACAAGTCTGTCGACGTGGTCCTGAGCGACATGTGTGAACCCTGGGACCCGCTTGAAGGGCTTTACAAGAAGAGCATCGGTAACCCTTATCGCAGGTTGATGAACACGAGTGGAAATGCCTTTCGCGATCATGCCGGTAGTATGGTACGTCTGGACCTCCAACAGTTCGCGCTTCCTTCCATTTGTTTATTTTCTTTTCGGTCTTTCTCAAAGTTCTCTCCGTTGATTCCCAACTACCCAGGCAAAGAGTAAATTCAAACTACTGACGCTTTTTGGGGGGGCACCGAGCAGGATCTCTGCAGAGCGGCGCTGCAATTCAGCTACGACACGCTCAAAGTCGGCGGACACTTTGTGTGCAAGTTCTACCAGGGGGTCGAAGACAAGGCTCTCGAGAGGAGCCTGAAAGCCTTGTTCCACAAAGTTCACCGCGAGAAGCCCGAGAGCTCGAGGAGTGAGTCCCGAGAGGCGTACTTCGTGGGCATCAGGCGGCTGGCAAAGGCGGATCGGGACGCCGTGTTTGCTGAGCCCTGAGTATGAGCACTCTGCTCCTACGACCACGAAGGGGATGATGTCTGTCCAGTCTGCTTCTAGCCTTGGAAGTGCCGAGCAAAGGCAAAGAAAAGAGGAAGAGGAAGAAGGAAACAGAAAACAGGGATATATTTGTTGCGACTATATCTATATGACCGGTGATGGAAGGCTGCTTACCATCGCCCTTGACAACCCTCCGATGCGGTATAACAGTTGTACCTCCGGGAGGTGTTAACATAGCTAGCTACCTAGTAGCTGGTAGTGGCTCAAATCAATTCCCCCTCCTCATCCTCGGCGCCCTCGACGCCTTCTTCCTCGCTAAACTCGATATCCTTCGCAGCCTCCTCGGCCAGCCTCTGCACCTCCTTCAACCCACTGACATCCTCGACGTAGCCCTTCTCATTGAGGGCCCTCTGGACAAAGCCCCAGTCGTCGGCCTCGTACGCGTCGAGGACCTTGTCGGAACAGGCGCTGCAGTACGTGTAGGCGGTGCCCGTGATGTTCATGTTGGAGAAGGTGGCCAGGAAGCCGCGGACCTGGTGCGGGACCAGGCCGAGCGGGTGGTCGCCCCTGCTATCGTCGTTGGCGGCGGCGGCGGCGTTGAGGGAGGCCGGCGCGGCGGCCCCACGCGCATGCTGGACGATGGACACGAAGAGCTCGACCAGCAGGGCCGAGGCGATGGCCGCGATGCCCGGCCGCGTCACGGTGCACTGCTGGTCCAGGGTCAGGTCCTTCATCGAGTCGGCGGGCGCGACGACGTCGTTGCAGAAGTAGCAGCCCAGTTCCTCCAGCTGCCCTTGGTCCCGCTTCTTCTGGGCCTCCTCGCGCTGCGTGCCGGGCAGGGTGGGCGCGGGCCTGACGCCGTGCCTCATGACCACGTACGTGTCGAACCCCAGCGCGGCGTTCATGACGATCTTGCCCTTCGCCTTCCCCATGACGGTCGGCAGCCATCTCGACTCCCTTGTGTCCATCAGCAGGAAGATCGCGTCGTGTTCATCCACCAGCTGCTTTAACGTGTCGTACTCCGCCTTCGTCTTCTCGAGGTCCGTGATCGGGTGTCCTGCCATGGGAACGCTCAACACGTGGCCCCGGGACTGAACGCCCGGGTAGACGGTCTTCAAGGCCTCGGCTGCAGCAGTGGCTTTCTTCTTGCCTCCGTCGAGACAGTCCTGGAACGTAAACAGCGGCTGTCTCACGGGGTTCGAAAACGAGACACTCCCATTGTCCACGAACGTGATATGTCGGACTCCCCATCCCATCAGGTTTCTCGAGACGTACGACCCAAGCGTGCCGGCGCCGAGCAGGAGACATTTCGTCTCCTTGATCTTCTCGAGGTTCAAGTTGGGCGAGATCCGCCATTTCATCAGTTTCAGGTTGAGGTCGACGGAGGAGTCGGCGAGTTTGGTCGGGTCCATGTATTCAGTGAGGTCGGCAACGCGGCCGGTGAGTTTGTTCAGGGCGTTGCGTTCCCAGCCCACGACTTTGGGCATGGTTTGGGAATAGTCTGGTTGTTGCGCAGCGTTGCCTGTATTGTTGGATTTGGACGATTGCTTGGATATCTCCATGTTAAGGATGACGCTCCGCGCGGCGTCTCGTCGCGCTTGCGTCTCACGGTAGCAAAGGATTTGGATCTTGTCGAGTTTCCACCGTTGTCGCACCAGGACCAGGAGGTTCCGTAGCATCCATCCTGGCGCCACTGGACCCGGCTCAGCATAGTTGGAAGGGTCGGCAAACCCGACAAAACAGTCTTCAGGATCAGTACCATCAAAGAAGCCCGTGTCAAAGCTTGACAGAGAAGACACCTGCCACGTGTAGCCGAGACTTGACGACGGGGTCAGAGGCGACTGCGGAGAAGTGGGCCCAAGGTCTTCGTCGGCGGGATTGCTTGGACTGGGCGCCAGAAGACCATCCCGTGTCCTTTTGACAAGGAAAAATCCATGCTGCCTCGTGTCCACAGTATATTTCCAGGTCTGGACATGATCCACCAGATTCGTGCTCTCGATCGAGGACAGTTTCCGGTAAGGAATGCCGGTCTCTGGACTCGCAAGGCTTCCAGGACTGGCCACCGGAACCCAGGGCGGATCCATGACCAGAGCGGGGAACGCAAACCAGTAATTGAACTTGTACTTTTTGAGATCTGCGAAACTGAGGACTAGGAAGGAGGCCAGGAGGCTGGGGCACGAGTAGATGGTGCCGTCGTTGATGGCATCCCAAATGGTCTTGCCGGCCTGCTGAATCATGGCCAGCTTGTCGATGTTGCGATACTCCTCGATCGTGTTGACGTTCTTGATCATACCCTCGGCGCGGTAGAAGCCGGCGGGGACTTCATCGCTCGTCAGTGCATTGGCATGGATTTGCATGCGGCAGGAATGCTCCTTGTTGTCGGCAGGCCGGATCTCATAGAGACCCAACAGCTTCCGGGCCGAGTCGTCGAGCTTGTCATGGTTGATCTTGTGCGATGCCAAAGAGGCGTAAAATGGGATCTCAATGTCCGAGGCGAAAGGCACGTACTGCATTGTTTAAACCGGGTGGCGATGAATACTGGATGAAGCCGACGAGTATTGCTCTAGTCCTCCCTCGTCGGACACAAATAGAATGCCGATATCCCTGACTGATAAGACGGAGGGTGCGTGAGAGGACGAGGCTTTGGTCCAGGCAACAGCAAGGATATGGGATTGATGGAATGTTGGCAACTGAGTCGAGGTCAGACTGACTGGATGATCTAGGCAGGACCATGTGGTTGTTCAAGGTGGAGCGGAGTGGCTGGGGCGGGCGCAGGTAGAGGTGAAGGGGCTAAAAGCAGCAACGGGCCGGAACACATCTCCGCCTGGCTGGACACATGCTGCTTTTGCATCATATTCCCCTTTGGGTTAGGTTGCCGCTCCGCCCAGTTACGAGGAGTCGGTCACTTGGACGCGTCGGGGAGCATGACCACTTTACGCGTCCTCAATATAGAAAGGACAACCACGTTCAACCGCATCAGCAGAGAGAGTCAGCTGAAACTCTCAGCCCATTGCAAGGACGACAGAGAGCCCCCTTGTCCAACTCACCTCAGACAATACTAGCAGGCAACTGGGGGCCAAAAAGGGACAGAGATCCAAAGAGGTTGCAGAGATATCAAGCAGCACAGCCTTGCGCCAACTCCCCTCCTCCTACCTCATACACCATGCTGATCGGCATCTGCGGCTCCATCTGCTCGGGCAAACACACTACGGCCGAGTACTTGGTCCAGCACCACGGTTTTCTTCGCCTGCATCTCCCCACACCGCAGCAATTCCAACCATCGCCGTGGCCGTGGACCTCGCCATCACCGGCACCCTCACCATCACAAGATCTCTCTTCCGACTCCCTTCGCCTTCTGCCCAGCGTTACCGACCAGGTCGGCACGCGGGGCCTCTCTTTCCCGGACGTTGAATCTCTCCTGGACTTCGTCACCAAGCGATGGCGGGAGCATTGGGTTCTCACGGACATCTACGATGAAGCCACGCTGGAGATCCTGCTGAGGCGGCCTTTCTTCATGTTGCTGAACGTGGATGCACCGCTGGGAACGAGGTTTGAGCGTTTCAATGAGCGGTATGTGCGGTCTCTGTCTCTTATACCCGTCAGCTTAGCACGAATTCTCTTGAAGCTCGAGGCTTTTTCCCTTCCTGCTCCGTTGTTCTATATTCTTTTCTGCTTCCTCGTGTGCCTGGGATCTTCAGGGCCAGCAAAAACCCCCTCCGTAATGGCACCAAGTTACTGTCCTGGGCACCATGAGCAACACGAGCTGGGAAGACCCCTGACCCTTTCTTGCCTTCCTCACCTTCTCTTTCCGCAATTAGCAGGAGGCACATGGCGGCGGTAGAAGCATGTAACTGACCGTCCCTGTTCATGTATATGTACATATAGATGTCTGATACGCAAACTCTCACCAATGTCCCTAACGGACTTCATCTTCTACAATGACATCAAACTGTACGGATCTCGTGCCCGGACAGACGCCTACTCCTTCACCGACACTAGCTCCCACACCTCTGCGCCCTCAACATCGACGACGACCACAGATGCCGTCGACGACGATGGCCAAACCCAGAACCATTCGGTATCACAGACAGCACTGCTTCCGCTCTTGTCCCACGCGCACCTGTCCATCCTCAACTCCTTTCCCAGTATCTCCACATAGTAAGTTCTCCATCTCCTCCTCCTTCCTATCCCTATCTCCAGGAGAGGACCAGACCCCCACAACTAAAATATACAACACCCCACGCGTCTGCGTGGCGCGGTTCGTTCATCCCTATTCTCTCCCGCTACCTACCTGGAAGATCCTCAAGGCAAACTCCCCGAGAACTAACCTTGAAAACAAAAAGCCACACGTTCCTCTCGACGCTGGACCTCCCATCACCGCTCCGCCTGCGGCCGACGTGGGACGCGTACTTCATGACGCTGGCCTCGCTGGCGGCGCACCGGTCGAACTGCATGAAGCGGCGGGTGGGGTGCGTGCTGGTGCACAACGCCCGGATCATCAGCACGGGGTACAACGGCACGCCGCGGGGGCTGGTCAACTGCAACGAAGGGGGCTGCGCGCGGTGCAACGGGTCCGGCAACGCGGGCGGCGTGGCGCTCAACACGTGCCTGTGCCTGCACGCCGAGGAGAACGCGCTGCTCGAGGCCGGCCGCGAGCGCATCCGCGACGGCGCCGTCCTGTACTGCGACACGTGCCCCTGCCTGACCTGCTCCGTCAAGATCGCCCAGGTCGGCGTCAAGGAGGTCGTCTACAGCCAGAGCTACAACATGGACGAGGCCAGCCGGAAGGTCTTGCGCGACGCCGGCGTCGTGCTCAGGCAGTTCGTGCCCAAGCGGAGCGGGCTCGTCGGCTTTGATCTCGCGGGTATGGACGGATGGGTGGATGATCTCAATGGGGGCGAAGCGAGGCAAGGAAAGCAGATGATTGTCTTGAATGGGAAAATGTCGTGACATGACCAGCCAGCCAAAAGGAAGAGTGTGCACATTATATTATATCCAACTAGAATCAACAACAATGGGTATCAAATTATTACCTACTGAGAAGGGGCCGCACAAGATCAAAAACCAACTAGAGCGAATGGAAAATCGCCTCATGAGAGCTCACAGCATTCTCCCTACTTTCCGGCAAATTTCCTGTCTTCCGACGAGTTCGAGCGAAATGCCGGGTTGAACGCCCCTGCTGAGGATGGTGTGGCAGCAGATGCGGCACTCGTCGGCTGCGCAGTCTTGGGTGTTGTTGCACTTGTTGGTCCGCTCGTTACGCCCTGCGTCTGATCTTCTTCCAACCTAGTGGTGATGGGAGTAATGTTGCGGGACTCCGTCGGGCTCGTGGGCAAGCTGTTGGAGGAGTTGGCGAAACTGGCTATGATCGAGTGCCATTGCTGTGCATCCGAGTTGGTGTGCGCTTTGAACTGGAAGTCGGAAGTAATGGCCATCTTCTGCCCCAACTTGCTGCCTGAGGAGTCTTTGCCCTTGATCGTGAATTTCTGTCCGTCCACCGCTCCGATGATGCAGTCCGGGAGATACAACGAGTGTTCGGGACTGGGGTCTTTCTGAAAGTTATCGTTATCTTTGTACTCGTGCAGATAGCCTGCTGGAGTGACAGCATAGTATCCAGTGCTGTACCCTTTGAGAGCACCCATCCCACGAGATTTGCGCTCCAGGGTGCCTTCAATAAGCGGCTTGGTAGAACGATGCTTTTCGTTTGGAAAAGACACACTGTCCATCGTCCTTGGCGGCGCATTCGGGTTGACCAGGATGTGCTGGTTGCGTTTGGTAAAGCCGTTCCATTCAAAGTCCAGCGGGATATTGCTTGCAGTGGAGGCAATGTCGCCGAACATGGCTTTCTGTCGATCTGCCTGGCCGCTCATAAATTGGTTGTACGAGTTCAGCGCCGTCTGCACCGTCTGCACCACGTGCGACTCGAACTTGGCAAAGGCGTTCTGGACCACAATCAGATCCTGTCTGTTGTTATTCTCCTCGAGGAGCTGTTTGTTGAGACGAAAGAGCGTTCCTCTCCTGACTACGTAGGGGTCATGTTGCGCAGACACTTTACCCCCTGTCGAGTCGAAATGAGCGGCCTGTTGCCCCAGCAGCTCGATATGCTTCTGCGAATGACTGCGCGCCGACTCAACAGCCTTTGTACCTTTCCCAGTGCCGTTGGAGATTTCTTTGTTCTTGTTCTTGATCTCCGCGTGTAGACGTTCGAGGATGGGCAGCACCGATGCAGTGAGGTTTTTGGAGGTCTCGGTGTACAGATTGATTTGCGCTTGGGTGTTGGCCCGCAAGTTTTCAAAGAGACCAGCAACACCACCCAAAGCGGAATCGAAATGATGGGCCTCACGGAGGGGACTCGACAGTGTCTTCAGGACTTTCTCTTGGTCTTTGGCGCGGCCAGCCTGCTCCTTAGCAACTGCGGAGACGTAGTTCTCGAGATAGCCGCACATGTGCTTCCACGCCTGCAACCGCTCGATCAATAGACCGGCGGTGCTTGAAGGGTCTCCCTCGGTCACGACATCATCATCGGAATCATTGGCAGTTTTGGCCCTGGTGGGCAGTGGAGGAGCAGCCATAACGAAGCAATAGTCGGGGGGAGGAGTATTGTACTACGATACTGCCATGACAGTTAGAATGACAAGGGTTAAGATGAGCGCGCTCGATGGAATGCTAACGCAGAGAAATAGATGCTTGAACTGCAGTACAGGTGATGTTGAAGAATAGGGGGAGGTTGTGCGACGGTGACTGCGCCGAGGGCTGAGAGTCGAGAGCTCCGAGCTGAGGCGTGGCTTCCGAGCTCAGCTGCTATAACAGTGAGCTGTTGGCAGACGCCGGCGTCAAAGGCCGTTGACTTGAAGCCGATGCGAGGAGGAAGAGGGCTGAATGCTTCAGTTGGCCCCGAATGAAGCTTGTGCAGTGCGTCTTTCTTGTTCTTGGTCGCGATCAAGCGCAGCTTTGAATTACTTTCACTTTCTCCAACGCAACGTCATGGATCGACGCGTGCCAAATGCAGATCTGGCGCGACTGTTGCACAAGTTTCTCTATCGAGTAATATATCACGTCGTTCAATCTGTGCTTGAAAAATCTCGGTTGATGTTCATACATACAGCTTCACATCTATTTTGGACGCCACTTTAGAATACAGGAAGCAAAGAAGCCAACCAGACGTCAACCCAATGAATCGTGCAGTGCAGCCGTGTGCTCTACAAATACCACGTTCCGTCGCTCAAACACGCCGTCCAACTCCCGCTTAGCCAAAAGTCTCTGTACCAATACAAGACAAGGGTACAACATCCTTCAGCAATTAGCCTCACATGGCCTTGGATAGATCCAGTTCGCTGTCGGAGCCTGGTATCAGCACCCCCGGAGACACGCCCTCGGCATTGTAGGCGGTCTGGCCCCAAATCTTGCCCGTCTCGTCAACGTCCCAAATCCCATAGTTTGGCAGCGTGTTGATGAAATATGCAAACTCGAGTTCGTCTTCGGGCCTCCAGAATTGACACTTGTCCGTCTCCACATTGTACTCGTGCCAGCCCGGCTTAACGACGCGACGGTCTCCATCATCCCCCATCTGCGGCACCCAGGCCGCGACGTAGGTGTCATCTGAGAACCCTTTCTCCGTTGGGATGTATCGCGACGGATAGCTTTGGTATTTGGGATCGTCGCGCTGTGCCCATTCACCGCAGCATCTGTCGATCGAAGGTGCTCTGCTCCAACAGTTTGGTTCTGTCTGGATCATGTTGTTGAAGACCTTGGGCGGTCTGTCGCAGAACAGACGCCACTTGGCCAGCGCCGCAAGCGCGTCCCGCGGACAGCTGTGCGTCGGCACCGGCATGTTGAGGTCGTAGACTTTGACCACACTGTCACACCCTTTCGCCCGACATCTGAGTGTTAATTTGGCGTATTGTGGAGACGTCCTCGAGGGCGTTCCGTCATCATACGTTGGAGTGGAAGACAGTCCATCGTCGGGAAGGTCGTAAATATCGTCCGCAAGGTCGTCGTATACATCGCTAGGTAGATTGTACATATCACCGGGTACAGCGCCTGCCCCTTCGGGAACGTCGCCGGTGCCCATAGGAATGCCTGTTATCACACCCGTCACATCACCAACAATGTTGGCAATGTTCCTGGCCCCATCGTCGTCAGGTTTCAACAGGTCGATGGAAGGCCCTGCAGCCACCGCCCTTGCTCTCACGAAGCTGGTGACATTGACCGGGTGGGCCACAGTAGTAACGATGGCCATTGCAGCGACGGCCACCACAAGGAGTTGTTGGATAGCCATTGTGTGTGTCTGTTCAACCAAGGAAGTAAGCTGAATGGTGACTTGGGAGCCGCTGGTTAGATAGGAATTTGATGATAATGTTGCCAACTCTGGAGACGATCACGCAAAATCATTATATGTGGTAGTTGTACTCCTGGAGGTCCCCGGGTGCAGTCAGAGAAGTCCTCAAATGCATAGGGCCACCGTACTGTATCCTAATCATCCCAAGGAATGAGCCTGGTTGGCCTATAGGAACCACAAACCCAGTCTTGCCAGTCTAGTAGTTTGTGGTAGTGTGGAAGATACTCTCGTCCTGGAAGTGGAATAGGTGTTTAGTCTCCACTCAGTCGTGAATATAGTTTCGCTGCATCAGGCTGACGAATGCCGTCCTTGTCCGTTGCAGTCATAGCCGAGAGCATGCTTTGATACAGTAGAACGTAATTGCGCATTAACTACAAAGGGTACCAGTATACATTCGTGGATGTTCGGAAGTGTAACCCTTATTGGGCCACTGTGTTCTTGACAGCTGGTGTCAGTGACTTCGCTCCAAATCCAAGCGATGGGTTCCTCAACGAACCACATCTTCTTCCGCTTCAGGCAAGCTCTGCTCGTCACCCAGCTTAGGATTTCGGAGACAGAAGGCAAATGCGATCAGAAGGGTGCAGAGACAAATTCCTGTGATGCAGAGCAGCCTCTGTGCGTGTTGGTATGCGGCGATGATGGCTTCTCGCACGGGGGTGCCGACAGGGTATTCGTATGCAACTGTGAATGGGTCGGCATAGGTCGCAGCAGCCAAGGTCGAATTTCCCAACGGCGCCAAGTTGTCCTCGAGCGTCGATGGCAACACGTTGGTCCAGATAGTCCCGGAGATCGCACCACCAAAAGCAGACCCGATGTTGTACGTTGCCAGATACAGACCAGTGATGACGGCAACGTGCTCGTGTTTGGTCGCGGCTTGAATCGACGCCTGGGCCGGGTACGGAAACATGCCTCCGGCAATACCTAGGAGGACCTGCGCGCCAATGACGCCCGACTGGCCAGCGGAGTTTGGAGATCCCCGGTAATGAATGAGCAGTCCAAATGCAACCATAAAAAGACAAGTTCCTGCCACGATAAACCATTTCAGCCGTCTCACCTTGTAGACCACCATGCCCAGAAGGAAGCCGGTGACGACAGATGTAAAACTGTACAAGGAAGTGATTCGGGTGGCGCCCATAATGCTGAAATCAAAAGCGATGATCAGTACTGTGTAAAGATAGTCGCCTTGCATGTACCAGGCAAAATTCAAGGTGCATGCGATCCCTAGCGCTCCCCAGACGCCACGGTCTTTGAGGAGGTCGAAGGGCACGAGTGGTCGAGGTGCCCTTAGTTCCCAGAAGACAAAAACCGGGATACAAAGAATTCCAATGACAAGAGGCGCAATGACATGTGCAGTACCCCATGAAGACGTTGACCCTCCAGCAATTGTCAAGGGAACAAGGATGAGAGCGAAGACCGCGATCAACAAGATGATACCAGGAATGTCGAGGGCCCAGAAGAGCTCCAGTGTCAGTCTCCTTGCACCCATCATCTGATATGGCGTTTTGTATTTCTCCAAGACACCAGCTTTGCGTGCACGCCGGCCAACAAAGTAGAGGGATATCATAAGCGGGAGCGCACAGACTGGGTAGATGATGCACCACATCCCAATACCCCATTTCCATGTTGTCGCACCCAGCACGGCTGAAGTGATGTTGCCGCTAATCCAGGTGTTCACCAGGAATGGCAGTGCAGGAATGTAGCTGAAGAAGAGTCGAGCTCGCAGGGAGGTGATGTCGGCAATAATAACTTCCACCAACAAGAGCACACACGTATAGCCGATCTGATAGAGCACCGAGCCCCCAGCGAAGGCGTCAACGTTGGTCGCGCAGCTTTCAATAATGGTTCCCACGACATAGAAGACCACGCTGACAAAGACTAGTTCCAGTCGGCCGAAGACGTCGGCAATTTTGGCTGCAGTCGGCTGTGCGGCGGCGGCAATGACAGCGCGAAGCGTGTTGATCGTGGCCAGCAGAGAATGATGGCCCATAGAAGCAGTGGCTGTGGTCTGGTACGTATATCGAACCGTGCCATCCAGTCCATACGCGTACGCGATGAGAAAGACACCAATGAAGAGGAAAACACGGTCTTTCCTTGTGAGGACTTCATTGATGGCCTCGATCCTCACAACACCTGGCGACTTTTCTGCATCAATAATAGAACTGCGTCTTCGGGCCGAATCCTCAACGGAATCCTGAGCATGAGCTTCGGCAACCTTGGGTGTCGATGACATGTCTCCTGCCTTGGAATGCGAATCGTCCGAGAACGACATGGGGAACAAGAAACTGCGGAGTCGGGCCTCTATCAACGTGTCGACAGTCAAAGATGCCGTTCAATGCAAGAGGTCACAGCGATGAAAGCGAAACTTCTTTTCTAGTTATAGTAGTCGACACACGATTGGGAGTCTCACTCGGCGAGGCCGGCCTGAGTTACTTTGAAGTTGAACTTTCCAAGGTTTTCCACCACCCTTGGCAACACGTCGAGCACATTTTAGATCTCCAGCCAGGCGGCGCAAGTGTCATAAAGGGCATTCTCATGCAGAGATTTGTCTTGATATGAGAGGCGATGGTGGGGATCGAGTCGACTCTGAACAAGCCATTGGTGAATACATTCCTGATCTAATCAGATCATCAGATAAAAATTTTTTCACAGCGGGGCGGCAAGAGCGGCATTTTAGGTAGACCCAGAGGCTGTGGTGGATTGTCGCCAAGGGCATGGGCTGAGAAAATCATTTCAGATGGTGTCGTTGGCGAGCAGGGAAGAACCTGGTCAGACGCACAGGCGGAGCGTGTGGAGAGCAGCAAGCGAGCTTTGCCATTGCCCAAGCCCAGGATCTAATCGGTGGAGGGATCTAATCAGATGTCGGCTCCTCTTGCCCTGGCACAGAGTTTGACGGCGTCCGCTGTTCGCCAAATCAGGCTCCGCGGAATATATAGTGCGTGGCCCCCAGTGTTGCAGTTTGCACGACGTAGTAGGTATATCCAGTGCCCGTTCAGCTCCACCATGCTGGAATCGGACCGCTTGACCAAGAGAATACTGGACCGGGTACAGGGATTGCACACAGCGTAGCATTTCTGTGGGCATTAGCTGCGACCCTGCTCCGAAGTCGGACATTGTCCCACTTGGACTGGGCGAACTACATGATCTGCCCCAGGAGCTGAGCACCTCTGATCGCGGTTGCAAGGTGCCAAGGGAGGCATTCGCTGTTTGGATCCACGCAGCCTCGAGTGGCGCCGAGAGTAACAAGTGCACGATACTGCTTGATCAAGTCTTCGAGCAACTCGTCTGGCGACATCTCGCTCGATGTGTTCGATATGGGGATCGTCGATGTGACTAGGCTGAACTCAATCAGGTTGTATCCGTCCTCCCACTTAGTCCCTCTACGTTTCATGAGGTACCCCGTGACTTGTGAAGGTCGAATCTCGATGAGACTCCTCGTCTGATTAATCCCGAAGGGTAGGATGACAGCCCAACTTTCCTCAGAAGGATCCACTAATGTGAGATCACTCTCATTGTTCGGATCAAACCCGGGGTCCGAAGGTGTGGGAGCATTCATAAAGGAGCTGCCACCAGGCGTTGGAGTCGCTGGCACAGTTTGTTCAGGAGACGTCATACTGCCCTGCGGTGTCGAAGCAGGTGTCCCATAAAGGTTCTGCGGTCCTGTCTGGCCGCTTTTCCAGTGGTTCAAGGGTGGGAAGATCTCCAGTTCTGGGTCGAGCTGGACGGAGAGAAGTACTAACAGGCATCGTTTCTGTGAGGCAGGGGAATTCTCGAATACCTGATGCCAGTCGAGCAGCTCTGGTTGCTCATAGTATTCGTGCCTTACAACCGCCAGCCGCCATGGCCCGCGAACTTTGTTCATGAGGTCTTGCGAAACATCCCACATCTCTTGGAATATGTCATGGAGGGGCCTGATCTTCCCTGTAGGTCGAAGGCGAAGACAGTAGGACATGCTAAGTGCAACTCTTCCTGACTCGTCCGTCCAAGCCGCAGTAAGCCACCTCCTGTCTTGGCTGATAGAGTATGCGAGGTGCAGGCATGGTCCGTTCTTCTCTAGGGGTGAGCTATATGTTGGTGTCAGTTGCAGATGCACCGAATTTTCCGCTTTCGACAGCACCACGGCTGAGCTGCAAGCAGCCGGAGGCGCCGGGGATTCTGACGGCGGGAGCCGGTTGTAAACCTCAATGGCCAGCCGGATGTAGGCTGTTTGGGGAGGGATCACCAGGGTTTCCGCATTGGCGACGAAGTTTTGTGGGATGACCTGTAAAGCAATGTCGGACACGCTCTGATTGTCCGTTCGTGCCTCTGTAAATGATTCAAATAGGCCGAAGAAGCCAATGCACGCCTCAAGGTACGAAGTTGCGCTTTGATTCCTGCTCGTCATACAGACCAGAACGGTGCCCTTCACGTCTGAGGTAGTCCCGAGAGCTCTACCAACCATGTGGCATGTCTGAAGGAGGTTATGTTGACCCAGGTCATTCGGACCCCATGATATCGATCCATTATCTGTAAATCCAGGGAGTCGGCCGATTGTATGAGTTCCCAATGAACAAGAGGTGTAAGTTTCTGCAAGTCGCTGCAGCAGATTAAGACATCCCTCTGTTACATTTTCTTGACTCGGATGGATACAAAAGGTTGTAACGTCTTTCGGTCCACTGTCAGGTTGAAGGTTCAATGAATCCCAGAAATTCAAGATAGATATAGAGGCTGTCAGTGGCCGTTCTGTGCGTCGAATGCGAATCTGATCCGGTTGGATTCTTATCACCTTGCCCTGAACTCTTCCATTGTTTTGTTCGGCTTTGAGATTCGTAAGTTGAAATACACTCGAGGGTGTTGCAGAAGTGTTGATACCGCTCAGATCAACGTTTACATCCATTTGGTCACGAGGCGGGAGTTGTGTTCCTCCTTGATACTCTCCATGAGGGAGTAAGGTGGTCTGGGACATCTGCTCCACCAACACGTGGGCAATTTGCAGGTATCTCTGTGTCGATATTGGAGGAATCTTGCGCTGGTCGGCGTTAACTGATCGGAAATCCGATAGTGTGGGAGGTTCTACCAAGCCGGGCTTCAAAACTCCTAGTATTTGCTGCACGTCCTGATAGATTGTCTTCTTGTCGATCTCGCTCTGGCGATTGACGGCGTTTGGCGACGGAGAATGATATTCTGTCCACTGTCTGGCCGGAGCTTGGGCTGGGTAGTGCCCAGACAAAGGTTCTGCCGAGTTGCTGGAACTGGTCATCAAACTGTCACTGTCTGATGAGCTTGATGCAGGTCTCTGAAAGAGCGGGTTTGACTTCGAGAAGCCCTTAGTATTAGAAAGAATAGGCGTTGGATCGAACCAGTAGTCCCCGCCTGCCCCGTATCTGCTATCATGTTTCGACACGGACGGAAGCGAGTGTAGACCATCATACAGACTTGAACGACGTCCACGCTCAGCTTCGATTATTGATTCTTTGGCAGACTCCGGTTTCCACAAAGGAGGACCCCATGTGGGTGGAGGTTGAGGTCTCTCCTTGCTTTTCGCCTGCGGAACCTTGGTCAGGTGTTCCGTCTGGTCTTTGGGGTGCTGCAACCTGATGTTTGCGGGTGAGTTCGTTGCAGCTTCAGAGCCCATATTTTCGCCCTTCACAATGGCTGGACCTGGAGCAGCGGCACCTTGACCAGCCGTTTCATCGTTGACGCCCATCATGCCTCCTGCCTGGGTCTCGCCCCGTACCGCTGGCTCTTCGATCCGCCCGTGGCTTGCAGAGCGTGTAGAATTAGGGTCTAGCCCCGGAGCGTCGAAAAAATCCCAATTAGGCTCGTCGCCGTTGGCTTCTGCGCCGAGATTATCATCTGGATTCTCCTCGAATAGGTCTTCGTCATAGAATGTCTGCAACCCGCTTGTAGTTGGGTCGTCCTCGAAATCCGGCATGTCCTCATCCTGCGGCTGAGGCCTTTCAGCAGGACCTCGAGATATGTTTGCAGGAGTCATGGCCATCCCGTCGACTGATGAGAAGCCTGGCGTAGGATGTGTCATTCCAACATCAGGCGGAGTCGGGTATATCGTTTGGCCGGGACCAAAAGCAGGAGGTCCAAACGGATGGAAGTGCACTGGATCGTCAAATGTACCTTCTTCAGCAAATAGTGGTTCATCATCCTCATCTACCACACTTTGGTGGTTAGCTTCAACCTTTGACGTGCCGCCACCCGTACCAAGGATCCAATCTCGCACGAATTGCATTGGATCCTCTTTCCCTTCGGTCGCCTTTACTGCAACATGCTCCTCGACGCTGAAGACAAAGCACAGGTCTGCAGGCCAAAGAATTGTTCTCCAAGTGACCGAGTCGCGCTCCACGGTGTCGGGACTTGGATTATCTTGCTGACCGTCGGTGGACCCGTGATCAATCTCCTCTACAGGTACTTCAATCTCAATCCAGTCACTTTCCATCGCTTCGATACTTATATTCATGTGCTCCTTAAGCCAGGACGGTAGCAGTTCTCTCCAGGCTTCTCTTCGTGCATTGGAAAGTTGACTCTCGCCATTAGGCTGGTTGTCAGAGGTGCCAATAAGTTTTTTGTGGGCGAGGATTTTTGCTTGCGTTGACCGTGCAATACGCCCGATAGGCGCGAGGTATATGGCAATTGTTTCAGATTTTGTATGGTCATTCCAGTTGAGCTTGGTAGCACATTCTGGAAGACGAACGAAGGAGAACGCGGCATCCTTTGCAATTGTCAGGATGATGTGACCGCTTGGGACTACCTGTAGGTCGATGCGGTAGAGAACCCACTGATTAACTTTGTCAAAATGGTGAACGTCGGTAGCCAAGGGAGCCTGCTCAACGAGATACAAATTGGGTCCAAGCAGCTGAAGATCAGTCTCGCCATTGGGGACAAACTTGATGCTGGATACGATGGCAGTAATAAAGAGTCGGTACAGCCGAGCATGTTCCGGTTTGAGCAAGTCGGGAAGTCGGGCGGCGGTCTTGTAGGCGATTGTACAAGTGTTGCTGCGCAGCACGTAACCAAACTTCAACAGCAAAGTTTTTTGGTCCTTTGGGGCAGTGATATCCACCTTTTTATAAAAAGTGAATAGTTGACGAGCTTCAACATCTAGTGCGGCAAGAATGGATGCTTCTCTAAATTGACGCTCAGTTTTCCGGAGTCGAGCAAGGGTGTTCTCTGCAGTGGTGATAAAGGCTGACGGATCCTGGGTAGGCGGAGTTGCTACTGTGCATACAATATAAGCTATCTCGCCGAAATCGTTCTTGACCTCTATCAGCTTCCGTGGGCACAAAGTCCATTCGCAACAGCAACTCACAAGGGTATAGACATTCGTGGAACAGTTACTCGGAAACTCCAGTGTCGTATTCATGTCGTCAACCGTTGGGTGGAATACAGACTGCTCGTCGGGAACAGCAAGGTATTATAAATTGGCCGAGATGTAGGTGCATTGCACGAGCGTCGCGAGGCATGCAAGATGGTTGGTCGTTCAAAGGACGCCCAGAGGCACCGAGTGCAATGATGCCGCGTTGTGTCGGCTGACTTGGTAAGATGACCTCGATTTTGAGCCAACCCACTTCCGACGCTTAGCCTCACCGGATATGGGTAGAATGGGAGTCCTCTAGCCTTGGAGATAATGCAAAATATGGAGGGAGTGGAAGAGACCAGCTCTGTTGTGATATACGACAGAGGTGTGTCGTGGAAAGCCAACACCGAAGACTTCGACAGCCGCGCACGTGACTGGCCAGAAGTCTTGGCGGCTCTAGCTATGGTAACATAAACTTATGGCAAGCTCATCGTGCATTCACCAACCATACCCCAGTACCTGCAGTCACCTTCACCTTCCCCCGGCCCACCTCTCCTCTCGCCACTTACTGCAGTGCCTAGTCGAGACGGTGGAGCGGCTCTGGTCGACGATGTTCTCCCTTCCAAGAAAGGGACTCCAGAACCTTGCACGAGTATAGCGACAGCCGACACGCACCAAGAGGAGGCAGCCCAGCACCAGACAACTTTATGCCACACCGGTAGCGGTGCCCGTCTCCGGCTACGAGTCAACCTGTCCAGAGTCATACTTCGACTGGGAGTCTTGAAACCGGTTCAAAATCCAGAAAAGAGAAATCGCGCCCTGGAAAACTCAAGAAAGAAACAAAGGAGACCTGAATGTAAGAGAAAAGAAGCAAGAGCCAGTTGATAGTACAAAGAGAAGACCGGTAGCGGACAACACACAATAAAGAGCATTACGGATCGAATTTTAAACTCTCATTCTAGAACCGGGCGATCCTGCGAGGGTCGTACCGGGTAGATACATATTCCCGGGGTTCAAGGACGTCTACCTGGAACAGATTCTGAAGATTCGAAGGCCAGCTATCCATAACTGGGGTCAAGTCGGGGAGTGGGAGAAATTTCCTCAGTCATCTGTGTGAAGATTTGAACTCGAGGATACAGAGCTACTGACGCCGACATTGAAAGTCCCTTGCTCTGCTCTGGATACATGTGCGGAATTGCTCCTTTTCGTTATGAGGTGTAGGCTAGCACCTATGTGAATGCACTAGAAAGATTCTGTTGAGTCCCGTCGCGGAGAATACACACAAAAGTATCTGCGCTTCAGACCCATTATGCTTATCCATCCACGAAAGACCTTCAAGCCTGCCAATGCTGCGCAAACCAATAGCACGCTGCTTGGAAGACCCAATATCAGCACCGGTCAAGAAATCACTTAGATAAGCCCACTGGTCGTGAACATGACGATATGCAGCTTAGCTTTGTAGGCATGTGGCTGGCTGTGGCTGGCCATGGGGATACGAGTGAGGGAAAAGGCAGCATGCAATCAACAATTTCCTTCAATTGATCCGAGACTCGACAATTGATAATCTAGAGTGAATCGCTCTCCGAAGTTGATTCAGCTGATAGGCAAATACTTAAATTTGTGGGTAAGCCTTTGATTGGAAGATACTGACGTTCTGGGGACGTGACTCCGCAGGCTTTTCTTGCTTATCCTTCATCAATCAAACAGGTTGTTCCTCGATGGTCTAGTGGTCACGATCTCAAGACACTGCTTTCGTGCATCTCTATCGGAACAGAGTACGAGGTGCCAAGGTGAGCATAGGGCGGCATCGCCCTAGTCCTGGAGCGGGGTGGGTTGGGCGTGGATTCCTTGGCGTGGATTTCGCCTGACCCGCATCTTGGAGATTTCAGTCGGCCGACAAAAAAAAAGTTGAAGTGCCACCAGGTATGAAGTGGCTCCCAGTCTTGCGGTTCAGCGGCAGAAGAATTAACAAGAAGCAGGGCGGACCTACCTACCTTCCAGATGTCTTTAAACTGACATAGTTGACCGCGTCGTTTCTCCCCCAGGCTCAGCATGAGACTCACCAACAGTACGGTTCCAGTCTATACTGTGTCTGGTTCGTCGACTGCTCGCAGTCTCCCGGACTGGCTTTCGCAGCAGCAAAAACGCAAGAAAGACCCCGAATATGCCAACCGCGTCGAACTGTTACAAGACTTCGAGTTCGAAGAAGCTAGTCAATGTGTGCGGGTTAGCGAAGATGGCGAATGGGTCATGAGCACCGGGACATACAAACCACAAATCCATACACATTACCTGCCCAATCTCGCGCTTTCATGGGCAAGACACACCAATACCTTGAACAAGACATTCATCTTCCTCTCGACCGACTATTCGAAGTCTGTCCATCTGCAAGAGGACCGCTCCCTGGAGTTCCATACGCCAGGCGGCTGCCATGATTCACTACGAATACCGCGGTATGGTCGCGACCTCGCGTATGACCGGAACAGCACCGAACTGCTGGTACCCGCCGTCGGCGTCAACACGAATGGTATGGGAGAGGTGTTCAGATTCAATCTTGAGCTGGGAAGATTCATGAATGAATTCGAGGTAGATGTCGGAGGCGACGACCTGAACTCCATGGGCGGTGGTGCATTACAAGGAGGTATTGGGGCTGGCAGTGTTAATGTCGCCGCTGTGGCAGAAGGCAGTCATAACCTGTTAGCATTCGGCACATCCCTGGGCACGGTCGAATATTGGGACACACGATCAAGAGCTCGAGTGGCTACCCTTGGTGTGCCTGCGGACTTTGAAGGACGGCCAGAGGTGACGGCCCTTGACTACCATCGATCCGGCATCAACATGGCTGTCGGAACTTCTTCTGGTCTCATTTACCTTTACGACTTGAGATCCTCACTACCAACTTTAAAGAAGGACCAAGGCTACGGTTATCCAATACAGTACGTGCAGTTCTTGACGCAAGGCATCAGGACTCGAGATTCTATTGGGGAGCCCAAGATCGCCTCAGCAGACCGACGGATATTGAAACTCTGGGATGAGCGTGACGGGACACCATGGACTTCAGTAGAGCCAACGGTGGACATCAACTGTGTTGCGTGGTGCAAAGATAGCGGGATGTTTCTAACGGCCAATGAAGGTCGACAACAACATGCCTTCTTTATCCCCCAACTTGGGCCGGCTCCAAAGTGGTGTTCATTCCTGGACAATGTTGTCGAGGAGATGGCAGAAGATCCAAATGACCCGTACGCCTTCTCGAAATCAAAGATAGGCGAGGTGTACGACAACTACAAATTCCTCACACCGCCTCAATTGCGCATGCTCAACCTAGACCACCTCGTGGGCAAGACGAATCTTCTCCGACCTTATATGCACGGTTTCTTTGTGGCTCAGGGGTTATATGAAGAGGCAAGGCTGATTGCAAACCCGACCAGCTGGGAAGAGGAGCGGGCGAAGCGGGTCCAAGCGAAGATCGATAAAGAGCGCGAAAGCAGAATCCGCGGCAAGAAGAAGATCAGTGTCAAAGTCAATCGAAAAATGGTGGAAAGAATTCTTGAACGCGAAGAAAAGAATGAAAGGCGACGCGCTCAGAGGGTGCTGGCACAGGGAGGTGATGAGACAGCTGCTGCGGAGGCCAACCAAGTCCTCTCTGCTCAGGATGAAGAAAAAGGCCTTCTCGCAGATTCACGTTTTGCCAAACTCTTCCAAGATGAAGATTTCGCCGTGGATGAAACCTCCAGAGAATTCCAGCAGCTCAACGCTAGCACCAAGGTGACTGCGTTGAATCACGACCAAGAAAAAGGGCTGACCGCTGTCGAAGAGGAAGCAATTGATGAAGTTCCTGGGTCAAGTGACGAGGATCAGACAGATGAGGATGACGGTCCCTCCAGATACAAAACGAAAGACCGAATATCAACGGCTGATTACAAACGCCGCCCAAACAAGAAACAGAAAAGGAAGGGCGATCAAATGCAAATGCGAGTCACGTCTTCTACGTCGAAAAACGCTGCCAGAATGCCCCATGATCGCTCATTCGGTTCTCGGGCGGACAGCTTTCGGCCTGTCGAACGAGCAAAACGAAGAACCGGTTTTGGTGATGCCGTGGGTGACAAGGTCATCTCTTTCGATCCGACAAAGAAATCAAAACGCGCAGACAGCGCTAATGGTGGGATTACCAGGACATCGAGAGGTCAAGATCGGAGAAGCGCATCAGGCAATACGTTCAGGAGGATGTGATCTCGATGAATGCTCCAAGAGGAATGCCAAATGGACGGTGGCTTTCACGTGGCGGGCTTTAAGATCAGGCCCAAGTTTTCATTGCTTCGATGATTTTGCCCGACTGTGTCACAGCACCGAAGATTCCCCCTTCCATTTTGACAGAATCCAATGCAAATTGATGCAGCTTTGGTGTGGCTGCAGCTGTGGCGTCTTCTAGTACGACACAGTCAAAACCGCGGTCATTCGCCTCCCGCATGGTAGTGGAAACGCAGACATCTGTCGTTACGCCTGTCAGGACCAAGTTCCTGATGCCACGAAGCCGCAGGATATGCTCAAAATCCGTATGAGCAAATGCACCCCTCCCAGGTTTATCGATGATGATCTCCTCGGGTAACGGGGTCAACTCGGGTACCACATCGTGACCAATTTCTCCCCGAATCAAGAATCTGCCCAAGGGTCCTTTGTCGCCGATTCCCAGATGTCGAGGGTTGTTGCGAGACCGGAATCGTTCTCGACTTGATAAGGTAGAGAGGTCTGGCCTGTGACCTGCAGGAGTTTCAGCAGAGCATGCCACCGTCTCAATTACCTAGATGCGAACCTTCTCGAGTGAAGAAGACCGGAAACGAGCCTTTTCGCGCGGTAGAGAGAAGGGCGTGAATGGCCGGGATGATGGCACGGGCGTCTGCTACGTCGTAGCCTTGGCAGTCGAAATATCCGCCCACTTCGCAGACTGCAGTGAAGAAAGGTCAGCGCGGCACTTCTAGCAGCCTACTGGGCAGTCATCCTACAGTCCCGCTGCATGTCGATGATGACCAAGGCGGTTGTTTCGGGAGACAGAGAATGATCATGCGGGTAGTGGTAAGGGTCTGCCGGGACCTGGTCCCAGCGAGAGACCTCTTGAACCATTGAATGCGAGGAGGTAGCGAGTGAATATGGGAGTTATCAATATGACGAGTCTAGCAGTTCCACGAAGCACTGAGATGTAACAATAACACTGAGGATAGAGTCCAGTGCCGAAAAAAGAGAAGCACAATCTTGAGACATTATTGGGCGTTGGGATTTTTAATGCCAAGACTTGTTTGGATAGTCACGTGTTCTACAGCCTCGCCCTGACCCAATCCACAGGGCACTCCCAGGGACTCCGTCCTAGTCTGCACGAAGTGTGATATCTTCGAGATAATCTTTCGCCTCGTGACCAATTTCTGAACAGCAACTCGACCGGCGACTCCGCTTCACAGACCCAAATGCCAGGGACCTGCTCGCCCGCCAACCAAGCACCCCGGTCCAGGTGGACAAGTCAATGCCAGCCATAAACGAATGTCGACCTAGAAGCAGAGGGTGAGCCCAGGGCGAATAGAGCGGGGAACAGCTGGGGGCGATGATAGCCATGTCATTTTGTGAGATTCTACTACTGCAGGTCCTTTATACCTACAGCACTCGTTACGAGCAGATAGAACACGTAGAATGCACGGAAGACACACCTTGGAAATCAATCGGAGAATTATGCGCACGAGGAGGCAGATAGGCTTTGCTTGGCAGCCGGGCGTTGCCTGTGCAGGGCCCCGTTGGTGCCGTCAGCGCAGTCACTGGCAGTCAGCGTCCACTGTTCCCCCCAACCCCCCGGCTAGTGACGCCTAGCGCATGGCGACCCGTTGTTTGTCGTTAGACGTGCCTGCGTTTATTTGCCTGCCCCTTCTACCAACTTTTGATACAACAAAGGGCGCTTTCTCTGCCTTCTCGCTGGGACCGTCACCCAGGCGCAGGCTCACCCTGCGGATACTAACCATAACAGCAGCAGCAACAACATCGCCTCTTGGATATCCACGACCACCAGATTACTCGACAACAACCCGACCGACCCCGACCTCACCGCCTTCGAACCCGCGTCGCATCAATCGGAAATCAGAAACAGGCCACCACCAAACCTCAGACGACTCACCACGACAGCGGAATCGCCCAGCCCCCAGTCACGACTGTACCACTAAATCAACGACGTCAAGCGACCACGTCAAGACGACCGAACCACCAACAATACCAAGATGGCGCATTCAGACACCGTCCCTTCTTCACCCCCTGGACCCAGCTCCTCACTTGAAGAGTCACTGAAATACTACAAAGCACAATACGAACTGCTCGAGGCCGAACTCGCAGATTTTCAAGCCTCTAGTAAAGACCTAGAAGCGGAACTTGAGCGGGACATCGACGCATCAGAGAAACGCGAGCGCCAACTGAAAGAAAGAGCGGCCAATCTCCAATATGAGGTCGAGGAATGGAAGACCAAATACAAGCAATCCAAGACCGAAGCGTCCAACGTCCAAAATACGCTGCAAAAGGAGATCAGGGAACTCCGGGAGACAAACCGAGAACTAAATCTGCGCCTTCGCGACACCGAAGTCGCCAATGACGACTACGAGCGCAAACAACGGAACACTGAGTCTTCTCTTGAAGACATGGAACAGAAATACAATCAGACTATCGAACGGAGCGTAATGTTGGAGGAAGAGCTGCGTTCGGGAGAGCAGGAGAGAGAAGCCCTGCGGATTGAAGCGCAAAGACTGCGCGACGAACTCTCTGACCTTAAGATCGAGACCGACATCACCAAAGAGAAGCTGCAGAAGGCTGTGGATCAACTTGCCCGGCGAGAAAAGCACCTGTCATTGCAACCCATTGCCGTATCCGCCTCTCCTCGTTCAGACCTGTCTCCCACTACAACGAATGCATCGTCACCGACCTTCGACACACCTCCAACAAAGGCCGGCTCTTCGTCAGGCCTGTCAGACACACCAACTCCTCCATCCCCTCCAATCTCGGAGAAGTCAAGTCAAGTTTCCAAACCTTTTGTCACGCCAGGAATCCCAAGAACGCGACAGTCTCTAACTGCCAATGGCCCGACATCTCGCCCATCCACTTCAGGATCTACCGCGGCGAGGCCGGTCGGTCACGCTCGCGGTCCTTCGATCCCAGCGTTGGCACGAACGGCACCTTCATCATCATTCCGCCAGAGCCTGTCGAGGCCTGGAAACGCTCCGCAACGGCCGTCAGGGCTGCCCCAGTCGGCGTCCATCATCCATCTCAGAAATCTCCGCGGCAAAATTGCGACATTGGAAGAAAGGGTTCAGACTGCCCGGTCAAAACTTCCAGCTCCTGTACGCACTCCACCCCGATCTTCACCACGAAGTGGTTCAGCACTGGGCAATCACATCCCTGCATCTGTCACTGTCCGCAGTCGGAAAAGGACAGGGGGCAGTACAATTAGCGGTAACGACTCTTTGATGGAGAAGGTGCAAGAGACGCCGTCTGTACCAAGAACGAAAGCAAGTCGATCATCATTGAATCAGCAACCCCCATCCCCTACCAGAACCGATTTTTCGATACCCAGACCCAAGACTAGTCGACCGTCGCTAAACCAGCAACCACCTTCCCCAACTAGGGGTGAAATGGCCGCCCCGCCACTTCGCCCAGCTTCACGAACAAGCGGGATCACATCGGCACGATCGTCTTTTGCACCATCACACAGCCGTCCAGGAAGCCGAGCTAGTGTCTCTGGCTTCCCTCGGGCGCCACTGGGTAGCGGCGTAGGGGGCAATTTCACACCAAACGCATCCACAGACCGAGTCCGGCCTAAGAGCAGCCTGAGTAATTATGGAAGCGGCTATGATGGCACTATGGACGAAGAGAGCGAAAACAGTCTCAACCAGTATGAGAACGATTCTGGAATCACTCCAGTCCCCAGAAGAGCGACCTTTGCTCGGGGACGCAGCAGTGATGTGGGCTCTGGAATCCCAAGTCCGACCAAACGGGCCAGCATTGGTGGGACTTCGAAATTGCCCAAGCGACAAAGCATGGGTTTGAACGGGAATATAGCGGGAACGGGCCTGAATAACGTACAGGAAGGGTACGACGTCAACGAGACTTTTTGAGCATGATTTGGTCTATGCTGGATCGACGGGTTCTTGGAATATGTCCCGACTCCTGCCGACCTGCAGGTATTGTGATGATGATGAATTTTGGACAGTATTGGCATTGCAAGCAGAGACAGTTTTAAGTTGTGGTTTTGATGAGCACCCCAGCGAGCGATGCATCCGATACGATGGACTTTGGGCGAGCAAGTGCAATCCTACCAGAGTTGATTATGATACCCTCGTTCGTTGCAATGACATTGACTTGGAAAGCTGGCATCGGTGCTCTCCAATATCGTTATGGAAGCACACCCTCATCATAATGCTCAGCCTCGTCCTCATAATCGTCCCTAGAGAGAATACCCCGTCTTCTTGACCGCCCTGGTATATGCCTCTCGTTGCTTGATGCCGTGCAACCACCTCCGCACATTTGGCCAATCCGCGCCTTCAGTGCCCAGGCTCCTCGCGAAGATGAAGTCGATGCTGAAGCCCATCAAGATGTCCGCTGCTGAGACGCCGTCGTGGGCCACGCCGCGCCTGCCTTTGCCGTCGCGTTCTCCGGCGCACTCGTCATCGCCTCCGCTTGCTGCAGCTTCGCCCTCGCCCTCGCCTTCGCGGCTCACCAGGTATCGTCTCCCATCTGCCAGCTCGGATTCGAGCCAGTTCAGGGCGTTGTGCACGTTGGGGGCCAGTCCCTTTTCCATCTCCGGGAGGTATTTAGACGCAGGCTTCGGGAGGCGCCAGCGTGCGTAGAGGATCTAGTTTGGGGATTGTTGTCAATGATCGATCGCATCTGGTATGAAAGGGAGAAGTTGACGCGGAGGGGGGAGGGAACGGGGATATGTGACAAGACTTGACTGGTGCTGATGCTGCTGATGAAGAAGAGGTGACGGAGGGGGGCAGAATGATGAGCGCAACAACACGTACCGCGAGAGCGTGGATCATGAATGTCCCCTCGGCGGCAGCCATCCATTCCCTCACTTTTGCCCGGGCGCGGCGCTCCTTGGGGAGGAGGCGGCCCTGAGGATCGTATGTTTCGCAGAGGTATCTGGGCCCCCAATTCCTCAGTCAGTCAGTGGTCTTGTGGGCTTGACATCGCATCCCTTCAGTCTTCATATCCTCTCCCTGCGCCCTCGCCGCTGATGGAAAGTCATTTGCCAGGCACCACAATGACCACGAGACGCAGCCACGCCTGACTCTTGGCCACCCGACCTTGACGGAGTAAGAGAGCGGCAGCTAAGGAGGGAGGAAATAGCAGGGAATCGTTGTCCAAACTCACTCCGCAATCGCCGCGCTCTCCTGGACCACCAAATCCCCGTCCGTGACCACGGGGCTCTTCCCCATCCTCGTGGGGATCTGGGCCTTGAATTCCTCCGGCGCGAGCCCGTTGGATGCCCGAGGCGACGACACCAGTTGGTACGGCAGGTTGAGCTCCTCCAGGAGCCAGGCGATGCGGATGGCGCGCGAGGCCCCGAGGAAGAAGAGCGTGATATCGGGGTTCTGAGCCTGGCGCGACATGATGGCGTGATTGTATAGAGAGAGGGAGCGCGAAATGTAAAGGAAAGGAATGACAATAGAGAGGCAGCGGACAGAGTTTGTGAGATATACTGCGATGTATCTGTCACTCTTGATACTTTCTTGACTTTGTCTTTTCCTCCTCTTCGCACTCGGGCCCCTTCGACACGTCGATGGAGCAGCTCAGTCAATTCAAATATCCAGCTTCGCCAGAGCAACTTACAGGGAGAATGTGGTTCGTATAGCGTTTTGGAACCCTGCCCAGGGGAGGGGCAAGGAACACATTGACCTCCGCCCATGTGCCCTCGGAACAATGGGTTTTTCAGAGTTTCAGAGTTTTGCCAATTGTCTCTGGTCCTTTTTCCCACATGACGTTTGTTTTACGCAATGAGAACCGACAGTTCCACGGATACATACCCTGTTCGATCTTTGGGCTTGGTGATACGCCCTTTCGCTTCGATAGAGAGAAGCGTCTCGGCACCCGGACGCCGCCATTTCTGAGGTTCATCGATGTTTTGATCTAGGAGACGGTGGGCACCAAAAACGTCATTTACGCCATTGTCCATATACAATATGACACCAAGCCCAGCTGAAAGCACAAACCTCGACGCGATCTCCAGACCGACAAGGTCTCCCACGCCAGAAAAGAAGGTCGACTGACGTCTTTCCCACGGCGTGACCATCATTTGACGTCTTCCGAGAGCGACAATCCGACAAGAGAAGCGAAAGCGTCTCCATGGGAAAATCTCTGGTTCACCTAAACAACTATTCAGATCCAGATGGGACTCTATGGCAAATGCCGCGATCAATCTCTTTGCTAGGCCTTTCCCGCAAGCCCGCTTGCGGTTCTGTGCACAGAGAGACAAGCGGACTGGTCTGGCTGCAGAAAGACTCACTCTCTCAGGCGCTATCCAACCTGACAGGTTTCGCCGACATCTCATTCACTCCGCTGCCGTTGGCTTCAGGTACTCACTACCAGGTCCACCTAGAAGTACCGATGAAATAACCGAGGAGAGTGCTCTTGACCGGGCCCAAGCAGACGACCACGGGCATCTATCAGCAGCCAGCAAGCCTTCTGCAGTGTCGCATCCGGAAGGGCCCCATTTCCAGAAAGAGATTGATACGATATGCCCTTCTTGTCTGGAGCTTGGCCGAGCTGGACGCTCAGGATGCCATCGACACCGTTTAGCCCGCCGCAGGATCCGTCAAAGCTGTGTCTTGAACGGCCCACGCAAGACCAGCATGTCTCGGGCTGGTCTATATCACGAGTAATCCGTGTCGCAGTGTCGTCGATTCCTGTCTGGCGGCTATAGCGGACTTCCTCACCGGAAAGATGCCCATATTGCCGGAGCCGGAACCGGACCCAATACGACTCCAGCTGAGAAGGGAAATCCCTTCTATGTGCCTAACGCCAGCAGCCTTTTTCGTTAGGATTTCGGACCCATGATCGCTCTGGATGAGAAGAACGGAGTTGGATTGACGCGGATGAGCCGCCCTCTTCCAACAAACCTCGCATTTTCCGCGTCTCACTCGATTCTTCAGGCAGACCGGTCTGCCTCGAGAGAGACACGCGAGCGACACCGCCTTGCATCGAGACAGCGCAGAAAGTCTGCTTTTCGATTACAGAGACATCTTTCCCGCAATTTTTTTTTTCCACGCAGCACCCGATTCGCCCGCGCAAGCCCTACACATCGGTTTCGGTTCCATACGAGAACTAAAAGATGACCGTTTTGCGCAGAGCGGAGCCGGGACATCCATGTCAGATCTGGTCCTCCACTCGCGCGGGCGACGGCGGCTCCTCAATCAGCGAAAGTAGGGAAATATGTCTATCCGAGATCGATCCCCCCCCCCCCCCCCCAAAGTCGTGGCGAAAAGTTGTCGACTCCCCCCGTCTTGGAAAGCATTTTCTTGGGTGATTGTGTCCCGGATTGCGAAAAATACCTTTCCGAGTCAACATCCTTTCGTCGGATCGTCTCACGTCCGTTCTATCGTCTTACCGGGAAACGTGCACGAGTGTTCAACAAGCGAAAATCCTCCACTCAAAAGGTAAAGCGAGGAGGGTCAATGCCACGGAACTCAGCGTATGCCCTCATTGGCTTTGCGTCCAGAGGCGCAGTTCTACGGTTGTTGGAGCATGTTTCTGTTCACTTACAACACAGCACGGCACACAGAAGGCGCACAGAGAGAGCTTTGAGATCTCGTTGTTGATTTGCGACGAGTAAGGTACTTTCTGCTTGGTGACTATCAGTCTCCCCGAAACTTGAGGTGTAAATCGTGGAAGTGACTCTTCTAGCGGTGGTGTTGATCTCCAGCTCCTCTTTCAGCTGCAACACTCGACATCTCCGCAGAATACCATGTCCTCAGTCCACCCACAGCTCTCTTTCTTCCTCAGTCATAGTACCTCGCCTTGACACCCTTGATGATGCTCTCCTCCTCCCTACCCACACGACTGACGTTCTTCGCGACCCGGGCCTTCACCCACTCCCCGGCGGTCAAGCCCACGGTGGCCGGGTCCAGGGCCTTGTCGTACCCGAGCCTCTCGAGCACGGGGCTGCCCTGGATGGGAACCAGCTCGGTGTCGTCCTCGGGCCGCACAAAGTACAGGACGCCGTGGCGGTCGACGTCGGCCTGGTCCGGCGGCGGCGCCACGACGCGGTGGATGCTGGACTTCAGGAACCCGTTGGTCAGGAACTGCAGCACGTCGGCGATGTTGACCGTGATGCTCTCCGGGTACGGCTTCACGTATTTCCACTCGCCCTCGGGCGTGCGCACCTGCAGGGCCGCCACGGGTTGTCTTTGTGGTTGCACACCAGTGTTAGTGGGTTGGGTTTGCGGGAAATAGACCCTGCTGTCCATCTCTCTACTCTGGGGAGGAATCGGTCTTTGCTCCAGACGCCCTGGACTTACCTGAAAAGGAGGGTTAAGCTTCCAAAGTCGGTATGTCCTTTTACCCACACGTTATCCAACTGTTGGTTGACCTCCGGCGACCGGCGGCTGTTCAAGAAGAAAAGCAAAAACCCCTCGGTCAGTTATGATGCCACCATTTTCACGACAACGTGGAAGGGGGTAGGAAAAACGCACTGGTATTTCATGTATCGGAAATGGCAGTCGCTCTTCTTCTCCTCGTAGCGATGGATCTTCAAAAAGTAGTCCTCGGGCAACTCCAGCACCAGCGCGAAGAGCACGAGCAGCTTCCGCACAATCTGGAAGTGGATGTGCTTGGCAAAGTACTGGATCTCGTCCCAGTGTTCCTGGACGATGGCCGGGTGCGCCCGCTCGTAGTCGGGGGTGAACTTGGGGATGTTGTAAATTTCCGTGTTGTCCTTGACGCCGTTCTTGATCTCGCGGATCCCGAGCGGCTTGTACCCGTTGTACCCGCCGTTCTCGAGGTCGGCGCGGTACTTGAGCTTCTCCTCCGTAGGCAGGTTGAAGACCTGCTTGCACAGGCTGAATTGGCGGTCGACCTCTTCCTGCGTAAGGCCAAAGTTGATGATGTAGAAGAAACCTGTCCAGCCATTTTTGGTCGGCGACGGTGAGCCACTTCAGGTTCTTGCTTCTTCTCTGACGAGCTTTCCTTCCACGTCGTTGATCGTTTCTCGCTGCTCGGGGTAACATGCGACTCACCTATTCTATTCACGGCATCGAAAAGCTGGGTTGCCAACTCTTGTTTGCCCCCAGGTTGATCAAACTTGCTAAGGTCTAGGGTTACCAAGTCGGCCCAGTCCACTATAATGAAACCTTCGTCAGTGAACCATTCGACACGAGGTCCAAGCCAAGTCTGAAGGAACTTTGTGAGGAGCATACATTCATGTGTGGTTTCGGGAACCTGGTTCCATTTCGGTAAAGACAGAAATGCTGGGCGTGTGATTGTCTCGGTTGCCATTTTGATGACGAGCCTGCCTGCCTCTTTGTTGCCTATGTCGAGGTGCGAAAATGTCCCAGGGAGCCCCTTCAATCAAGCATTCCCAAGCTGCAAGATAAAACAAAACGGCAAGAATGATGCCATCCAGGCCAAATATTGCTCAATGCGGGGTCGGGGGATACTCCGTTCTGATATTGGCCTATAGCGGCTGATGGTTGGAGACGTCCTCTCCAATTGCTTACATATGGTATATGAGATATGTGTGAGCGCATCTTTCAGAGAGGGCCAATAGCCTCGGCAACGAGCGCGTGAGACAGAGAGATTGCTGAGCGTTCTCTACAGCCCTCAGTCCAGCACCAGGCGACTCGACAAGAAGGCATAGAAACACGCTGCTTTGGGCATACATGATATTGGACAGATGGTGTTGATGAGTTGCATACTGTACCATAGGACAATCACGAATTCGCTGATTGTCAAACGGTGCATACTTATACAGCGCAGATCCTGCGGCATTGAGGAGTCTCGAGAAACAGTAACACCGACTCTTCCATCTTTTTCCGGAGACTGGAATAAGAACTTGACACAGAGCTCAACGGGAGCAACGTCTTGTTAACTTCCCGGTCGCGAAGGTGGTTGCGGTGGCATGTTCCAGGACTGCAGCCTCTCCTGGATATCACAACTCCCTAGTATCTGGATCACCACGCGATGAGCCTGCTCAAGAGCCATGGGCAGGTAATTCACCCGGAATCGAAGGATATGCTTGAGCGCGACCGACTAGATCTTTGCTCGTAAATGATGGCAGGCAGAGTCCTGCGGATGGAGATACGAATCGGCCTTATGCAACTCACCTCTACATTTTGGTTACCAATGCTCTTTCTTTTCACAGGCGGTATTCGCCCTCCTGCCGCGGTTTGCCAAAGAAGCAACTCGCAGGCGAAGAAGAGCCCCGAAGGACATCGACTTCACCAGCGCTCAGTTTCTAAACCACTGTTTCTCTTCGTGGTCTCCGAGCCTTCACAGGAGGAGAAAGCCTCTGTTTGTCCAGCTGATCATCTGCTTTTCTCCGTGGGAATCGAATACGAACGGGAGGTTTAGCCAGGATCAATGGACGGACAGGACTTGTGGGAATGTATGCTCCTTCTGTTGCTGTCTCCAGTCCCTTGTCGGTGCAAGCATCGGAGTATAGCACCGTTCCTCCGACGACCGAATTGGCAGCAAGATTGCAGTTGAGCGGCGCCATTGTAGCCTCAGTTCGTATTCTCCTTCCTGAGCGGTAGTCAGTGACCGATGTCCTCACCTGGCCGTGGAAATAGTGAGTGAAGATCTTTCGCTCGGACATGTTTTCGTGAGAACGAGCGGTGGAACAGGAAGGATTGGCAAGTTTCTTTTCCCGATGGCGTCTAGAAGATTTTGCAAAATTTTCCATTGTCCACGCTGATGCTCCGAGACATTAATTTCATGGATCTCTATGGCAGGGACGTGGTTCATGCAAGGCGTCGGGCTCCGGGGAATAGATCCTGGGGGGCGATCACCCAAGGCCCTCCGCATGGAGATTGCTCTTCCCAAGTTTGAAGGGGAGCCATGTCGAGATCATGATGGCCTCGGGTCACCGACAATCCCCGTGACGAAGAAAAAGCGAAAAGGAGTAAAGTCAAAAGTCGGCTGGGACGGGGAGTGACCGTAGATCACTTGTAGGATTGTTATGGCCTTTGGTTAACACTTGGAGCATCCAGATGTGACACGTGGTCCGAATGACCGGTTCCTGGCTGTATACAAGGTACTGCAGCCGTGAGGCACGAACGGGGACTGTGGAGAGGGTCTCGACGCAAGCAATCAGCAATAGGTGCTGATCACGCAGGCACGAGTAAGCCCGATGGCAATATTGGTAAATGGTGCTGTACCTGGTCTAGGTGGTCTTGCGAACGAGTGCCGAGCTCGTTCACCCTTTGTCTGTACGACCACAAGATTGGAAAGCCCGTCACGAGGGTCGAATAGCTGTGATGGCTGCGTTGTCGGGCATGCGTCCCCAATGCAATGGAAGGCCTTGATGTGACTTAGCCGGTACTCCAGCTGAAGCATGATTAAGCTTTTCTTGCGTGGTTTTCTAGTTTCCTGCGGGGATAGCACACCGTCAGCTAGACGAAGGCTCTGTAGCTGCAATGGGACGGATGCTCTTACTCTTTTGGGAGGACAAATGACCAGGCAGGATGACGATGATCCCAATTTCATTCCTGGGGACTAGTACACCGGATCCTTTGGGTAGACGGGTAGAGTTGATACTCGGATAAGCGTATTCCTAGCACAAGAGAGTGGGACAGGGTACGAGTAACTTTGCTCGTATAGCCACAGCATGAGGCTGGACTCAGGGTCGCAACCCGAATACTGGCGGAATCGGGTGAGGTAATAACGAGGCCGGGCGCAGTGGTTAATAATAGGTGTTATAAATAGGGTATGTGGGGTCCTCTCTGGCTGGCCGTCCAATAGCAGAGCGGCAAATGGCCAAGCTTCTGAGCTTGCACAGGTCAAGCCTTTTTGGCGTGGAGACTCTTGGCCCCAGCTGTGATTGGCCGAATCCCACCTCGCCTGTTTGTTGCTCAGCCGAGCAGCGCAGCCGCAGCGTCTTTCGCTGGCAGCTCCCTATTTTGAGCGCAACCCTTTGTCATCTTCACCACCCATGGCCTTCAGATCTAGGTTCATCAGCACTAAACTTATCTCGTCTATTGCAATCACCGCCATAGCCCGATCTGTGCAAGCGCTGACCGTCCGCACCATGCAGCAAAATCTCCCGAGTCGGTTACACGTCCCCATGGCGCATCCTCCGGATTTGGCCTTCAGCATTGCTGAGTCCCTGGATCGCACCGTAGTGCATGTCTGTGAGCTAGCTGCGAACGCCCCCCGCTGACAGGACAGGTAGGTCCTTGCCATTTCCACACGGTTTCGCTGTCCGCAACAAGATTGAGGATGTGCTGGAACTCCCGTATGACGTGGGAAAAGGAAAATTGCCTGGCGACAAGATCAATCCTCCTTTCCTTCTCGCCCTGCTCCTTGTGGTATAACCTGGCTGCGTGTAACAGCACGATTCCAAATGGAGACCATGTGGGCGGTGAGCACCAACGGCTGGGGAAGAAGCGAAGTCGAGCAACCAAGCACCAAATCACCGCATCGCCGCCCGGGTCAGCAACAGCGCAATCTCCAGACTTAGCTCCTAGCTCAAGCTTTGCCTTGACGGTTGCTTGACTTGGCCCCCCCAGAATGGCGAATGCTAGCTTGCCACACGATATACTGCTACCCGCATCCTTTCTTACGCACGTCGTCTATATATTCAGCTGTGGTTCTCGCTTGAAGTTAGGTCTCACTCATACAACAAACACTTCATTCTTTACTTCACTACATTAACAGCTCAGCTTCCTTCTTTTTCAACACATTCTCTCGCTCATTCCAACACTAGCAACTTTGACCATAATCTTTTACCTTTCCTTTCGTTGAACGCACGCTCACTAGCACACCATCACATCATTATTCATAATGTATTCCAAGCTTGCACCAGTCCTCGGCTCCTTGGCCATTGCCTCGCTCGTTGCAGCGGTCCCTGTTGACATGGAGAAGCGCGATCTCCGATTTGGCGACCGCACGAAGCATCTCGAAAACTACCAGGGTGGCCAGCCTTCTGCCTCGTACAGTGGCCCTGCCAATGGCTACTATACCCCATCAGCGACCTGGGGCAGTGGCTCTTACTCCACCGGTGCCCCTCCGGCGTCGACTGCCTCTGGCTCCAACGACGGCAGCAGCAACCCGTTCAGCTTCCCGCTGTCCAACGGCTTCCCCAACATCCAGAACCCGTCGCCTCAGCTCTCGGCCATTGAGGCACAAGCCCACGGTCTCCTGCCCAACGGCCCCCCGCCGCCAACTCCTCCGGCCGCTGATGATCTCACATCGCTGAGACTCATTGCCTTCAACGAGCTGTTCGAGGTGGCCTTCTTCACCGAGCTCCTCTTCAACGTGACCCACAACGTCCCAGGCTACCAGTTCCAGGACCAAGCCCAGCGACAGACCATCATTGACGCCATCACTGCCGTCCAAGCCCAAGAGGAGCTGCATGAGCTGAACGCCAACGGCGCCCTCGCCCACTTCAACGCCGGTCCCATCCAACCCTGCAAATACAACGTCCCCGTGTCTGACTTCAAGAGCGCCATCAACTTGGCCAAGACCTTCACTGATGTTGTCTTGGGTACCCTCGGTGACGTCCAAACCCATTTCGGCCAGAACGGCGACAATGGCCTCATCCGCGGTGTCGCTGCTGTCATTGGTCAAGAGGGTGAGCAGAACGGCTTCTACCGCAGCTTGCTTGGTCTCATCCCCAGCGGCGCTCCTTTCCTGACTGCCTCTACCCGCGAGTTCGCCTTCTCTGCCCTGAACCAAGACTTTGTTGTTCCCGGCTCGTGCCCCAACATCAACACCATTGACCTCCCCATCTTCGGTGCCCTGAACGTCTTGACCCAGAACATCCAACCCCAGGACCAGCAAATCCAATTCTCCTTCAGTGCCACTGGCTCCTACTCCCAGTATGCCAGCAACTACCAGGGACTGAGCTTGGTGTACATCAACCAGCAGAACGTCCCTGTTGTTGAGCCCATCACCCAAGCCTCGGTCAACGGCAACACCGTCACCTTCTCTGCCAACTTCCCCTTCACTGAGAACGAGATGTTCGGATTGACCATTGCTGCCGTTGTCGAGGGATCTGGCCCATTCGCCACCGTCGCTGATGTCGCCAAGGCTACCAAATTCGGCCCTGGTCTGATTGAGGTCAACTAAGTGCAAGCACATGTCCTCAACTGGGAGAACCTACTGTGATGGAATCATGAAAAAAGAATTGGTATGACGCATCTTTCAGGGGGAAAATTGTAATCTGGGCATTTTCGTTTTTCTGGCTACTAGTTCCAACGTCTCCTGTGACGTTCAAACTTGGTGTTTTCTGCTGTCTGGCAAAGGCTGGCGTTTCTGGCATACAATGGCGATCCTCAGTTTCGCAGGATCTGGAGAAGATAGTTCAAATCTGACGCTGTTCTCCCCTATATCTTCTGTGATTTTTTTCTTCTTGTCCTCTCGGCTCGTGTGTAGACAAAGATCGGGTTTGCGAGTCGATACGGGGATTCGATCCTTCGCCAGTCCAATCAATACTTTCGAGGCGTTGCCCGTGTGTCAGGGCGGTAGTACAGCTTGTTACAGCCTCATACCTCTGGCGCTCTTGTGCACCTCCACATTTTTTGGACCCTGATTCTCTGAAGCCAGCGGAGGCCCTGTCGGCAGCCTAAAGAGTGGAACTGTCCAGCGTTTGGTCGTCTGCATCATTGTCCGCCTAAGAACAGCTAGATATTGGCCCCCCTCGACGGACCGGGTATGATAGGCAGTAGTAGGGTATTATCTCCCCCCCAAGGGCCCCATTCTGAGAGCCCTTGCAGTCAGCCCCTTAGCACCCTTTTATTTCAGGCAGATGTAATTAAAAACACCTCGGACCCCAAAGGGGCGGGGATGTGCCATCGCTGGGCAAACGGCCTCCACCCACCACCTCGGTGATATGCGGGGGGGGATTGAGAGTCGATCCCTGCGAGCGAGAAAGCGGGGTATGGAGGTTCTAGCAGGGGTCGGGGGTGTGGAGGGAAGATATATCTTGGTTCGAATGGGTTCGTGAGAGGATCTTCGACCTGGGATCGGGGTGAAGAAGGTCTCTGTTGATCAGGTAGGCAGAGTCAGCCATTTCATCATCCTTTTCCGTTTCTCCCACCACGCACCCTCACGCGGACAACAAAGAGGGAGAGAGATTGGACTACCGCTCACCCAAGCTCGAGTCAAAATGTCGAATCAGACGGTGTATTTCGTCACGGGGACAACACAGGCAAGTCAAAAAAACCCATCCCCCGTTGGGGCGAGCTGTGCTGCAACCCTGGCATGTTCGCTGATGTGGTATTTTTGGGGCGAGATGTAGGGGATCGGCTATGAGTTCGTGCGCCAGCTGAGGGAGCGGCCGGGGGCCATCGTCTTCGCGACGTCGCGCGACCCGAGCCGGGCGACGAAGCTGCAGGCCCTGACGGACAAGGGCAACGTGCACATCGTGCAGATCACCAAGCAGCCCGAGGCGGTGGACGAGGCGCTCGCGGCGGCCGAGGTGGTCAAGAAGGTGGCGGGCAAGGTGGACGTGGTGGTGGCCAACGCGGGCATCATCGGGCACGAGACCAGCATCGCCGACGCCCCCATGTCCATGTACCAGGACTTCCTGGACGTCAACCTGCTCAACAACATCGCCGTCTTCAAGGCCCTGCGCCCGCTGATGCTCGAGGCCGCCCGGCAGGGCGGCACGCCCAAGTTCGTCGCCATCAGCACCCAGTACGGCTCGCTGGCCATGGTCGAGGACCTGCCGGGCCAGTCGTCGGCGTACGCCATCTCCAAGGCCGCGCTGAACATGTTCATCCGCCACCTCGCGTACGAGGAGAAGAAGAACGGCATCGTCGCCTTCCCCATGCACCCGGGCGTCGTCGCCACCGAGACCGTCGCGCCGCTCGCCGCCCGGATTGGGCTCGGCACCATCGAGCCCGAAGAGAGCATTCGCGGCATGATGAAGATCATCGACCGGGCCACGGTCGACGACGAGGTGCGCTTGTGGCGGTACGACGACACCCACCTTCCATGGTGATGCCTTGTCGAGGCTCGAGTGTTTGGTCCGCGGCCACCACAACCACCGCGGTCAAAACAGAGATGGGGGGACACACAACAGAATGTTTGGCGCTTTCTTGCCTACTTGATTTCACCGATATCCACATATTTCGATACGCCTTTAAGGGCTATGGTTCGCCTAGGCACGGACACAGAGAGCTACGTGAGGGGGTTTGCTAGCTTCTAAACCACCGCCTCTGAAAGGGATAGCACATATCGATACCTGATGCCCTGCCTGGATTGACTGCATTGTATCCCGGCATATAGGTTCTTGCCTAGGCAGGAGTCCTCGGCCACACATGACTTATATAGTAAAAGCATGGCACTTCACTCATCTGTGAAATCTCGAATATACCAGGGACGACGCCGCCTCTTCCTCCCAAAGATGCAAGTGAAAGAAAGATGAGTGCCTCCTGCATAGCTCCTCACAACCAGTCTCGTGCTGGGGTGTCTCAATTCAGTGGCCGTCTCTAAGACTCTTCAGTTTGGATGCGTAGAGGGTATAAAGCAGTTAAAATTCAAGATGCTGGTTACTCGTGTCTAAAATACACAAAGCCCGTCGCAAGTCGCAGCCCTGAAACCATATCGCGCTTTTTCAAATCAAAGACGAGATCCAAGAACGCCTGCTCTGCCATCTCACGCCGCCTTCGTTCAGAGCTCGTTCACCTTCCTCCTCTTTCCCGGTCCTGTCTCTCCATCAGATTGATCCTCCGATCCTGAGGTACAGGGCGAACCCTCCGACTTCTCGCCGACCCCATGCTTCAGCCTCAGATGCCTCTTCACCGCGTCCGGCCGGACGGCGCTGTACCGACACAAATGACACTTGACCTTGTCCTCGTCCGTCGCGAGGCCATGCACCGCCTGGACGTGTTGAATGCAGCGTCGCTTCTCGGCGAAAGGGCGGCTGCATTGCGGACATTTAAATGGCTTCGTGTGCTTATACTCATGCCGTCTAAGTTCACATGGGCGTGCGAATGATTCTGCACAGCCCTCGAACTGGCAGCGATGTTTATGTATGGGTAAAGGTGCAAGGCTGGCCGGCGGTGACGGGTCAAGAGGTGGGAATAGAGCGGCATCCGTGAAGGGTGGCTGGATAAAACTTTCGTCCGACGTGAACAGGATGGGGTCGCTGAAGCTGTCGCATCCGAGGCCATCGAGGAGGCTGCCATACTCAAAGTTATCCAGGTAGCTGAGATTGTTCAGGATGTCGTAATCCAACCCCGAGCCCTCCATGTCGGAATATTGATCGGGTGACGAATCGAAGGACAGAGAAGGTGTTGATTGTGTGGTATGCGTAGTCGGGCTTTGGGCCTCAAGGGCCCGCTGTAAATAATGTGCTTGCTGGGCTTGATAGTGGTGTGGAGTTAAGGTGCTCTCCAAGGGCTGACACGTCGCTCCTTGGAGACAGAAACTGTAAGGTGGTTCCCAAGTTTCGGTGTGAGTGTGACCTTGGGGTTGAGGAGGGTTCATGTAGAAGGGATTCTGGGATGCCATGGTTCCGCGTTGCGACTGCGTGCTCGATGGCGCACCATGAAGTGCAATCGGAGAAACCTCATTCTCAGATTGCGTTTCTCTCTGTCTTTTCGATGAGGGAGAGCGCTTCTGCGAAGACTCGGACAATCGACCCTTGAATACAAGGTCTTGTTGGACAGGAGATGTTTGGGTTTCGAAGGATCTCTATCCCAGCATTCGCAGGAATGTTTCGGATCTTTGGCCATTGCGAAGTTCAATCCAAGCGTTCCCCCCGCCTGTTCTTGGGCTAGACATGCGATGTACCTACCCCAAGTGAATGCAACCAATGGGTGTTTATCGGGTGTTGGAGATTCAAAGTCACTGTTGTGGTTGTCAGTGGAATATGCCCGCGAGCAATCCACAGTACTGACCGCTGTCTTGCATCAACTGACCCGCTGAGGCGGTGACGTTGGGGGTTCGTCTCTTGGTAGCTCGGACCAAAGAGTTCAGCAGAAAATAAGCTGTTGCCAGATTCTCGGGATTCTGTCCGATTTGCTGAAGGAGCGGTTAGTGATCCTGTGTTCGCTTGCTTCGAGCTTTGATCATACGCAGTATGGCAGGTGAAATGCAAAGTGGAATACGCAGAATGCGAGTTGTGAAGATCTCCTCGGCCGCAGCGGAGATCCTTGCCATATCCAAGGCTCTCAGCAGCTTATGATCCCCCACCCCATCTTGAAGAGCCATCTTCCGCCACTCCCTGGCGACGGGGATCTTTGCTGTACGGCCAAGTGCTTCCATTTGGATTGAGAGGCGACCGTCGGACGAAGGTGGCATTGGGGTTGCTTAGTGGGAGCTAAAAGTCAGAATTGCCAGGGGTTGGGGCTGAAGCCCGTAGGATCTGAGCACGAGAATGCGTTGGTTTCACGGACGAGAATGCGTGATAGGATTTCTGGGGTGTGGAACGAGATCAGCTAGAACAATGTGTTGAAGAGTCAAGCAAGAAAGACACAAAGATTGTTAGGGAGGAAGAGGAAGAGCGAGAAGTCCAGGCGACAAGGCTCGAGGGGATGAGCGGCTTTTGACTCAGAAACAATGCGCGGGGTGAGGTGTGGCCTACAGCTTTAGGCTCTGCGCTAATGCAGCTAGCCGTGGCGGTGCTCGCCAGAGTATGGCTATGATTGGTAAAAATGTGTCGGCCACACGGCGCTAACGGCACCACCTCACTGCTACTTGCATCATACGAGGCTGAGCTGGTGGAGAGATGCCCACAGCACACCACCTCCACCATTGCGCCTTGAGGCACCCTTACTCCTTCGTGCATTTAATGGCATCCTAGGATTCGACCTCTTGAACAGATCTGCCCACTATTAGTCTCAACAAAGCACCCCGCGATCCAATCGCCTTAAGAAAGTCTATCCTCCTGAGTGCTGGAAACCTCCCAGTCGCGTGCTCAGCCGGGCCACCTTGTCCCTGGCCAATCCTGAAACCTTTCACGGGGTGCAATAAACATCAACCACGATGCACCTTCGAGTTTCTTTGCACGGCTCGACTGCTCTTATCTCAAGTCACTAAAACATCATTACTGTCACTCAACAAGTTGATGTTTGACCACTAACTGTCAGGACCGTTCATCCGAGAGCCCCTGGGACGACGACTCAGCCTTGTCAATACCACCGGTTCGGTGTCAAACATTGCTACCCTCCCTAATATCCCGCCCTGGGGTGGCACACAAGGCACAGGCAGAGGATTGATTTGGCCTCGCTAGCGACGGGCGACACCAACTCATGTCTTTCTCTACACAGTACGCCGTTGAGATTTCGCAGCCTCACGGTCGACCCTCCGACCTCCCAGCCCCTCGAAGTTGTCACCGGTGACGGTTGGTAGACCATGGAAACAGATATCAAACCGCACTTATCACTCTAAGAATACCTCACTGATCTAGGAGCCAGAAAACACTCACTTCAAACGCGCACCAGAGCGCTGCACACGAGTGCGTTTTTCTCTCGGAGGTACCAAATGCCTGTTGCTTCTCTTCTTCCCACCAGACCCGTTCCTTCATCCTCTATATCTCTCGTCTATCTTCCTTTTCAAAAGAGATAAATACCACTACCTTTAACAGACCGTCGACCGTTCGCTCAGTTCCCAGCGCACCGTTGCACACAAAACCTACGGGAGTGTTATCACCCAGATCCCCCTTTTTTTTCCCCCCTTCTTTCGAGGATAATTCCCCCTTTTCAACCCCATCCAGCCTTTGCAGTCTCCAGTCTTTTCTTTCCACGGCCTGTTCCTCCCCAAATGAGACCATATACCAGGCCTTCCGACGACTCGGTCCAATGCCAGACATTGGGTTGCGAGGGCGTGGGCCCGCGCGGGACCAAATGCCCCGTCTGCTTGTGGATGCTCCGATAGACGTGCTCGCACGGCTGGGGCCTCGGGGTCGACGACGACCACGACGATGATGGAGGGAAAAGGAAAATGCTGCCTGGATGCTAATCAATGGGCGTTGTTCTCTTCTCTTCTGGACCTGTTCGGGCTGTCAAGGGAGCCGGACGCCCGGGCCGTCCGGTCTTGCCTGGCCACTCTGGGCCTGATTAAATGGGGCTCGTGAACAGTCGCGCGACAAGGTAACATCTTTTGCGAGAACAGGAACATATCGCTCAAGCTGAGGAGCTCTGAACGGAGTTATCATGGGGAGGGAGGGTGACTGAAGTGTTTTGTGGTATGAAGAGCAGCTCGATCTGGTCTACCGAGTGCTACGACCAGGTTAAATGTAGCTTCATAGAATTATCACCATACCTCGGTCAATGTACAGTTAATCCCGTTTACTCTAGCAGCTATCTACTCTCATCTTATCCTCTATGTCGGCCGCAAGTGGTGGTCATTCACATGAATTCAATCTCTTGATCATCAGCATCGCCTCCACCGCCGCCAACATCCAGATCCACCGCGCGCTCTTTGCCTTTCCCTTTATCCCTGCCGGCAGCATCGTCTCCATTGACCGGCAAGCCCAACGCCTCGATCTCGTCATAGTCGTCTCCCACTTCCTCGATCCTCCCACTCCTGGTACCCGGGCCTCTGTCCGCAGCCACTCCTCTTCTCGCCATGTGTCCTGGAGCGCCATCCCGTCGGACAACCCTCGCCCTCCCGTCACTTCCCAGACGCACCTCCAGCCCCAGCCGCTCGGTCGTCTCCCGGACAATCTCTGCGTCCTTTTCACCGGGCGGAGGGACAATCTCTCTGGCCTCGAGGGAAGAAACAAGCGCTTGGTTTTCGGGATTGTTCTCCAGGAGGAACTTGAGACACATCACGGCGTGTTCTTTAATGTAGGGGTTGCATGCTACATGTTCCGGAAACTGTCAGTGAAAAATAGAATTGGGAAACAGGTAGCGGCAAGGGCGGAGGCAGGACGATAACGCGCAGATTCCTCGGAACAAGGACATATATTTGCAGAGCGGAGAACGGGCCTCATCACGTACCGTCGTAGGTTGTACAACTCAGGATCGTCTCAACTCCCCCATACTCCCGGATCTGATTTTGCACTGTCGGCGACTTCCACACCAAACTCGACAGCACCAGCACGATCAGTTTCTTGAGGTTACGCCATTCGAAATCTGCCGGTTCCTCGGTCACAGTTGTGGCTGCGGGAGGGGCTTGCGCAGGGGGTGACGGTGAAGGTAGGTCATTCGGCGGTTGTGGGAGCGATTCAGCGATTGCTGGTGTGCCATTCGGTTGCGCAGATGCTTCCTCCGTGACGCCAGTATCGTACGGTCTTTCGACGGCAACGTGCGCAGGAAGTGTTGATGCTTGCTCCGGAAGTTCGACCCCGGCTGTGCTTGGTGGTTCACTTCCATTCGTCACCTTTACATTCCCATTCCCATTCGCACCTGTCGCTGGAGGAGGCATCGATTGCGTTAATCCGACTTTCGCAATACTTTGATCCAGCTCCTTTATCAATGTCACCAAATCATACACAATCTCCCACTGTACCAACAACTTCTTCCAGTCATTGTTCTCCGTGAGTACTGCAAAGAATTCCAGAAACTGGTACACGCCTTCGTACACACGTTCCATGTCCCACAAGTTCAGGGGGAAGTCCTCTGCAAGTGCGAGGCCAGCGCGAATTTGGCCTTGGAGGTAGATAAGGGCGCAGGTTTCAGGGATGATGTTGCCTCGGAAGACAATGAAAATATAACGGACGGTGAGGACATCCACACGGCTGAGCGGGGAGGGACTTGGGCGAGGTTTCTGCTGCGGTGCTGCAGGTGGTTGTTCGCCCGTCGCATTCTGTTGCTGCTGCGCCGCTGAAGGAGGACTATATTTCGCGCGGAAGATGTGTGTTAGAATCTTGATGACAACAGCTTGCGCCGGGGAGATGATGTCTTTGGGTTGCCCAAAGTCCGCATACGCGTGGGGCATCAACCCGTTCTTCAGGATGGCTTCCATGATCTGCACCATCATTTTGAAGTAGAATTCATCATCCGGCAAATCCCACGCAGCGATGAATATCAACAACTCCCGCAGTACGTTACGTCCTGCTTCTTGAGCAAGCAAGATGTGACAGCGAACCGCTTGCATATTTTTAAGACCCTGCTGATGAGCAGTAGTACCGTTCTTCGAGCCGAAATTGTCCACAATGCCTGCCTGGATGATCATAGGTAATGCTTCGATTTCCGTCGGCCCAAGGACGAGGGGAACATCGGTAAGGAGGCCGCGTTCTTGATCCCCTGAACCACGGTAATCGTCGTCTTCCATACTGTCTCCAACGCTGATGAGATCGTCTTCGTCATCCTCGAGTTCATATTCCTCCGGATCGACATCGTCGTCATATTCCGGTCCGTCGTAATCGGTCATGGGAGGAGGCCGCGGATGCAACCGAGCCATGAGTTCGTCCTTTGCCTCTTTCAACGTGGCAGCCGCAGACTGGGCGGTTCGGGGCATGCTGAGATCTTCTGCTGTCAAATCCTGGGCGGACTCATTCAGGTCGCCATACGAACCGGGCTCGGGTAGATCGCTCCAGTGCGAATCTCGTGCTTTGCCACTAGGTTTGTAGCCATTGACCTGGGTCAGAGCCATGATCTTCTCGGCAACCTGCTTGACTTGCGAAGAATGGGTCTCGGTGGCAGCAACGTCTTCCTTGGTCTGTAACCAAGCACGCAGTTCCGCTCCTACTTTCAACAGCACATCCGGGCTATCATCCAGTTGATTCGCGTTCATACCGGACAGGGTTTCCATGTCAGATCTGATCTTGTCCATAAGCACCTTGGCCGCCTTTTGAGTCTGCTCGTCCGGCTCCTTGTTGGTGCTCATCAGGTCAAACAGAGCATGGACATCGTCAATATTGTACCCCGGGTCATCTCCTTCCATCGCAAGTCGACCCACTCTTCGCGGTAGTTTCTCGACGGTTGACCTAATCCTGTCTTGCTTGGCAGCGTGGTCTTTGCCTTCATCTTCGACCGTCTGCTGGTCTGGTTGACTGCTTTGGTCGTCAAACTCATTTGCCTGGGACTGACCGAACAGATCCAGCCACAGAACCAATTTTCGCTGCTCATTGTGCATGATAAAATTGTGCAAGAACTGCAGACAGGTGATCAACAGCCTCTTGTACAGATTCACCACCTTTTGCCATCTCTCCTCATTCCGAGGGTTCGCCTCACCGTCGAAACCCCGAGCTGTGACCTTAACACAGACATCGATGAGCCTCAGGATCTGTTGGTCGAATCCTTTCTCGGCCGCGAGATTCTGGGCCTTTTTGGTGGTAGCAAGGAGATTGCGCGCGATGGTACAGAGATCATTCAAGCGTTCGATGTCCTTGACAAGGCTGAGGTAATGAGCTGCAATGAGTTCGGAGCTGCTGCCGCCAAAGCCTAGATGCGGAGGGTGCTTGTAGGTGAAGGACTGTTGTTCCAGGGCCGGGAGGGCGTATTTCAGGACTGTTGTCAGGCCCTCCCATATTCGAGGGTTGAACCCCAGCGCAGATCGGACATCGCTCTCTTGATGCGACTTGTAGAGAATTTGTTTACCAGCGATCAACAGGTGCTCCAATCTCTTCTCATCGATCAACCCTGGGCTTTCGTAGTGAGTTTGAGTGCCGGTGAGGACTAGCTGCAAGAGTAACGAGGCGCTCATGCTGATAGCTGGCAGTCATAGTCGTCGTAACCTCAGTATATCGCGCAGTCAATTTTTTGTGTGATTTCTTGACGGGGGACCTGGTTGCCAAACTCCGCAGTCCGCAGTTTTCGGTGAAGCAGATGGTCGGACAGGGATGTTGCGGTCGCCATAGTTGCCTGTTGGCCGGCAATTAAGAAGTGCCGAGGGAAACATGTCTCTATACGATTTTTTTTCGCTCGACATTTCTATTACGAAGTCTTCGTGATTAGCTACCTATCAACGCCTCAAGGATGCTAAATTTGTGCTGTATATGACATCTGCTAGAGTGCGCCATTGTTCCAGGGGTATATGCCACAGATTGTTGACCTGCCATAAATCACATCTTTGACCTGACCCTTGAGATCGAGCGATAGACGGACCTGCCAGCCTGGAACCGTGTGCCGTTGGCTGCTTCTGTACCCCCCCCCCTCTCAACACTGGATGTCTTCTTTCATTCACTCTCTTTGTTCCTCCGACCCTACCACCGTCGGCGTCGTTATCCAACATGGCTTTGAGTTTGCGGATTCTTTCCGACCGTCGCTTCGGAGCGAACGAATCAGGCGGTGATCAATTTCAGGTAGTCGGCAACGATCAGGGTGATCATCCTAATCATCGTCAGCCTGCGACTCTTTCTGGGGATGTTTAGACTTACGCATGTGGTGCAATTCTGACATAGTAGGTGCCGAATCCGCGGTAGAATCTCAACCAACCTTCATCACGGATGACCTTCCTGGCACAGTCAAAGAAGCCGTTATACGGCAGTTTCCCGTCAGGACCCCTCTGCTGCTTCTGCAACCGCGTCTTGACGAAATCAAACGGCAAGCTGAAAAACGAGGCAAAGAACCCAGCAATGGCGGAAGCTCCAAAGCGGTTCGAGGACTCTGAGATGTCGGGGAAGTAATGCTTGAGCTGAGCCTTGGATTCGGCGAAGAACGTGAGTTGACCAAAGTTGAGTGCCATGGCACGGATGACGGTGGGGTATGCTCCGGCCCAGAGAGCCGTGATGCCTTCGGCTTTGGCAATGCGAGTTAAAGCGTCAAATACTGATCTATAGTTTGCGCGGGCTTCTTTGGGTTTCAGGCCATCAGATTGCATTCGAATGAGTGCCAAGTCGGCGGGGTTGCCGACCATGGCAGCCAGACCACCGGCTGCAAGGCCTGCGGCGCCTCGCTCCGCGAATGTGACCTTTGTGCCATTCTGCTCAGCCCTTGCCTGCAGCATGTTCTGGAAGGTGTCGAAGAAGCCTAGTCTTGCGGTGGTATAGACTGCTTGTCTCAACAGACCCGCTGAGAGACCATTGTAAAGGTCGAGCACCTTCCCTTGAGCAATGATGTCTCTTGTTATTCCCAGAGCGGTGGGCCTGGGGCCTGTCTTCACACCCTCGCCCGCCAGCTGTAGGCGCACTTTGACCATGTCTATGGGCTGGATGCACCCCGTTGCAAACATGCCTGCCAGACCGCCATTGACAAAGGGGAGGGCGGCGCGCACAACGGGAAGGTGGAGGAAGTCATTTTTGGCCTGGACAGGGTTGTTCACGGCCTCGCTCGCGGCTTCTTCGACCTTTGTGGCGGCTGATCGAGCGCCTTCCTTGATCCGATTGGCAGTGCCACTAGACATTGTGCTAGGAGGAGAGAGGAGAGATGGGGTGAGGTGAGGTTGATGTTGGCCCAGACAGAGACACAGCCAGGAAAGGTCGTATCTAAGCTGGCGCAATGCTCCGTTAGCAATTTCCCCACTTGCGTGCACCGCATTCCTAGGTTTGGGGGGTGCGTTTCGAGAAACAGCTCCAGCGACCAGGTCTGTCTGACTGCCAGGGGTGTCTGGACAGGGAAAGGGGACCACTTACAAAGCAGGCACAAACTCCAGCAACTCTTGTGGGAGTCGACGACTTGTCTCGTGCGGTGAGAAGGCGGTCTATTTGCCTATACACGGAGCGGGGAAGGACGACTTGTTTGGTGCGGAGGGCTTTGGAGCTGTCAGACACACCACACGCAATTGGGGACTCGACAGCAGGCGACAACTCGTTTTATGCCGGTGACCGACAGTATGTACAGGAAAGGATGGCAGCCCACAGGAGAGGAGAGGGTATATGGAGGAACGTGGGCGTGTGCTGGGATAAGAATGAAGATCAAGGATGGGCTCCAGCTAGGAGAGAAGGAAGAAGTCGGTCGGAAGAGAGGTTGCCAACTCGGTCCAGACGAGAGTAGCTGAGTTTCGAGGGCAGCCGTGGCGGTTGGCCGTGTGTCTGTGCGTGTGAGTGTGTGTCTGTCGAGCGGATGCCCAGGTGTCTGACCCTGTCCAACTGCTCCTACTAGCAACAAAAATGACGGTGGTGACCGGGGGGCTTGCACAATGGGGGGAGGGGCGCACAGGGAGGGTGGCAGAGAACGATGGCATTATTCAAGGCACGAGGATTGGCTGATGGGCCGGGTTGATGGGCTTTGCAATACTCCGGACTCGGTATCGATCAGATGGAAGAGGCGCCAGATGCGGGGAAGGAAATTTGGTGAGCCAACAAGCATCACGCACCGCCTGCAGCACCACCTCATGCCTAAGACGCCCTTCCTTGGGGGCCCGGGGGTCCTGGGTGGCTGCTCGTGGCCTTGTTTGTTGAACGGCGCCTGGATGAGCCACCCCTTGTGCCGCCCGGCCCTCACTCTCTACGTACAAGTAGGGGGTAAGCATTGCTCTGCCATCTCACCACTTTTCCCTTTCCCCAATACCCTTACAAGTTACTCGGTAATTAGTAGCTATCCCTCGCCCTCTCCCCTCATCACATGCCATAGACTTTGGTCTCCTTCGACTTGCTTTCCCCCCTCCCCCTCCCCAATCCTAAATTGACCCTCTCATCAAAAAACAGCTCGGATATTGCTTTTGCTCACTGCGAGATCGCCAAGTGGCGAGCGCACCCAACAAAGACTCTCTTCCCCCATCGGAAATGGGCATCGGCCCCCGGAATGCCTCTGGTTGGCCGCGGGAAGAGTCGGACGATTCCTTGCCCTCAATGGCCCACTGTCCCAAGGGGTCCATCGAGGCTGATCTGAATTGCACGTGTAACGAGGCTGACCGAAGCATTGCCTAAGGACGAGGTGGACTTGGTGATAAGCTTGCGGAATCCATCAGCCTTGTCTCTCGATGATGGTTGATGTCATGGTCGTTTGCTCCCCACTTGTTCAACACCTCGGCCACCCTTGGCCGCCCGTACCGCCCAAGTCACGGCCCTCGCCCTGCTAGAAGTCGCTTAGCGGGCCCCTCCAATGCAAATCTGGGGAAGGCTAATAGTTAAGCCTACCCACTGTAGCCTCCTGCAGCACCGCTACGGGCACTCTTTTCGCCAGCTCCAGGTACCAACTTCAGAATCACCGTAGGAGAAACTTTTCCCTATTGTCCAACAACGCCCGTCAGAACCTCAGCCTTGTCTCACTATACGACCATGCTCTAGGATGATACCTCGGGGGGTGGACAATTGCAACTTCCGCCCCTAACGCTGGGCCAGTCCAGTTCCCGGAATTTTCCGAGCTGCTTCCGGCCGGCCACCCCATAGTAACAGCGAGTGAGATCCGGCCTTGCTCCCGAAGCTGTGGCTCGATCCCTCGCTCAATGCCTTCAATATCACTGGTTTCTAGCCGGCTACCATTCCGGGTAGGACAACTTTCGGATCCTATCCTGGACGGAGCAGAGTGAATGCGCCATTTATCTCTCTACGCGGAGGTCAGTAGACGCCGATGGTGACAATAGCGTCGGCAAGGCCCACGGGAGATTGGGTCAAGCCTTGGGTTTGTCCTTGCGCCTCAGGAGTGCTTTGACGTTGAAGGGCTTCTTGATCTCCTTGATCCTCCGTAGTAGATCTTTCATTCTCTTCTCACGCTGCTCTGGTGTCGTGGATTCACTGCCATTTTCACTCAATACCGCCTCGGAGGCTGCAGTTGACGGCGGTCCGGTCGATGCTCTTTTCTGCCTGTTGTCCTTTGCCATGGCTTGGTACACTAGGACCCAGCCTGGCACTCGCTCTTTCTTCGGCGTAATCTCCTCCCCAGTAGTGGTCCTGCTGTGCCCCGTTTGAAGTTCGGTGTCTTGAGCCTCGGCCGACCTCCACGGACAATATTCCAGATGGTTGTCTATGGCGTCCAATTTCTCAATCGCAGGTGATTCGCCGCGATACAACCAGAGACCCAGTGAGCGGAAACAGTGACGGCACTCGATGACATCGTCGCATTTCCTCTCCCAGCCACAGACGGCCAGTCTAAGCGTGTCGATGTGTGGTCGTTCTTGTCCACCGAGTCGGAATTGTTCCACCTCTTGAGGACTCACAAAAGAGCCCAAGGGCAGAGGCTCGACTTGGGGTATTTGGTCTAAATGGCTTGCAAGACTATCATAGCGAGCCTTCAGTCCAGACAGGGCCAAGCTGGTGTTCAAGAGACCTTCGATTCGCTGAATTGATGCATCACAACCTCGCTTTCGCCAGAGACAGCTTTCTGCATGCGCAGTGACAATCATGTCCTGGTATCGTTTGACAATGCCGTCGTAGATCTCGGATGAAATGGCGAAGCTGTCTTCCTCGTCCCCAGCTGCATCCTCATCTGCACCTTCGTCGCCATGCTTCTCCGAGGACTTGAGCAACGCCTTGTCGAGATCCAGATCAACATACAACCTCTCCTTGCAGACACCACATGCCACTGTATCTGTATCGACACAAGTCCAGCCTCTTTTTGCCCACACTGCAGCGTTGATGGGATCGGTGGATGGGACATGCCATTGGGTCACATGGCGAAATGTCTCCAATCGCTGAAGAAAGGCAGCTCGGCTCGACGGGAGATAGTGGCCGCTCAGGGTGGCCGGCGTGGAGGTATGTGATGCGGTAGTTTTCGAGGTGGGGGTTATGCGACGACGCTTGGAGGAGTCAGAGGCAGCATAGAGAGAAAGCGAGGTGGTGGAGGCGTTGACCGAAGAGCGCGACGGTGAGGACGGCGCCGAAGGGGGGTTAGAAGCGGCACCGTCGGTTAGGGCCTCGAGGATGCGATCGAACTTGCGCTTCTTGGTCTCAATTGCATACGACATTATCGGTAGAGCCGCCCAGCAGGGTAGACGGACGTAGTTTAATATGATTTGGAACGAAGTTGTTGGAGTTCTGTGTCTTGTGCCCTGCGCCTTGCGCATTCCCACATTCAGAATGAATAAACATCCACCAACCACATGCGGTTAGTCACTTTGATGGGAGAGGAACGGCGAGGAACGTCAACTCGCTGCGCACTTCGGCTGCCGCTTGACAATGATCCATGTGTCCTCCTTTGCAGATAGAGTCGCAGGATATGGAGTAGCTAGACACTGGGAGTTCGTGTGATGGTGATGGTAATTGCCGCTGAGAGAAATGCAGATCTGGTCGCTGCCAGGTAGGAAGGAAAATGGTGCTGACCAATGCCAGAACGCGCTACGCAGTATCAACTGCCTCACCTGCTGTCACAGGCCCTTTCAATTGACCTGCACTGCGCGGATCTCCCAGTCGCGAAGTTCGAAATCCTGAGTGAAGAGTCCAAAGTGATGCATAATGGCTCCCGCACTCTGCAGGCACAACTTTTCACTTGCAGGCAGTCCGGCTCCTGTGACAGACAGCTTGCCAAAGTCATCTGTCGCGCACCCAAAGTGCTGTCCCTCTCCCACAACTGAGTCACTCCTTTCCATCTCTCGTTCCATGCTCCGTGATTCTTTCCCTTGAAGACGTTCGTTTTTAGGGCCTCGAATTGTTGTCGAAACTGCTGTTGTGATCTTTGAAGCTTTGTCCAGACCGAGTCATTCGTCATGAGCTCTCCCCAATCAGACCTGACCTGGATGTCCAGCAGCGAACTGGATGAACTCGAGGCAGCTATCGATGTTGAGGAACAGTTCCCTGTCTGGTAGGACTCCTACCATCAAATACACACCAGGACAACAGAACAATTCTGACAATGGCAGGCAAAACAGCTGGACACCCATCAATTTATCACCCCAATCCGCCACAGCCGCTCTTGCCTTTCTTCCATCATCTCCAGCGGATGTCGATGATGATGAAGCACCATCCCTATCTGCAAGCCATTTTCGCGAGGCAGTCCTCAGCTCAGCCCTGCGCATCAAGCAAGGCCGGAGGGGAAGGAAGCGAAAGGCCCCCTCAACCTCACCTTCATCTGCGCGCAAAAAGCGAGGCGTCAATGCCAGTTCTAAAAACGACCAAAACAGTGCAATGCTACCGGACGGAAACAGATTGCCTCCAGCAAGGACTACTCGAGCTGTTGAGAAGGCGAATTCTCGTCGAGCCGAGAGCGACGACAGTCTCCTCCCGATCCGTCTAAACAAGCTCAACATTGCTGCATCAGGACATAAGCGGACGTCTTCGGAGGCGTTCTTTGCGGATATAGAGGACTTACGAGCCAAGAAGACGCTAGTTATGAGAGGAGTGGGAAACGGGACCGCTTCTGTTGCCACTCTCCTGACGGAGCAACAGCAAGAAGCGCGAATGGAGCCTCTACGACCCCGGAAGAAATATCACTTTTCCGGTGCAGATGCTTCCAACAAGGATGACCGTGAAGACCACTTCAACCACGATTACACTGATGTTGAGAACTTTCTTGAAACTGGAAACGCACTGGCGGCGAAGGCGATATATCCAACCCCGAGCCCAGGCCGACCGGAAACCTCCACGACTCTCAAGCTTGCATCGTCACATACTTACGCCAGTGCGACAGTGACACACAAGCCGCCAATGAAGCCTTTCATTGGAACCTTCCTTTCTGCGGCCTCGCTGAAGGCCACGTTGCCCTCTGGACCACTCGCGACGTTCTCTGCCTTGCACCCCCTTCCAATCTGTTTCCGCATTGGGGAGGCTCTCCGCTATGTCTCCTCCACCTTCTCCTCGTCACGACCGACCACTCCAGCCCGCGCCGGGACGAGCTTCAGGACCAGCAATAGCACGTCATTGAGTCTTGAGATCTACGCGGTTATGCACAGTATCCACGACAATGTAGCCAGCCGAACGGTTACGCTTGCGGATTTATTTTGCCCGGATCGACCGCCCTATCTCACGGGCACCATTGCGACTCAAACAACCTCCGGCGCCACGATACCTGCCTCCTTCCCGATATTTCCAAAGGGAGCTCTGGTGCGTGTCGCCACACAGATCTCTCCGAGACTCGCCTCGAGCATCTCAGCCGCCCAGGGCACCAGCGCGCCTATTACGTGGTCGTCGAGTTCGGGGGTGAACACTTCGGCCTCGGCAGCACAGAAATACGACATCAACGTGCTGAGAATCGATCGTTCGGACTGGGGCGAGATCCAGCGCGTGAAGACCATTCTCGACGGAACTTCTGGGGCTTTGGCACCGGCTCAGAGTATTCCTCCGGTTTCGACGGCCGGGCCGGTCCACCAGGCAGAAGTTGCTGGAAGGACGGTGCTTTGATTTTCCACACGTGGGGTGGAGAAGATGCAGCGAGACATTTTGTGCGAGTACCTCAGCCGGGACATTACATCCCGCAGTGGAGAGTGGATTTGAGTGTGAAAGAAACGTCAACCTAGACCAGGGAGGGATGCATGTGCTGATCTTACAAAGGAGAACTGGAAAATGCCGTGGAAGGAATATGCGGCCGAGATGTCTAGGACAACCCAAAAAGGTGCTACCTTGACTTGACCTTGAGCTTCAAAGCTAGACAGGCTGGAGACAGGGGGCCACGAAGGAGCTTGTAAGAGGAGTATTTGATTAATTGGGTGCAAGCGAATATCCATATGCTCGGTATCACACCATACCATCCATGCCCGACCACAACCAACACCAGGATTGTGCCCTGGCTAGGGGTTGAATAAAGACCATGACGATGCTCAGTCACGAATAGCAGCAAAGACCCCCCAATAATGATAAAAACCCACACGGGGACTCCATTCCAATTCCCATTTCCAGTCCCTGATCAACCCCCCTTAGCGATACCCATCCTTGTCACACAGTAAATTTAAACGTCTTCTCAGAAATCCTCCCCTGATCAAATCTTCCTCTTCAGGTATCCCTCTGGCTTTTTGCCGTTCTGAAATTGCAAAAGCCGAAGCAACCCGTCATAACAATACAACGCCCAGTCCCAGAGGTCGGCTCTCCGTTGCGGCTCCTGGAACTGTTCGTCTGACATGATACCCTTGTTCTGCAACTCCCACCGGTGATAGATGATCTCGCGCAGGAAGAGCAAGGTTTTGAGCTCCTTGGGGTTGATTTTCCTCACCCTTGCCCTACGCCCGAAACTCCGCGGAGATCCGAAGAGATGCCAGAGCTCGCGCGGCGGGAGGCCAGCGGAGGGGGGGACTGGGGATGCAAGCAGGCTGGTCCGGTTTTCCCAAGGCTGCCGGATCTTCTTGGTGACGACGAGCCAATCGCGCATTCTCCTCCTGGGGTCAAAATCACTTCTGACCTCCTCGACATCGATGCCGTCTAGTGCCGCGGCCGCAGCAGCAACGTGTTGAATCAGACGGTCCGGTCCTTCCAGTCGGGCTCCAGTGCCATAGACACCTTCTTGATCGTCACGATAGCGCCAGTCCCATTCCTCAACTACGAGGATTTTTCTGCAAAGAATCTGATCGTCGAGGGGATTTGTACCTATCAGAATCCGGGTCATTTGGCTCTCTCGATGATTCATGGTCGTTCTGTCTGCCGAAGTGTGGATGGCTTCGTTCGGCTTGAGGTCGTTGGAGATGAGTGGGCCTTCGATCCACAAGGTCGTTGCCGGGCCTTGTAGATCGGTCTCGAGGATATCGAGGAAGCGCGGCAGTAATGGCTCGGGCTCGGGTAGTTCGATCTCGATTTCTCTGGACCATTGCTGCGTGTCGGTGTTGGCTTGTCCTTTCCCCTTGTCCTTTGCTTTCGCCTTTCCTTTCGCTTTTCTTGACGGACCTTCTGGCGCTGCTCCCGCTCGTGATGTTGAAGGAATCTCCTAGCCCTTCACTCCCAACGACCCGATGAGACCCTCTCTCCACCGGCCAATGTCCTTTGCCTTCTTGTTCCAAAGTTTCTCAGCCTTCTCCATCTCTTTGCGCGCTGCATCGAGCGCCTTTTGTGATTCTTGGACGCGTTTTTGCAGAGCATCAGCGTCAAGAAGACGCACGTTAACGTTTTCTGTCGTTGTTGCGTTTGCTGCATTTGTTGCTGACGCTGCGGGGGATTGTTTGCTGGCGTTTTGGGGAGCCGTGCTTGGACCAGCAGTGGCACGATTGTCCTGTTGCACAGGATCTTCCTGGCCGATCGGTGGACCTCTCGAAGGCAAGCGCAGAGCATTCGTCCTAGAATGCGGACCCAACCCAGGCAGAGAATTAATCCGCCCGCCAGACCCAACTCTAGGAGCATGATGAGGATCCCGAGGGGGGAGGTCCCAGCCACCTGGCATGTTTACTGAGTCGTCGGCTTCAAAGCTTTCCCCTCCCTCGACATCCAGGCTATCCCCTTCGCCGTATTCCTCCTCTTCCCCTTCTTCGTCGCTATCGCCGATCTCACCATCAATCTCGCCGTCTTCGTCGTCGAATGGCTCAAACTCGTCGTCATCAACCATTTCGCCATCCTCCCCCATGATCCAAACAACACCGTGCCGCTCACCATGTCGGGCAAGCCTCTCCATGCCACCGCCGAGGTTGGTGTAGTCATCGGTTTCAAGCACACCCAACCCGGCCATGGTGCCCAAATCCCCAAACTCCTCGAGGTATATTTGGCGTCTTTCCTCGAGTTCGAGGAGCTTTTCACCCTCGTCAGCGCTGAGATGCCTCAGGACCCATCCATTCGGCGTCACCAAACATCTCTTCAGCAGATCATCTTTTCGCTCTCCTGCATCTGCAACACTCACGGCATTGCCATCCTTCAATGCTTGCTTCTCCTTGAGTGGCAGATAGATATACCCAAACGCATCGTTGGCACTGTATCCGTTGCCGTCCAGGTACTCTTGGCCACGTCGGGAGTCTGGCGGTAATTTGTATGTGGCCGAGTTGAAAGAGGGCGGATTGAGCCAGGGGTGTTCCCTAGAAAGGTCCCCCATTTGGATGAGTGAGGAGAAGATTTTGGGCATCGAGGAAATATGCTCGTTGAGCAGTTTTTGCATGGCGGCGTGGGTCGAAAGGCCGTCATTGGCTGCGGCCATCTTCTCTGCTTCATTGTACAGGTCGCGCATCGTGTACGTGCCCTTGGCCTCGTCAACTCTAGCTGCAGACTCCTGCTTTGGTGTTGCTGTTCGAGGAGTGCCTGGTTTTTGAGACTGACTTGCAGACTTTTCGGCCTGCTGCGAAGCGAGAAGAGAGGCCTTGTCTTTCTCCTCTGTCTTCTTTTGGCCCGCCGCATTCCCAATAGTTGCCATGTTCTGTCTCTCGATCGTTTCTTGCGTCTTCGTGCCGATCTCCTGCGACTTTGGTTTCGCCTTCTCGTCACCACTAGCCGGGGTGCCACTCTCCAGTCGTTGCTTCTTCTGTTTCTTTTGCCGAGCAATGACCGGAGCAACTTCTTCCACTACGGGGGTAGTGGCAGCACTTGGAACATTGTCATTGGTATCAGTCGTCTTTTTAGACTTCTCTCGCCGTTCTTTCTTTAGTTGGGCCTTGCTTTTGTTTCGTTCTGGAGCAGAACCAACTATACTGGGTGGAGGAGAGCTGGCACGGGAAGCGTCATGAGAAGGGCGCTCAGACATTGCTGGAGTTGAAGGCCTACTAAGCTGGGCCGAAGAGAGCGAAGGTCGCCTCGAGCCTTTCTTCATAGCCGAAATGGGAGGCACAGCGCTGGATTTCTCGGTCGTGGCAGAAGCAGGGGTCTGCTCCAGCGTTTTTGTCACCATTCCAGTCGTTACGCGCAGAGTTCTGGGTCGGGGCATCGATGTCTTGGATGTTTCCGACGGAGTTGTAGTAACAGGAGTAACCGGCCGGGGGCTCATTGTCGCCGGTGTGCCGACGACGGCGGAGTCCAAAATCGGTGTAGCAGACTTATCCAAACCACTAGCGTTGACAGATGGCAGCGGCGAGTTAGTCGGGGCATCTGAGGCGATTCCCTGAGGTAAATCAATCTTCCCAGGTTTCGCCGCTGGGGCTTTCCCTTTGCCCTTAGTGTCCTCAACCTTTCCAAGAGTCCGGGAGTCATCTTTCTTCCGAGTTTTCTCTTCAACCTTCTCTGCCACATCCAGCTTCTTCTCAATCTCAGACTTTTGACGACTTGACTTCGGTTTGGGCGAGCCCAGACTAATTTCGTTTACTCCGGTGCTGGGCTTCTTGCTCGAGATAGGTGCATCGTCAACCGGCATGACCTTGCTGTCTTCTTTCGGCGGATCGGATCCCTTTGGCTTCGGAGTTGATGTGCGATTTGTCAAGGGTACGATTGGCACTGCTGGTGCGATAGGTACAGAACTGATTGAAGTGCTTCGTTGTCCAACTGCCTGGCCAGGCTGGGTAGGAGACACCGACCTAATGGGAGCGGGGTGTCCATGGCTGAGCTCGAATCCTGGCGGGACTTTGGGTGTAGATGACCGTAGACCCGAGCTGTAATGACTCTGGAAGGACGAGACCCGAGAGTGTAAATGTGGAGGCTGTGAATCCGGGCGAGCTGGCAGAGGCGGAAAGTTCTTCTCATCCACTGCACCGACAGCGTTAGCGAAGCATTCAAACAACATATAAATAACATGGAGGACACAGCCAGAACCATCAGACAGCGCGGCGGCGGGTACATGAAACGGGCTCAAGGGGACAGTCAAAGACAATCAGGCATTTTGCATCTTCAGATCCCTCAGCACAAGCCTTTTTACTGTCTCTAGAGCATTTGACCTAAAAGGAATTGTAAGAAATTGTTTTTCTGATCTGTCTGACCCTTTTGTAACATGGTCAGAGAAGGGTACTAACATACATAACAGAGCCGTGAAAATGGGACGATTGATGCCGCTGAAGAAAAGCCTGATGCCGATAGATTGGTTTTTCGATGCGTCCCACGCTCGCCAGGGACCATGACTGTGACCATGCCGTTACTCCACTAAGCTTTCGCCATTCAGCTACTAACTTATGCATTGCTCGCTGATCCGAATAGGTAGGCCTTGTACCACCAACGCCAAACAGAATCCATCATAAGAAGTGAAAAGAAAAGGAAAGGGGCATAGAGAGATTGAGGTCGGAATGTCGTCGATCACCATCGATTGTACCCGCCGCCGCCGCCGCCGTAGAGGTTCGATTGTTGGTACCCACCTTGATTACCCCCAAACAGCCCCTGCCCTGTCGTATTGCTCTGCTGGACTCTCACTGACGCAATACTCGGGTCTGCAAGATGCTCTACACCACCTCCTGAAGAGGAAGTGTTAGCGTGTCTGTGCTTCTTGCCCTTCTTCCTTTGCTTGACAAGCCCAGGATCTTGGTATGTCTGATATTGAGCGTAGAGCGGGTTGAGGACGCCAGGGGCAGGGGCTGACAATGGGGGTGACCGAAGGGGGTTATTTTGCAAAGAAAGGAGCAACTCACGCTTAGACAGATCATGACCTTGATTTGTTCCACTGCGATTCCTCGAATAAACTTCCGCGTTGATATCTTTGGAAGTTCCAAACCCAGGGTTGGTGAAATTCTGGCCATGGGCGAACATGCCGCCGCCACTAACCGGAGGGGTCCCAGCCGTTGGCAGCCCGGGAGGAGGTCCTTGAACCCCACTGGAGTAGAAGCTCTGCTGCTGTCCTTGAAAGCGACTGGTGGTGGCAGCTTTGGTATCATTGTTGAAGTATCGGGAACCGTGGCGTTGATGACTGCTAATCTGTTCGTACTGGGCTTGGCTGTACTGTGGTCCTCTTCTCTCAAAGTCTGACATCTCGAAGGCGATATTCTGGGAGCTGGGTTGATTGAGACCCGGAGCCTGTGGCAGGTTGCCGGTGTTGAGGAGGGCCAATTGTTGTCGCTGTTGAGGGGTTAGGCTCCGATTATTCAACCCCATAGTCGAAAACTGGTCGCTCAGAGATTGGGCCGGGCGTCCGATTGCTCCACGTGCTGAAGAACCTCTTGGATCATCTTCTGGTTCGCCACCTAGAGCAAGGCTACCAGCAACAATATTGTCTTCATCCAGTGTTTCTTCTGCGGCTGATGTGGCCTGCGCCTCGAGTTTGGCTTTGGTTTCGGCCTCTAGCTTTGCGCGCTCGGCCTCTTCTTTCTCTCGCATGGCGCGGCGTTTGGCACCACCGTAAGGGTCGATAAAACAGGGCATGTCGTCAACCGCGGCGCGAGCTTCTGGACTGAGACACGAGTCGTCGTAGATGAATCGGTAACTCCGTGATACACATCGGAGGACCTCCTCGTATTGTTTTTGTATCGGGTCCATTGGTTTCGGCTTCGGTTTGGAAACTATTTGTTCTGGCTGGAATGTCGTCTTCGGGGGAGCGGCCGAGGTAGATGGCTGACTGACAAGAGGCTCCTTAGCTTTGTGCTCATCCGGCTTCTGAGCGGCGAGCGAAGCGTGAGTGGTTTGGGGACTTGGGGTAGCCCTGCTATTGCTTTGGCTTGCTCGCCTTGTTCGCGCGACGGAAGCATTCGCAGCAGCCCAGCTGGCAGTGGAGGGTAGGGCAGAACCATCGTGCGAGTTCTTCCTGCTGTCATCATTTTCTTTGCTACCTTGCCGAGCCATTGGCTGTGTGTTCGCATTTTGTGCCGCTGACTGTGGTCGAGGTGGAGGGTTCATTTGCGAAGGCTGGGCCGACACGACAGGTCGAGTAGGTAGTTTTGCGCCATGGGGTTCGTTTTGCAATGAGCTGTGTTGACCATCTTCGCCGGTCTCGTGGAGGAAGCTACAGTTTTTGTTGGTGCATGTTTCCCCTCGCAAATAGGCCGAGCAGTACTTGGTAGTGCCAAATTGCGCCCTGAGAACGCGATCGCCGTTGAGAGAACCATCGACAGTGTTGATACAGAGAGCCGCGTCCTCTTTGCGAGCATATGTAACGTAGACACCAATTCCTTGGTTTGCAGCACCTGGTTTGGCTTTGCTAACTACGATCTTCTCGATTTCGCCGTACTGACCAAAATATTCTGGACCGCGCAGAGTCTGGAGCAGTGCTTGTTCATCTTTGATCTGCGGAATGAGGCCGATAACGTAGACAAGATTTTGTTGCTTGACACGCACACCAGCGAGATTGCGACGTGATGAATTTTCGACCTCTCGCTTCTCCGTCTCTTTTCGTTTGGCTGCGGCTTGCTTTTTATTTTTGTTTAGTTGATCGAGTTTGAATTCTTCAGCCGTCGGGATTTTGTACTGAATGGTCTTTTCATCGTAGGGTCTTCGACAGTTCGGGCAGGTACTCTTTTCGTAAGTAGTCTTAAGACTGTTGAAGCAGAACTGGCAAATCTGCGTTGAGCATTAGTATCGACCAGCTGAGATCGTGTGGACACTGAAATGCTAAAGGAGATTCGGGAAGATATAACAGGAACAAAGACATACCTGGTAGCCACAAGGACACGGTCTGAAGTTCTTGTCGGATAGGTCAAACTCTTCGATGCAGAGTGGGCTATTTGTCACGTAATCAGTCTCAAGCCAGCATTGCGACAGATCGACTGTCACTGAACTCACCAAGTCTCCTCGTCATCATCGATGACGGTATCCTGCGACCTACTCATAACGGTACTGGCGATAATATAACTGTGAAGTGTTCCACCTCTTTCGACTCCGGCACCAGTGAATAAAGGTCAAGAATGTCCTCCATGCACTATGGGTTTAATATCGTGTCTGGAATGCAATAGTCATCTGATGGGAGTCTGTGCAGTTGGGGAAACGACTCTTGAGAAGCGATACTGATCGTGACGAATGGCTGGAATGAGGCAAAAGGGAGTATTCAAAGTGAAGCGAAATGAAATACGCATCGAAAGCCACGGAGCGAAGGCGAAGGTTGCGTTGCAAAGACTCGCGACTGCGGCAAAGACCTCGCACTAATCCAGATATCGTCTAGTGGACAAGCTCCAGTCTTGGCACGTCAAAGCTCCGCCATGACCAGTATGGGATGCTCCTGCACCATCTCAATGAGATTCTGTCCGTTCAAGGGCCGCATAGTAACGGTCTGAGACCTGCAAAATGTCGTCGACAAAGACAATATTGCGCTTGGCGAGCAAGAGGCCGCTAGGAGTGGCTTCTCAGGCCAAGGGATGCGCCCAACGCGCGACGCTTTCTCAATCGACAAAGAGTTATGCCGCAGACAAACCTGCCCCAGACTTGAGGACAGCTGGACCCGACCTCCTGTCCGAGTTGCGAAAGGCTCCTCGCCCACGTGAGTACCGGATACAAAAGATCTGGAACAAATGGCTGACAGTCAGAAAGCCATGGGCAAGCTTTCAGCACCCATCGTCAACGATGCCGACAAATACGCAGACAAAGCCCTGCCTCTCCATCAATATGGCCAATACCTCATGTCCTGCTTACCCAAATATATCCAGCAGTTCTCAGTATGGAAAGACGAACTCTGCATCTACATTTGTCCGACCGGTGTTATCCCTGTCTTCACGTTCCTCAAGTACCACACCGCGGCAGAGTATACCATGGTTGCAGATATCACTGCGGTAGACTTCCCTACGAAGAATTATCGGTTTGAAGTGGTATACAACTTGCTCAGTGTGCGACACAACTCAAGAATACGAGTTAAGACATATGCGGATGAAGCGACACCGGTACCCTCAATCACGTCCCTATACGATGGCGCAAACTGGTATGAGAGGGAGGTGTATGACATGTTTGGCGTATTTTTCACAGGCCACCCTGATCTACGTCGAATCATGACGGACTACGGCTTCGATGGCCATCCGCTGCGCAAAGATTTCCCCTTGACTGGGTACACTGAAATCAGATACGATGAAGAGAAGAAGCGAATTGTGGTGGAGCCTCTGGAGATGACGCAGGCGTTTCGAAACTTTGAAGGTGGATCAAGTGCTTGGGAACAGGTTGGTGTTGGCTCGGACAGGAAACCCGCAGAGTTCAAATTGCCCACGCCGAAACCTGAGGAGAAGAAGGAGGAGAAGAAATAGACAATCTGGCATGCTGGCTGAGGTCTGCAAAGGTTCACGAGTTGGTGAAGAGAAGTCGTGGAGCGTCTTGAGACGCCGTTGTACATATGGGAGTCAATACAACAACATGTTCCCCCACAGCACGTCGCCTTGTGGTCTCTCGGGTTAGATGTGTCAAGTTTCCATCGCCACGAGCTGTACGATTCGCCCCGCGGCGCTCGGTTCACTTAAGTCGCGTTATACGATAGTCCGGAAGACATTGGTGTCCGGTCCCTTTGGTGAGTGTGCTCCCGGTTCCGGTTCCTGGGAAATGTCTGAGATGCCGAAACGGGCCATCCGGAAATCTTGAGAGAGAGCTTCTGCGTGCTCACTTGCCCTGCCACTCGTCGGTTCAGGAATTGGCTGACTCGACGAAGGGGATTTTTTTTAGGACAGCTTCCTATACTTCTCTGTATGTTTGGTCAAAACATGGACAACAGACTAACAAGCGGGCCTTCGTCGAGGTCGCAGTTGTCTTCATTTACCCGAACAGCCTGATTCACCTGCCGTATATTCAGGATCTGGGATTCTGGCGCCTATGCAAGGGATCAGATATTCTGCTCTCTATCACGGTGAAATCCCCTGCTCTCCTTCAGCCAATCTGTCTCAGGTTCTCGCGTCTCTATCGTCCTCAAATGACTGCTACCAATCCAATCATCCCGGGGTTTGCGCCGGATCCTTCTATCATTTTGATTGAAGACACGTTCTTTCTCGTCAACTCAAGTTTTCATCTATTTCCGGGTCTACCAATCTACTCTTCCCAGGATCTGATTGCCTGGAGACAAATAGGTTAGTTGCGCAAATGGTTGACCTCTGGGATGGAAGAAACTAACATTATTGAACAAGGGAATGTAATCAATAGGCGATCTCAGCTGAGCCTTTCCAAGTCTCCTACCGGCGTCTTTCCTCTCAATGAAAACGGAGATGTGCTGCTGGGCACTGGGGGTCTCTATGCTCCGACCATAAGATACCGCAATGGGACGATATATGTTGGTAAGACGATGAAAACTTGTCCAACCCTTCAGGGGAAAGAAACCGCAAAGCGACGGGATTCTCGACATTCCAGGGAACCGCTAACGACGTGACAGTCTGCACAAATATCATGGCCCCAACAGATGGCTCTTTGGCACCGGCCTGCGCAAATTTCATCGTCACAACCCAAGACGTCTGGTCGGACAACTGGAGCGATCCCGTGTACTTCGACTTTCGCGGGATCGATCCGAGTATATTCTTCGACGACGACGGACGCAGTTATATTCAAGCTTCAGCTAATCCCGGACCCATGACTAAAATACACCTATTCGAAATTGACCTCCAAACTGGCCAAAAGTTATCTGAGGAGAAAATGGTTTGGGCCGGGACTGGCGGCGTAAATCCAGAAGGCCCGCATCTTTACAAGAAGGACGGGTGGTACTACCTCCTGATTTCTGAAGGTGGCACACACGAGGGTCACATGGTCACCGTTGCGAGGTCCAGAGCTGTTTTTGGGCCTTACGAGGCATTCGAGGGCAATCCCGTTCTTACGGCACGCGGAACTGATGAATACATACAGTTCACAGGGCACTGCGACATGTTCCAAGACCGTGCAGGGAGCTGGTGGGGAGTGTGCCTCGGAGTGCGAAAGGACAGGGCAGGTCGCTTTATCATGGGGAGGGAATCGTTCATCACCTCAGGGAAATGGCCATCGGGAGGTTGGCCCTCCTTGGAGCTGGTCAAGTCCAATCCGGAAGGGCTTGGCCTTCCCGCCAGGACTGCGCTGACTGCCAAACCGATGGTCGATTTCGTCTACATCCGTGACGCAGCCTTGGACGACTACGGAATCTTACATGGCGGCCGAGACATCGCTCTCAAAGCACGGAGCATTGACCTCCAAAGTCCCTCCAAGTCTCCCACATTTATTGGCAAACGCCAACGTCAACTAGAGGGCACCAGCTCGGTCCTCATGACCTGTCCAGCGGCGCAGAAATCGTCAAGCAACGTCAAAGCAGGACTTGCCGTTTACAAAGATGAGCACCGCCATGCGAGGATCTTCTACGACACTCAGGAGACGGCCATCGTATTCGAAGTCCGCAACAATGCCCAGAAGATTCACCGGACCATGAAGCATGTTATCGAGCCGCGTGAAAGTCTTGCCTTCGGACTCAAGTACACCGAGCAACAATACCAATTCTCCTACAGGGTTCCCGAGACGCAGCCTTCAGCAGGCTGGGTCTCTATCGCCACTGTTGACACCTTGGAATTGACAGACCTTGATTTTGTCGGACCTATCATCGGCGTCTTTGCCGTGGCAATGGACGAGCCGCAAACAGTCCATTTCAGTGGCTTAGAGGTGAACTAAGGCCAGCACGATTTTATCGTGCTTCCAGAGTAAGCAAAGCTCTGGTAATCTCCCGGTCACGTCTTGTCAGTATTGGGAGGCCCGGCCCTGGAAAAGAAGCTGACCCAAAGATCCCTGAGCTCATCGAGACGACGATATGCTATCCTACTGGACGGTGATAAACTGGCCGCCATTAATCTGGGCTCTCACGAATCCAGCTTTATCTTTGCCCATCACCAGCAGATCCAAAGGTAATGACCACCTAAATTCCACCATGTCCTTGACAAGGCATCTGGCATAGACGGCCGCAACGACATCTGCTACGGACAGTACCCATGGGTCCTTGACGAGGAACTCTCTGGAATCTTTCGGTCATGGACTGGCTTAAGGCCCGGTCGCCGGTCAAGTTCCCCACCAGGTGGTATTTGACGGGGAGTTTGCACGAACATATACGATCGCTCCGCAAAGAGAGCTAGGAATATAGAACCGAGTTGAAGATGCTTTATTGGAAACTGTATTCAATAGATTCTCTCTAAACAGAGGTGCCTGCCTTGGTTTATATTTGCTGGGACTTTTACTTGCTCTTTATTTTTTTGGCTCTCCTGTCCCTTTTTTGGGTGGTTGTACCACTCCGACGCTGGTTGTCTGCTGCTGAAATTAATACTCTCCACTGATATGCCTCCCGGATTGGTAGATGATTGCGCAAGATGTTGAAACTGGCAGCCTGATTCTATCTGGAGTTTTGAGAGACAACGACCTTTTTTGGTTGAACAGTCCGGACTCCATCCCACCCCCTCGCACCTCCTTCGCACCCCCTTCGCACCCCTTTAAAGAGTGACGCTGCTGACACTCAGAACGCCCTTCGCGCCGACCAGCTCTCTCTTGACACCCTCGCCTACCTCTTTGTCCACGCCCAGGATCATGAGCGCCTCGGTCGTCTCTTTGGGCGCAGGCGGATGGGTATCCGAGCCTTTCGCAGCGCCGGAACCCGAGCCCGCAGAGAAGGTCGCGGGCGCCACGCTCATGAAGTTGATATTGACGCCTTCTCTGCCTAGGATGCTGCCCACGACACCAATCTTCCCCGGAGAATCGTAGTTGTGACAGATCAACAGGGTGCCCTCGGGCACAAAGGACGTGGCGAAGCGATCGAGCCTCGAGATGAAGGGGGAGTTGTCGCTGCAGTAGCCGGAAATGACGTGCTGCTTGCTGACCGGCTGGCTCTGTTGGTCACCCGCGGGGTTGGATGATATAGAGAGCCCTTCGAGGGCGCTGGAATGCCGACTCAAGGACGGAGCTCTGCTGGCGGGCCTGGCGACGAGGGTAACCAAGCTCGAATACGCTTGCGTGGACGGATCTCTGGACTTCTGCTCGTTGACGAATATCCCTCTCTCTTTGGCCACCATCTCCGCATTGACTATGTTGACATTGAACCCCTCTGCGTCCGAGATGGGTAGAGTAAGTCCTTTGATCAGGGCCGCAAAGAGTGGTTTCGTACTCGACATGTTCGCGATCTCGCCCTCGTAGATGAGATCAAACGTATTCATGTTTCTTTGATGGAGGGGCTGCGTGGGGGATGTGAAATGTTGCGTGTACAGAGAGCCCATCTTTTCCACAAGCCGTACGAAAGGTTGGAGAGTCTTGTACTCGGCTGGCAGGATAATAGGCGCATTTACAGCGCTCCTCGGTAGATCTCCTGCGAGGATCTGGAGGACCTGTTCGCAGACGTCGATGGAGACGTTTTCCTGTGCTTCAACCGTCGATGCGCCGAGATGCGGTGTTGCAATGCATTTGGGATGTTGGACTAGCTTTGCTGCAGAGGAGTTGGGGTCCTTATGCGGTGGTTCCGAAGTAAAGACGTCTATTGCCGCGCCGGCTATGTGTCCAGATTCAAGTGCAGCAAGGAGGGCTTCTTCATCGATGATGCCTCCGCGGGCGACGTTGAGGATGCGAGCCCCGCGTTTCATCGAGTTGAGCTCGGATGTCGAAAGCATGCCGCGTGTTGCGGCCAGCATTGGTGTGTGAATGGTCAGGAAGTCGACGACAGGCAAGAGCTCAGACAGAGACTCAACAAGGTGGACGTTGGCCGCGGCAGCCACCGATGGAGAAGCATAGGGATCTGCCGCGACCACATTCATACCCAGGCCACGAGCCATTCGAGCGACAATCAGGCCGACTAACGCAGACACCAATGGTCAGAACCAGCCTCAAACCCACGATGAAGATGGAAGGATCGTTGTATACCTTTCCCGAGTCCCACCACCCCCAACGTCTTCCCCTTGACCTCCACGCCGACGAGTCGACTCCTCTCCCACTTCCCTCCCTTGACACTCGCACAAGCATCAGGGATATTCCTCGCCATACTCATCAACAGGGCAATGGTATGTTCCGCAGCAGCCTGAATATTCCCGCTCGGAGAATTCACCACGACGATGCCCAACCGCGTTGCGGCGGGGACATCGACATTGTCTACACCGACACCTGCTCGAGCAACTACCTTCAATTTTCGAGCTGCCTGCAGAAGATCATTGGTGACCTTAGTCTCGGAGCGCACAAGAAGGGCATCGTATTCCGGGATGATTGAGACAAGTTGCTCGGGCGTTAGACCTTGCTTTTCGTCGACAATGAGGGTTTTCCGAAGCAGAGCGAGTCCATCCGGGGACAATTTCTCCGGACAGAGGACTCGAGCCTGGACTGTCTCACCGTTGGTGGCAGCCATTTCTGCCCCCTGACCCGGTGATCAACTTTTCTGTTCCGAGGGGCGGTGTACTTAGCACTTGCAAATAGTGGCTATTGACAGCGAGGATTTACTGAATTTGAGAATGCAAAGCTTTCACAAACTCCAAAATTGCGGAAGCAAAAGGACGAAGGTGCGTAGAAGATTGGACTGTGAGACCGATGACAGCGACAGATAGATTGGACAGATATTTTCTCGTGCTTTTGACTACCTTTGAAGTCCAAAATGGCCAGTGACCAAATCACGTTTTGCGTTGTGCAAAGACATTTTCAATTTCTCCGTGGGCCGGCCAATGCTCCAAATCCATTCGTTGGCTGGATGTTGTGCGTCACCCATATTAGCCAGACACAAGCAATGAGGTCGAGGAATGTGGAGATGTCAGTGGCCGAAGTCGCAAGGGAAGGAATTGATTCCAACCCCGCGATCTGGGGCAATTTTGTTTGGGGACTCGGGGAGACAAACCATGCAAACAGAGCAAACAGAGCAAACAATTGTGTCGCAGCAATATACAAGCCACAGCCACAGCCCGAACCATGCATTGCTTCCCCCATGACAAGAGTACACACAGCAATCTTGCTCAGTACTCCAGAGCCTCTTCAAACAAGCCTCTCAATTGCTCCCTTTCCTCATTCACTTCCGCGCTCAACTTGGGCGCCAACATGAGGACTCTTCTTTGGGGCAATGTTCCCTCCACCAAATCGTCAATGCTCTCACGCGTGAAACCCAGGGGCTTCAAGCCTCGAGGCTGGTCTCCCAGGCCGACGAGGAACTCAGCCAGTGCTTCGCTCAAAACCTCGCCTGCGCTTTCCTTTTTGACGTTAGAGATATCCTTGCCAAAAACCTCAGCCGCCGCCAGATGTCGCTCCGGATTGCTGGGCCCGGTGAACCTGAACACAGCAGGAGCAGTCACGGCAACACTGACGCCGTGGGGAATGATAGGCGTCTCAACCACGTAGCCAGCATGCTTGTAGCCCGGGTTTTGACCGCTGATCGGGTAACTCATGCCATGGCACAGATGAACGCCAGCGTTCCCGAAGCCGACACCTGCCAAAGTGGCCGCAAGAAGCATTTCGCTTTGAGCTTCGTGATCTTCAGGGTCTTTGACTGCTCGAGGCAAGTATTTGACGGTCGCTCTCAGCGCGTTCAGCGAGAAAATATCCGAAATAGGATTTGCACCCTGATACGCCGGGCGATTGATCGGATTTGTAGGTCTTGGAGATCTCTCGTGGTAAGGAATGGCGGTCCAGGATTCCAGTGAGTGGCACAGCACATCCAAGCCCGAGGAAGCATGAACAGCCGATGGCATCGTGCGTGTATTGAGTGGATCACAAATGCCCAGGGTAGGTTTGAGGTTGCGGTGGGCGATACCGGTCTTTGCCCGCTTCTCAACCAGATCGAAGATAGCAGTTCCCGTCGTCTCTGATCCTGTACCAGCCGTAGTCGGGACAGCCACAAGCGGCTTGAGTGGTTTGGTGATTGGCAATCCCTTCCCGAGGGGAGCATTGACAAAATCCAGGAAGTCCGCATCTGGGAAGCAGGTGTAGAGATTCATCAGCTTCGCCGTGTCAATTACCGACCCTCCTCCCACAGCCAGAAAAGCATCGGGCTGATATGGTTTGGCAAAAGCAATGGCGTCCTTAATCGAGCTGTCCTTGGGCTCGACCCGACACTTGTCGTATACGGTAAATTCGATTCCTTCTTTGGTCAATCCTTCGATGACTTGCTTCATTGCGTTCAGCTTCGACACATTGCCGTCCGTAACAACGCAGACCCGCTTGGCGCCCATGTTCTTGAAATCCATACCCACCTCTTTTGTGCAACCAGGCCCGAAGCGGATCGAGCTGGCGGCCATCTCGAACGCGTAGTCCTTGGATCGCGAGCTGTCAATGGGAGTCGCCAGTCGCCTTCGGGCCTCCCCGAAAGCTGAAGGAGCATGATGAAAGTTGGGATTCGAATGACAAGGGCAGTTGGGAGGATGGCCGAATTGAATTGCTCGCAACAAAGAGGTCGAGCGCTGGGAGGCTGTCCTCGCGACACGGATTGCGGGTGAAAGGACCATGGCTGTGAGTATCGAGACGGGGTTTAGCGCAGCTTTGGAGGGCTTGCAGAACTCGATCCACGCGACCGAACAGCGGCTAGAACAGGAGGGGAGAGATCACAGCGGTCGATATGATTACCCAACCGTATGCTGTAGCTATGCACTCAGCAGAAGGTCGACTTATAGAAGAAAGCGCACATACATGAGCCCCGTATCCATGTATTGGTAGGGTGCGGAGGGAGACCGAGGCAAGTGTGGAGGAAGCTCCCTGCAAGTCGAAGCCTGTGGCTTGAGCTGGGGTCGCCCGTGATTGGGAGGTTCCAGGGCGGGCGGTCTGTGATTTGACGCCCAGGGCAGAGGGGCACGGCAGCTGGCAGCTCTCCAAATCTTCCACCGGAAAGTGGTGTGGATGAAACTCGGGCACCCGACGGTTGGTGGAAAGGCGGGCGTCGCAGGGGGATGGCGGGGTTTGACCGCCTAAAAGGAGACCGCCTGTTGGGTGTCGCAGGTGCCGTGAGGGGGAGAAGTGCGCAACATTTCGTAAGCGTGTCGACTGCCCCACGTCATCCCTGCGACAACAATGCATCATCCAGAATTTCAATGAGCAGTCGAAGGCCGCGTACAGCCTCCTGCAGTCGCTGACCTTCTCAAGTGAGTTCTCGACTGCTTCCTGAAGCCTGCATTGGATCTGGACACCCTCTGTCAACTAGCATTCGATGCTATCACGCCTCACATCACGCCTCCCTCGACTACAACAACTCCTACAACACTTTCAAGTCCCCAGTGTATCAGCCGCGTCGAAACCGTTCAGCACATCAACCCCCCAGTCTGCAACCATGACGGACCACTCGAAATGGAAGTTCAACCACACCATGCTCCGTGTGAAAGACCCTCAGCGCTCGATTGAGTACTATAACCTCCTGGGCCTGAGCTTGATCAATAAGTTGGATTTCCCCGACAACAAGTTTTCTTTGTATTTCCTAGGTAAACCCCCGACAATCTTCCTCTCCTCTTCCATGTCTCTCTCTGACGCTTTGCAACAGCCTATGACGGACCTTCCTCTGCTTCTAAAGACGCACACTGGACCGACCGGGAAGGCGTCATTGAACTCACGCACAACTACGGCTCCGAGTCGGACCCCGATTTCACCATCAACAACGGCAACAAAGAGCCCCACAAAGGCTTCGGTCACATCTGCATCTCTGTCGACAACATTCAAGCTGCGTGCCAACGCATTGAAGATGCCGGGTATAAATTCCAGAAGAAACTGACCGACGGGCGCATGCGGAGCATCGCGTTCGCCCTGGACCCCGACGGATATTGGGTGGAAGTCATCGGTCAAAAGCCGGTGGAACAGACAGAGGATATAAAGACAACGGAGACAGGCACTTACAGGATGAACCACAGCATGATCCGGGTCAAAGATCCGGAGAAGTCATTGAAATTTTACCAGGAGGTGATGGGCATGTCGCTCATGAGGACCTCTGAACAAAAGGCGGCGGGGTTCACTTTATATTTCCTGGGATATCCGGGCGATTATGGGATTCCCAAACCTGAAGACTCGCCCAACGGCGTCAACCCACTCGCTGGGAAAGAAGGTCTGCTTGAATTGACCTGGAACTATGGGACCGAGAAGGAAGATGGCAAAGTATACCACAACGGCAATGACCAGCCTCAGGGCTTTGGGCATATCGCCATCAGTGTGGATGACTTGGACAAGGCGTGTGCGTTTATGGAGGAGAAAGGGGTGAACTGGAAGAAGCGGCTCACCGACGGCAGGATGAAGAACGTGGCCTTTGTGTTGGATCCGGACGACTACTGGGTTGAGATCATCCAGAATGAGAGGCTGAAGAAGTCGACGAATTGGTGATTGGACTGGTGACCTGTGTGCTTTCTTGCACGCGAAACGGGGATACTTCCATAGGATCCTTGACCAGGCTGGATTCAGACCAGGCCATGCTCTATGAACATGTTTGAACATAGAACAGAGCGAGAGGAGAGAGGAGAAGAGTCCGTCTTATCTTTCTCAGTGATAACCTATCTGGGTGGTTCACGAGCAAGATCTCTACTACTCATACTGACAAATTAATATCCCTGGGGAAGGGAGATTGTTGGGCCTCAGCCATTGTCGAGTTGTAGATTTACCTCCGTGTGGTCGTAGTTTGCCACGGGCGTATATTCTTGATAAGCGTGGAGGAGGGATCTCAGGCATTGACAGGGCATCTCGGGTCTTTGTGCGCGACTTGAGGGAAGAAGTGATATCGCTGCCATCCAGAGGAGAATTTATTGCGGGAATCCATCTCTCTGCCTCCCTCGTGTATTATGCGCCAGTCATCGATGTCACCATGGCCGTTGGGAGATAGTGAGCCGCCTTCTTCCACTCGGGGCAAAATGGCAAAGGAACATACGACCACTGTGTTCATTCTATCCTTCCATCTCACCCGCAAACGGCCCAACCCGCCTCATCCTGCTCCGAATGCCCCTCCTTGTACAAAGTCTACAGTGTTTGCTGCATAATGCACAGCGTGCTTGCAGTAAACACCATGTTCGGCCTAGTCAGGCAGATTTAGTCTCACCCTCCCTCCATTCTCCGAGCCCTCTCACTACTCGGTAGCGAAGTCTCCAATCGGGCTCTTCGGTGCAATACCGAACTCTGTTCGGGTTTTGGTAGGGCTATCTTCAATGCACGAATACAGGACGCCGATCATCCCAGTTCCATCGCCCTCAGAAAAGGCCGGCCGTGGAGTTTTTGTCCGGGGGGAGGGGAGTTGCAGACCCGTCCGTCTCTCATGTGCCTCGTTCAGGAGACGTTTCGCGAGTAGCGAAGGCGAGAAAAGGAAGCAGGATCGCACTATTACCGGCGGCCAGGGCAACTTGACTTCTGGGCTCTTCCTGCTGGGCGAAAATACCGCCACGAAGTCAGAAGAGTTCGTGTTTGCTTTGAACCGGGGTCCCTCCCCCTCCTCTCCCTTCAAACTCTTCCAGTCAATTTCCTGCGATCGGTTTCCCGAACAGACATACTTCCCGTCCTGGAGAAGACCGTGTTCGGCACCCCAGCCCCAGCGCGTAATCGCGAATGGCTCTGTCACACCAGTCCCCCCTTTCTATCAAGCTCGTCGGAGCTCGTCCAGAATCAGGCAAGGCGGTGTTTTGTTATGTATGGCGTTGCTCGCCACGGCCGACTGCATGGATCGATTTCCCGAAGGAGGAGGAGTAACAAGAGCTACACAAGAGCTGCTGCTCGTTTAAGGCCAGAGGACAAACGTCATCAGACGAGGTAGCCTCGCATCGAGATGTCGTTCCCCCCTTTGCCTGCGTTCTAGCGTCCTCGTAGTGGATAGAAGCTGTATCCTCTTTCGGTAAGTAGAGACGGATGACGGAAGCCGGATCACACACCCCCCTGGTTTGCCCCCTAACGGGCGTAAAAAGGTCATGGCGAGACCACGCTATACAAGGCTTGGAAGGCCAAGGCGAAGCCTGCTGGGGCGTAACGGTGGAGTTGTTCCTGGGGACTCTCAGCTGGACTCTCAGCTGGACTCTACTCGATGGGTTCGTCCATGGCACTGCTGATGCGTTCTTCGCTGACGGGTTTGCAGGGGCAACAGAAGAGGAGACTCCTTGTTCACAGCAGGGGACGCTTTTTGTGTCTACTTGAACGCACGTCAAGGAGTGAAGAGAGCAAGGTATCAAGGTAAGGATCGGTCGAGATAGACGCCTTGCTCCAACTAGCCGGTGGAGCGCAAGGCGAGCTGAACGCTGAATTCGGATCATGGTCTCCAATCTCCTGATATGGCAATATGTTGTTGATTGGGAAGCTGTCAGTAGCTGCATCTGGGCATCTGGGCATCCCTTCTGTGCCCAAGTCTCGTCAAATCGTCAACGATCCCACTGACTCGAGACCATCGTCGGGGAACAGGACGAAACGTGTGGCCTCGCAGTACTCGTCCCTCCTCCCCTCCCCCCTGTCGACTTTTTCCCGTGATACGCGCGCGGCGTTGTCTTTGGGGCGCTGGCAATGCGTCTATGCATCCTAGACCAGCACTTAGCTGCATCCACCTCATCCACCTCACGAGGTCTTTGCCAGTTGCTATACTTCCTGAAGCGGCAACAGCTCCAAGTTGCTGGTTCATGAAGTTGCTCTGGGATTGTCAAACACGGCAATCACATTGCTGGTTCGAGCAGTTTCGACCAAGAACGTCAGCTACTCGCGCCTTGACGAGATGGCATAGTCACCTCGTGCCAGGTGTGCAACACTCGTCCTCGAACTATATTGGGAATTTGCTGCGCCCGGCGCGGCTGGATGGCAAATATCAACAGCTCCCTTTGTACTCGGTGAGACAGCCCGATCAGAAATATCTGGTTTATATTCGACTAGACAGTTGCTCGATCAACCAAGATATTCACCTTGGTCTCGCCGTGCCGGGTCATATAGCCGGCATCAACCGTTTACACTTGAGCAGGAACAACATATGGCTCAGTTTGACTGACACCTTCACAACCGCTGTCGCGGACTGCAGACCCCCATCACCAGCAAGAGCTGGAAGTTGTTACATTCCGCTCCTGGCACTTGGACGGACATCAGGCTGCAGGAGATGATACCCGGCGATCCAGTCACAGTCGCAACAGTGGATACCATTCTACACGCCCCCGGTCCTTGACTAGCAAAGCATCATGTACCGTATTTTGATTCGAGCCAGCAATTGCCTTTTGAGGTAAAAGGCCTGGTGGTTGTGGTTTGACTCCAAATGGTTTACGTAGAACTGTCCAACAAGGGGCTCGACAGGTCACTGAGCACGACGAATAGCACGCTTCACCACGAGTCGGAAAGCCTCGGATGTCAGCTCTCTGCCTCAGGCTGCCCTCGAGCTGTCATCCCAAGGTCGTCATCGCAGAAGGTCACCTGCTGCCACTGCAGTAGGAGCAAGGGCATTGGCTAGTGATACCAGAAACCCAATATAGTGGCAGTCGGGGGACATTCTCAAGTGCCCGAAGGTCCTTTGGCTGTAAGGAAGCCAAAGTCGCACCCAAGGTGTGCCTGATTGACCTCACGCTCGTAGAGGCCTCGATAGCCCCTCCGGCCAGCTCTCTCCACCCATGGCTCAGGGTTGTGCGACATCTGTCCATCAGCCTTCCCAGAAGCGGAGGCGACCTGGGATCGCGTTTTACGATCGGCAATACGTCTAGCGATCTCCTGCTCTTCTACTTCGAGGAGTAGCGTCCTCTTCTCGACGTCGCAGATGATCTTATCCCCCGTCTGCACAACGCCAAAGACCGAGTCAAGGTCCGCAGACTCTGGTGAGATGTGCAGGATGATCGTCCCCCCAGCAGTTCCGCTCATTCGTCCATCACTGATCCGCAACATGTCGGTCACCCCTTGTTTTCCTAGCTTTTGAGGGATTGGGATCAGTCCGGCCTCGGGCATCCCTGGATTGCCCACCGGGCCAATACTCTTGAGTATCAACACGGAATTCGCATCAACTTCTAGGTCTGGGGAGTCGATGCGATTGGCCATGTCTGCGGTGTTTTCAAAGACACAGGCCGAGCCACGGTGGTGCAGGAGCTTCCGGTCCTTCGAGGCCGAGGCTTTCATAACCGCGCCTTGTGGACAGATGTTGCCGTGCAGAACCACCAAACTCGAGCTAGGGTAGAGTGGATCTTGGAGAGATCGAACAATCTGCCGGGAGTATTGGAATGACTTGAAGGGAGTAGTGTCGAGGAGCTCACCGAGGGTTTGACCAGAGTAAGTCTTTGCACCGAGATGTAACAATGGCCTCAAGGTATGCATCAAGGCCAACATGCCACCTGCGTTGTGGAAGTCAGTCATGTAATTGTCGCCGCTGGGCTTCAGGTCAACTAGCAATGGCGTCTTTCTTCCAATCTCGTCAAAGGTGTTGAGGTCAATGGTGCCCGCCACTTTGGGGTGCCGATTGATAATAGCCAGCAGATGCACCACCGCATTCGTGCTTCCACCAATGGCCTGGAGAACGGTGATGGCATTGAGAAAGCTCTCCCGGGTCAGGAGATCTTGTGGCCTCATCCCATCCTTTGTAAGCATGGCCACTGCATTGCGCCCAGCTTGCTCGGCGACTCTCAGCCTGGCCGAGCTCACGGCCGCGGCGGTGGCACCAGATTTGAGCTCAAGCAGTCCCAGGCCTGCAGTTACACAAGCCATGGTCGATGCCGTGCCCATGACTCCGCATGTGCCTCCTGTGGGCGCCAATTCCTCGTTGACGGACATGATGTCTTCCAAGTCCACGCCCCCCGCCCGGTACCGCGCCCAATAGCTTCGGCAGTCTGTGCAGGCTCCCACCCGAACCCCTTCTACTGAACCCGGCATCATTGGGCCCGTGATGAGAGGAATGACGGGCTTGTTCGCGGAGATGGCGCCCATCAGCTGCGCTGGGACTGTCTTGTCACACCCTCCTATCATGACCACAGCGTCCACCGGCTGAGCCTTGATCATCTCCTCCGTGTCCATACTCATCAAATTCCTCAGATACATGCTGGTCGGGCTGGCAAAGCTCTCGTGGATGCTGATGGTCGGGAAATCGACGGGCAGCCCTCCCGAGGCCAGGACACCACGCTTGACGGACTCGATGAGCTGGGGCACATTGGAGTGACAAGGATTGAATGAGGAGTAGGTGTTGATGACCCCGATGATGGGCGAGGAGAGTGCCGAGTCTGAATACCCTAGGGCTTTGATGAAGACTTTTCTGAGAAACAGGGAGAAATGTGCGTCGCCGTACGAAGTCAGTCCTGAGCGAAGCCCGGATGTCGACGTGATGGGTTGAGACAGATCATAGTCCTTGGATATTGAGCTGTGGCTGTCGCCATTCTGGGCGGGCGCTGTTGATGGTTGATTAGTCGCCATAATCGCTAAAGGATGCTTGTAAACAGGTTCACTCTTTGGTCTTTAGAGATACGGGCTTTGAGGTCTCAAGACAGGGCGAAAGAAGTGACAACATTCCGTTTAAGTGGTCATCACAATGCACTCTATTGGAGAAGCTGTAGTTCGCGCAAGCCAGAGTCGGAGGAAGGCCGGCCATTTGACCTGCTCGGGAGAAACGTGGCCGACCAAGGTGGGGAGCAGAAGCGACTCATCGTTCGAATTGGGGTTGTGCCTTTCCGATCCGCCACGAGAAGACATGGTTGTTTGTTGAGAGCCACGAAGGTGTCTTCCGACGGCTCGGAATTGCCGTTGCCCTCAGGATTGTACTGCTTCGTTGGTAGATGGATGTCCAAAGACTACCTAGGTAGTATGGATAACTCTGGCTGTACACTGTTTATCAAAAGTAGGATAGTGCTTCGAACTTCTTTCGCTTATCTAACGCGCCTCTTCCTCCGACATCAACTTATGATAGCAATAACTAGATAGAGTGGCCAGAGGATTCTCGTTCAACCAACGATAAGTAAACAGGGTCCCGGCTGCTACAGATTCCCTACGATGCTAGCAATGTAAATGAATGAGGAGTATCCTCGTCCTGGCCATCACGACAACGGGACAAAGAGTGCGGTGTACTGGACAATGGCACTCCCTCCGCCGTACTGTACCGTCTAGAATACCCCTGCAGACTCAGCTCGCCACCGTGTTGCCATTATCCTCGATGGTGCTGATCTGCACAAATAACGCCCCTAACGGGATAGCGAACACGGTTGCGAACCGGCCTCTTTCACATATCCCACCGCCTTCATGCTCGTGTTGCTCGATCCCATGACCCAGTCATTCACATCGGTGGCGCCGTTCCAGCCCACATAGCCTCTCGAGTGAGATTTGGCAGTACACAGAGCGAGGACATCGTCGTCTTCGGTCGTGAGGACAACAAGACTCGGTTGCGTGGCTGGGGTAGCATGCCACGGTGTTTTGTACCCGTGATAAACGGAGAGGAGCTCAGCCTAGTCAAGTTGCGCGCTCCAGCGCACTTCTCCCACGGTGCCGGTCTCGTCGGTGACGGGGCCGTATGCTATTAAGACGGTGTTGGAACCGTAAGCTATTAGAGAGTTGCCGTTCGGGAGGATCTCGTAGGACCCTTGCGGATATTCGGCGATTGTCATTTGAGAGTCGGTTGGATTGGCGACGAGTTGTCGGGTGGGAGAGTAAGTAGCAGCTTAACACCCGTGGTCTCTACGGGAGCCTCAGTTGGCAACGCACGGCAGTTTGACGTGCCACGGTGAAAAACAAACTCGGCTAACCTTCCCATCTAGGTTAGGGTAACGCGTTCCATCGATAGAATTTATACGGAAGAATGTCCATAGTCATAGGTCTGGAATACCCCGTTATGACCGTAAATCCCAGAGCCCACCGGTTACGATGGACTCTGTGTATAGGTACTGGGGAACCCTCCACACGGATTTGCCGGACCGTTATTCTCGAGGCCGATATCTCCGTCTACAACTCAACGTTGGGTAGTCGGTAAGCCACAGGGAGAGTTCTCGATAAATCTGGCCGTCAAACGTCGCCGCTTCGGAAGATCTTTTTTCCTCTCGGTGCCAAGGCTGGGCCTCAGCCTGGTCAGGGGTGTTCCTTCAGCCAACCCTCCTCTCTCAATTGTCTGTACGCTGAACTACCAATCCACCTAGACCCGTCGCACACTGACCATATATTGCTGCGATTCCATGCATGCAGACGAGGGCATTGAGATAATCCACATTGGGGGCAATGAATCCTCTTTCGTCACGATCCAGAAAAGGTCGCCTTGGGAGCACAAAGTCCAACGGCGGTTGTATTACCTGCAAAATCAGAAAGGTAAAGTGTGACGAATTGCGGCCAGCTTGCAGAAGGTGCTTGGGCACTGGCAGAAAGTGTGATGGCTACAGCCGCAATGTCGATTCACATACATCTCGGCCGGCCGCGGCGGCAACGAGCTTCGGCAATCTGCGCCGCCTCATTTTCACTACAGCTCACAACCACGCCGAGCCCGAGGAGCTGCGATCTTTCGAGTTCTTCATGGAGAAAGTGGTACCCAACTGTACCCGAATGGTTGACGAAGCCTTCTGGCACCAAATTATTCCCCAGCTCAGTCGTTCGGACCCCGTCATCTGGTACGCTGTGAATTCTCTCGCATGTCTCATTCGCCACCCGCAGTTTTCGCCGACCTGGACGCTCCCAGGAAGGAAGATCCTACAACCTGCAGTGACCGACGAGCATCGAAGAGCCCTGAGATGGTACAACAAATCTATCGCCAAGTTGCAAGAACGAATCTCAAACGAAAATGTGTTGTCAACAACCACCACCATCACCTTCGTCAGTTGCATATTATACATTTGCATCGAATGCGTGCAAGACGACCCTGTCGAGGCCGCTGCACTGTATCGGCGGGCGGTGGCGATGATCGGACCAGTGTCAGACCATCATCAACGCGGACCCCCTTCCACAACTCGACGTGAAGCAACACTCGAAGAAACGGTTCGAGCACTGTTGCGCCATATGGCCATCTCGCAGGGCCTACCAGTGAAAAGAAGTGCTGCTGCTGCCGCCGCCGCCGCCGGTGGTGGTCTTGTTGTTGCTGTTGATGGCCCGGAACGGCACTATCGTTTTTCCACATTACAAGACGCGAGGGATGAGCTTTACATTTTGATGAGCGAGGCTCATGAATTTATCGTCCATGTGGGTGAAATCAAAATTAGGCTACCGAGGAAAGGCTGGAAACCATCTTCTGACCTGATGTCATGGCAAAGTTCTATCGAGGCAAACTTTTCGAAATGGCTTTCCGCTCTTCGACATTTTGTCAGCAGCAATCCAGACACCGTGTCTCAACAACACGACATTGAGCGGTTTGCCCTCTTGAATGTTGGGTTCAGCCATTATTATATATGGGTTGCTACGTCTTTAAATATGGACGAGACTGTCTTTGACCATTTTATAACCACTTTCCAATCCATGATCGAGCATGCGCGTCACGCCACCGCAACGCGCAACAGTGGAGGCGGCCGTCCGGTATTTATATTCGAGACTCAATTCATCCCTTCTCTATTCTTCATTGCGTGCAAATGTCGCCATCCGGTCGTGCGCCGACAAGCCATCTCTTTACTCGAAAGTGGACCCTTGATCGAAAACACGTTCAAAGCCGAGCCTATGGCCAAAGTCGCGAAACGTTGTATCGGGATTGAAGAAGCCGGTAGTGAAGGAGGCGTGTTTCACTTACAAGCTCACAAGACCGAATTCCCCCCCGAAGGCCACAGAATAACCTGGAACAAACTCATTGAGATGCCTGATGCTCATCATGGCAGAGTGGATCAGTACTTGATGTTTGGGAGATGGCAGCAGCAGCAAGTCGGCGGAGAATGGATTTCCAGCACACACATTGTCAAGATATGAAAGTCAGGCTGAGTTTGGGCCTTGATCGTCCTGCTCTCGGGAATTCCATATCATCAACCCCGCTCTGTTGCAATCTCTGACTGCACGGAGGTGTCGAAGCTGTTCGGCCGACATTTGATGAACTTGAGCCGAGAGGCAGGTATTAACCGATCGCAAGGGGCCAGATTAGGCTCCCTGTGAGTTTGCTCTGGGAGTGCTCAGGGAGCACTCAGTGATGCTCAGCCAAAGGCTCAGTTAAAGCTTAGGGTAAAGCGGCCTTCGCTCACCCTCTAGGATTAAACCGTAAATGGCAATTAGGTTTTTCGTTCTCGGGTAATATAGGTACCTAAGGACGATTCGGGCGAAGGCTAAGTGATTGTATACACAACTACTACTCGGAGCGACTATGTAACTGCTATGACATACCTAGGTAGGGAGAGGTTACCTACTTCATTGTGGGAACTCTGAACCTGAATTCTAGGAACGATATATACATTAGGAGGACTCTTCATGGTCAAAGGTACCTACTTAGCTACGCTTGCATTAGTGTTTTCTTGAGCATGCCGCGTCTGTTTGCTGGTGGTGTGAAAAAGTTTGTTACTAACGTAGTAGCAATCATAGAGCAGCCCTTCTCCTTGTCCCTCAGTACCCGATGGCTCCATTACTCTAAGCCTATGACTCGAGGCTCCATCGAACCCACTCCGCGGCGCAATAATTGAGCTATATAATGTATATTGAAAGACTTTTCTTCAACAATCACCCAGCACTGCCGGGGGTAAGTCATACCAACTCAACCACCTCATCAGTCTGGGTTTCTAACAATCTCTACAGTAGCTCGTAAGTTCCTGTTTCCAGGCCTTTACCGCCTCTGATCAGCTCTAACATCCTCTTCAGAATCGGTAGAGCGTGTGGCTCTTAGCAAAGACCAACCTCAAGGTTGCGGGTTCGAGTCCCGCCTTGTGAGTAACCTGCCTCAGAACACAGTGCGACATCCAACTAACATCAATACAGCGGCTCAATTCCAAAGGAAAACCTTTCTTTTTTTCGCCATTTTTTTTTTCGACTGTGCGTGCGCGATAGTGGGGTACAGTGGTAGTGGGTCTACCCCCCGCCTACGTCATGAACTTCCACCAACGCCAGCCTATCGATGCTCCTGTAGCAAGCAACTGGTAATCCTTCCGAATGTTCCCTCAGATTCGCCAGTTCCGGTGCCTTCTTGGCGGGAACAGGTGCAGTTAGGTGGTGGGACGAAACATGCGGGAATCCGCCTAAACCATGGCTGGCAAGTGATGGAGTCAGGCGACGCGTTTCCGCCTGGTCTTACCATGACTTCACTCCATGGATATTCCCAGACTCTTCACCTGTAGAATTCGAAGTTTTGTCTCCTTTCCCCATCCCTTCCTGCTCCGTAGAACAATGGCGACCTCGTCGGCGCAGATCACCCCCACTGTAGGTATCCTCTCCATCGGCGACATGGGCATGGGGGTTGCCCGGCTGCTCCGCCACCACGACCACACCGTCTACACGGTCGCCAAGGGCAGAAGGCAAGTCCTTTCAGATCTTCATCCAGATGACATTGAACTCTTTGCTGAGCGTCTGTCAAGCCAGCATACTCTTGACCGCATCAGCTCCTCGCAGATTACCACCTTGGAGTCGGACGAACAGCTCGTCGCCGAGGCCGACATCATTCTGAGCATCGTGCCTCCGCGGGATGCCATCGCGACGGCTCGCCGGGCGCTGGAAGCCTGCCGCTCGCAGACCGCGATCAAGCGACGTAGTGAACGACGGGGCACCGCCGCCGTCTCGCAGGCCCCGAGTCTGACGTACATCGACCTGAACGCCATCAGTCCCAAAACCGCGCGATCCATCGCCGCCATGTTCTCGACGCCCATGTCTCCAGCGTCGCCGCGACGACTGTCCATCTCGCGCACTTTCTCGTTCCACCCGAGGAGGGAATCTGAACCAGAGTTGGACCCGATCCCGATCGACTTCCTCGACGGCGGCATCATCGGGGCGCCCCCGTCCCTCAAACAGGACCACACGTGGAAAAAGCCGTCGGTGGTCATTTCCGGACCCAAACATGCCGACCTCCTGACTCCGGCGTTCATCGACCTGCTCAACATGAGGATCCTGGGCCCCAAAATCGGCACCGCCTCGGCCTTGAAGTCCTGCTTCGCCTCCCTGACAAAGGGCATGACGGCGCTGTCCATCCTCTCCTTCACCACGGCACACACCTGCGGCGTGCTGAAGGAGCTACAGGCCCACCTGCAGGAATTCAGCCCGCAACTGCTCGCGTTCGCCCAGGGCGGCCTGGTGAGCATGCCGCCCAAGGCGTACCGCTGGGTGGAAGAGATGCGGCAGATCAACGAGACGTTCGCCGAGGAGGGCGGCTTCACCACCGCCGTGCTCTCCTCGAACGGGAACGGCAGCGGCAGCGGCAGCGGCAACGGCCACGGCCAGGGTAATGACCACGACCACCCCCACCACCGCCACCAATCCCCCAGCAGTGCCATCGTCCCCAGCAACGGCAAGCACGGGGCCGGCGTGTTTGAAGGCATCGCCGAGGTGTACAACCTGGTCGCCTACGACACGATCCTGGGCGGAGAGCGGGTCGAGCGGCGCAAACGAGGCACCAACCCCGAGGACGTGGCGGAGTGCGTGAGGGACGGCATCGCGAGGAAGAAGAGGAAGTTGGCCGGCGAGGAGTCGGAACTGGAGGCCGCGTGGAGGAGCAGCTGGGGCGCGTGAGTCTCCCGCCTTGTCGACTCCTCTCTGGGTTTCCTTCTCGCGTTTTTGGAACCGGGAAGGGAGTTTGGAATGGGAGCGGTGGCGCGAGAGACATGGTCAACGAGGGCCGGAAGAACGAGGAGGGGGAGGGCGGATCGACGCGGCCGGCGTCCGCCTTTAACCTTTCCCCCTCTGCCTTTCCTTACAAGAAAACCAAAGGTCTCTCCCACCGGTATCGGTACGCTCATAGAGTTTCGTTCTCCTACAATGTGAGGAAGAACAAAATCCATTCGTTGGTCAAGGTGGCGTGGAGGACAGATGGACTCTTTCCGCCGCACGATGCACGAATTGCATACGCTGCGGTGCATGATGATGACTTGAGCAAGGCGCTACCGGCCTCCAGATACATTGCAACGCGAATGCTAGGGTTTTGAATATTACTACTACTACTACTACTGCTGCTGCTGCTGATGTTGCGGCTGCTAAGGCTTTCTTCTAGTGGGAGTATGGACTTTTTGGGGGGCATGGTTGAATTATTTTTGACATGAATATTCTCCAGAGGAGATACTAGCGCTCTTGTGGCTGGCAACATTGTAAGACTATGAGTTTTTTTCCTTTCTTACAGCCTTGCGTGATCACTTCGAGATCGAAGGCAGGGTGCAGTGTCCCGCACTTGCTAACAACGACCACTCCCTTCACGGGCGGTGCGAAGCCAATGTCAGGACCGGAGCATGGCAAGCGATGGCCGTGTCCCGCATCCTCTGAGCATCCCCGCTGGCCCCGTACAGGAGCGTCGTCTTAAAGCCGAGGGTTAACTGCGTCGTGAGCAAGGGCAAGTTGAAGTCGCTGTCGTCTTGCATATACTGCTGCATATGCTCGACCGCGGGACCAAAGGGCGACTCCGCGACGCTGATTGCGCTGGCTCGCTCTTCTCCCTGACCGTAGACCCTCTGCCACTGGCACAGCGTCCACTTCATCCTCGTGCGGTAGGCCCGTAGTGCAGTCTTCAATGGCTCACATGTAGGTATCGGCTCAAGTCTGGGGAGAAGACCGTCGACCCATGTCTTGGCTGAGACGAGGACTGAGACTGCGTACTTTATTCGGGATTTCCCCGTCATGGCCGAGATTGGTGGGAGTGGTTGTAGAACATGGAACATGGTTTCGACGGAAGTCGTTAGGTCTCCTTCAACGTACTCGCCCCTCGCGCGTACTTCACGACCCAGGTCCCGGCAGTAGCAGATGTGCCGACTGTATTCCTCCCAGCGCCCAGTCCAGACACATACGACAGCTATCATCACTGCGGCGAGTACCGTGGACAACGACGGCTGCCTCTCCTTGAGGATGGCTTGTATGGCTAGATGCATCTGAATGACCGACTGTTTCGACAGGGTTGACTGGAGCTCGAGGCTCATGTTCGAAGCTCGAGCCTCAAGCACTAGTGCCGTCGATGCAGCAGAGAGTAAACTGTGCCTTACTACGTCCAGATGCCATGCAGCTTGTGGAACATAAGATCCGAGAGTGTTTCGGATGATATCCCCTGGACAGTCGGTACCTTCTGGAGTGGTCAGCCGGAGCCAGAATTCCAAGGCAGCCTGAGCTTCGCGTGTCGTGTAGGGCGAAGTAAACACGCAGTCGGACAGTGGCACAATGGAGATAGATTCTTCCGAAGACAACGTCGCAGCTAGACTCCCGCAACGACCATCCGCACGGTCGCTCCAAGGGTCAAATATCCAAGGCTTCGGGTTGTCCGCATAACCGCCACAGGATTTACCTGCACGGATGCAACTGCGAATTTGTCAGCTATTGAACCTGCACGATAGAAGCAGGACATGCCGTTGACACTGTGGTTTCTCCTCGCTGCACTTCAGATGGCGGGCTTTGCAGGTTTTGCATCCAGTCCTGGCTTTGGAGTGCCATGCTTTCCGCCGCTGGGGCAAGACTCGGCCAACCATCGCAATGGCAACCTCTGCAATTTTTCCGATGGATGAGGTCAGGAAAAAGGACGCCCTCTGCGGATGGGGCTTCTGTCAGCTTCTCAGAGTTTTGACCGGGCGGTTCTACCAAAGCAAACAGACACGGGTACGTCTGTATGTGGTGTATGGCATGCTACGGGCTTCGCGCCCGGACCTGACTTTCGAACCCTGGGTTTCGTAAGCTGCGAGTGTGAGAGTACGCCCATTGCTGGTCGAAGCGGACGAGGCATATTTATGTTGCAACTAAGGCCTCCCACCTAGCCAGCGAGGGTGATGGGTTGGCCAATCATCGACAACGAGGCCCTTGTGCCTCGCATGCATGCGCTTTGAACGACTGCTTGCTTAGTCTCATCGAAGTGGATATTGACTGAGGGGAAAGCAAGCATGAATGGGAATTCGAGGAATTGGGCAATCCTCCTTCGCTGGGTCAACGCAAGGGGAAGAGAGTGAATACCACAGACCAGCCGAAGACACTAAGATTTGCGCGCAGTCGTATAATACTCCACCGTAGCGGCAAGTCTGACACGTGACTGATCCGGAGACCGACATCATCGACCACCCCGGGCACTACCAACTGACATTCCACACTCAGACTGCGCTGCACCCAGACCTTTATCCGTTCAGACAACAATCTGCCATCTCTTCCTTGTCAAATGACGGAAACCCTTCAGTCCTAGCCAACATACGAAGTAGAGACAGTAAGACCTCGGGGCTGTCATCACCTTTCCTCCCTACCTCCCCCTGCGATGGCTTGAGTTCACTGCCTGGCCGATATGAAAACCGTTGAACGCCCTCCACATCCTGTATCCGTCTGTGCAAGACAAGATGCCGCTCAATCCTTTCGAAGAAAAACTTCACACCCCCCTGGCTCGCACCGCCACGCGCAGAACCTCCACCGGTACCGCGGGCAATGAAGAAGGACATGACTACTGTCGTATCTGCCGTGGCGAAGGCACCAGCACGCAACCTCTCTACTATCCTTGCAAGTGCTCTGGCAGCATTAAATTTGTCCACCAAGAATGCCTAATGGAATGGCTCTCACATTCCCAGAAAAAATACTGCGAGTTATGCAAGACTTCTTTTCGATTCACCAAACTCTACGACGGCTCGATGCCCGCCACCCTACCGTTTCCCCTCTTTCTGCGCCAATTGGCCCGTCATGGGGCGACCGAGTTTGCTCGCTGGTCACGCTACTTGCTGGTGAGCATCATCTGGACTTGTTGCTTGCCTTGGTGCATCCGACAGATATGGAGGGGTCTGTTCTGGCTTGCTGATGGGAACTGGGTGGATGAATCCACCGTTCAAGCCGCGTCCAACCAATCTTCAAACATCACCGGCACCATCGCCGGGCCCGAATCATCGCTTGCTACTTCCTTGAATCTCACTGTTCCCCAACAGCTGGAGAAGATCAAACTGGTCTTTCCCCCGATGCAGATTTCCTTGGCTGATATTGCGCGGCTATTCCTTGGTCAAAGCATGATTGGCAAGATTCTTCGCTTCATTCTATCCATTTTCATCCCACGCTTGAGGCAGATTGATACACCTGGACATGGTCAGAACTCCATGGCGGAATTGTCTGCAACAGCCCGGAGACCTCCCTCCTTGCTATCCGACGTTCAATTCATAGCGACGTGGTCTACTTCTCCTATGGTCAACCACGTTACCATCGATGTGATCGAAGGCCAGTTGATCTGTGTCTTGCTGGTCGCGGCATTCATCCTCGTGTTTTTGATTCGAGAATGGGTCATCAACCAACAGCCGATCCTGAACATGCCTGACCCGGACGAAAATCCTCACGCTGAGGAAACGGGACTGCCTCTACCACCCAACCTACCGCGTATTCCCCGCGCTGGCGATAATGTCGCAGATGAGCTAGCTGCCATGGAGCATCTCGCAGCACAATTACCTCTCGAGGAAATAGCTCCGCCGAGACCACCTCCCAATCAACACCGCATTCCCCGTTTTGGCGATAACATCGCAGATGAAATAGCTGCTTTAGAGCGTCTTGCAGCACGAATTCCTCCAGAAGATCCGACTCCGCCAACACTATCGCCGCGTCGCACTCTTTCGGACGATAACATGAGCAACGGAACAGCATATGATTTCGACAGACCGGTTCTGAGGACCAGATCGCAAAGCACATCAGCCATTGCCGAAGCTGTTCAAGAGCATAATGCTGGCTGGGGAGTTCCTGGAGAAAGCAGCGTGTCTGCAATTGAACCTTGGAATCTGCCGTTCAGAAGACACAGCGCCGATGACACTGAAGCTAATCACTATCTGCCTCTAGTGCCTCCAAGTCGAAATCTTGCTGAAACAAGCAGCGGCGATGAATCCCCCATTCAGATGGAACATTACTTGTTTCCCGGGGATGGTTCTGATATCTCCGACGTGGGACAAATGCAATATCCAGAGCATCAGCCAATTGGGCAAGAAGACTTGGAATTAGCGGACTCATTTAGTCGAAGAGTGTCATTGGTAGAGGTGTCAGATGTGGTCGGCGATGCAACAAATGGGTTGTTTGACTTGAACGTCGATGGACACGGGTCCGACTCAGACGCGCCTGTGATACCCACACCTGATTCGAATGATGCGGATGAACTTCTGCAACCAGGGGACAACTTTCCAGGTGGTGAAGATCAGGAAGCTCTTTTTGACGGCACAGATCGTGCCCAGCCTGAAGAAACCCTCGCATCTAATGACGACGATGCGCTGGGAGATACAACAATATGGGGAAAGATATCACATTGGCTCTGGCACACCGATTTTGAGGCCGACGATCAGCTTCCTGCGGAGGCCGGCGATCCGGCACGTGCACAAGATCAAGACGAGGAACGCATTGTGGAAGACGTCAACGCCGAAGCTCCATTTGTACCGATCCAAAACCGAGACGCTGCCCTTGGACCGGTGCCTCTCGCACCCATCGAGGAACCACCCGCTGCACCTCCGGAAGCAAGGGAGCCCAATATGCTTTTCGGAGTTGACCTCAATGAACCTAACCCGGATGATGCAGAAGATCTTGACGGCATCCTGGAACTTCTTGGTATGGAAGGACCCATTTTCGGCATGGTCCAGAATGTCATCTTCTCCCTTTTTCTCATCACGGTAACCTTATCGGCTAGTGTCTGGTGTCCTTACATATGGGGAAAGATTGCACTCTTATTCCTCTCAAGTCCTACCAGCATGTTGGTGAAGGCGCCAATATTCGTACTGTCACGGACTGCGGATATTGTGGTTGATATCATTTTCTTCGTCGCTGGACTTGCCGGTTTCCTCCTGAACCAGCCTTTAAAAATCATGAAGGCCATGCTGTCTCCCTTCCTACCTCGTCTTGGGGGCATCCTCGACACTGCCACATTGGAAGGCTTTAGCCTCGACCTGAGTCAAAAGAGTGGTCTGCGCTTGGAAAAGACTCTCTCTGCCGCCGTCCTCAGCCTTAGGCCGGATTTGCCGACATTTTCGATGCAGTCACATCGAGCACTCATCTCTTTCAAGTCTTCCTTACATACAGCAGTCCAATGGATCACTTCTGTCCTAGTCCAAGGTCAAATGATATTGACCATGGACCGCAAGGGCTCTGGTGCCTTGTTGAACTCGTTTTGGTACACCCTGAAATCTGTGCCCAAACTGCTTGGGAAGATCCCTCTCCTCGGTGAATATGCAACGAGCCTCCTTCGTTCCTTGTCCACGGATCTGGGCTCGTTGCCATCCAACAATGCAGATGGGATGGACCCCTCACTGATTGAGTGGGGCACAGAAGACCGGATTCTCACGATTCTGCTCGGTTATGCGTTCTTCGCCATTGCCGGAATCGTGTTTCTTGAGATTGCTCATCTCGTCCTTGGCTTGAAAGATGGCGAGAGGGTTGAGGGCTATTTCGCAGACTCCCTGCGGCAAGCAGGTGGCGTGATGAAAGTCATCGTCATCATCGGAATTGAGATGCTGGCCTTTCCTTTGTACTGTGGACTGCTCCTGGACATGGCACTTCTTCCTCTTTTTGCCAATGCCACCGTTGCTAGCCGCATTGCTTTCCTGGTGCGCACTCCAATGACCGGGATTTTCATACACTGGTTCATCGGAACCTGTTACATGTTTCACTTCGCCCTCTTTGTATCAATATGCCGGAAAATCATGCGAAAAGGAGTCCTGTATTTTATTCGAGATCCTGACGATCCAACGTTTCATCCGGTGCGCGATGTTCTAGAACGACCTGTTCCGGCACAATTGGGCAAAATTGCGTTCTCGGCGTTGGTCTATGGTGGCTTGGTCATTGTCTGCCTTGGGGGCGTGGTATGGTCAATAGACTGGTTTGGCGGCGTTCTGCCCATTCAATGGTCGACTCCGGAGCCCAGGCTGTCGTTCCCAGTCGACATTATCTTTTACAACTTTCTCCTTCCGTTTGTCTTGCGCAGGGCCGAGCCATCGAAGAAGATATCCGCAATGTATCAATGGTGGTTCCGAGGATGTGCCGGGTGGTTGAGATTGACCAACTTTCTCTTTGGGGAAGAGCGCAAAGAAGAGACATTCAGTCACCCGACAGGGTTTCCGTGGAACTTATTCGCCAAAGACAATTTGGCAGAACCGAGACGGGACGGGCGCTATGTCCGTGCGCCTGCATCCGACTCTGTGCGCATCTCGAAAGGCCGCAGGGTCTTTCTCGAAGTCACAGAAGACAACGAGAGAGTGGATGGCGAACCAGAGCTATTCTATGCCCCTCATGGCAAGAAAAACCCTCAGTTCACCAAGGTATACCTTCCCCCGAACTTCAGAACTCGGATTGCAACATTTGTGGTCTTGTTGTGGCTCTTCGCGGCCTCAACTGGTGTCGCGTTCACGGTGGGACCCCTGATAGTCGGCCGCAAACTGACTCGAATCCTTTCGCAATCACCTCACCCGCCAAATGATCTGTATGCTTTCACCATTGGCATTCATATCTTTGCTGCGATGGGATATGCTATCGCCTACGCCCGGCCGGCTCGAGACTACCTACAGCAGAAATTCAAATGGTCTGGAACGCGGTTCCTAGCCTCGACGCTGCACGTTCTTGGCCTGGCGTACCTTGGGGGCTTCACTACCATCGTTCTCCCCTTCGTTCTCTCTCTGATTGTCGAGCTGTATGTCCACATTCCGATCTTCGACCTGCTCGAAGTCGTTAATCACCAAAAGCTTACCCACGATTCCTCACCATCTTCGTCCTCAACCCCACCGCCATCGGCTGGGGCGGCTACAAGCAAGGCTTTCCCGCCTGCCACAATCTTCATTCTCCAGTCCTGGACGATCGGTCTCGTTTTCCTACGCCTGATCTTCCGCATTCTGGCCCACATCCTCCCACCTACCGTGCGACCTGCCAGGGCTCTCCGCGGGATCGTCCGCAACGGCATTTTCCACGCCGACATCCCTCTCGCGTCCCGCGCTTTCGTTCTCCCGGCTACGATCATCTGTATTACGCTCCTCATTGCGCCTCTTGCTTGCATGAGAGCCATCATCAGCATCCTCCGAATTTCCGATTTAAGACAGCAAATTCGGATGTATCGTTTCGCATATCCACTTTTCCTGTGCATGATGGTGAACTATGTAGGCTTGTTATACATGAGGAGGAAAATGGAGAATTGGAGGATTAAGATAAGGGACGAAGTGTACTTGATTGGCGAGAGGCTGCATAACTTTCAGGAACCGAAACCGCGAGGAAGAAGAGAGGCTGCAGCCAACGGGAGAGGCAAGGAGAAAGCCTGGTAAGGAAGCGAGAGCATTCCGGGGACTACAGGGCAAAAAAGCGGACATGAGTCATGATTCGATACAAAGATAGAACGTCCAGACATGTGAAATAAGCCTTCCACTCTTACGAAGGGGATGGCCTTTCAGTGTTCTTGAAGAGACACAAAGACACTGACAGCAAAACCAACCAGTTTGATCACACATATTCCAAGTCTACAGGTACGGTGGGGGATATGGCTATACAGCGACACTACGGTGGGCTACAAGGTATTCAGCTGCCATGCCACGGCCCGCAGGCAAAGCCACATTTTCCCACAATCCACCATCCCACACCTGTATGACATGCACATCCATCCACCACTGAGAGCCACCAACTTCCGTTCCGTTGGTTGGCATTGAATTGAGCATGTGCATCGTTGACATCATTGTCGCCTCTGATCTGGGACAGACATTCACCAAGAATCCGTCCTCATCGATGATACAACTGTCGATCTGACAGCTTAATCTCTTGCTTATCACGAACACCTCCTTGGGCCCTTGGTTCTTAGGGGTTGGCCATCCGTGCTTCGCCTCTTCCTGGCGGTGACTGGCTGCTACTCTCCGTGTCGCAGGTTTTATGCCATTTTGGTGCCGGGTGACGCAGTGGCTGCAACTTGTGCCTCGCAAGCTTGACGCTTTGAACTGCCCCTGCTAGCCTAACACGCCTGCAAGCCTCACAGTCTCCTCACTCCAGACATCCTCCACAATTTCGAACGACGGCAATTTAGCTACCACTGACCTGCTCATCCCATCTACCACTCTTCCTCGGCCATCATCCTCACACCACCAGATTCGCTCTGGAATCTTCATCCCTTTCCATCTCTCTCTCTCTTGCCTACGTGCCCGTTCGATGCTGAATTGTTCGTTTTGAACATTGGCATTTGAGTGGTACCCTTCTGCATTGGCCGAAGTATCTGTGCTCTGGAAAAAGTTGGCACCACAATCTGCACTTTGGGTGGGACCGAGGAGCCATCCTCCCAGGTACATCAGCTGCGATGGCAGTAGTTGAGAATGGACGTCCTATAGACAGTGTCAAAGACAGACCCAATGGGCACGCTGTAGGCCCGCCTACACGGCGACCTGCTCACCAGCGCCATCGTCGGAGCTGGGCCTTCAGACTAGTCAACAACTCAGCGAGGTAGGTCAAACTGTCCACCCATTTGTCCGAGATATCCTGACCACTCCATAGGCTTGCCATATGGTACTGCCTCTTCACCATCCTATTCAGCTGTCCCTCCTCGAGGACCGCCCTCACCGATACCTCTCCGCGAATATGTGGACCGTACTTATCCGCAAAGGAATACATCCAACCTCATCTGCAACCATATTACGATGAATATGCAGCTCCTTACGTTGCCAAAGCCGAGCCATACGCACACCTGGTGAATAGCCGACTGGTGCGACCTGCGTCCAAAATTGCTGTGGTCAATTATGAGAAATATGCTGCTCCCAAGATCGACGCCGTGAAGGCATACTCTCAAGCGCAATGGGACAAGACTATCATGCCTCAGATCAACCTGGCCCGGGGAAATGCTGTCAGATTCTATGAGAAGAACGTTGGACCCCATGTTGACCAAGTTGTCGCATCGGCCGAGCCGTACTACATTCCGGCACGAGATCATGTTTACCAAGTGTACCGACAACATCTGGTCCCAGCGATGGAATACTCCCGGCCACATCTCCACAAAGCATACAATATCAGCCAAGACTTCGCACTGAACACCGCATATCCTCTGCTGCGACATGCTTGGTTGGACCTCGTTATTTTCATGGACGGCACTTTCTGGCCCTTTGTGAAGGGTCTTTACATCGACAATGTTAGGCCTCAGCTAGTCATGATCAATGAGAGGATTGCCAAGTATCGAGAGAGCCGCCAGTTGAAGGCCGCCATGGACGAGGTAGATAGCACGCAATCGACCTTCACTGCCTCTGCCACTCCAAGCGCAACCACCGGTATAATGGATGATGTGTATGCTATGTTTGATTCGGAAGATGAAGCAGAACCCTCCTCTACGACCACGTCCCAAGAGGCTCAACCGACCGCCAAAGAGCGTGTGAAACGACCGGTTGAATATGCCACAGAGGAACAAATTACTGAAGATCTTCGAAGCTGGCAAAAGAAGTTTGCTTTGGCGGCTGATAAGGGTAGCGATGACCTTCGAGAGCGAGTCACCTCTATCGTCAACAGCCTTGTCAAGAGCGACATTGACGGAGTTGGTCGAGGATTGGCCAAAGCTTTGGAGAAGTCCGCGGAAAATGAGCTTGAGAAGGTCAAAACAAAAATAAAGTCAACTGTTGCTGCTCTTCCTGAAGATGCGAGTGCAGAGGCAGTGAAAGGGGCAGCAGAAGAGATTCTCGGATCAATCAGATCCTCAGGCGCTGAGATCAAGGAACGTGCTCGAAACGTCCGAAACTGGTCTCAGAACTTTGAACAAGGCTTGATACAAAGACTTGAAGCTGCCTCGGCTTCTACTCTGGAGGTCTTGGATGGGATAAAAGACATCGGGCTTCAAGAAGTTGGAATGCGCTGGGCTTGGATGGAAGGAGTCACCTACAAACACTGGGAGAAGTTTCATGAGCTCCGAAAGAAGCTTGATGAATGGAAAATCGAGGTTCAGGACGTTGCCATGAAGAGCCCAGAGGCGGAAGAAGCAATTGCCACGGCTCGACAAATCCTGGAAGAAAGCATGGCAATCACCGAAGACGCGGCGAAAGAACTGGGTAGACTCAAGAGTGTTGCTCAGTGGAAGTTGAAAGCCCGCGACTCATCGGATGATTTCGAAACTCGAATTATGCCAGCGGAAGCAGTTTCAGCTGCTTCGAGTATGGTGGCCGAGCTTCAGGGTGCCCCTTCGGAAGCTGCAGAGTCCGTCAGCTCTATTTTATCGGAAGGCAGCGATGCTGCTACCAAAGCGGCCTTGTCTGCTTCATCTGCAGTCGTAGGCACCAGTACTGGCGCCGTGGAGTCCGCGACATCCAAAGTTGACGAGGTTGCTGGTGATGCCTTTTCGTCGGTATCCTCAGTGTTGGAATCTTCTGTTGCGGCGCCTATTGAATCGTTTGGTTCTGATATCAGCGCCACGGTTTCAGACGCGTACGATTCTGCATCTTCCGCTGTTATTGGAAGTCCTCCTGGGACTGCCGAGTCCATCCTTTCTGACGCAGCGGAGGCTGGTTCGAGCTTCACAGAAGACGTCACGGACTCAGCGAGCTCGGCATCTTTGTCGGTTGAATCTTTTGCTTCACCATCAACAGACGAGCTCTCCTCAGCAAGCGCTACTGCGGAGGATGTTGTCAGCTCCGCTTCCGCCGCCGCAGATTCAGCAACCACTAGGGTTTCAAAAGTCTTCGGAGGTGCTATGGCTGCAGAAGTGAAGGGTTCAATGCCTATTCTGGACGATATATTTGACAACAACGAGGAGTCGACATTCTCTGAGAATGTTCAGAGCGTGATCAACGAAGCTGGCGATCGCTATGCGGAGGTTTCTCGTGCAGTATCTGAAGCCATGTTCGGAACATCTCAAGGCACAGTGGAAAGCATCACGTCTGTCGCGAGCGAGCAGTATGCCAGCGCTTTAGCTGCAGCTTCCAATGTTTTGTATGGTACGCCGACTGGTGCTGCTGAAAGCGTCGCAAGTGCTGCGTCTGAAAAGTATGAGCAGGCTGTGGCGGCTGCGAGCTCAATCATCTTCGGAACGCCAACCCCTGTCACCCAGTCATTACTCCAACAAGCCAGCTCCCTCTACAGTGAGGCTGTTAGCAGAGCTGAGGACAATTACAACGCTGCCAAATCGATTGCTTCTCAGCAGATATCCGGCACTCCGAAACCTATTCATGAACAAATGTTCTCTTCGATTGAGTCGGCCTATTCTGGTGCCGTGGCCGCCGCGACCGATAGACTTGAATCCGCCCGAAGTTCTGCGTCGAATGCGCTTCCGGAAACCAACCCCCTCGAGTCTGTTTCGTCAATGGCATCGACAATTCTGCAAAACGCTCTGGCTGAAGCTTCGGCTCAATACTCGAAGGCAAAGGTTGCTGTTGGCGCCACTGCTACCCCTGCTCATGCAAGATATCTCCAAGAAGCAAGGAAGAACTATTACGCTGCCGTTGGAATGGCGCACGAGCAGTATGATGACTTTGTTGCCGCGGCTTCGAGTGTAGTCTACGGGACGCCAACACCAGTGTTGAGCAGTGTCTCGAGCGCTGTATCGGTCGGAATCTATGGGACGCCTGTGCCAGCGTACCAAAGCCTCCTGGACGCCGCCGCTTCCCAATATTCGGCGGCCTCGTCGGCAGCTGTTTCCAGCCTGGACTCATTCAGATCATCGTCGGGCACAACCGTCCAGAGCCTGTGGGATGAAGCTGTGGCAGCTTATTCAAGCGCTGTTGACGCCGCCTCGTCTTCGCTGTCTTCTGCCTCCTATGCTGCAAGCACTGCTGTCTATGGCACCCCTGCGCCATTTTATCAGACCGCTTTGGAAGCAGCATCGTCACAGTATGAGATTGCTTCCTCCGCAGCTGCTTCCCAGATGTCGGAAATGCTCGAGTCGGCTTCATCTGTCCTGGGCATGGAAGAGACCTCCCCAGCACAGAGCGTTCTTGATTCCATCTCGTCACAATATGATGCAGCCATTTCTGCCGCCTCGTCATCTCTCTCGGCCGCCAGCTACGCGGCAAGTACAGCCGTCTACGGTGCTCCAACCGGTTCCGTTGAATCGATTTCCAGCGTGGCATCTGAGAACTGGCAAGCGCTCATTGCCAAAGCTAGCGAACAAATTTACGGCACCCCCAAACCCTTCTATGAAGGTTTCGCTACCCAAGCTGGAGATTATTCTGCCCAGGTCACGGACTTTGCGAACGATAAATATGTCATCGTCCAATCATATATCTCGGAACTGATAGTAGGCAAAGAGCCCGATTTTACAGAATCGGTCATGAGTCGCCTCAGCTCCGCCTACTATACGGGCTATAGCTCGGCTTCCAGTCTGGCGAGCGAAGCGTACGACTCCGCGTCATCCATGGCCTCTTCTGTCTCCTCTGTTGCAGCGTCCTACTTCACCCCTCCACCAGAGGTCTCCTCCATTTTGGATTCAGTGACAGAACAATTGAATGCTGCTGTCGACGCAGCTAGTGCACAGATTTATGGCACGCCAAAGGGAACTATCGAACAGGCAACATCCGCTGTGGCCGACAGCTACTCCTCCGCCAGCGCAGCAGTCAGTGAAGCCATCTACGGCACTCCCGTTGGCTATGCGGAGGCTGCATCGTCCTCATTTGCAGACTTGGCAAAGAGCGCGCAGGATGCCGTAAGTGTTGCTATCTACGGAACGCCTACGGGGACAATTGAATCTTTGACCAGCGCTGCGGCCGATACATACTCATCTGCGTCATCTATCGTTGCTGAGAATGCGGCGGCGGCGGCTTCCGCAGTAAGCGATACTGTCGAGAGCCTCGTCGCCAAGGCCTCAGAAGCCGTCTATGGACCTGAACAGAGCTACATGGAAAGCATCAACTCACAGATCCTCGAAGCTGTGGGCAGTGCCAACAGCAGGATTGCGGCCATGGCAAGTGAAGTAGGTGAAGGCGCGACGGGGGTGGTGAGTGCAGTGAGTGAAAGCGTAGAGAGCATCGCCAGCGTGGTGAGCGAGTCAGCGAGCAGCGCGACCAAGTACGTGAAGGACGAGTTGTGAGCACATCATCGAGAGTGCGGAGAGTTGAGAAGGGACAGGAGCAAGTTCAGGAACGGATGAGAAGAGCGCAGGAGAGGAATGGACGAATACGACATGATGAATCGATGTGAAGAACAAAGAGGGTTTGCCTCGCCCCCGACGAAACCAAAAGCATCTGCACCAGTGAGAACCTCTGAAGCTCGAGTCCGAGCATGTTGAAGGAGGCTGGGCTGTTGGACTTCACTGGAGCCGGAGCAGTGTCTATATCGACGCTGGTAATATCGCTGCGTGGCCCTTTGTCAAGTCTCGCTGGTATGGGTGTCGATATTATGGATGGGTTGATTTTTCGGCGTTGCTCTGTTGCCAATGATACCATCTTCCTGTGTATGTGTGTCTGTCTGTGTAAATGGGCCAGTTGCTATTTTCAATCTGTCGAGCACGCTTTTCCCACCGTGTAATATACCTACCAACCGCAGATTAAAACCCCAGTCAACGTGTTATTACGAAGACAGCAAGTAATACCTTGGTGGTTCAATGAATATACAGATACGCGTACAGGCCAATTAGCAAAGCACTCACTCGCTCAGTCGTTTCTTTAATGTCTACTCTCGTATTGTACTCCATGCAGACAAGTACCTAGTAGGTAGATGGGTAGATGGTAAGTAGGCAGACCAGGAAGCCGCGCTTTGGAGCCGCTATTAGGAGATTTTGATTGCTTTTGCTGCTCTCGCGCGCGTTGCGCATCGTGTCTGTGTCTGTGTCCGACAGACTTACTGACTGACTGACTGACTGACTGTGAACTGTGGCTTTGACTGTGTCGCTATGCTAATCCATGCGCTATTGCCATACCAAAACCAATACCCATGCCGTGACCATGCCATGCCATGCTCCATGCCCATTGCTCGCTCCGTAAAAAGACGGTTGACCTTCCAATCCCCTTAAGCCATGTCCGCAGAATACACAACAACTCCATAGAATGCGTTCAAACCAAGGGAATGCACAAGCGCGTGCTCCGCCCATGCAACAAAGTCAGAAAAGGGTGTCAAGGAGCGAACTCTGCCCTATGAACCAAAGATTCCGCATCAGAACGTCTGAAAGCAAATGAGGATTCTCAGAACCAGCGTCCAACGATCCGCCCTCTGCAGAACGCCAGGTGCATAAGTCGTGTGCTCTCTCTGCGTCTCAGCTTTCATGTTCTTCGTCAGGCGATATGCTGTGGGCCATATCCATAGGGTCGCTTCGTATCCACAAAAGTTTTGTGGCATCTTCAATCCAAACCGTTGTGGTCCCTCGAATGCATCCATTCATGAGCTGTCCGGTAAACAAGAAAACTCAATAATCAATCAGCGCCCGCCGCGGCAACATGGACGGTAATTCTCTGAATAATGATCGGCACATCTGTTGCGAAACAATCCAGAGCTGACGATGTTGGGGGGGGGGGGGGGGGGGTGCCGTTGGCCACACGGTACCTCCCCTTGGACTCTCATCGTCCTTCTCTTGAAAGATAGAGCTCCTTCGGACCGAGAAAGAAGTACCACGATCATCATCACTCCATGTCTTCATCCTCGTCATAATCGTCATCATCATCGTCCAGACTCTCCATCGCGTCTTTGATGAATTGGGCAGCCTGAATTCCCTGTTAGTCACCCTTGACTCATGCGAAACTTGTCAAGACATACCTTTGGATCCAAGTTCAGCGCCATGGTGAAGGCTCTCACAGCATTGCCTTTGTCTCTCAAAGTCTTGTAGAGACGTCCCATCAGGAACCATACATTCGCCTCATCAGGCACCACATCCCTCAATATCATCAATTCGGCAAGCGCTTCCCTCGGACGCCCTAAGCTCATCAGACATCTCGCTTTCTTGAATCGACTCAAGGCCGACTGGGGCGCCAGGCTGCATGCGCGAGTGTACATGAGTAGTGCGTCTTCTGGATGCTTCTGTTTTTCCAGAACGAGGCCGATACAACATATCAACACAGCGTTGGTGGGATTAATCTTCGCTGCCGTCCGATAATGCTGCTCCGCAATATTCCACTTGCCCATTTTCTCGTACACTTTTCCTAAACCGTACCATGCGTTGTAATGTCTCCCATCCGCGGCGATCGCTGCTCTATACGCTTCAAGGGCTTTCTCGAACTCCTCGTTGGCGATGTACTCGTGTCCCTGGAGCGTGAACCCGTACGCGAATTGCGAGTCAAGTTGAGTTGAGCGTTTGAAGCATTTCAATGCTTGTTCATGCTCGCGCTGAAGAGAAAAGGAATTCCCGATTGCGCACCACGCTTGAGGTGACAATCGGTCAATCTCAATGAGCTCATGTGCCAGATAGGCCAGTTCAATCTCTGACTTCAAGTGCCAGAGGACTGTCGAGTAGACTTCCATGTCTTCAAGACGAGTGGGCGCAAGTTGACGGACGCGGATGAAGAATTTCTCAGCCTCGGTGTACGAGGCCTGTTCATAGTAGGCTTTGGCAATTTGACTTAGGATGTAAGGCGTCTCACGCTGTGAGGAAGGAAGGGCATTGTACATCTGAATGGCGGTTTGGCAGTCATAGTTGGAGAGGCAGAGCTGAGCGGAAGCAATTCTCCCAGATAGATCCAAAAGAGTTTGGAGTGCTTCTAGCTCTCTGTCCGCAGTCGAGGGCACTCGTGTTTTGTGATTTGGGAGAGGTGGTACGGGAGGAGGTGCGTTTGCGTTGGGAGCATTTTTGTGTTCTTTCGCGTCCACGTCCATTTGGTCGGCCGACCCGGTCCTCGTCCTATTCCCGCTCACGACCCTCCCGACAGTTGCGGCGTTCGCTGTTCTGCCTTTCGCAACTGGGGCCTTCGCTTTCTTGATATCTCGTCCTTCTCTTAGACCGAGCGTGTTTGCCAGAGACGAAATCTTGCTCCCGGCTGTGCTACTCGCACTAGGTGGTCGTGTTGTGTTAAGCAGCCGATTACTTCTTCTCGTTCCCTCAGTAATACTTGAGGGAGCAGCATGAGAGGATGTTGGAGCAGGCTGACCCGAAACCGTTCTCTTAGAAGGTGCTGCTGGCAGTGGCTGTGGAGGAGGATCTTGTAAGACAGTGGTAGATTCATCCGATGCACCTTTTGCTTTTGTCCTTATCCTAGTAGATCCTGACTTCCACCTAGGAGGAGGATCTGCGTGTGTCTCCGTCAAGGTCTTCGCTTTTCTGATGGGTGCCGGCGGTGGTTCGTGATATTGGTTGTTGAGCGGGGCACCGTGCAGGACGGCTTCGTCCCCTTCGGCCTCTGTTGACGGAGTAGCGAGACCTTCCTCGTCCAAAACCGTGCTGACTGTGTTGACGCTCATTTTGCTTCCATTAAGTTTTTCCCATAGCACTGAGTTCCCCGATTGTTGCTGCATGCTGGACTTTTGCGTCGAGACAAACGGATCTGATGGTGCTTGCGAACTCGTTCCCGATCCCTTCTCTGTCGGCGCATTTTCAATTCTTGCGCTCTGCTGTTGCGCTGAATGCGTCGCTGCTACCATCTCATTGTTCAACTTGTAGATGTTGGGCACACTAATCTTCGCTCCGGCATCGCATAACCCCATAAATGCATCCCACATGAATGGGTTCAGTTTCAAAGACGCGGCCCAACACTCCACAGCCTGGTCTACATTTTTATGTGCCTTCCAGAGCTTCCCTTTGAGGCATAAGACGGCCGCGGCATCGGGAAGATGCTGGCGTCTCGACTCATTGTGTTGGCTCCACGTATTCCTATTTTGCCAGTGGTGTTTGCATTTCTCTAACGCAGTGAGACCTTCGAGAATCCGACCGAGTTCTAGAGAACACTGAGCGAAAATGTAACTGCATCCCAAGTGGATACCTTTTACAGCTGCGGCGCGTGAAGTGTCCCACGCAGCTTTCAGAAACCCTGATTGAAATTGACAGTATGCGAGCAAGTAGGCAGCTTCGGGAGAGCGAGGCTCGTAGGCGACGAGACGGGAAGCGAGGAAGAGGGCATTTCTGAGTAGGTTGTTGTCGAGGTGATAGTAGATCAGTTGGCGGAGCTGCGCGGCAATGTGAGGTTGAGTAGGTGCCATGTTGGGATCAGCCGACGAGTCGATCGACCCTGATACAAGGTGAAGAATATGTTGAGTGATTGATTACGTCTGGGTGTTTGTGAGGGAACGCGGTCGAGAGGTCATCGATTCAAACCCCCCAGTCTGCTGCGACCCAAAACAAATGCGCCACCGACCATGAAGGTGCAGGGTGTGGTCAATTAATGCATGGAAGGCGGTGTCTAGTCGGGAAAGGTGCTCAAGGCCCGCAGAAGGATGTATAAGGAAGGTGAAGTGAAGATGCTGGCGTGGGAGAGTATCAATAGATTAGAATTCGGGCGGTTACTTGTGAGAGTTGCTGGTGTTGTTGTTCTGTTTGCAGCACAGACACCGTAGTGAATGCTCTCGAGGGCCGGCCCCGGCAAAACTGTGGCTGGATCTGCTCCACGTCCACAGTGGCCGCGGCGGGGAAGTTCACGTCTTCTTCTTCGATTGTCAATCAAAGAATTCTCTGCTATCAATCCTAGACTGCTGTCAATTTTTTGTGTTTTCTTGAGTCTCCTACGGCGCGAGATCTACTGCAGGCCAGTAGGGAATCTATATTCAGCACCGTCCAGTCACTTTCCGCACATGTTGAGCACATCTCTGCAGTCGCGCACATTCCCCCGACCACCTGCCACCTAATTGCTCATACACCTCTCAGTCATGGCTCAGGTGAGAGGCAGTCCCTCGTCACCGTATTTATTTCACTGACACTGTGGCGCCTGAAATAGAAAGCTGCCAAATCTCTGGCCACCCGCAATACTGCCCGCTTACGACAAACGCACCTCATAACTATTTCAATTCACATCCTGTTCCTGTTCCTGAAATTCACGCTCCGCCGCTCTCTATCCTTGTGGCTTTATCTCTTTCTAAGCGCTCCAGCCTTGCTCCTCGAAGTATACCTGGATATCCTCGCCCGACCAACATATCATCCCAATGGCGACTTGAAGAAGGCAGGGGAAGACCTGGATGCGAAAGGCCTGACGGAGTTTATGTGGGACATTCTGTACTGGACCTGGATCAATCTCATTGTTGTCATGATTTTCGGGAATCGCGGATGGTGGGTCTATTTAGTAGTTCCTGCATATGCTGTATACTGTGTTGTTGGGGCTGCACAGGGTGTCAAGGGCATGATGGGAGGACTGGCCGGAGGCGGCGCAGAGGGCGATGATATCGCGCAAAGTAAGAGACAGACAAAGATGGAGAAAAGAGGAGGACAAAAGGTCAAGTATCGGTAGACAAGAACCAAATGTTTTCAGCCCTTCGAACAGGATCTGTCGATACTCTGGGACAAGTTTCAATCCCCACCACTCAATATGCGCCGCCCACCCGCCCATTTTCTGCGAGTACATGTTGCTCTGAAGGCCCCCCCCCTTCCCCTCCATACATGCACCAGCTGGTACGTCCGTCTGCAATGATCCATGCAAAGGGACGCTTCACCTCTCATCACTCACCTTATCGAACCATCTGGCCAATCCCACTGTCCCGTACAGCTCCTTCCACTTCTCCCCCAGCTCGTCATCCTCCTCTACATACTCCCCGACAAATTCTGCTGTTTCGTTCGCCTTCTTTCCGACGCTTTCCTTGACTTTCTCGGCGGCCTCCTCAATCTTCTCGGACGCCCGCGCCATTGCAAGATTGTAGTATTCGACACTAGCTTTGGCTTTCTCTGCCAAGCGTTTCGCACTTGCATCGCGGCGCTTCTTGTAGCGTCCAAGAATGATAGACACGAGGTAGTAAGCTTTGACGAGGAAGCGTTGGATGATTTGCTTCACCAGCATGGTGATGCCATGGGAGAAGAATGCCCTCAATACCTCAACATGTAAGCCCTCGTACAGGGCACTGATACCTTCAGTCTGTGCAATGGTGAGGACTGTGCTAAAGATTGTAGCTCGAGCGGCTTTTCTGGTTTCTTCATGTTTGAAGTCTTCGCTGATAATTTCCTTTTCATCCTGATCCTCCTTCTGCGAGGAAGCGCCGCCGGCCTGTAAGCGGGACTTTGCGAGGCTAAAAGGATATGTGATTGAAGAGGCACAAGCTTTGCTGATCGCGGATAGGAGGAACGTGAGGCTCGGTGGGGGGTTGTGCCTTATTTCTCTGCGGAGGAGAATCTTTTTGAGCGTTTCAAACAGAAAGAAAGTGATTGTCGGATTGAGGGTGAGGACCAGACTCGCCGAATACCCGGACCAAAATCCCATGGGGCCTTTCTCCGAAAGGATGTCTTGGGCGATTTGTCGGGCTGTGGGCGTCCTCGTCGGTGTCGTGGTAGCAGACTCTTGCTGTCCTTCTTCCGAAGCCCTCAGTAACGCAGCAGCTTGTTTCCTTGTGACTATGTTCGCAATCGGGGTTGTTGCCAGCTTCGTGAAACTTCCAGCAACGAATCCGACGCCCAACTCTTCCAGCGCCGGTAGACTGACTTTCTTGCCACCATTCAATTTCGTATGCTTGGCGATCCGGCGATCTCTCAAAAAGGAGTATATCAGAAAGAACAAAAAAGAATCCGCAATCGTTTTGCCCGTATCTTGCAGCAGTCCCGTATACAATCCTGCTATCCCTCCTTCATTGCGGTAGATCTTCCGGAGGCCGTCGAAGAATCCTTTGTACTCTTCCTGACTAGGACGCGACTGGTCTTTGCGGAGTTGGCGCTGTATCTGGAGGCGGGTTATTATGAGGTCAACAGGGTAGAGCGTTGCATTGGAGATTGCGGCGCCAAGGGAGCCCGAGAGAGCGTGGCCTAGGGCCTCCAGGGCATGGGATCTCGCTGGTCGTGAAGAGGAGCGCACTGCATCTTCTTCTTGGACCAGATGGAAAAGTTCAAAGGCATCCTGCAGGAGGAATCACATGGGTTAGCATTTGCTTCGTATGTGTTGAGACAGAAGAGGAGCATGAAAGCCGAGTGGAGCCAAGTCGGACAGGAGCATTGAGCAGCGAACATACGAGTTGGCTATTGTACACGAAGTTCGCCATGGTCACGACGTAAACCTCGTCTGCACCATAGCGTTGAAAAGGACTAACAAGTTGACGGGATTTGGGAAAGAGAAAGAAAGAAATTAGGAAGCTGGATGAAGATGGAATGTCGAGATCGTCCCTCGGTGAGCGATCGAGCAATGATGTTATGTCGGCTCCCTACCCCACACTTGGTGCTCATCGCCAGCATTTCTCTCGGCCCAAGACTAACTCCTTATCACGTGCAAGGCTGTGTATTTTGATACAGCACCGTATACTCGGACAGGACTCTATACAGATAGATCGAAAAACCGGGGAAGATATACATTGGACGCTCGCGATAATACCCTCAAGTGTCCTTCGCGCTCCGAGGGTATTTTATTGAACGAAAATCTCACAAAAAGATCCCCCAAGCCACCAGATCTCACTCCTTTGTCGTCCTCAAGCGCTGCGCAACGACTCTGTTCTTAATCCCATTTGATCCCAAGCTGTCACATCTTAACGCCGGATTCCTTGGTCATGTCATCATAAGCCACGGTCTCTAGGTGTTCAGCCGAGGCCTCTCTAAGCCCTCATACTGGTCCGACGCCTGAGCCCATTTTCCGCCGCCTGAAGCTCTCTGGCAAATCTTTCGTCAGCATTCACGTCACTTTCTCCGCCTGTACTTCCTCTGCTAATAGGTCGAGCAGTCGCTTCCAGGGACGCACTACGTCTGCTGGCCATGATGCCCGCCATTTGGTGCGTGGTCCCCGAAGTGTTGCTTGATGAGCGTTCGCTCTTGATACTCGTCACCACCGTATGTGCGCTCGCAGCGCTTGATGCTCGTCGATCGTTCCTTTGCGGCTTTGAATATGGTTTGCTGGGCGATCTTTTATCTTCAGGCGTATATCGTTCTACTTGTTTGGGCTGTCGAGACGACTGTCTCGATCCAGGTGTCCAGGTGTAAGACCCAGAAAACTCGCCGTTTATGAGTGCTCCATTTTGCATCGTGGTCGGGGTGGTGGAAAGATTGTTGCTTTGTTTCAAAGCAGAGGAATCGGCTGATCCTGCGGTCTGATCATGCTCACTTTTAATGGGTGCTGCTTCCTCCTCCTCTATACTTCCCAGGGTGGGATCAATCAGTCCTGATTCTTGACCGGCTCCATTCGTCATGAAGACTTCTCCGTCGACGTGTTGATCATCCCCAGTAGGGCTCGCGTTGTTCAACGGTCCGGGCGTATGAAAAGTTTCTTCATCAACATCGTTGACTACTTGAGAGGCGTCGCCATTGGTCAAGGCGGGGTCGATCAAGTCCTCTAGGCTGTCGATTTCTGGTTCTGTTTGTTTGGTCTCATCATTGGCATGTGTGGCGCGTTTGACATTGGCCGATCCACGAGGCTTCGAGGGTTCTGCTACTTTGGCGGGATCGATGCGACCATATTGATCGTGTACACACCGACGCTGGGCTTCGTCAGCAGAAGGCAAATTTTCCGCCTCACGTTCGCTTACCTTGCTCTTCCTGCAGTCTTCGCAGGCTTTGCTCCGGCTTTTCTTCGAGGATGACTGAGGATCTGACTGCGTAACTTCCAAACCAACGCCGTCAGATATTCGTGCTTCTGGAGAGACAGCATCTCCCACGGTGCCATTGGTGAACCCTGCTGCACCTGCTAGGGAATGATGATCGGCACTAGAGAAACTCCTTGGCCGAATCTCTGGGGTTCGACGCGGTGTTTCACCACCTGACTTGTGTCGACATTTTATGCGGCGTTTCCGGCAAGGGTCACAAGCGACTCTCAATCCGTTTCCTCTGGGTCCGTTTTTGGCGGGGGGTGTTTGCGCTTTCGCCTGTGTCTGAGCTTGTGTTTGAGCCTGCGTTTGCGCATGAATTTGTGACTGTGCCGCCTGAGCCTGCGCTTGTGCAACTCTTCGAGACGAACTTCGTTCCCCCGGCAGACGAAATGGCTCGGGTTTCTTGATCTTCTCCCCCTTTTCCGGCTCTAGCGCATCATCCGAGTGAACCCATTCTGGGGCGGTTGTGTTGCCAGCTTTCCATGCACACCAGATTGCGAAGATTTTAATCATCAAAAGTGGATCGCCGTATCCTTTAGGTATAGACGCCTTCACAGCTTCGATCTGTTTCTTGGTGATATCTGGTACTGGCAAACCTGCATCTATTCGAGCCGTGCGGTACAGAAAATCTCGTAATGCTGGCCAACCATTCACTTCGGACTTCGGGTAGTACCTTGAATTGTAAGCTGGATCACCCGGCTCTGCTGTATTTTCAAACTCTCCGATTTCGTGCCAAATCGGGTTTGCTCGCAAGAAAACATAGTCAGGGTCATCGCGAAAGTCAGTCAACACCTCTTCCGGTAGCGGATCATCATCTAGGTACTTGATCAGTGCATACCACATGACTTTCTGGAAATAGGGATATCGGAATTTGGGTGCCACTTTGGTCGCCTTCTCAATGCCCACAACTTTGAGCTGCATCTCGTAGTCCAGACGAGTCAAAAAGTTGCCGCCGATCACCAAGCTGTCTTCAGGAGTCCAAACAGAATGGATCCAACCCGCAGGAATAAACGCTGTGTCTCCCTCGTGAAGGTCAACTCTTGTACAGTTGCCACCGCAGAGGTCCCCCAGCCAAATCTCGTTTTGCGAGTCTGAGTTGCACCATTCTTCGTACTTCTTGAGGTATTTGTCTTCAGGTGGGATAAAGAAGAACGTCTTCGACCCTCGCAGGATGTGGTAGTACACAGAAGAGCCTCCAAAATCAATATGGAAGTCCGTGTAGCTGTCGGCAACAGACATGAGGCAATAGAACGATACAGGCCTCTTCTTCAATCGAGTATCGGCGTCAGCCTCCCAAACATGATCGTCCAGATCAAGATCCCGAACTACTTTGGGCCGTCGGATAAGCCTGCCAAGTGGACTGTGTGAAACTTCGAGGCTGATAACATTTCGAATGGGCTTTTCACCTTCGAGCTCATAGTAGTCCGCCCATTGCTGGAGTGTGAAATAGCCCTTGGTCTCTTGAGACTTGACATCGATCACGGGCACAGACTCCTCAGGGCCGTAGAGCTCGGCAACTTTTCGGACCGTCAAATCGCGTGGAATCACCATATCCAGCAAGTCCTGGTCACAATCAATCACCTCTTCTTCCTCAAGATCCAACGGTGGCGTAGTATCGGTGCCTGCCTCTGCGCCTGCACTGTCAATGAGTGTGAAAGTTGTGGAATCTTTGCCAGGAGGACTTGAATCACGCTCGACAGGCACGGGCCTTACACCAAATCGAGGGTTCCATTCGGCTGGGACCACAAAAGGCCTTTTGAATCCTTCAAAGCTTTCCATGAACTCCATTGTAAGCAGTTCTGGTCTGATTCGTGCGAAATCATCTGGTAGGACGTTCATCTTGCCTTCTTTGAGCGGCTGGATATAGTGATGCGTCGAGGTCTCTACAGATGACTTCACCACGCCCTGGTTGAGGCCGGCATAGTCAATGGCGGTCCTGGGACGGGACGATTTGCGTACGTATGTAGTTGACCCATGTAAGGGCTCGCAGTCTTTGCAAATATACTTGTCCACGCTTCTTGCCTCTGCCTTTGTCTTGAAGCCAGCGCATTCTGCATGAAACCAGCGTTTGCAAGCGTCACAACTGATCCAGAACGTAGCGGTGTCTTCGTCATCCACGGTATCCAGTTGTAGGCGCTGACATGCCGCGCAAACCTCAGCTTGTTGCTCTGGCTTGATACGACGCTGCTTCTTGGGCGGTGGCTCTGCTTCTGCAGCTGCAGGCTCGGATGGTTCTTCGGATACTGGTGGCAGAGCATCAATAGTAACGTGAGGTCCCCTGGTCCCTCGTGCTCGAGCATCAGGTGCCTTTCCGCCATACGCAGCTTGTATTGACTCGGAAACCTCTGCTGTCGAAAAGTCCCTCGCATTGAACACATCTTCAGATACATATTGTTCTCTGGACCGACTCTTCATGCTCTGATGTAACTGTCTGACCGGACTCGCTTGCAGGTTCCGTAGTCTCGAAGGGGACGACTGGGGAGAGGTAGGGGACGTCGATAGCTGGTGTTCAGGCATCACGTCAAGCTTGGGGGTATTTGTATGATTTTTGAAGTTGACCTCGTTCTTCAGCTCAAGCAACAAAAGTGCATCTTCGTGGTCGACATCGGGTCTACTGCTATCGCCGCCGCTTGTTTTTGGTCTCTCTGCGCGCGGCGACCACTCGAGGCTGGGTAATCGTTCGGATTTGATACGTTTCGCGGGCGGACCATTTGAAGGACCTTCGTGGCTATAGCGACGGGTATAGGAGGTGGAAGGGCGAGTGGCAGTGTATGAGCTTCCCTTGGACAGAGAAAAGGTGGTTGCGCTAGCCAAAACGGGGCTTGTTGCAATTGCGGCGGTCGCAAGGTCATCGATCGTAGAGCCGGAGCGCGTATGTCCCTTTCCATGTGGGCGTCGGTTGTCTTGCAGGAAGCCGGAGGTAGGATTGGCACTTCTCGTTGCCCAGTCCAGCGATCCAACTCTGGAGCGTCCATAATTTGTACTCGCGCCACCTTTTACCCTGCCCGCAACGTGGGCGGCACCGTCCTGATCGTAGTATAGGTGATCTGGTTGCAGAGCGGATTCATTGTTCTCGAGTGCTCCAATATCCGAGAGGCCAAGTCCTCTTAATGAGTAGCCGCCCTCGGGTGAATAACGTAGAGGGAGCGAAGAGTCGTCGAGGGTAGGGGATTCGAAAGTGGGATCAGGGGAAAGGCGCTCGATGAGTTCGGCGGATGGACGTACAGGGCTCGCACCCCTGAGCCCTGCCAGGTCGCGGCTGCGACGCCAAACGGTCGAGGTAGGCATGATCGCCGTTGAGGGCGAGTGGAAGATCACAGTCGTAGTCGCAGTTGAACTGCTTGCGGAGGCGGGGTCGGCGAGTTGAGAGACGAGTTAGCTGTGAGAAGGGGGGCGACAGAAGGATGGCTACATTGGTGAACAAGCTGATTTGACCTCCGACAGGAGGCCGCACGCAGTGACAAAAGAATTGAGCGCCGTCGGGTGGTGGGCGAAGAGTTGTCACGGTCGAGGTGGTTGTTCGGAGCAGGGTCGAGGTAGAACGCAGACGGGAGTCGATTGTGACAATACGGCATGTACCGAGTTTACCAGGCAATTTTACAGCACCGCATCTTCTCCCTGCGCCGCGCGCCTTTCAGCATAACATTTTGCTTTGCACCTGTGATCACTCTATTCAACGTGCCTGAGGAGTGCTTTGACTACAGTTGGAATTCATCCCGAGCGTGTGGCAGTTGCACGACAGCTCAAAGTTCCCCAGCCATTGATACACGCTCTTGTACGAAGACTTACCAATCTCCCGTAAATTCTCCTCTTGCATCTTTCCAACATCCCTCCAACACAAAAGGCACGCCCACTTCCCATTCGAACGTCGTCGCCGACAACTCACCTCCCTTCAAGGAGCCAGTGTCTTCTTGTTCTCCTCTTCCACAATGTCGCGCAGCAACAAGCTGGCGCCCGAAGCAAATCGGATCCTCTTTGTCAAAAACCTTGCCTACGATATCGACACCGCCGCCCTCTTCGATCTCTTTGGCAAATTCGGTCCCATACGTCAGATCCGCCTGGGCACCTCGAATACTACAAAAGGCACGGCCTTCGTGGTCTATGAAGAAGTCTTGGACGCAAAACAAGCGTGCGACAAGCTGAATGGGTTCAACTTTCGCAACCGGTATCTGGTGGTGCTGTACCATCAGCCGGAGAAAATGAAGACGGAGGTCAAGGAGGATATTGCAGCGAGGCAGGCAAACTTAGAGAGGATGAAGAAAGAGCATGGAATTGAATAAAGGACTCGTAGAGCGCAGACTGATGGTCCGCAGCCGGAGTGCTGAAGCCGCCACTGGAGTGCGCCGAAGTTGTGCCGCCAAATAAATTTCAGGTCGACGGTCGAGTCTTCACACACAACAAAAATGTCCAGATATCACGGTGTTGAGGCCCTTTAGTCGACCCAGGATATCGCACAGTCAAAAGCTCTTTTCACAAGGGCGTCAGGAACCGTGCTGGGTCCCCAGCAAATTCATGAGTGGGTCATTTTTCGTTCACCGTCCTAGTCACGAGCACCACTAAAATTTCTGTCTATTCCTCGTTGCACGGTTCCTCTCATAATCACAGCCATAACTACAACAATGGACGACCATATCGTGGGTGTCCTCGGTGGCGGTCAACTAGGGCGTATGTTGGTGGAGGCAGCGAACCGACTCAATATTCAGGTTGGTGTCCTTGATGCCGACAGCGCCCCGGCAAAATATCTTGCAAACTCTGATAGGCATGTTACTGGATCCTTCGCAAATGCGTCCGATGTCAAGGCCCTCGCATCCAGATGTGACGTCCTGACCTATGAGATCGAGCACGTCGACACCCAGATTCTTGAAGAGCTGGAAGCAGAGAAACCGTACGTCGAAGGGACCAAATGGTCGAGGTTTCAACCCAGTTGGCAAACGGTCCGGACGATTCAAGACAAATTCACTCAGAAGCAGCATTTTGCGAAATATGCAATTCCCATCTCTAAGTCCATTGCCGTCAGCCCGTCACAGCAAGGGCTGAAAGACGCCGGCGACGCCCTTGAATACCCTTTCATGTTGAAATCTCGAACCCAAGCCTACGATGGGAGAGGTAACTTCCCCGTCAAATCGGCGTCTGATATAGGGCCTGCCATCTCAGCCCTTGCGGAACGGCCTTTATATGCGGAGAAGTGGGCTCATTTCAAAATGGAACTCGCAGTCATGGTGGTGAAAATAGCCCAGGAGGACGATCCCGACGCGTGGGAGACCAACACCTTGGCGTACCCTACTGTCGAAACCGTTCATGAAGACAGTATCTGCAAGCTTGTTTATGTTCCGCCTCGGGATGTCTCGCATGAAGTGGCACGCGCGGCCCAAGACCTAGCTCGACGTGCTGTTTCAACATTTCGGGGAACAGGAGTCTTCGGTGTTGAATTGTTCCTCCTTCCTGACGACAGCCTCGTTGTCAACGAAATTGCGCCCCGGCCCCACAACTCAGGACATTACACGATCGAGGCATGCCACATGTCCCAGTTTGAAGCACAGATCCGCTCTATCCTACCTGATTTGGCCTCAAAGATACCCTCCGGTGCGACGGATTTGACGGTCAAGGCAGCGATAATGTTGAATATCCTCGGAGGACCACAGCCTGATTCGCATATGCTAGTCGCCAAAGCTGCACTTGACGTGCCAGGAGCGAAAATTCACCTCTACGGAAAGGGTGAGGGTCGACCAGGACGGAAGATGGGACACATCACGATCACCGGGTCAAGCCTATCGGAATGCGAGATCAAAATGCACCCTTTGGTTCAGATGGTTGACGCAATCCGCGTGCATCGCAACGATAGATCTGCTCAGCCATCTGCTGCCTCGATTGTGAAGACTCAGGTGGAGCTGCTCGATTCGAATCCCGCTCCAGCTCCCCGGGCCGTGGTAGCAGTGGTAATGGGATCTGATACCGACCTCGCTACACTTCGCCCAGGCCTGACGATACTTGAGACTATGGACATCCCTTACGAAGTGCACATCACCTCGGCACACCGCACGCCACAGTACATGCTCGACTTTGGCAAGACTGCGGCTAGTCGTGGATTCAAAGCCATTATTGCCGCCGCGGGTGGAGCAGCACACCTCCCTGGCATGATGGCCTCGGAAACCACTGTCCCCGTCATTGGCGTGCCTGTGAAAGCGAGCTCTCTAGATGGATTGGACAGTTTGTTGAGTATTGTGCAGATGCCACGGGGTATTCCTGTGGCGACAGTGGGGATTGGAAACTCGGTCAATGCGGCGATCCTGGCAGCGAGGATTGTGGGATCAAGCGACGAGAGAGTACGGAAGTGGGTCGCTGACCACCTGCAGAAGATGGACGATGAGAACATGGAGAAGGAGCATCGATTGCAGAGAGAAGGCTGGAAAGTCTACAAGAAATTGGACGGGTAAGCGACGCGATGGGTGGGAGGTTTCGATGCTTGTCAGTTCTTTCATGGGCGATCGGGTGTTGGACGCAGGAATCTTGCTTTGGGGATTCATTTCTAGAGTTCTCGATACACTGCTGTCCAAGCTCAACCGTCGAGGCCTGGACAGAAACAGAAATATTCGCGGCAGATCGAGCACGAACTCTACTGAGAGTATGTCACACATAATCTCCCTTGGAACCTTGTACTAGCCCGGACCACTCTCCCCCTTGTGTACCATGTCGTTCCAGGAAAGCAGGAAATAATTGCCCCATAGTCTCACAGATTCCCGGAGGGTTGCTTCCGGGGAAGGCAGCCCATGTTGGGTTACACAACAGCGGTGATGGGTGGGCAGACATTTTGAACAAGTCACAGCATCATCGGTGTGTAACTTTCCAGGATGGGAATACCAAGGCTGAGGTTGCGTCGGCGTTGCAAAATCAGTGGCACAGTCTAACACGATGTTGGGATACAGCCTGTGTCTAGTGTAGTCAGAGTGCTCAATAGTAACGTCGAGGTGGCCGATATCTGAGATGGAGAGATGTAGCTAGTTTTGTATATCCAGACGACATGTTGGGGCACCACCGCCGCACAATGCAGATAGAATAGCTAGCTGTTATACCTGAGGCACATCTGGAAGGCCTGCGCCTATCACTTCTTACAAGTATGTACTCCCAATCTCTTTTCATCACACCGGATCTACGTGTTTCTGACTTTGGCTCGATGTCTGCAGGTGACGAATGGGGAAACTGGCGGCGAAGGGCGGAAAACGGATAATAGCGAGGAGGTCAGGATACAATCGTAAGACCAGGATCTTCTAGAGGTCCAAAAGTCCAGGCCGCCATGGAGCAAAGTGTGTGGTCAGGACCAAGGTGCGTTGGTTCGAGGGCATGCTGATGGCCAAGGTGATACAGCGAACGATCTCTTGTGCTCGCCCTCGTTTCTCGCTCCTCACTTTTCTCATTCCTCATCCTGGCCCCCAACGAGCCGCGACCCGACAATCACTGCCTGCCTCAGGCTTTTGTACGCAAGGGCTTACTTGTTTCGCTTGGTTGTGGTATTTTGTTTTGCGGAGAAGCTCGCATTCCCCAGCAGCCCTTGCAATGAACGAATGCTGTGCGTCCTCCGTCCACCGGTCAACGTGTCCAGGCCTCACTCACTGATCAACTCACCCATCCTCGCCATTCCAACACACGTTCAACATAGCTACCTCCTAGGCCCTCCTCCCCCGCCTTGGCCCGCCCGGTCGGTGTATTGGGCATCAATACACTTACACTTGCACCTCCCCCGATTGCGTGCGGTGATGATGCAGAGCATAGGTGGAGCTCCACAGCAAGTGAAGGACAGCATTAAGGAGCACAGCACACAGCACACAAGGACAGCTCCAACATCACCAGCTTAACGAGCCTTCCGCTGTCCACATTTCGCTTAGAGCGAAGAGAAGGAAGAGAAGGAAGAGCAAGAGAAGGAAATGGGCCGCTGGGGCGCTGGGGCGCTGGTCGCATCCGGCGCCAGCCGTCATCCCCCCGTCCTGCAGTGACATCCACCCTGTATCCTCTATCCTCGACCGTCTTTTTGTCCAAGCCCCTTGTGCTTTTGGTTTCCCGGGTTGCCCATTCCGCGCGTCACCCACACACGGCGGCCGAGGGGGATGGGGGATGGTGGGCGGGGGCAGGCAGACTTTCTCGCTTTTCCAATCCACCCGGGTCCCCCCCCAGACCGACTGGGGAATACGAAACGACTGCAAGTCCAAAAAACCTGGAAAAATCACAAAAAGCGTGCAATCGGGTTTCGGCGATAGACTCCCCTAGGCCGGGATCATACGAGCGTGGGATGGAGTGGATGGAAAAAGGGAAATTTCGTATCAAGTAAGATGTTTGTGACTTGGCACCTCTGCAAGCCTCAAAACGATGGTGCAGCTTTTTGTGTGTCTCCAGTCACCGACCAGTGGATCAGGATCGCGAGTCCGTACCAACGAGTAAGGACTCCTTAACTATACTTCTTACATGCTTGCACCGGTAAGTTTCCAAAGCATCGGGATTGGATTTGCCCACTCTGCCTAGCCGAAATATGGGGAGGGCGACAAGTTTGCTTGCTTCGGATCCTCTTTCAAATCGATCGAGAGCACGTCACCCCTTCGACTTGCAGCTTGCAGCAGGAAAAAGGGGGCGATCAATCGCCTCACGGATTCCACCGACGCATACCAGGAAAGGGCGATCAATTGTCTCAGTCAAGGCCCAGAATAACAAACCACAACGAGCCGGAAGCCCTCAAGGGAGGAAACTCACGGTCGGGCCCCCGTGTACAGAACAAACCCAAAGGAATTGGATGGTGCTCAGCTCCTCCAGTCAATGACCGAATGGGCTTGATTGAATTACCATCGGCTCGACTTTTACGGCCTAGCCCTTTGGTCCTTTGGTTCGGGTCCATTCCATCCCCCCTGCTCCCTGGCCCGGCGCGCCTCGTGGCGCTCCGGGGAAACCTCTGGTGGCTTTTGGGGGAGCTTGCAAGGTCCAGCCGGATTCGTTTGAAATGCGACAATCCCACGTCGCCTTGACCGCCAGATTTTTTGGGGGACCCGAACATTTGCTGAGCACACCCACTCCCACTCTGGCTCGCGAAGGGGTATATTTGATCCAGGCTCCCTCAAAAAAAAAGTGCTCCCTTGCTCCTCACCTCTCAGCTTCCTTCATTTCTCACTCAGTCCATCGATATAATCGGCCTTCGGTTTCATTGTTCATCCAGCTCATCGACAACTACCAACCACTATCTCGTTACATCCTCCACCAGCCTTGGGGCCTTGTTCATTGTACCTGCAGCAACTGCCGATCAACGCGGCTAGCGAAAATACCCAAGTGCCGAGCACCAGGCGTCGTGAGTTGATCATCACCTCGATAATACTGGGTCTGCATGGATTAGCACTGACCGGCTATTGACAGCTCAAGCAACGTCTGTCTCTATACAAAGTCTGACCTGATCGGACCCTCAAACCCTCCCATATCCGGCATCATGCAACGCATCTCCTACCGCTCTACCGTGCTCTCGTCGGAGACCTCGAGCCGCGACATGCACAAAGCCTTCGAGGCATCTCCACGTCCCAAGTTCGTCTCCTATTCCGATCGACGACAATATCCTGAGCATCACCCTCCTCCACCTCCTCCATCCCCGGTTCACTGGACCCGCGAGAAACAGAGCCGCTAGGTGGCAGTTTCTAGCAAGGCGTTTCGGGTTCCATTGAGTTTGGCTGGCGAACAGAGCTTTTTTTCGTTTGTGGATTGGCTTCGGCAATGTCATTCATAGGCCATGTTAGTTTGCATCGTGTGTCTTGGAAATGGGCTAATGGCAGCAACGTCTTGTGCGAGCATGGGTGTTTGTGCTCCTGTTATATAGTTATGTCGGCCCCATCGTGGGCCTTTGAAGGGCTCTCAGGGGACACCTGCGTCTGAGGGGCCTTGCCATCAGATTGAGAATAGATTTCTTGTAACCTTGCGAGAGCATCTGGATTTCCCCGAACCACTTGTTCATTTAGGTCTTGAATTTCGTCGCGATGTGATTCATGCACCAGTGCCAAGTCGACCGACACAGTTTTTTCATCCACGAATGTGCGAACGACATCTGTTTCACCGCGCTGCCGCTTGACTTGCATCAACTTTTCTAGAAACGAGGCCTGCTTCTTCACCTGGTCCTGGTCATGTCGGCCATTTGGGATCTCTCCACCCGCACCGGCTTGGCCATTGACATGCGGCCCATCTATCCCCGCTTCTTTCGATGGTTTTTCTTTCTTCAACATTTTCGCTGCTTGGCCGACCAGCTTGATGCGTGACATTCCTATCAGGTCATAGTCGTCGGTTGATTGCAGAACCTCGGCGGCATCCAATATGCCTGGATGAGTGAAGAACATGTTTGTACCCACCATATCGGCCCACGTGCAGCTATACACCTGGCCTTGATAGGAGATGATGGGGTTGACCGTGGTCAAATCCAGAATCTGCACACGTGAGGAGGGGGACGGCAGATGTGCATTCTCGTCATCCTCTCCATTCCGGGGAGGTGTCTCGTGTGGTTCCTGCGTCGAGCCACGGAGGCGGCCTCCTTCTGCACCAGATTCTGCAGCCTCGAGACCGGGCTCATCCGGCCCAGGTGTGGGAGGACCAGAGTTGGATATTTTTCTTTTCGCCGGCGTCACGGGCTTGGGGGGTCCGGCCAGGTTGGACTTGAGGTTAGAGTTCAAGGACGAGAGATCAATATCCACGAAGAAGGTCTGTCCAGAAGAAGATGTCAAGAAACGAACAGCTTTGTGGACGGTATGGAGAAAGGCGGCGTGATTTCAATCCACTGGCAAAAGTCCCTACCTCTGTCTCTGTATCGTCGTACTCATACTCCGAATCGTCTTCTGATCGGTGTTCGGGCTCATTCATGGCGGCTCATTATCACGCCAATGGTCATGCACCTCTTGAGTTGAGTTCTGGGATGTCGGAGTGTAGATAGGACGGGATGGGATGTGCAGTGATAGGATGGGAGACGAGGGAAAGAAATCACCTCACCTTCTGGCTGCTTTCACCCCACGGTGCCCACACATTTTTAGGCGTGCGCATCCGAGTTTTCTCACCGGTCACGTGACTGGGACATAAATTATTTCAAATGACGCTTCATCTGCCTTTTCACCTGCGTCGGTGCTCCCACCAAGCACCCCTCCGCCCCATCGCAGTCTCGTCCCTTGCTTGATCCAGATCCAAATTCAGCATGTGCCTAGCCCCTCGGCGATGCCATCCCACCCCTGAAGGCTGATAGCTAGATCTCCTCCGTCTCATCCAACGTGCTATAAATTGCCGGCTTCATTGGAGGTCTCACCCCCCACGACCACCCCCCTCTATTTTCGTACTTGGCGAGGAAAAAGAAACATCAAGCATGGGTGAAACAGCCTGGTGCAAGCGATGAAACAAGTCAAGATCAGCGGCTGGACAAGGTGCCAGATCAAGGCAGGAGGATTGGTTCACCGACTGAAGTCCGGATCAGGCTCTACACCTGCTGGGTTGGTTGGGGCGTCGCTACGTTTAACCACTGCAGGTTTGACGCCGGACTAGCGCCCGGGCTCTGACGAAGAGGATGTGAAGTCATTGGCAGCATTTCAGTAAATGACAGGTCAGGGCGAGTCACGCAGAATCCGAGACACATGAGGGAGAGGGAGAGGAGAGGGAGCGGAGGGAACAGCTGGTGCCAGTCACGTTCTTCCTCGTCCACTGAACTCCGTCATTATTCCCTCTTCTCTCACCCCCCCCCTCAGCTTCTCCCTCAGCCCGTGCATTCCAACTTTCTTTTCACTCACACTCATCACATGTAACTATCTCTAGCATGTGCAATTCATCTCTCCGTCTGGCAATCATTCATCCAAACCCTCCTGGCATGACTGACCCGACTGACCACTGACTAAAGAAGCCCAGCCCCGCCAATCGCTTGTCAGACGCCGATAAGGTACAAACGAAAACAGAAAACACCCCCTCAAAGGACTCCCCCCGGAAAGTCGGACATTTCGGTCAGCCTGCTTCCCAGTCGCCAATCATAGCAAAGAGTACGTCAATGCCTTTCTTTTCCTGGCCCTGATACCTGTATTACACATTCGGCACGCGGATGTTGGCGGAATGGCCTCTTTACCACAGTATTATTCATGCCCCCTCCCAGCGGGACTCCCAGCACACTCCCAGCACAATCCCAGGAAGCTCTGCGGTCGCTTATGGCGGCGGAGAGTAATGCGATGACGATGAAAGTCCCTGGCATTACTCTTCCCGTTGCAACGCCCGGGTGCTCCTCCCATCACCTAAGACATATTTCTCTCAATGCAGTCACCGCGCTGCCCTTCCGGGGGCCTTGCTGGGCCGCGTTTCCGCTGTCGCCGTAACATCCGCGTGGGTGGATGAGGCTGTGGTCAAATCACATTCTTTCTCTTGTTGTCAGCTTGCCTCCCTCGTGATGTTCTGGCTAATCCTTTCGGGTTCGCTCTCATGTACAGTGGCCTTAGCCTTGGGGTCCCATCATGCCAGCCAACCACCGCTTACCCGATCATTATATACCGTTTCGGCGGAACCCTCTATATTTCCCACCACTTCCTCCCCCGCGGCTTGGGTCACTCCAGCACACGACCAGCTTCTCCTCACCGCGCAGCCGTCCTCAGACACAGAACTCGACTCGGAACTCGCGACTGTCATCGTCCCTGTCGACCCCAACACTACTCGACACCAACCTCCATATGAACCGGTGATCGGGAAGGCCTTGGAGGGAGAAGAGCAGATGGGTCCCGTCAAGACAAAGGCCACCATTGGTGTGCTGTCGACTATTATATTTTACATGTGTGCCAACAGCATCCTGCGGGCCACACGTCCAGAGGTATTCATTTGGCAAGATGAAGACCGCGAGGAATCCAGCTGGATCGCTACCTCCAGGTATTGGCTTGACAGGAAATGCTGCCGCTGGCTGGGCGTCTGCGGTGCATTCCACATACATTACATCTCGGAGCACGACAAGTTTGGCCATCGTCCCTCGATAAATCACCGAGAGCGCTTGGTGGTTCCCACGCCCGACTGGGACTGGCAGCATGCCTGGACAGAGGGCAATGATCGGCCTGAAGACTGGACTCGCGATGAACGAGTGCTGAGGGAGATCCCAGACTACGTGTACGAGTATGCTCCTCTCGTCCATCTCTACTCAGGAGAACAGTTCTGGCCGTGCGACATTGCTGAGCACCTCTACCACATCACCCCAACCTTGAACTACACGCCGGTCCAGTCCGAGCAGCAGCACCCGTCGCTCCAGGACTTGGACGAGCTGAACCAGTGGGACAAGGGTCGGTGGGTGTTTCTGACTAGCAACGACAACGTGGAAGAACGGCCAGACTGGTTGGAGGGAGAGAAGAACATCCCAACAGGACCGCCGAGGCCAGATGACCCATTCGAAGACAACGAGGGCTGGGTCCACAAACCAGGAAGAACGTATCTTCAAGGTGTGAAGGATGCATTGGATGACGCGAAAGAATGGTTTGCACCGGACTTGGATGGTTTCGAGGCAGACGACGATTTTCAAATGACGGCCTCGGGCCAATCAGAGCAAACGCAGACCGCACGCCGGATTCATCATGAATTGAGACGCTCAACCGCTGCGGATCACGCGCCGCCAGACAGGCTCCGAGGGGGTCGGAGCGATGCGCCTGCAGTTCTGATCACCGTCAACAAGGGCCATGGCATCGTCGACGCCTTTTGGTTCTTCTTCTACAGCTTCAACTTAGGGAACGTGGTGCTCAATGTCCGCTTCGGCAATCACGTGGGCGACTGGGAGCACACCGCCATTCGATTCCAACACGGCAAGCCGAAAGCCGTTTTCTTCAGCGAGCACAACTTCGGATCCGCCTACAGCTACGAAGCTGTGGAGAAGATTGGGAAGCGCCCTATTATCTATTCCGCTTATGGCACCCATGCCATGTATGCGACACCCGGCACCCACCCGTACATCCTGCCATGGGGGATTCTTCACGACATGACTGACCGTGGGCCTTTATGGGATCCAGCTTTGAATTCGCACGCTTATACATATGATTACAAGAACGACACCCTGCGGTCGTCGAACCATACCCCGAACGCCCCGACCGAATGGTTCCACTTTGCCGGCCACTGGGGGGATAAATTTTACCCTCTGGGTGATAAACGGCAATACCGGTTCGCCGGACAATACCACTATGTCAACGGCCCACTGGGCCCAAAATTCAAGCATCTGGGGAGGAAGAAGATCTGTCAAGGGCCAGAAACGGCACCTTGCGTGGTCAAGAATTGGCTAGGCAGTGGGGATAAGATTGGCCATTTACGTCTGTCCACACTTGAAGAAGAGGAAGGAGACAACGACCTATAGACGAGTGCGCGAGGATGTGCAGACGAGACACGGGATACGGATATGACTCTAGTGATGTCTTTTTCACATTTGTTTACAGTCCTTTGATGACCAGCATCATGATACCCTTTGCGATACAGGTTTTGGAGGGCAGGATGGCATTGGCGGACGGCGTTCTGGGGAGATCTACAGGATCTTTGTTTCATTATCAGATTATCGCTTGATACCCTCCTGCTATAGACTCGGTTGGATATCTACGACTGCCTACTGTACCAACGGCTGAATACAAGAACAGTGAATGAGCAGTGGTCTATAATTGGCAAGTTGAACAGGACTGTTCTTTCCCACGGCACACAACTCTGGTTTCCATTTCCATTATGTTGCCATAGAATTCGAGGCTTGTATGGGGTGCATTGCTTTGCGTTGCCCCGAGGTGGGAACTCTACAAAGGCTCAAGCAATTACAAATAACAGTGTGCACAACTACGGAGGACGGAGTGCATAGGACCACATATAAACCACACCGCCTATGGAGTCTGTCCCCTCTCTTATGTAGATACCTGGATACATAACCATCCGGGACTTAAGCGCCAGACTATGTACTCGTATCTCCGGAGTTGGTGACTAGCTACAGTAGCTCCAACACCGCCAGGCCCTAGGTACGTACCTACCCGAGCGACTATCACTTATAGTCAGGGAGTTTGGCTAAAGATGTGTCTGCTCGATGTACCTGGGCACGGAGTTAGATACATACCGAGCTAGTAATAGGTGTTGGTGGTGGGATCTTCCCGATGTCTCAGTCAATCTCACCCTCCCACCCCCTCCTCGTCCGCGATCTCATCTTCGTCCGTTCCCCAGCCTCCTCATTGTTCATATGCCGCTGTTACTGTCCGTGCGGGGAGATGCGATGGAGGGGGTGGGAACATGGATGGGATGGGATGAGGATGGAATGTTCTTGTACGTGATCTGCCGGGTGGTAGCTCGTGCGCTGCATAACACTGGAATACTGGGCCGAGTGTTTTTGTGCATTATTGAAGCTCTGTCCGTCGTGTACTTTCGTTCGGTTCGACTATCCCCTCCTGGCCGGCTTACTGCGTGACTAAATATCTTGTCTGACTGCTGTCTCGCTAGCACTGTTGCTGCGAAGATGTCAGATAGATACCTGCTGTGGATGCTAGGTAGCGAGCGAGGCAGATGGGCAAGGTACCGCATCCTTTCTCCCCATGTCGGTAAGCCACGATCTCTCTCCATGGACAGCTGCATGTCTATCCATCTGTCTTTGTATCCGGCTATCGATCTAATCACATACATATCTCGCCAGAGATCTCTCCAGCTCGTCAGTCACTCCCTGGCTGAGGCACTCCCTCGCTCGTTTACCTCCCATCCAAGCTTCCCGCCCACTCTATCCACATACCCACCAGTTCTCCAATGGGCAAGTATGCAGATTTCCTTTGTAACGACGCCTTACGCGTCGGTGTTCTTTTCGTTCGGACCTGATTGGCAGGCCGAACTAATACCCGGATCACACTCTGGCCTCCAGCAGCCCAGCCGCCCGGCCAGCGCGGTGCATTGCAGTGCAGTGGGGACAAGCGGTATCACCCGGATGTCATTGTCGAATATGGACATGGAGATGATGAAAGGTTGGTGGTGGTCGTGGTGACGATGATGTAGAAGATCATGGGTGACAATGCCGGGGGACGATCACGACAAAACACACACCACCACCGCATCGGCCATCTCGGATGCTCTGACTAACATAGGTACGTAGCCAGATAGCTAGATACGAATGTGTACGGGGTTATCAGCGATGACGATGATGCGGTATCCTTCTACGGGGCACACACGGCACACTACCTCCTGAGATGCCAGGGGTTGTCTTATCAATTCCCTGCTCTCTCGCGAGGCCGGTCTCGTCGGTTCATCTGGAGGAGAGTCGATTGTCCAGATATGTATGAGAGAGGTGACCGCCGGGAAGATTCGACGTCGTCTAGTCTATGTGTGTACTGGCGTCACAGAGGTGCTCATATACATACTCTCCAGTCTGGTCTAGTTCTTGTCTCTCAGCATGGGTAGGTGCATACCTACCATAACATTTTCGATCGTGGAACTCCAGATCTTCTCCCTGGACCTGATTCCAAAGCGTAGCAGACAGGGCCGCGGAGTTGGTTGGGGACGTATGAAAGTATTGTTGTCTTCCCATTGCCGTTTCCTTAGCTATATAGCGAAGATATGGATCAGCACGGCCAATGGTCTGATCTGCTTGAGTTTGGTCTTTGTCAAGTAAAACGAGGCTGATAGAAGTTGAAACGGCATGATAAAGAAGCTGCCTCCGTGTAAAGGCTGCTTCTTCCGAGCGATCGAGTCTGCTGGCTGACTGCTTTGCCCTGGAGGATCCGTGCCGGCATTGGGTCAGACGAGAACCCTATCAGAAGTCATGGCGTAGTCAATGTGAGACTGAGGGTCAAGGCACAGTGGGACTGCAAAGAACCCACCGACCTAATTCAGCTGTGATCTTGTATGAACTTCTGCATATACTCGAATGAAGCAGCCCATCGATAGAATCCATCTCCCCCGCCTCGCCGCCACAGGCGCCGCTTGGCTGGCTGGCTAGCTGGCAAGGCTGAGGAATGTCTTGGCAGGGTCATGACCTCAAAGCCCCGCCCGCAAGGCAACGGGCTTTGGTGCCTTTCCCAAACGCCTGCGCCTCCGACCACTGAGCGAATTTTGCAACATCTTCAGACACAGCCTCTCCGAGCAAGTTGACAAAGGACTTGCTAGCGAGACGAATACATGGGACAATAGCAACCGCAGCAGTCCTCTGCCCCCCGCCTCCGCTCATGCACCCTCCCGATCTCTCCCCCTCCTCAGCGGCCGAGTTGCACGATGGTCTCGTTTCAGCACTCCAGTCGTCTCAATCTTCCGCCAGCCTTACAATAACAGCTACATCTATACTTTTCAGTATAGCGACCGCAGCTGCTTCTCCTCTTTCGACCGCCGTCCCTTCGCCGGCTCCATCGCCTTCCTCAAGCATGTCCGACGACGAGAGCAGTGGCGAATGCAAACTCTTGGGCCCTTTCGCTATACTCGTGCAAGGAGCGCTGGGCGCTCTTGCTCTGTTGTCCTTGGTTTACAAGAGATGGAGAGAAAGGCCACAACGACCTCTTAAGGTCTGGTCCTTTGACGTGTCTAAACAAGTCGTCGGGTCGATCCTACTCCATCTGCTGAATCTCCTCATGTCGCTTTTCTCCTCCGGCCAGATAGGAGAGACTGTCGTGAATGCAGCAGCAAGTACACTCGGATCAGAAACAACCACAGAATACCAGCCGAATCCATGCTCATTCTACCTGCTCAACCTGGCGATTGACACGACCATCGGCATACCCATCCTCATCGGCATCCTCAAGATTTTGACAATCGGTGCGCGATACACACCTCTTGCGAACCCTCCCGAATCAATCGAATCTGGACACTATGGCACACCTCCCAAGGCCTCCTGGTGGGCAAAGCAGTGCCTTCTCTACTTTATCGGCCTAATTGGCATGAAGATCTGTGTGTTTATTATTTTCCAGCTTTGCCCTTGGTTAGGCCGTGTTGGTGACTGGGCACTGGGCTGGACGGAGGGCAACGAAGCGGTCCAGATTGCGTTTGTCATGTTCATCTTTCCCTTGATCATGAACGCTGCCCAGTACTATATCATTGACACATTCATCAAACAGAAGAAGGGACCACACGACGATGGAGAGGAAGAGACAGGGCATCAAAGGCATGAAGAACATGGGTCTTTGTTGCCAGATGCGGGGCCTGATCATGGCCGTTCACTCGACGAGGATGAGGTCTGCAAAGCCAAAAGTTCGTCCTCCAGCCAGCTCGAGCGGATCATTTCCTACGATCCCGATAAGGACGGGGATGTGGATGTGAACGAACAGCCGGGCGGCGGCGGCGGCGGCGGCGGCGGCAGCAGCAGCAGCAGCCTGAAAGCCCACGCCGAAGAAGAAAGCTCGGAAGAGCGGCCTCGGATATGACTTGAATGTTTGTCTGCATTGCTTTGGATGGTATACCGGAAATGGGAGAGTACCCGGGTGGGCGCTCACGGGACCGTTGTATATTTGGATAGTGGCAGGGAGGAATACACGCATGGAATACCAGACCGCCACACGCGGACGGGCCGAGTCGCCATGATCAATCTCTGAATTTTGATTACGTCTGATGTTACTCCGCATCCCTGATTCTGGGGATTTCTCCCTCGAAGTTTTCTGAGACCGTGACTGCTCCCAGCCCTCTATGGCTCTCAACGGCTCAGCATCTGCACCTCTTCCTATTCGCCCCGATGCTAAGCGGCGCAAGGCGGTACAGGTTGGGTAATGAAGGGGGCAGCTGATAGGGCAGTGCCCCTGCGCGGCGATGGATCTGGTTAAGAGGGGCTCCATCTGTGCCTGAAAGCCCCTTCGCTCGGAAGGTGGCTATCCAATTGCGGGGGAACTGGGCGATGCTGTCTCGTAACAAGTTCCTGAATTCTCTCATTCCAGGAGCCATGTGATGTAGGCAATGAAAAATTCTTTTTGGCTCGCGGGGCACGCGTACGTCTTCAAAGATCCCATTGTATAAAAAAGGCTCAAGGATCCGCCCTTGCTGCGCCCACGAGACCCCCCAATCCACCACCACCCCCCTTAGGCACAGAGCAGTTGCGCACTTCCGCCCCCAGAAGGTGTTTCAGCTGCGGTGAGACTTCTCGCCATCCGATATCTCGTCTTTGCTCTTATCGAACCCGCGTCATTGGCGATCACAAGGGTCTGACTGACGCGGTGCCCGAATTGGACGCTTGACCTGGATCGAGCGGTTATAATACCCTGCGGACAGCCTCATTAGCCTCGCTTTGTTCGCATAATCAGTCCAACTCCCGCTTCAACCAGCCATATCAGAACCTCCTCAGGGGCCCTTGGGTGCGGCTGACATGCTCACCCTTCGCGACAAACACCATTAGCTGAACCTACGTATTACCTGTCCAGAGAGCTCTTGAGCTCGACGTCTGCCGCTGCCTCTTTCACTTCCTTCTTACATTCCATTGATTCTGTCGCTCACTGTTCTGGCCACTTTACATCGAATTTCCTGCCGTACTTCTCACCACACTCCTTTCCGGAACGAACATGGATCATCTCTCGCTCAACGGCGACCAGCCGCTTAACCCGGCAAAACACAAGCTGGTCGAGCAAATCATCAGAACACCGGGGAGACAACCCTCGCCCCAACCAACTTTGCTAGGAGTGCCCGGTGCCTCTCAATCCAATCAGTCGCTACACCGTATCTTGTCGGATCATAGTCCTGGCTATGTTGCACCTCAATTCGAGGGCAAGAGGGCGCAAATGGAAGAGGGTGCGTTCGCAGGCCGTGGCCACAGTGAAGAGAAGCTGACCCAACCGCAGTTATGGACCTCATCGAAGAGAAGGGCTTCCTTCCCACCGAATTTATCGCCTCCGAGACTGAATGGTTCTACAATTCTCTGGGAATCGACGACATGTACTTCTCCACCGAAGCCGTCGAGGCCGTGGCAAGCAACATCCTCTCGTTGTATGCGGCCAAGCTCGCTGCGTACGCGCGGGATGACAAGAAGCTGGAGATCAGACTGGCCAAAGAGGCGTCCGACCATGCGGTCTACATTGACACAAGCAAGCCCGGAATAAGTATCATTGACGGGCCGAGATACGAACAGAGAATCGACGAGAAATACATCGACGGCTCGACACCGGCAAGGAGCTTCCGTGTCGAGTCCTTCCGATCGAGCAACGCCCTGCCAGAAAATCCCGACGAGTCATTGCGATGTTATTTCGTCTATGAGTGTCAATTCAAGAACCCGAACCCTGGCCCCGACGAGACGGACGTCGAGGTCATTGGTGAGAAGAGGTTCCTGCAGAAGGCGACGCAGAAAACCAAAGAGATCTACCAGGAGATTATCACCTATGCTGTTGCACGGACTGGCCCGGTCATCGAGATGTTCGAGATGGAGGGCACCCGAGAAAAGAGACTGGTCATTGCCTACCGTCAAGGGTCGGCCATGGGCATTTTCAGTGCCCTGTCAGACCTCTACCACTACTACGGAGTCACGAGCTCTCGAAAATACGTCGAGCAGTTTTCCAACGGCATCACAGTGGTCTCTCTCTATTTGAAACCGGCCAGCAATGAGATTGCCAAGTCAAGGTATCCTCCGATCGAGGCATCAATCCACCAGATCATCAAAGAGGTCTCGTTGCTTTTCTGCGTCCCTCAGAACAAGCTTCAGGGACAGTTCGCCAGTGGCAATCTGAGCTTGCAAGAAAGCATCTACGCCCATTGCGTGCACGTCTTTGTCCAGCAATTCCTCAACCGGCTCGGCTCCGAGTACACCTCGTTGGTCGCGGCGTTGAAAGGAGACACCAATGCCAATGCGGAATTGCTTTCGAAGATCAAGAAGCGGCTGCGGACAGAGACATTTACCTCGGACTATATCCTCGAAATCATCAACAAATACCCCGAGCTCATTCGCAATCTGTACCTCTCGTTTGCGAGCACCCACTATGTGCAGACCAGAGGAGAGCAGGATGATTTCATTCCCACGCTCAGTTATCTGAGATTGGACGTGCAAAACGTTCTCGACGATGCCACGTTGGCTGAGATGGTCTCGACGACGACTCAAAACCAACACGATGAGATGGTGATGCAATATTTCTTGACCTTCAACAGGGCCGTTCTAAAGACCAACTTCTACACCCCAACCAAGGTGGCTCTGAGTTTCCGTCTTAAGCCCAGCACTGAATTCCTGCCCGAGCATGAATATCCACAACCCTTGTATGGGATGTTCTTGGTCATTGGGTCGGAGTTCAGGGGGTTCCATCTTCGGTTCCGCGACATTGCACGTGGTGGCATTCGGATCGTCAAGTCTCGTAACAAGGAACTTTACGCAATCAATGCCCGAACCCAATTCGATGAGAACTACAACCTGGCCAACACTCAACAGAGAAAGAACAAGGACATTCCAGAAGGTGGATCCAAAGGAGTTATCCTTCTTGACTATCAACATCAAGACAAGACTCGTGTGGCCTTCGAGAAATACATTGACAGCATCATGGACCTTCTTCTGCCTCCTACGAGCCCTGGTATCAAAGATCCCATCGTCGATCTGCATGGTCAGGAGGAGATCCTGTTCATGGGACCGGATGAGAATACCGCCGACCTCGTGGACTGGGCCACGGAACATGCCCGTGCAAGAGGTGCCCCGTGGTGGAAATCCTTCTTCACTGGCAAGAGTCCCAAGCTGGGTGGTATCCCCCACGACTCATACGGAATGACGACTTTGTCCGTCCGCGAGTATGTTCTGGGGATTTATCGCAAGTTGAACCTGGATCCCAGCAAAATCAGAAAGCTGCAGACCGGTGGTCCGGATGGAGACTTGGGTTCCAACGAAATCCTCCTCAGTAACGAGAAGTACACCGCCATCGTTGATGGTTCTGGTGTCCTCGTTGACCCGGAAGGACTGGACCACGCCGAGTTGGTACGTTTGGCAAAGAAGCGAGTGATGATTTCGCAATACGACATCTCAAAACTGTCACCACTAGGATACCGCGTGTTGGTGGAAGAAAATAACATCACATTGCCTTCTGGCGAAAAGGTCCACAACGGCATGACGTTCCGAAACACGTTCCACCTTCGCGATGCTTCGCAATACGACCTCTTCGTGCCTTGCGGTGGTCGGCCGGAATCCATCGATCTGTCCAGTGCCGGCAAGCTGATCGTGGACGGCAAGTGCAAGATCCCGTACATTGTTGAGGGAGCCAACCTGTTCATCACGCAAGATGCCAAACTTCGACTTGAAAAGGCCGGCTGCGTCATCTATAAGGACGCCTCGGCCAACAAGGGCGGCGTGACTTCGTCGTCGCTTGAGGTGCTGGCAAGCTTGTCTTTTGACGACAAGGGCTTTATTGAGAACATGTGTGTTCACAGTGACGGAACCGTCCCCGAGTTCTACAAGACGTACGTCAAGGAAGTCCAAGAGACCATCAAACGCAATGCTCGCCTCGAATTCGAAGCCATCTGGCGTGAATACGAAGCCACGGGGATCCCTCGCTCGACGCTCTCCGATCAGTTGTCTCTTGCAATCACCAAGCTTGATGAGGATCTTCAAAACTTCAACGATTTGTGGAACAACAAGACGCTTCGGCACCAGGTATTTAAAGAGGCGCTGCCCCAGACGCTGCAGGAGAAGGTGGGACTAGACAAGATCCTGAGCCGTGTGCCGGACAACTATCTCAAGTCCATCTTTGGGAGTTTCCTGGCCAGCCGATTTGTGTATGAGTATGGCGCGACGCCCAGTCAGTTTGCCTTTTTTGATTTCATGAGCAAGAGGCTCACGGATGCGGTCGCCAACGGACAGTGATCGGGGGGATGGACGCGTGCAAAGACATGGTTTCAAGGCAAAGATATTTGAGGGCGTCCCGTGACGAAGGGTTTGCACGAGAATGAAGGTGCTAGATGTCTACTTAAGCGGATTAACAGATGAGACTCAGGAAGGACGGGTACATGGTCATAGCGGGAGCGAAAAGGGGGACAAGGGGGAAGACAAAAGCAAGAGATTGTGCGAGACCGACATAGACCCGGCAAGTCAGCGACGCAAGCAATACAATGAATGCGATCCATGATCTGTAGCACGGCTTTGTGTAGAGTCGATTTGTTTACGAGGGAGGCCCCTCGCTTCGAGTGCCATCACGGACAGTCGATGATGTTTCTGGACGGTTGTAAACTGTCTCGACCGTTGAAGTCGTTGGTGTACTGATTTGACTATCTAGTACCTGACGATTGAATTCCCGCGTGCTTCGTTCACCTCCCACCAAGCACAGCAAGGAAGTATATACTTACAGTGGTTACCCCTGCGTCTTCCTAGGCTGGCAGTACAATCCATAGATACATCCGTATCCACCTCAAACTGCGAATACTCTTCTTCTTTTCCCCTTCTTTCTTTTCTCCCCTTAGTTTTCCTTTTCCCTTCCTCTACCCTGCCCTTGCCTCCCCTTCCGTCCTCTGCAGTGCCTTGTTGTACTGTCCTGCCCTGTCCTGTAGTGTACTCGTCCTAGCTAGACCGGATATGGAACCTCTAAACGACCCGCGTGGATGGGTGGACGCGCAGCCCTTGCAGCTGCTCAGCTCCTGTAGGACGGGCGGCCTTGATTCACTACTCTACTCTACTCTACTCTACTCTACTCTAGGTACTCTAGGCAGCCCCTAACCAGCCATGCACGCCCGGATTCTGCGTTCTGGATTCGGGACTCCGTACTCGGTAGCGCTGTGCGAGGAGTAGGAGTACCACCCATTCTCCCGTCCTGGGAGCATTACCGGCGATCCGGGTCCCTTGGGCTTAGGAGCGTTTCGGCCTGGGGTCCGTTCGCGCCGTAAGGCTGATGAGCTGACGAGCTGACAGGCTGGCGAGACGAGGGGCGACGAGTAGTATGTATGTATGTATGTATGTATCTAGGTGGACAGTTAGGGTAACTACCTACTAAGGAGGCAACTATTCGTACAGAGGTATTTAGTCGAGCAGACCGCAAGTGGCTCCGCCCGTACACTAGCGCCAACTCCCTCCACCTCCTCATTCATGCAACCAGCCCAGCATGCCGAATACAACCTTGTAACAGGACCGACGAGGAGCTAGGGTGGCACCCACACCCACAAATAGTCTAGAGCGGTTAGGCGATACGACAAGGTTTATTGGGGATGTTGTACCCGTGGGTAGGGATTCCCAGCCTTATGGGCGGCCTGAATATAATGGTCCTGACGCATCCCATCCCATCCCATCCCATCCCATCCCATCCCATCCGGTTCTTCCCCGTGATATTAAATGCCTGGTGTTTGGCCATCTACTCCGTACATGAAGCATTCAAACAGAAAACCAGAAGAGCGGGTGAGAACAGAGAGGAGAGGAAAACTCACGGAAAGGAACGAGCGAGCATCAGATTCCCTCTTTCTTATATCGTATAACGGAAGGCTCAAGTGCATCGCCGGCACATCACCCGATACCTGGTAGGTTGGCGGAACCTCCCTCTTCTTTCTCTTGCGAGGCTTGCCTCCCAGCGAGTTGAATCGTTGAGACTGCTCTTGTTTGCTGACTTGATGGACTGATTCCCATTGCAGAACCACCCCCCGCCGCAGCCCGGCACACGAATTCGCCATCCAACAAACCAACCCCCATGAACACGGCATGCCGGTGCTCATCGACGGTGAAAAAGGCCAGGCGAGACGCAAGCGATTCGCCCCGAAAACGCGGACCGGGTGTGTGAACTGCAAGACCCGTCGCATCAAGTGCGGCGAGGAGAAGCCTTCGTGTCGCCGGTGCGTCGTGTCCCGGTTGGAGTGTTCCTACAAAGTGCCCGAGACGTGGTTCTTTGAATCAAAGCTCGACGCCACCCGCAACTTCAACTCCCGCTCCGGGAATCCAGCTGCCAGGCCGCCACCACCTTCAACATTGGTGGAATTCACAAGTTTCCTGGATGGCGAAGGTGACGCATCGGGCGAGGATGGACAAGACAAATCCGCGGTGTCTGCGCGAGGGAGTCATTCTCCAGCCGTGTCTTCGTGGGCGGGTCCCAAGTTATACAGGTCCCAGCATGAGTGCGACGCGTTTCAGAGCTGGGTCACCTTCCTTGTCCGATACGTCGAGCCTCGTGCGAGGTTTCCTGGTAACGCCGATCCCGACCCAGACATATACCGCCTTGTCATTCCGCAAATAGCATACCATTCTATGGCGCTTCGAGACGCCATGATCGCATGCGGCACACTTGTTCAGGCCGTGCAGCGAAAATACGCCCAAGCAGCCTATCAAAAGACAATGGCCATGGTACTTCAATACGCCACCCGAGCCATACGCGAGCTGGCGACCAGTACCCGACCACTTATCGAAGTGGTGCTGACAGCATACACGTTCTGGTCTCTGGATCTCATGTCCTGCAACTTCCAGAGCGCCATGATGCATCTGTTGAGCGCATTGCAGATTGCTCGCCAATGTCGAAAGGCGTTGGCTAGTGATGAACTTGCCTCGCTGTTCGTTGAGGGCATGGTGTTCAATCTCCCAGACCCGCAGGCCGCCCCGCCGCCTGACATAGGCAATGACCCGCCAGATATCAGAAGAATCAAAGCCGTAGTGAAACTTGAGGTCGAATATGACAGGGTCGCTGCGTGTACTCAGCGAGTGACAGCGAGTGATGTGCCCAACAAGAGGGAGACCCTGGCCATACTTGACGAATCGAGACGTGAGGTCCAATGGATCCTCTCCAAGTACAACACTGCGGAGCAATACACGCGATGGCTCCTGCACAAGGCACAGCAGGTCGCAGACGGCTTCAGTGTGACAATGCCCAAGCTTGAGAATAGACCAGGAATCTTCCAGAAGCTTGTCAGGGACGTTGATGAGTACCTTGCGAGATCTGCCAGTGGGGATGCTCAGTCTCAAATCCCGATGGGCCTTTGGAGAAAGGACGCCTCGAGCGGGACACTCACGCTCATGGTTCTCACTGCGGGGACAGATCTGCCATTGAGGCATATCACTATGGACTTTTTCGAGACAGCGAGGCAGATACGGTGGCCTGGGAGGTGCCAATTGTGAATTTGACCTTGGGTGGGACGGCTTGCTATATGCAGCAGGCATTGGGGGCAGGAGCGTTGCGGCTGAAGTCTTCGCCACGCTTCTGAATGCCGACATGCGGAGGTGAATTGAGTGTACCATAGATATGATCATCATGATGGACCAGGAATGGCTCTACGAATGGAGGGATAGTTTATATCGGAAGGAAGGTGTTGGTCGGGTCGTCATTGGGTGATTTTTGCTGCAGCGCCTGCCAAATGAGCGACGGGCTGGTCTTTGTTGAAGATTCGACTGCATCAATTCCATTGCTGTATTGTAGGCCGTCTGTAACCATCGCGCCAGCCTCGTAGCAGGCTAAGGTCGTGGCCGCGTGGAATGTATTGATTTCGGGGCTCTCATGTTCCCTGTGGCGGCCAACGCTGCGACCGCGGTTGGTGCCTTGGATGTGGGAGCTCTTCGTGTCGGCGCTGAGGATTTAGATGCGTTTGTCGACAGTACCGCAACGGTAGCACTGTTGGTGGTAAAAGTCAGATCTGGTGCTTGGGTTGCCGAGTCCCCTTCCGATCGGATCTCCCCTCCCTGGATACTGTGCGCCTTCATATCCTCTTCCGTCCCAAGATTTCGTTCCTGGGTGAGAACGGCTTCTCCTCCTTCGCCTCTCTCTTCGCCTTTTCCTTCCTCAGCACCGGCAGGGCCCCCTTTGCCCTCCGGCGCTTCCAATTTCTTCTTCTTTTCCCTTTCCTTCCGCTTCACTTTCTTTTCACGGTTCCGCCGCGTACGCTTCTCTCGCTCTGTCTCCTCCGTTGCCCTTACCTGCGCGGCGAGTTCTTGCCGCAGGGCTAGGCGCCGACGGAGGAGGATGCGGCGTTTCTTCGAAGGTCTCTTTGAGTTGGGCTTGAGCTGTTGGGAACTGGTGTCTCTGGTATTCGTAGTGGACATGGCTGCTTGGGCCAATTTCTTAAGCCGATGACCATTTCCAAGTAGTTGAACGTGAATCAGACGCCAAGGAAGCGCAGACCCGGGCCATTTGGTTGACTTGGCTCTAGAGACAACGTCGGCTGTTGACAACGCAACATCTGCATACTGTGATCTTAATGATGCAATAGTCTCCTCTGGGACTGCGGAGGTGAAATAGTACGAGTCGGGACGATTAGGACGAAGGAAGTGTGCTTTTTCCAAGGACAATGAGTCGGCGAGCTCGGCGGGCTCTGGGGTCCGCGAGAGCCTGATCTTCGGGTCTGCGAAAGGCGCATCGGGTTTGGAGGGCTGGACGGCAGACTTCGGGTTCGATGTGAATAGGCGGAACTGGAATTCTTGATCTTCATCTTCTTCCTGTGAGGTGACGACTGGTTGAGATTGGCTTGATGCCAAAGTCGGTTTGGGCGCCGATGGGTTTGGTGCCACAAAGTCGTATTCGAATCCATAGCTTGGCTTCACAATGCTCTCTCCCTCGCTGCCGAGGGGCCTTGCCGGCGATATAGACCTGGTCGACCCCCGAGAGACTGGCGAGGCATCGTCGTCTCGGAAAAGGTCCGATCTTTTGACCCTTCTCGGGTCAGAAAAGCCGACTGTGATATCTCTAGAGGAAGCCTACCTTTTCGAATCTGGGACCTCGAACATGATGCTGCTAGACGTCGCCCGGCTAACGAAACATAGGGGTGTAAATGAGGATGAGAGAATTCTCCTTCCTCAAAGGCATTCGTGTGAGTGGATTTTGATTATGTTTTCTGGGTGGTAGACTGGATGGCTAACCGTTTCGCAGTCCGTCGACATCAGCACGACAGTAATGCCAAGATGAATGCGTCTGTCATATCATAGTGACGAGGTAGAGGATCTTGGTCCTGTAACCACGAGTGCTGCAGTCTCGTCCGTACAGTGCAGAGGTGGAAGTGAATGGCGCAATTTGTCGCTGCTCGTGCAATATTTCTCGGCGTAATGTTAATCCGAAGCCGTCTTTCAACGTGCATACAACTTTTTCAGATCAACAGACTCGGACAGTGAAACCAACTGCAATTCTCCAGTGGACTTCTGGCCGCTCTTTGAAAAAGAAAAAAAAAACCCCCCCATCTCGAGCTCGTCCTCGTCTTGCTTGCACTCGCAGACACCGGTGGCGAAGACTTTCGTCACTGTTGGCCGAGCACGTTTCCCGGTTGTAGGCTTACATCTGCGGTGTATATCCCACGCCAAAAATTTTCCGAGGGACTTCTGCAAGAAGTGCTACCGACTTGTCGTTGACATTTCTAGGCCGAATCTGCTAGCATCCTTCGCGGTCGATATCAATGGAGGTCAAAGTCCAACCGGAACACATACCGACCACATATCCAGGTCTGCCGCTACTTTAATACCCCTCCTACCCTGCTGAAGTGTCCCTCCTGAGCACGGAGTTTCTGATCGAAGTACATTTACGTCTCAGGTCCCGTCCATATCGCCGTGATAGGCGGCACGGGGCTGGAGCATCTGCCTGACTTCAACAAGGCCGCTGTTCTGACTGTCACCACGCCCTGGGGCGCACCATCCTCGCCTATAACCATCCTCGAACACCCCTCCCCGACCACCGGCCATCCCATCCCCATCGCGTTCCTCGCTCGCCACGGCCCACACCACGCCCTTGCACCTCATGAAGTCCCCTCTCGCGCCAACATCGCCGCCTTGCGCCACATTGGCGTGAGATGCATCATCGCCTTTTCCGCGGCGGGGAGTTTGGCGGAGGAGGTTAAGCCGAGGGATTTTGTCGTCCCCGACCAGGTTATTGATCGGACTAAGGGGGTCAGACCGTGGACTTTCTTCGAGGAAGGCGTGGTTTGTCACGTCCCCTTCGCGGATCCGTTTGATGCAAAGGTTGGGGATGTGGTGAGACGGTGCGGCCACAGTCTGGAGGGGGATGGGGTGGTGTTGCATGATTCAGGGACGTTGATTGTTATGGGTAAGTTTCTCCTTGTTCATTTTGCCTTCTCTTAGTATCGCCCTTCGCCATCTCCGAGATTTGCATGGCATGTTCTTAAAGATGCGTTTCCTTTCTGTGAGGGTTTGCCCTTGCTTTACATGGCGATTGAGCGGCCTAAGGTGAGAGCAGACGAAGGGGCCAGGAGACGGTCAGCCAACGGGCGGCCGAGCAAGTCTGAGTGTCCGGGCTCCATCGTCTGTATTCAGCCCTGTAGCCAACCTCTGCGGTGACAAGAATCATCATGCTTGTTGTTGAAAGTCAGAGTTCCCGGGCTTCAATCTCAGCAACGAGATTTACTGAAATCGCTAACCGTCTCTCCTGTCAATTCCAACAGAGGGACCACAATTCAGCACTCGCGCCGAGTCAAACTTGTACCGCACGTGGGGCGGCACTGTTATCAATATGTCGACTTTACCAGAAGCCAAACTCGCTGCAGAAGCTGAGATTGCCTATCAGGTCATCCTGATGAGCACCGACTATGATGTACGTACTATTCCATCAACTCTTGTTCGAATTGACGTTTTGAACATTTCCCCTCCTGACGTGATATCTCTATCAATCCTCCTCACCACGCTGCCTGACTTGTCTAACCCATGACAGTGCTGGCATGACGTCCATGGCGATGTTTCGGTAGAAATGGTCATGGGCCACATGCGTGCCAACGCCGTCAACGCCCGCCGCTTCATCGCCGCCGTGTTAGACGAGCTTTCCAAAGAAGAGCATGATGACCTTGTCCGAGCCACGCATCTTGCCGGGGCACGGAAGTTTGGCGTCAGTACGTACCCCGAGGGACGTGGAGAGAAGGCACTGGAGAAGTTGAGGTGGTTATTTGAGGGTTATTTCTAAGACAGAGAAATTCATGATGGAGGGAGAGTCGGGGGGGAGTCGTGGAGTGACGAATGATGCATGTCAACTCAGCAGTTTGATGGATGTGCTGCAGTTGGAACCTTCCAGCGTGGCCCAGCACGACGAAACACTGAGTGCAGGCGACACTGAATAGAGAGATCTGGGCGCTCGAAATGTCAGCTCCTCGTGTGCAGGCAGAATATAGAGAGAGAAAGGTACAAGGGTCCTTTCCAAGGCTCGACTTCAACGTCAGAGCCAGCAATGAAAAGATGTACAGACTCATCCGTTTTCACAGTCTTTCAAGGCGCCTGTGATGGAGAAGTCTCAAAGCAAGCTCACATCACACGCTAATTAATGACCTGCGAGCATTGCTTTGGCTACCCGGCTATACTCGAGTGTGGAAGCTGCTCTGAATAGTCGATTCTGCCAGGATAGAATTCAGTTCATCCGGAAATTGGCATAAGCATTCCTCGACCCTCGCTCTGGTTGGCAATTTGCAGATTGACTGCGTTGATCGTGCACTATGCGGGATGATCGTGCTAGCCTCGCGATCATGCGTTCTTCAAATATGTAACTCTAACTCTTTCTGGGGGTTACCAATTAGGCATCCTGATATATAGCACACGACACTCTTCTCGAATATATGACGCTGGTGGCGAAGAATGTGCAAACTCTGTAACCAAATATCGAGGTGCACACACGTGTAAACTGCAATGTCCATGGGCCTGAAGGTTCTCGAGGATATTTGTGGAAAACGTTGCAAGCCACGGCAAGGCTGTAACGCTGCACAGAACGCCACGATATGGCTCAACGTCAGCAGCTGCCACCCAAGAGTCTGGACGACTTCCCTCAGGTCTACAACTCCTAACCGCTGGCTTACATCGGCCTTTTTCCATTGATCCTGTGGAGAAGACGCAGGCATGGACACTTTGCTCAAGACAGTGCTCGAAGGCGACAATCACGTGGATTGGCGACCCGAACGCGACCATTGTTGATATTTATTCTTGGCAGACACGTCTCCTGATGTGAGGTCCACTGCAGATTTCTTGATTTTATCAGGCCATGAGACAATTGCAGAGCTCGTGGAGCACTCCGCGCCGTTAGAACAGCATTGCCTTCGAGACAATATTCGACTGAGACGACTATCGAAGCAATCGTCAAGCTCCACGAATAATTCGGGTTATGATGCTGATCAGAGATCGCGTTGGGCTGGCTGCGCGAGCTCGGTAGCAGGAAACATTGCAGGCCTGCACAACAAGTCACACCAGGAAATTCTCCGGGCATGGTAGTGTCGCACTGAGCGGGGAACTGCCTGTCATCTCGACGAGTCGTCCAAGAATTGTTTCTTGTGCCCCTCTGTCAGCCTTAAACCGGCCGCATGGCTGTGTCACCAGAACGCGGTGAGAAACTGTGTTTGTCGGGGGCGTTTGAGAAACAATCTCGATTCAATGCAGCCCATTGCGGTTGGAATATCCGGAGTTGATATGAAAACCAAGGAATCAAAAAGACAATTCATTGATACATGACGTAGGAACGGGTGTGATGGTCGGCAGGTCGGCGATTATCCCATGCTGTCGAGCTGTTGACTGAGATCCATCCTCGAATGGACAATGTGGGGGATCAGTGGTTGAACGCCGTAGCCGATAACAATCTTGATTAGTGTGAAACAAGCTTGCCGAAAACAAGGACCTATGTAGCTTGACAGACTGTGCTTCAGCTCTGGCCTTGTGAACGGACGATGGTTCATGAGGCGAAGGACACCATTCCAGTTGAAGGGGGCGAAAGGTCATCCGGACGGCGCTGAGCCTTGCGAGCATTGCGTAAAGACGGGCCTCATTCGCACGGTGTCTCCGGGGACAACAGCCACAGCCGAGAAGCTGAAGCACTCTAGGGCCTTAAGCCATGCTAGATTTGGCCAAAGTACGAGCGGCGCCGATGACCAACCATGATAAGAGCAGATGATGGCGCAATCCATCGACCGACGACTGGAGGGGGTGTCCTTCTGCTGGCGCCCACGTGAACTCAGTGCCGCAATATTGGAGTAAATGATGCTCATCCCAAATAATGTTCCGTGAATTCTTATAGTATGAGCGTAAATTTCAGCAATGAGCTCTCGAAGGCATGGAAGGCGGCTTGGAAAGTCTAAGAATAATACCAGCAAGAGTCCAGGCTGGTCGGTCGTCTCGTATTGACCCGTGCTTTTCCACACACACAGCAGGTCATTCCTCATGTTCAAGTATGCCAACGTGATTTCCGCACGCGCCCTTTTTGCCCAGGGCAATAACGCAGTGCCCGGTCGGCTCGGGCTTATCGGTATGGAGGGTCAGTTGGCTTGACCATGATGACATGGAGAAACAAGACTAGAGGACAAAAACAGAGCACAGCTCTTTGACGTGCAGCTCTCCTAGATGTGATAGGCCGACAGTGGTCGGTTATTGCACGGGGCAACCTCGCGTCATGGCGCATGAACCTTGTCGGTCCTGTGCAAGGATGGAGGTCTGGAGGCTCGTAGGATGCGCTCAAGGTTCTTTAGCCTTCCTAACAGAGCGTTAGCTTGAGGAGAGGAAGTTTCGCGCCCAGATGGGAAGCTCCCCATCCTGTGATCAAATTGAGTGCGAGGCATTGGTTAGGACATGCTCGCGAAGCGCTATGGGGATGAGGTCGGGAAAAGATTTTCAATCGAGATCCGGAGATGGGTCGAGGATATTGCGACCTGGCAATGGACCAGATTATCGGATGGCGATCAGCCGATCAGATGAAGGTATCGAGGCTTATGACATGGTCTGCAGGAGAGCTTGGTGACGGGAACACGAGAGAGGCCATCTGAGTGGTTGTGCGATAACACGAGGAACTTGGAACAAACATGGTGTTGCAGCTAAGGTGGAGAAAGTTCTGACGAGGGCAAAGTTTGCCAAAGTCTCCGTGACTATAGGTAGGCCTTAGGGCAGGTCGCCCACTGCGAGGCTCCAGGTACAGAAACTTGACCTGTGAGACTGGGGACCATCTGAGCTGTGGAGGTGGAGCCTTAGGCAGCCTGGTGGGCTCGCGTTAGGCTGGTTAAGTAGGAATGGGCAACACTCCACGGGCGTCGGGGCGGGCGCAGCTGAAGTGTGTTAGGTTTGTCAGTTCCCTAGGCGGTTACCTGCTCCGTACTTGGGGACCTGGCAGGACTGAGTTGCGCTCTCGACCGTCGTCCACCCGGGCTTCTGGTCTGTGTGTGAGGGTTCGTGTGCGTGCGTGCGTCTCGAACGGTAACTCCCTGGTGGTAATCATACTTGATTATTCGACCCATCTATACGAGTAGGAGGGATCATCCAGCGCCTCCAGCGGCTGTCAGTGCCAGTGCCAGTGCCATAGCCAAGCGGTTGTTCGGTGCCAACCAGACTTCTGGATTCGCAGCAGCTACCAAAGGCGGGCCCCGCAGTGCGTCTCTAGGCCTTTTGGGGCTCTTGGTCTCTGTACCTTGCAGACTGCAGTGAATCCAGCGAAGCCCCAGCGAGTCCGGCTAAGCTGATTCTGCTCCCACCGTCGCCCGCCCACATCTCCAACTTCAATGCTGCCCAGCAACAACACTGACCTGACTTTGCACCAGCCTTAAAACTCTCCTTCTCCCCTCCTTCTTCAAGCCACCGAGCTGCAGGTCGGACGCTTCTTCTCAGTCTTCTGTCTCCTGTCAGTGCGAGAAGGGGCTCCTGCTCGGTGGTCTGTCTCTCCATTGTGCATTGGGCTCTCCATCCCCTCCGCCTTGGAGCATCACTGGCAGACAGACAGACAGACAGACAGTCGGCCACATACCCACGAGCCCTCGGACCTCTGAGCAGTATGATTGCTTAGAAGCGACCGGCATCAAACTGCCCAAGCCTCAGTTGTCACCGATCGGCCAGAATTCCATCCACCTCCACCGAGATTTCGACCTCGACGTCCTTGTGCAACCCGACCTTTTCGGACGAGATCCAAACGAACAGCGCCCTCTTCGGCACTATTCAGGGACAACCTTCTGGAAGGGTGGTTTGTCAGGAAATATAAGAGGTAGCAATTGAGTCAAGGCCTTGTTATCCGACAACATGATTGAGGCTTCATCGCCCTTGGCTGCCATGCAGCCTCCAGCGTTCTTGGGCCACTGCGGTGGTGGTTACAGAGCGGACGCTCCTCCGTCCTTTGCGTCGTTCGCGGCTGCCAAATCCTTTGCCACGAACAGCTTCAACTTCAGAGATCTATCGATGAAGAAGCCAAAGTCGGACTACTTCAGCCTCAAATCGGTTCGGGGTTCTTCGCCCACGGCCAGCCTGGCTGCCGACCTTTCGCAAAATTTCCACATTGACCAGAGGTCTGTCTCCAGCCTGCAACGGAAGACATTCTTTATCTCAGTGCTAACGAGAGGTCAGTCCGCAAGTACCAACTCCACGGAGGTCACTCTTTCCCAATAGCTTGTTTGCACAGGACGGCCAAAGTGAGTATAGGATTGCTGTTGGTGCACGAATCCCCAAATTGACGTGGCAAAAAAGGACACCTGACTACGCCTCCTATACCGTCTTCTTCTCCCGCACCAAACGATGTAATGGACATGGACCTCGATATCTCACCTCTGCCGCACAAGATGCCCTTCTCTACAGTGGCAATAGAACTTCAGTCACCCACACCAGATCTGACACCCTCAGAGACCTCGTTGTTGTCGATACCCTCACCGCCTTGCGGTTCCCCCACCGAGCCATTCCCGATCAATCTCCCTCAAGACAGACGGAAACCAGGATTCTTGCGACCTACATTAACCAGAGCTAAGGGCTTCAGTACGGGCAACCTGCCCCAGAGGCCTGCACCCGAAAGTCAGCTACCACCATTCAAATTCGGCAATGGCAACTATTCGAGCAAACCTGCAACATCTTCCTCATTATCTCTATCCGAAATATTTGCAGACTCGCCAGGCCAGGAGAAAGTGGTCCCAAGGTTGGGTGCACCAGCCTTTGCTCCTCCAAGATCTCGCCCGAGTCTGGTTGGGTCTGGACATTCGTCTCGCAATGGTTCTCCTGTCGGAACCCATATGAGAAAATCTTCAAACCCTCTTGTCAGACCTCGAAAGCAGTTCCGGCGATCTTTGAGCATGTTTGAACACCCAGAAGACGTAATGAAGCAAGAAAAAGAGAGACTCAGCCCTCCACCATTGCTGCCTTCAATCATGGACGTTGAAGCGCCTCATATTCCTCAACTACCCCACTTCAACCCCGAAGGTGAAACAGGTTGTCTGCCTAGGATAACAAAGGAGACAATGGTCTCAGTCCTAGATGGTCATTTCGATCATCTGTACGAGAAGCGGGTGATAATCGATTGCCGATTCGAGTACGAGTACGATGGCGGCCATATTGAAGGCGCTGTCAATTTCAACGACAAAGAAAAGTTGTCGGCTCAGCTTTTTGACGTCGAGCCAACTCCACGAGCTCTCCTGATCTTTCACTGTGAATATTCTGCTCATCGAGCACCTCTTATGGCCAAATTCATCCGCAACAAAGACCGGGCTGTTAATGCTGATCGCTACCCGGCACTCACATACCCTGAGGCCTACATATTAGATGGGGGCTATAGCACGTTTTTCAAAGATTATCGATCACGATGTTACCCTCAGAACTATGTCGAAATGGATGCAAAAGAACATATTCTTGACTGCGAGCGTGGTCTCGGAAAAGTGAAACAACGATCCAAACTTCTCCGAGCCCAGACCTTCGCCTTTGGCCAACATTCACCCTCTCTTGACTCCAGCCCCACTGCTATGGGCAGGAGGAACCTGGACAGCGATATGGACATTGACATGGGTCTGCAGTATACCCCTGTTGCTGGACCAAGGCCTGGGGTCGACGCCCTGCGCACTCGCAACCATCGAATGCTGTCATATTAGCGGTATTCTCTCTTCAACTTCAGTCGCGTTTTAGCCCGGCGTTGGGAACGGTGTTACCTCATCTTTCAGAGGTCGTTTTGGGCGTCGGATGAATTGAGCTTTGGTCGCAACCTGCTAGCGATGTTCACTTCTTGAGCTCACGTTGAGCTATACCCTGGAATTCCTGTCCGTTCTTTGTGTATCCATCATTGTGCTATACCAGCGACTCGGCATAGCTTTGGCAACAGAGACTTGGTTGGAGGAACTCAGCACATGACATTTTCCTTTACTGTTTTAAGACGATCTTCAGCGTTGGAGCTTGGAGACGACGACACAACCAACAGCGGCTTGGTCCAGACAGCTGACCGACCTTTTCCTTCCAAATTCCCAACACACTTTGTGTGTGATTGTCAAGTCGCAGAGGGAATGCTCTCCACGAGCAGAGCACCCTTGCGACGGCTAAAATGGAACAAAAATCCAGACCAATTCAAACCTCCGACCTTTTCACAATTGTTGATCTCTCGCTTCAGCAAGCTCTCGCTCTTCTCGCACCAGCTTTCCAGCAATGTTTTTTTTGGTTGCTGTGCTCTTTCTCCACCTAGCGTATCTGTGTTGTGTATATTGGGTCTCTTTTTTCACCGATCAAATACTTGGGCAGGCTATTTGTGGCTGTCAGGCGTTTGGGCCGGTGGTGAAAGCATCAAAAGGAACAGGATGGCACTCGGGCATCATCATTTTCATCTTCACCATGCTTAGCAACAGCATGAGCAAGGCGATAGATCAAGGCAGAGTAGCACTTCCTGCAGCACAGATAGACAGCTTGAAAGGAATTGAGTACAACATGAATACATTGCGATCCACAGACTTGACATGCTTCTCTCTATCTATGTTGTCTACCAGTCTAACAAGGCGAACATCCGTCTGAAATCAAAACCATAGCACCCATCAACTCCTGCGCACCTCTTCCACCTCTTCCGTCTTCTAACTGGCATCGCTTTTGTAGTTTTCAGATTCCTCTCTGCTGGCCTGGCTGACTGAATGATTGGATGGATGGCCTGTGGATGACTGCACTCTGCTCCTACCTGTGCATGCGTATCCCCCGGCCCTTAGATCTTCACCGTTCTTTTCCCCCGCGTGCTCTCTCTTTTCTCCCTTGAACCATCTTTCTGGTCTTCGGTCCATGTTCCCATTCTACCTCTTCTGCTGGGCTCTGTCTCTTTGCTCTTTTTGTTTGCTTGATTCTAAATTTCTTCTTCGTCGGTCTCGTGTGTCGAGCCAGGATCCGGCGTCACCGCCCCGGGCCCCGCCGCCGCAGTCATTGTCATCATCCTCCCCTCCAGAATTGCGCCTTCCCAAAACAGTTCCACGCTCTTGCACAGCTGGCTGAACCCCTCTGTCATGATCAGGTCGCAGAAATAAGTCCTCAGCGCCGTCGCCTGTGTCGGCTCAGGTAGCTTGATCCACGCCTCAAGCCGGGACTGAGCGGAGGAGAGGTCGAATGCCGGGTCCGCGGAAAGGCACTGCTGTGCGAGGTCGAGGAGAGCGCTGTCGGGTACAGGAAGGGTTGAAGATTGTGGCTCTTGGGTATGGGGCGTAGCCCCGGGTTCCCGATGGTGCGGAATAGACGTGGGTTGAGGTAGGGCTGTAGTATGTGCCTGAGCGGCTGGCGAAGCTGGCGTTGCTGGGTTGATGATGATCTGGTCTGCTGGCGTACATGGTGCAAGTGCAGCTTTGGGAACGCTTTCATCGCTTCCTTCGATATATTGCATTGGAATCGACGAAAGGGCTCGAGATACAGGGCGAGTCAAGCACCCGGTCGTCGTGCCACCGAGACTTGAACTACCCTGAGCTGGGTGGAGGTCGGCGTCGTACTCTGTTTCGGCAATTTCCACGCTCTTCCTCTGGTCGAGCTCGGTCGGATTATTTTCCAGACATGGAATGCTTCGGGACTCGGTGGTCGTAGTGTTCGGCAGCAAACTGTATCCCGGTTGTTGAAGTAGTTCATCAAGAGTCGGCACCCGCTTGTCCTCTTGTGCTTTCTTTGTTGTAGTCTTCTTGCGCGATGCGGCAGTTCGGGGCTTTTTGACTGCTGGCGCCTTTGCGGGCTTGTTTGCCGCGTTTCGCTTTCCCTTACCTTTCGCGGTCGTGGTCGTGGTAAGGCTTGAGTCTTCTTGGACACTTGTGAGTTGCTCATCAATTCGCCCTATCCTACCGACTGGACCATCGCTTCCGCCTGTAAAGGGTGAACAGGTGTGATGGTTGACTTGAGATCTTGTAATTTGCGATGCTAATTGCGCTCCATGAAGCCCTAGGTCTGTGTTTCCCAGCAAGGCCTGAAACTCGGGGTACTGAGACGCTATGGCCGATTGCCGGCTGCGTATATCACCGCCACGTTCGTCTTCTGATTGGTTTTGCAAAGCAAGGGGTCTTCTGAGATGCTGTGTCTCGGGAACCAGAGTAGTGGCGGTGCTAAGTGCAAGATTAGATTTGGGATATGCACGCCCAAGATCCGGCGTCTGCACCGGGCGCAAGTCTCCATCAGGTGGTGGTCGTGCACTCAAAGAATATTGTGCTGGTTGTGCAGGTGCCACAAATCTCTGTGGAGGAGCCATTGGTCGAGACACACAGAGAGCAGACATGTCATTGTTTGTAGTGTTTTCCCTCGAACCAGGTATCGACAGTCCAATTTGAGAAACGGAGTCGCTAGGTGTTACGGGGTTCAATGCGGCTGGTCTTGGTGCGACTTGTGGTTTGTGAGCTGGAAAGGTACCGGCTTCGACGGTGGGCACATTCGCCCTCGAGAGCATCTTCATGGCTTCGTAGTAGTCTTCATTCTCGGAGAAGCGAATCTGAAAACGTCGGATCTGGAGTCTGGTGAGTATTGAAGGCTTGGATATGGGTCTTTGTCACCTGTCCATTAGGCATGGGATATTTGATTGCAATCATAGGCACTTTGACTATGATGGCGACGTGAGGGACATTGGCAGTTGGTGCGTATCGTGCATCAAATAGAGCAAGATGGGCGTCGACCGCCAACTCATTGAGGTCGAGTTCTTCCTGTAAGCTGATGAGACTTGCACACACCCGGAACAGAGCGATTCTGAAGTGGTTTCCTATACCATGACTTCAGGATCTTGCAGCACTTTGAACGTTTGACACTCCTCAGTTCGACCATCTCTCAGCTGAACCGAGCTGGTTTCAAAAATGGCGAAGAGAACACCCTTGCTGGAGAGATGAATCCATGGTATGGGAGCAATGCTTTCGTTAGATACAGTAGCATAAGAAAATTTGAGCAAAGGGAAACACAAAGGAGATGATTGGGAGAGGGGTTGAGATCCTTGAGAAGGCATTGTGGCGTAACTCAACATAAGTACAACAGGAAATCACCATGGAGATGTACGCGAGGTGGTGGTTTGGACAGAGATGTCAAGACCGCCAGGAAGACATGGTCTGGGCAGTGTGTTATGGTAGTCGAATGTAGGGACCGAGGAGACGACGGTGACAAGGCGAGATCATTCAAGAGGGAACTTGGAATGCAGGTACCGCTTCATTGGGCTTTAGCGACGAGGCGGCCAGTCGGAAATGACGATCCGCGCGGCGGGAGCCGAAAAAAGTGAAGGCGCCGCTTCAACTTCAAAGGGCAACGACAAAAGGGCAGATGCGGCCAGCATCGCGTCGATTCTCTGCTTCACTTCACTTCACATCCACCTCATCTCTCGACCCAACGATCCTAGACCACCCTCCTTGTCCTTGTCCTCCTTATTGACCCCGCGGTCCGCGATGACCCCGTCCTACTCAGCACACATTACCCGGTGACACTTCGATCCGAGTGCGCTCGCGCAGCGACGACCAACATGGCAACCCCGCCCCGCAAGATGATCGAGGACGAGGAGGAGTTTCTCAGCGATGTTGCTGCTTTTCACGAGAAGCGAGGGTGTGTAGATGCCTGCGCGGGCACAAACAGTCCATCATGCTGACGGCGCGCGTCTGTGCGACAGGACCCCCTTCGATCGCGAGGGCAAAGTTAGTGGCCGGCCCATCTCCTTGCACAAGCTGTACAAATTGGTCATGGACAAAGGCGGATATGATGCTTTGTCGGCAGAACGAATGCAATGGAGGACCCTTGTCAAGGAGTTTGGCTTTGGCAAAACCCATGAGGCCGTCATGACATTTCAACTCAAAACGGTATATTACAAGAATCTTGCGTGAGTGACACCAAACACGGCTTCTTCTGCTGCTGCGAACCCTTCACTGACACATGTTCCTCCGTCAAAAGCGCGTACGAGATTTCTACCTACTGGGGAGAAGAGCCGCCGCCACGAGAAATCCTCGAAGATCTCAGTGCTAAAGGAGGTGATCTGCGAACTCGGACCCTAGAAAATTACCCCGTGCCTCACCGTCCTGCAATCGAGATGGCAATGCCGGACGGAGGAGCAGAGTCAGAAGCAGACTCCAGCGAAGACGAGATTCAGGTCACGCCCAAGCGCGAAAAGACTGAACCAGAAGAGCAAGGAAGCGCAAGCAGGTATCCCACTCGTATGTTCCACACATCACACCAACATCATTCTACCTTCTATTAACACGTTTCTCACAGGCCAACTGAGACAAGACCCCAAACGCACCCAACTGTTCCAGCCAGATACTGCACCTACACGCGGTCGTACTGTCCGCGCGACCGATTCTCCCTCCGCTCCGCCCCCCTTACAACAGCCTTACTCAAACACCTCAAATGATCCTCGCAACCCTAGTTTTGACTGGTTCGATAAATACGAGCCACGACAACCCGTCGCTTTGACCCTTCGACAAGTTCACACTCCTGGGAATGACCCTCTGTATTACGCTCGCAAAGCGCATGCCAAAGCCGTGAACACGCCACGAGTCCCGCCTGAACCACAACAATTCCTCAAGTCATCCATTCCAACGGGTATGAATGGCCCAAATATCTACCTGAGGTGCCTCTATGGCCTGCGATCGGGTGTCCAAGAAGAGCAGGACTTTGCCTTACACCATTTGGTGAAAGTATCATATGAGCGGGGCGACAAGTACAAATTCGAAGGATTTCCCTTCCTTGCCGAGTCTCTGCTCGAAAAAGCCCTGGAGATCACACAACTTATCTGTGGCATCACATGGGAGGTCAGCTACGAGGAGGATGACGAAGGCCAATCACTCAACACTCTGAATGCGGCCCTCGGGACATCAAACTTGCTCGCGCGTATTCAAGCTATCACCCCCAAGGTCGTGGATAAGGATTTGGAATCTGCCGAATTCTCAGAGAGATTGGAGAAGTTAAAAGAAGCCGTCCTCGTCCTCCGCAATATGGTGATTCTCGAAGAGAATGCTGTTTTCCTCTCGAAATTTCCCTTGTTCAAGGACTTCCTCACAATTGCCCTCTCACTCCCACACCAACCCAGAATTGTCGAGTACAAACAGTCCGCTCTCGAAGTTACTGAACAAGTCACCAGGTACTGGGAAATGAAGCCCCAAGATCCGCTGTACATGTCGCTCCTTCCATACCTCGAGTCCGATGACCGCAGTATGATAATTTCAGCTTTACGGTCGATCAACCGAATCGGACTCGAAATGGCTGATGCACACCGTCTCACCGACGTACCTCTGTCGACAGTGGAGCGATTGTTTTCATTCACCCTTCTCGACGACAACGAGCTCCTGGAAAATTCGCTCGATTTCCTCTACGAATACACAGCTATCCCGGAGAATAACACAGAACTGCTCTCGAACGCATTCCATCTTCTACCAAACATCATTTCTCGCCTCACGAGTCTTCTGCTTTACCAGTCAATCACCCACGAGGAAAACGTTGTGGCGAAACCAACGCCTAGAATGGCATCGATTCCCGCCCCAATCCCTATCATCCCCCCTGAAGTGCATGCACATCTCTTACAATTTGTCGAGCCCGAACGTTCATCCAGATGGCTTCGGTGTTGCTTTGAGGAGTGTCCGACTGAAGACATCACTCAAATCGCCATTTGGCAGGCATACCAGGGCAAATTCGCACAGAATAATCCCGTCCCCGCGGCTGACTTCATCAAGAATGTATCAAACACATTCGTCTCAGCCCAGGCTCAAGTGATTAATGGTCCAACACCAAGATTCATCATCAAGGGGATTAAACCACGGAGGATTCTCGTCGATCTCCAAGGCCGACCTCTGTTCAAATGTCTGTGGGATATGTCTCGTCCTGATATGCAGGACCAGAGCGGCCGGGTCCACCCGCGAAATCTATGTCCTGTCTGGCATACAAGACGTGAAACTCTATGGAATCATATTATGACAGACCATCTGAGAATTGAGAAGAAGCCCGAAGGGCGCTTCGTGCCAAAAGACGGTCAGGGGTGGATATGTCGCTGGACACATTGCGGACGCAAATCTGCGATAACGAAGAGCAGCGAGATCGGGCCTCACATGCGTATGCACATTCCCCAGGCGGCCAGTGAACAGTCCAAACTCATCCACGAGTTGGCGCAAGACATCAAAGATCCAGACCCTGTCCAGATGAAGCACGAATGGCACTACACAGCAATGGATCAAACCAACCATCCCTGCGGCATACCCTGGATGAGTGTTATGATTCTCCGGAATTTGGCGCGGTATGCCAACAAGCATGGCCAGCCCTTTGAGAAAGACGGAGTTAGGCTGAACGAGAGGTTATTCGGAGCTCATAAGTATGCACTCTTTCATGTGTTGAGCGTGAGCCGGACATTGCGGGATTATGTCAATGACCTTCTGAGAATGATCGAGGAGGGTCAAAAAGATGAGAAGAGGGGCTTGAAGAGGGAGCGCGACGTTGAGAATGAACATGGAGAGTAGAGACTGAGAAGATGGTGTCAACTTATCCAGGTATGGCTCGACTACCGGGTGATGTGGCGGACACATGGTCTTGGAGAAAGGCTGGTATGGGAAGGTCATACCGTTTCTCTTGTGCATTTCCTATCGCGGTGACAACTATTTGGCGCGAGCTGGCGGGCATGAAGGTTCACTCGGATGCGGTCTTGGGTCATTCGGTCGGCGCGGATCGCTGGATGCCCTTGAGGGTGGCATTGCAACTACCGGGGCTTTTCTAAAGACTTTTTACACAGTTCGAGCTGGATGATGGCATTCAGGCTGGAAGTGTTACATCCCACGGCCGGCTTGAGAGCATGGCCTACTTCTTACGGAAGACGAAGGTTGGCTTGGAGACAGAGCGGGCAAGGAAAAGCAAACAAAAACACAAACAGGAAAGATCTTGACGAACGGCGACGAGCGGTGACGAGACAAGATAGGATGGGCAAGTTTCAAGAATTGGCATTTCCCCTTCTATTTCGAAATGCTAAAGTGCCTACTCTTTTTCTGGAATGATGAAATCCATTTTCCTCCTCTATCAAACCCTATGCCCGGGTCGTATGGCTTGTGGCGGGAGACGCATGTGGGTCTTGTTTTTGAGTGTGTATCGTATCTTGGGTCTCCATATCGGCTCTCTGTGACTATCGTTGAGCACCACCAAAAGGTCAACGGGGAAGCTCACTCATCCATCTGGAATTGAATCTGCTAGTGGCACGTAGCAGCATGTGTGGTGACGAGCTGGGATAGCCAAAGTGCAACGAATGGACGTTTCCCCCAAGCATGTGACTGCAAAACTGGCAATATTGTCAGGTGGTTCCCCCAAAAGTGGTGCAGAAACTGTCGCGCAAGGCTGAATCCCCCCTGAAAAATGTTGACGGAAGCTCGAGAAGGAATCTGATGCCGGCACAGACCGTCATATTTTGGCTTGGGCGGAGCAGCCATCACCGGATTCTTGCTGAAGCTCATTCTGTCGCCGAAGGACTGGGTTATGTGTTGTCTTCTTTCTGTGCCAAGATCGAGTGGGTTGCTTCGGGAAAGGCAGGGCAGGGTGCGGCAATATCGCTCAAAGTGCATAGTGGTCGGGAATGGCGAATCGACGAGAGGTTACAAATGCCTTCGGGATATGTCCAAGGAGGTCAATGAGAAAAACAGAAGGTCGTTCTGGGCTGGAGTTAGAGCACTTTGTCGACCGTATGATGAACAAATGAATCACTCACTGTAGCAGCGTGAAAGATTCAAGAAGAACTCTTTTTGTCGGTTGAGGCAGAGTTGTGAGAGGTCTTGTTGCTGTTATTGCTGTTTTTGCTGTTGTTCCTGTTGTTCCTGTTGTTTCCGTCGTGGGAACCCCCTGACATTCTAGCACCGTCATCGCTCTTCTTCACGTCACCATTGTCTTTGCTCGTGGTAAATCCTCCATCCTCATCTACGCGAGTGCGAGGACTGACTGAGCGTATCTCGTTAGGTGCTGGTCTCCGTCTCTCGCCATTCCAGATATTCTCGTTGAACACTGGGGCTTGTCCACGGGTTGCCGTCAGCTCTCGCTCATTTCTCGCCTGTGCATTCGGAGTGAGTCGAACTGCCTGCTTGGCCTCTTCTTCGGGAGTCTTGAATATCCGTTTGCGACGCAGGCTTCCACGTTCCAGTTCTCTCTGTTGAAAAAGGTCCCTCATGCGTTGTCGTCCGGCTTCCTGTTCTTTGAGATGGTCCATGTCTTTGGGAAAGGCTGAGATGAACCAGATCTGAGTAAAGATCGGTTGGCTCTGAGAGTTTCCGGACAGCTGAAATCACGCAGGTAGTTATCCTTGGTGTAGGGTGCTCGGGAGATAGGGCAAGGAGGCCTCTGTCGGGCTTGGCTGATGAAAGAACGACGAGTTGTTTGTTCCATAAAGGAGCATGCAGCCTGGGCAGAACCATGAATGATGAAGCAAATGCGGACTGTTTTGAAGTTCACCTGGAGATGTTTGATTCACCGCTTTCAAAGGCAGGGCAGAATCAAAGTCGGTGTATGGCCCAAAGAAAGGACAGAGCTTGAATATCCTGTCCATCGTATGCTTTGTCACCGTTGGTGTAGGTGTGGTGAGCTGCACCTCCAACAGTCTGGGATCTTGTAGCATTGGGCACCGGGTGGTGTCTACATGGGAAAATCCAAGCATTCATTCCAGCTTCAAGTCGTGCCAGTGCAATCTTATGACGAGAAAGGCGCATTCTCTTTGATGGAGCTCTCCGACTCTCGTCCTGGGTCTTCTCTGGTGACTTGGCTCAGGAGTTGTGCCTGAAGTGGGAGGGAAGATGGGAGAGGAAGGGATCCTCGTTCGAGCTGAATATACATATACAGTGACCATTGCCCCCATACTGGGGCTTTTCCCCATGCTCTAGTGATGGAAGAACAGGGGTTGTTTCTCGTGTTGAGCCACGACGGAAGTCAAAGGGGATGAAAGCATGTCGACCAATTTAGGAAAAGACGAGTTGCTGCTTTTAAACAATGTCTTGGACACGAATGACGCGCGCCTTGCTGTCTGACCATCAGATTCTGTTCTTTCACACATCAGCACCATGCAGCTTGTCACTGTCCCCATTCAGGCCTGGGTCCTAACACTGCACTCTAACCAACTGCTCCTCGCTTGTGCAGGGGCCAGAATACTCTGCGGAATGACACGCAGATCAACCGCCTTCACCCATACATCCACCCTGGTCCAGGACCGCATTCTTCGGCCGCTCACACTGTTCTCAAGCACGTACTCCACAGTGCCCCGAGGTTGTACACATGCTAGTCGCATCCTTGATGTTAAGAGCTGGACAGTTGGGGAATGTGTCGCTCGGTGCCTTGTCGTGGTTGACCTGGTCTTTCGGATGCTGGAAAGAGTAAAGAACCGAGCTCCGAATGTGCGAATATTTAGTCTTACAAGGGAGGGTTCTGCGAACATGAATCTACTTTCACTAAGGTGACTGTGCTGTTCTATACAACACTGGCTCTCTTTTACAGCATGGTGTGGACTTGGCTGCGGGGTCTACACTTCAGTATCTGGGCGAAAGTCCGTCGGAGCATGCAAAGACAAGCCAGGGCTGTGTGCAAGAGGGAGGTGAAGAAAGAGGTATAAGGATGCCCTGATTATGTTCACACCAAAGAGCGGACGATAACACCGTGGTTCCTCTTTGCAAGCGAAAACAGCCGACGGAATCTCCTAACCTCCCACAGAGCCAAGCGGCAGAGAACCATGACTTTCCCACGAGAAATTCCTGCATTCCACATGATCTATCAGTGGTAAGTCTTCCCGAGCTTTTCAAGGATGTCTTTCATGTCTCCGTCCAAAGTCTTGGAAACCTGCTCTTTGAGGAGTTCAATCTGTTCGGGGTCGCGGCCGTCTTGTAGCCCGCAGTCCACCTCTTCCACAGCGCCGTTGTCTTGATTGAAGATCCAACCAGTGACTGGGATGGACGGCTTTATCAGGGGATGGTATCTCAAAAAGTGAACATCCTCTACAACACTTCTTTCCAACGTTTCTCTTTCTGTCTCCCCCTTTTTCCACTGGAAGGGATAGTAGGTCAGTGCCTCCGCCCATTGTTTTGCTCCGTTCAGGAATGGTCCATCTTTCATTCTCGGGTCGTTGTTCGATATTCCGCCTCGGATGAAGTCATCGTGGAAACGTAACGCACCGCAATCTGCGTCGACATGGGTGAGTTGTTCCGCTAAGCTGCGTTCAAGGGAGCACCTACCTGTGTGGTGGATGACCTTCAATTCCTTGATGTCACTCAAAATCTCAATACTGGCAATTGTCCGCAGAACATCCATGGTAGCAGTCCTTCCACCTCCATTCCGAATGATCCAAGCCTCATTTTCGCCCAGCCGGAAAAACTGGTCTGGGTCGCATCTGGCATCACAACATGTGATTATGCCAACGCGAGATCTCGCTGCCACCACCATGTTCGATTTGTTGAAATGATTTGCCATATAGTCCTCATTTGCTGCTTTGAAATCGTAGGGCTTGAACGCCAGAAACTCAGGGTGGCCGAATCCATTCGCCATGGTTGCCTGCGCTTCGCAAAAGTTCTCGCGGAAATGTCACAAACGGATTCAAAAGAGTTGGAAAGATGTTGCAGTAAGTTCACGATGATAGTGTACCCTATGAGTACTCACCATACATATACGTTGCAGGTGTTGTTTGGGCTATGCGCGGTGTTCGCGGTAGCCGTTGTGGAAACCCGACTTGCGAAACAACGCCGTCTGCGGTATTGGACAGCCCCGACTGTGTTCAGCCATCACCGTTCAAAGACATGCGCCACCCAAGCTTCAGTCAATTCTTCTTGTGATCAGCTGGCACATGCCATAGTCGGGGCCTCAAGCCGGCTTTCAGATCATCAAGACCATCAACATCCTCGCAGTTCTAAAGGTGGACGGATTTGGAGTCTGGTCTGGTATGCAAAGTGCAGAAGCAGACAATGTAATTCATGGTCTAAGATCCTTTTTTTTTTCAATATTAATTCCGTCTCGGCCGACTCGGAAGATGTGATTACAGCACCTGAAATGCAGGATACAGGCAAGATACGGCCTCAACCTTCGTTTCTCCCCGAACACCGTGGCCACGCTCCTCATGCATCAGCCAATTCGAGCAAACCACTACTGGATTATATCAAAATTGCGAACTGTTTATGTTGAAGGAGCCACCAATGGTCTTCCAGACGTTCTGGTTGCTTCCCCTTCATGCTCACACGGGTGCTGACGTGCTTTAGAACCAGTTCTTGTCCCCGTGGTGGGACATAAAGGCACCCCCGTCACCGTTCTCAACAGTTTTCGAGTCCACCACTCTCAGTACTTGTTCGACGGACTCAAGAGGTGTCATTGGACCGGGGAAGTTAGGCGCGGCTTTCAAAAACTTCTGGACGAGTCCTTCAACTCCTGGCGCTGGGCACGAATCAGCAGGATTCATCACTGTAGCTCAGAGAAGGACTTACCTGCAGCTGCTGCCGTGTCCACCACCCCAGGAGAAATGGAAATAAACAATATCCCATCGTCCTTGTATCGGGCACTGTACTTAGCAACCGCAATGTTGACTGCCGCTTTGCTCATACTGTATGGTGCCGATTCCCAAATCCCAAGCTCATTGACAAAATCTAGATCGCCCATGCCGGAAGTCAATGTCACTACTTTCTTGACATGGCCCTTCTTGATCAGAGGAAGGAAGGCATTAATAGTGTTGATGACTCCGACGACATTAGTCTCGAATGCCGTCTTTATGTCCTCGTCTAGCGACGTCGGGTCATTCTCGAACTCATCGAGAAACCTCCCTGTAGTCAGGTGGGACACATATGCTGCATTATTGATCAAATAGTCGAGCGCGCCGCCCGTCAGAGTCTTAACAACATCTCGAGCAGCAATCAGAGATTGACGGTCTGTTATATCGGCTTGGATGATTGTGACATTTTTCAAGCCATCCTGTTGAATCTTTCGGTCTGTTGCCACCTTGTCTCGGACCAGGCCAACCACAACATTGTCTGGATCCTTGGAAAGAAACCGAATGAAACCGTACTGATTTTGTGGTCAGCATCTCGAGTCGAATTCCAACGGAAAGGGCTTTCTTACTCCAATTCCCCGGCTAGCTCCAGTCACGACATATGACGGCATTTTGCTGGATTGCGAATTTGCTTATACCTGGAGACATGGGATGAATTCTGGAATACAAAACCTTGCGGACAACATATGTACATTTCGAACTTGCGCCTGAGGAAGCAGCAAGACCGCTACAAATTTGTCAGCGGAGCATCAAGTTCTGCGGATCCCATGTATGCTGATGGAGATCTTAGGTCATATTCGATTGTTAATACTTGATCACGAATGATACCATGCGTTGTCAAGGAAAGAGGTGAGAGGAGAATACGACAACATTGACAGCCGTGGTGAATGGCATACTAACGGAGACGGGCTTAGGATGGTGCTCAGAGGGATCCAGAAGGTGTCTGGAGCAATCCCGGGTCATCGTCACATAGTTATCTATCGGCCCTCCAAACGCCGTCAACGGCTTTCTGTATGTACCGGCACAATTGAAGCGCTCAATCTCCTGCTTCGGGTCACTCTAACCATCGACGGTCGCTATTCAGTATTCTATACTGATTATTATTCGGAAAGTTGGCTTACGTGATACCGTGCCTTTGGTGCGAGGATACTGACATGCCTGAATACTCACATTCGCAGTTATCGGTTCTTGCACTCATACTACGAAGTTGCTCCTTCCATCCCATTGTGTAGGTGCAACAACGTCTCATGAAAAAGATGCTTTGTTATGTGATCACTGGCGCAGACCGGGGTATAGGGGTATGAATTTCTGTTGGCCTATTTTGTACTGTCCACTGACTTACTGCTGAACTCCGCACCAGTACGAGTTTGTGCGCAAACTCTCAGAATATCCGGAGAACCTCGTTGTTGCTTTGGTTCTATCGAGGAAAGCGACAGAGGCGAAGCTTGCAGAGCATGGTATTCAAAGTGTCCATGTGATTGAAGCCGACGTGACTGATCGCAACGCTTTACTCGTATGTATTTCTGCTTGTGCTTTTCGGGGCTCCGCTGCTATACAAGAAAGTGGGTGTAGGAGGGCTAACGAAACCCCAGAAAGCAGCTGAGGAAACCGAGAAGATCACTGGCGGAAAAGGTGTGGATGTTTTCATAAACAATGCTGGCTTGATAGCGAAGCCCACTGCCTTTCGAACTTTGGAAGACTAGTACGAATGATCCTTCCCCCATAAGAAAGCACCACTTTTACTGGCAGAATGTTGACTTTATACTCGTCGGCAATAGCTATGACATGGTCGACATATTTGACAAGGATTTGTACGACTGCTTCAGCATCAACGCCGTTGGGACGATCAATGCAACTGCGGCATTCATTCCTCTGATCCGGAAAGGGACTGTCAAAAAGGTGATTGCATTAACAAGTGGCATGGGCGACCTTGATTTTACCAACGAACTGGATATGGATATGGCTGTGCCTTACTCAATAAGCAAGGCTGCCATGAATATGGTGATGGCGAAGTTCAGTGCCTCGTACAAGAAAGAAGGCATTTTATTCATGGCTGTCAGTCCAGGCGCCGTTGACTCGGAAGACGACGGTCGAGGATCCAACGCACCGGTGCAGGACGTTGAGGGAGATCTATCGCAAACACTTTATCCAGTGCGGCCGTGGCATAAGCTTGGTATGTTCTCTACTAAAGAAAATCGCTACACTCCACGGGACGCTAGACAGCTGACAAGAGTGTCTGTCGTTGCAGCAACCGTCCCAGAGCTACAGAAGCGCAAAGAACAGGGCGTGAAGTTTCAACGATACCAACCAACTTATACGAAGCCGCTAAATACTCAAGAATCTGTGGATTTCCTCCTGAAGGTTTTGAGTGAGAAA